CCCCCCCCCAACTATCATGAGGTTATAGACGTTGTAGTGTAGAACTTACTAATGAGCAATAGCCAAAAACTTCTTCTTCTTCTTGTTGTTGTTGTTGTTGTCCCCAGCTTGATAGATCACGCTCGCCACGCCGCCGGGCATGGTTGTCACCTTGGAAGACGACGACGAGGACTCGGCTAGAGATCCGTTGGAAGAGATTGCAAAACTGGACAGGGATCCATTGCCGTATGACTTGGTCCCCGACTCATCCACGCAGTACAACACGTGCTCGGCGGCGTCGAGCATGAGCCAGCTCGGCATCTCACCGCAGGCCTGCAGCGTGCTGGCGAGAGTGAGGCTGGTAGATCCGTTTTGAGATGCGGACAGAGAGAGGGTGAAGATGTGTCCATCGTAATGCGAGGCGTAGAGTGTTGTTGCTGCTGCTGATGTTATAGTATGGATAGCAAAAAGGACAGACTTGATGTTCATTTTTTTTTTTTTTGTTTTTTTTTCTTTTCTTCTTCCTGTGCTGTGTAGCCAAGTAGAAAGAGTTGTTGGTTGATGCGAATTGACGACGAAATAAGGGATCGGTCGGATCCTTGCAGACTGTGGAATGGAATGTCGTGCATGTGGATCTGCACATGATATGCAGTACCTAGGTAGTACATACCATTGCGCAGTACAGAAGCGTGTTATACACGTGAGGGCGATGCATCGAATGAAGGGAACAATTATTACCTAGAACGGAAATCTTCGGCTTTGTTGCTGCCTAAGGCATCAATTCCATCCCTGCCCCAACTTCTCACGAGTCAAGTAACTACCTAAGTACGACGGCTGACATGATTCGTGCAGAGAGCACAGGCAAAAATCGCGTTATTGCCAGCTGTGGACCTCTCGGAGCTCACCACTCTAGTTGCGACTGACATCAGCTGCGAGCAAATGGCGTGATTAGAAGGGTCCCAGCGGGCTTGTATAAATATTTAAGTTGAATCGGTTGTCCGTCATCTACTGACCTACTTGCCTGGATTCCAAGGATTGTCTTATCGTTGATGAGGGGTTATCTCCCAACCACTATCTGGAATATACAGGAGAATGGCGGCCACCACCACTCTGAGCGAGCAAAAAATCGATCTCGCCCTCTTCCCCGACGGCCTCAAAACTACCGGCCAACATGCGCCGCTGCCTGAGTTCGTGCAGCCGTTTGAGAAGTATCCCGCCGAGATCACGGGCCGGACAGTCTGGAAGGCCGAGGACTACAAGGACAGCCCCGAGAAATGGGTGCATCGGTTCACGGATGCCGAGGTCGAGGAATTGAGCACTGCTGCGGATCGGTTTATTGAGGATGGGATTCCGCTGACGGGCATTACGCAGGTATTCCTCCTGTCCATCCAGCGAGGTACATAGAGTCTTACTATGTGTAGCAAAACTTCCCCCTCCCCAAGCTCGGCGTCTATCTCCGCACCGACCTGCGCGACGACCTGATCAACGGCAAGGGATTCATCCTCTTCAAGGGCCTGCCAGTCACCGAATGGGGCAACCACAAGTCCGCCGTGGCCTACATGGGGCTGGGCACGTATCTGGGCTATTTCGTGAGCCAGAACAGTCGCGGCCATGTGCTGGGACATGTCAAGGATCTTGGCGAGGATGCTACGCAGATTGATAAAGTGAGGATATACCGGACGAATGCTCGGTGAGTCCTTCCCCCCCGTTCTCATAAACATAAAGTTATATTCTTATACAAGCTCAATGTAGTCAGTTCTTCCACGTAGACGACTCCGACCTCGTCGGGCTGCTCTGCATTGCGCGCGCGCTGGAAGGCGGCGAATCGGATCTGGTCTCCTCGCACCATGTGTATAATACAATCGCTAAAGAGCGTCCAGACGTGCTCAAGACGCTGACCACACCCAACTGGTATTTCGATCGCAAGGGGGAGACCTCCAAGGGCCAGGAGGAGTATATCAAGACGAGCGTGCTGTATCTTGAGCGGGGCGAGAACCCGCGTGTGTATACCAAGTTTGTGTCTCTCTGTAGTATTCGTTTTGACAAAAAAAAAAAAAACAAAGAGCTAACTGGCATAGATGGGACCCGTACTTTGTGCGCTCGCTCACGCGCTTCTCCGACCAAGGGATTATCCCGCCGCTGTCGAGCGAGCAGCAGGAAGCGCTGCGCGTTCTGGAAGAAACGGCGCAGCGGCTGTCGCTGCACATGATCCTCGAAGTCGGCGATATCCAGTTCCTGGCCAACACGCACATTCTGCATGCGCGCACGGCGTACAAGGACTATGCGCCGCCCGCGCCGCGGCGGCATTTGATGCGGCTGTGGCTGGCGACGCCGGAGGGCGAGGGCGGATGGAAGCTGCCGTACTGGGACAGCGAGGAGAAGAAGCGCGGGGGGATCCAGGTGGACGATCAGCCGCCTGTTGCGCCGCTGGACGCGGAGTGAGCGTAGTATAGTATACAGTTGTGGCGAAAGGAAGATCTAGAGGAAGAGTTAAGATATTATATTAGGTAGTAAGCTTATCGTCACTGCTTGCCCAACTAGGCAATAAGACCCGGCGGGGTCTATCCAACGCTATGAGTCAGTATATATAAGTGCAGTGCAGCGAGAAAACCCTCCATCACAGCACTCAGCATGTCCCTCCACATCGCCATCCTCGACACCGACGTCCCCGTGCCTACCGTCTACGCAGCCCGCGGCCTGTACAGCTCTCAGTTCCGCGTGCTGCTCCAATCCGCCGCGGCGCGATTGAGCCAGTCCTCCTCGCCTGGTGCCAAACATGTCCAAATCCACACCTCTGCCTACGACGTCGTTGGCGGCGCATATCCGGCACTGGACATGCTGAAAACATCACCATCATCAACAACAACAACAACAAAGGGGACCATCGACGCCCTCCTCATCACCGGCTCGGCCGCATCCGCATACTACCAGGGCGCGCAGTACCAATGGATAGCGCAACTGCAGTCGTTTCTCCGGCGCGTGTGGACAGACTACCCGGCCGTGAAGATGTTCGGGTCGTGTTTCGGGCATCAGATTATCGCCCAGGCGTTGCTGGGCGGGACCGTGCAAGTCGAGGCGTGTCCGATGGGGTATGAGGTCGGCATTCACCCGATCTCGTTGAACCCGGCGTTTGCGACGGGCACGCTGCTGGGGAGGATGCTGGCGGCCGGGTTGAAGAGCAAAGATGGGAAACTGCGTGTGCAGCTTGTGCATGGGGACCGCGTGGTTGGGCTGGTCGAGCAGCCCTGGCTCAACATCGGGAGTACGCAGCTCTCGCCCGTGCAGGGACTGTACTACCCCGGGCGCGTGCTGACGTACCAGGGCCACTTCGAGTTCGATGCATTTGTCAATGCAGAGACGGTGCTGGAGTTTGCGCGGCGGTGCGCGTGGGCAGAGCCGGTGGTGAGCGAGTATTTGCGGCGGATTGCGAGTTGCGCGGAGGACGACGCGGAGTTGGCGGCGGCGGTGGTGGTGCTCTTTCTCACCGAGTCTGCAGAGATGCATCCAGCTGTCGAGACTGGGCTGGCCACGCCGCCGGATGAATCATGTCATGAAATTAGCTAGTTAGTAACGTAGCATGTGCATATAATAAATCCCGGTAAACTAACTGCACTTCCCTATCGGGATAGTTTGGCCACGCCCTGCTACAAGAGATAAGATAAGCCCGACCCCTCAGATACATAAATATCTATCTACACATACTCCCCACAACATCCAGACACACACGCACACAACAAGAAGGAAGAAGAAAGAAGAAAATGCCAGGCCCAATCCTCGAAAACGCCGTCGACGCGCCCATCCCCGCGCCCAAAACCGCCGTCCAAGCCGCGCCTCTCCTGGCCCCAATCCAAGCCACGCTCAAAGACGACGAGACCGCCATAACGCTGCACCCCATCACGCCCACAGCCGCAAAGTCCCTGCCCGCCCGCCTGGTCGAATACCTCCATGCCGAGTTCTGCGCCGAGATTGAGCGCGGATGCACGTATCCCATGGAAGATGCCATTGCGCTCGAGCGGTTTAGGGAGTACTGGTTTGGCACGTTTGCGGTTGTGGTGTTGAAGGGCGCGCTCGAGCAGAGCACCCGGTTGCTGCAGGGTCAGGGGCAGGTGAACTGGGAGGAGGTGTGTATGGGCACGTTCTACATCAAGCCTAATTATCCCGGTGAGCGTGCCTATTCTCTTGGATGCGGAGTGTGTAAATGCTGATTGACAGGCCGCTGCTCGCACGTCTGCAACGCCGGCTTCTTGACGTGCGCGCCCTTCCGGGGCCACGGCATTGGCTCTGTCATGGGCAAGACGTATCTGGCCTATGCGCCGAAGCTGGTTTGTTCTTTCCCCCTCTTCCTCATGGACTTCGGCCAGGCACTGATGTAGGCAGGGATACAAATACTCCGTGTTCAACCTCGTGTTCGCGAACAATCCCGCCTCCAGCAGGATCTGGGATAAGCTCGGTTTTGAGGTTTTGGGTCGTGTGCCCGGCGCAGGCAGATTGAGGAATAGCGAGGAGTTGGTGGATGCGTTGATTTATGGGAGGAGTTTGGTGTGAATAAAAATTGTATTTGTCGTTTAATATGTACATCCACGGAAAAGAAGAATGATCGACAACACAAGATATAGAGGGAAAAAAAAAAAAAAAAAAAAAAAAAAAAAAAAAAAAAAAAAGAGAAATAGACAATCGCTGGGATATTTTTGCACAAGGACTCAACAAGAATAAAAGTTATAACAGGGCACGTATGTACGTACATACGTGTCACGAAGAAATAAATAAAAATGGACGCCAGAGAGGGGAATTGCGAGGGCTAACTAACTACCTCCATCGCGGTCGTTCGTCGGTCTTGCCCTTCGGCTGAGGCAGCAGACTGGTCCGTCGACTCGAATGCCCGTGGCCGAGCGATGTGCCCGGTCTGGCTGTCGTCTGCTCAGCTTCTTCCTCCTGGCCTTTGACTGTCATGGGCCCGCCATAACTTTGTCGATTGCGGAGCCCCGTCGGCAGGTTTCCGGCTGATTTGCGGAGCTTGTTATATGCTGGAGGGTCCAGCAGCGACGAGGGGCCCCGCGACTTGGCTGTCATGCTGGGTGATGTCGGCGATGCAGTCCCGAGTCGACTGCCAGAACGGTAACTCATGCGACTACCGGTTCGGCCGGTGGGCGCTGGAGACGATGAAGTCGCCCGGCTCAATGGACTCGGCACTGGCAAGGATGAAGAGGTGGACCGCGAGGTTCGTCCACTAGGGACGGACAGATTATTTCGATATGGGGACGGAGAGAGGCTTTTGAAGCTGTGGCCCACGTCAAGATCGCTGGTGTTAGTGCTGGCGTTCCACCGGGGTCGATTCAGCGTTGGAGCTGACGACAGACGATTGCTTCGTGGCGCAGGTGTGGGCGTCGTGGAGGAATGCACAGATAGCGTAGTCGAGGGTTTACGACTCGAAACTGCCGTAGGAATGCCCGACAGTCGTCGCGATGCCGTTGTCGCCGTACGAGACGTACTGCCAACCGAGCTACCCCGTCTACTGGACCCGCCAGCAGCAGCAGCAGCAGCAGCATTCGGCGTCCGGACACCACTAGTGTATCCAGTCACAATCACAGACGATGCTGGCGAGCTTCCAGGAGTGCCAAGCAGGCTGGTATTAGCAGGACTGTCGGCGGTAATGATACTCGATATCGAATCACGCAAGTGCTGGCTCTTGGAAATAGTCGTCTCTTCCAGCAGCGAATCCATAACTTTCATGCTCGCCTTGAGCGCATCGACGCGCTGGTTCATGTCCGAAAGCAACGTCAAAACCTCACCGTTGACCGTTAGTCGATCGTGCACTCCCTTCTGGATAATCGTCATAACCCGGCTGATAGCCGGTACGTAGTGGATCTTCTTCGCCTCGTAGCTCTCAATCTTCTTGGTGATGGCGATTGGGTTATTCGCCGGATCTCCTGCTTCCAACGACTCCTGTAGTTTCCCAATACTGCGTTCCACAGACTCGCACATCTTCTGAGCCTGTTTGCCTGCATTGCGGAAAACAAGAATCCAGCGATCCTCGCCGAGTTCACGCCGCAGAGCTTCGGCGTCGCTTTCTAGCTTTTTGTACGACGTCTCCAGCCGCCTTTTCCGGTCTTCGAGTTCCTCGCATGCTGTTGGGAACAGGGCTTCCGCTCGCGCGTGAAACATGGACAATCGCATAGGCAGAAAATCTAACGATGCCCTCAGAGGCTGCATACGGGCGAACAGTTGCATCAGATTGGCATCGTCTTGTGGATTGCTATTGTTACCCGCGGTAGCATTGGACGTGTTGTCGGCAGCGGGAAACAGAGCCAAGCTCAGTCTTTTGTTTGTTGCTGACGACGGCGTACCATGGAAAGGGGTCTCTTCCACAATTGTTTCGAGCTCATTGATATCTAGGCCATTGCCCGGCTCAGCCTCTGACTCTGGAGCAAGCGATTTGTGCCGCTTCTCCTCCATCTCAAAGATCAATCTGCTGAGATTGTCGATTTCAAGGCCGACATCACCTAGAACATTGTTCCATAGCTCCTCCCATTCCATAGCGAGCTCGACTTGTGCCTTGACCCCTTTCAGAAACGTTCGTATGCTGGCCCAATTTTTCAATGTGGCGTCCATTTGGGAAACGATCAGGGTCAGGTCACTAGCGCGTACATCGTCGATATCATCTCGTAGTTGCACGTTTTCAATGGCCTTCACGTAGACATCGACCAGGCTTTCGAATTTGACGACCGCCTTGTCCACCTCTTCCAGACCTTCTCGTCCGCCGGCTGCAGCCCACTCGACATCGTCTTCTGCATCGAGCCCATTGAGCACGTCTGAAGCTTTGTTCATCCATGTCTCGATCTGCTCGGCCGCGCCCATGAGGGCCCTTACTGCTGTAGGGGCATTGACGATGGATGAAATGCTGGCTTCCAGCGCGGCTGGCTGCGGTAGATTGATCGAGGTAAGTTGAGATAGCTGGTTGCTGAATGAGGCCCGAGAGAATGAGTAAATTGACTCGGCACGGTTCATCTTTCTCGGGCTGAAGTATGATGGGAGGTTTGTGGACGACGGCGTAGAGGGTGCTGGTGGAGTGTCCTTGGGCGGAAGGGAAGGTGCTGCTTGGTCTTCGAGGGTACTGCGCTTGAGATATTCCTCCAGGTCTGACGAGCCGCTTTCCTGGATTGCTTCGACATCCTGGGATGTCGACCGTTCTTCAGTCATTGCGGGCTCAACTGTCGTCATGGTCGACGCAGCAGCACGCTCGCGGGCGTCGTCGTCGGAGGGATATTCAATGGTAGACGTCGGTGTGCTGGGAAGAGGAATTTCGCTCGCAAAATCATGCAATTGGGTCTGCGGTTGAGGACTGCTTTGCGTCTTTGTAGGCGATGGCGACTGCAACAGGTCAGGGGCACTGCGTTCTCGTTTGATCTGCAGCCCGGGCCAGGCACGGCCTCGCTTCTCGACCTTGATGGACAAATCCTGGTGCAGACTGTCCAACTCTCGCAAATGGTCCTGCGGGATCTTGCCTACGCCTACCGCAGTCTTGCCGCGTGTCGGCTCGACGGATCCGCTCAGGAGCTTGACTCGTGCCGCGAGGCCGGGCGACAGTCGCCGGAATATCGAGGCACGGCTGTCTTCTGTGTTGGTGTTGGTGTTGGCGTTGGTGTCGTTGGCGGTGTCTTCTTCGGGCCGGAGCTTGCGGGCTGTGGAAGGGGGTGATAGCGCTGCCGATGAGGACGATTGCGACAACTGCGGTGCGGAGAACTTCTTGGTCAATGACTTGAGGGAGTGGATGGCGGTGTCGGTCGAGGACGGCGGTTTGGGCGTGGTCGGTGAACCAGGAACAAAGGATATCACGGGCATGGATACAGGAGCATTGGCTGTTTTGCTGCGTTTCACGACAATCACGGCCGAGTCGGTGCAGGCGGTAGTGGCAGTGGCAGTGGTAGCGGCAGAGAAGACCCGGAGGTGCGGCAGAGTGGGTTTGGAGGCAATGGAGGCGAAGGGGGCAGGCGAAGGTGAAGGTGAGGTTGAGGTTGGAGTTGGAGTTGGATTTGGAGGTGATGTGCACTTGGCGGCGACGCGAGGAGGAGCAGCAGGGGCGAGCCGGCGCTGGAAGAGCAGCGGCCCACTCGCAACGCGGTCGATAACGGACTCGTAGACTCGCCTGTGGATGATGAGAGACTGCGAGGGCTCTACATGGCGCGGGGATGCTGCGGTGAAGGCATGCTTCAGGAGACGAGCGACTGGCGAAGGAAGAGGCCGCGCTGGGCGTCGGTCGTGATGGGCCATTTTAGCGCCTGGCTCGGCCTCTGAGAGACCAACACTCTTTTAGAGGAGTTTTTTTTTTTTTTTTTTTTTTTTTTTTTTTTTTGAAAAAAAATTTTTTTTTTTTTTTTTTTTTTTTTCTTTTTGGAAAAAAAAGTTCTTTTACTTTTCTTTCTCTTCTACGCAGTATCTACTTGTTTGTATTTATGGGAGAACATAGAGCAGAACACCGAATTGCAGTCATCCTCGCTACGTCGGCAAAGCCAGCGCACTCTTAAGACGTAGGTACAACAAAACAACAAGTAGATCCGTGCCAGCCAATCAGCAGCCCCCACGACAGCACACTATCAAGCATCAAGTATCAACTCCAAAACACCGAATGCAAGCAACTGATAAAAACGACGAGGGAACAGAAACCAGGGTATCAATCAAAGGGCATACATCATTCATGTCGGGCCGCGGCCTCAGGCATCGCCAGCCAGAGATTCCGCGTCGAAAATGGTCGGCAGCTCGAGAATCGACGCCACAGAGCCCTTGCGCGGATTCCGCCAGTCGTCCAGCATCTCCTCGCGGACGCCCCTGCACCACTCGAGGAGCGCCGCGTCGAATTGCCTCCAGGCGTCGTCGCTGCTCCCATACACCACCCCCATCACGTCCAGCTCCAGCTTGATCTCCCACCGCAGCTCCGCCGCTTTGCGCCAGTATCGCAGGTTTTCCGCGCGCCGGTACGGCTTGGCAATGTCCTCGTGGGGGGTCTTGATTTCGCCAAAGAGCCGCCTCGATTTCCGCACGGCCTGGTTGTGCATCCGGATGAGATCGCGCCCGTCTCGCAGGCGGCTTAGGAACGGCGTGGGCAGCACGGCCTTCTCGGGAGACGTCCATTTCGGCAAGGTGATATCAGCGCCCATGCCGTTGACCAGCGTCTGGAGAAAGGCTTCTTCGCGCTCCCTTTCGCGGCCCGTCCAATCGCCCGACGCCCAGTCCCAGCTCGCTCGCTCCTTGGCCTCGGCCTCTTCGAGCCGGCGTTCTTCGTCAAGCACAATGAGTACCCCGGCCATCCATCCCAAGATGGACGCTCGTTCGTGCTTCCGCAACCCACCGGCAAAATTCCGCGACGCCCAGCTCTTCAACACATCCGTCACAGCCAGTAACTCTTCCCGGAACTGACGCTCGCTCTTAATGCCAGCCAGTCGATCTGGATGTTCATGGTTGATGTAGTAGACCCGAGCGGCTCGAATGGCCAATGTGACAAGATCTAAAATATGCACCCCCTGCACCTCGTCCCATCCCAATGGCTTGGGCGAGGCGGACGACGATGCCGACGGGGAAAGTGTAGCGAGGGTATCTGTTGATATGTTTTGGGTAGCAGACTCGTGAGGAGCTGATTCCGACTTCTTCACTGCCAATGACGCCTTGTCGAGTGCCCCCACCAGATCCTTTCGTAGAACCTTCAACTTCGGCGGCGGCGCAATATGATGCGTCTTAACGCTGTAGGTGCTAACGGTAGGCGGAAGCATTAACTCTTCCTCTTCTTCTTCCTCCTCCCCCTCCTCCTCATCATTGCCAGCAGCATTATCACCGAATTCAACGACATGTGGAGCAATTTCGTCCAGGGGACTGTCGACCAGGCTTTCCGTAAACTGAGGATCCTGCGTAAGCAGCAACTTCGGAACCTCCTTCTGCTGCGCGTTCTTGGGACGAGCCATCTGCGCGCCCTTGCCGTCTAGCAGGCCCGTTCTAGCAAAGTAGTATTGCAGATGGGCGATGCTGCCGAGACACATGACGCTTTCGCGGTTTTTGGCTGATTCGGCGAATTCGACCCCCTGCGGCCGGATGTAGCCCCGTCGTTTGGAGCCGGCGGACAGGACGGAGGACCTGTTGTCGCCGGAGGTGGCAGAGTTGGCGGAGAAGTTGGACACGGACGAAACGGTGGAGAAGCTGCGGTCTGGCGATGGGCAGGAGGAGATGGCTGGCGTGGGTGGAATGGATGGGGACGGCGACCCGGGCCGGAGGACGGGCGGTTCTTTATCCTCCATGTCGGGAATTGGCGGTATAAATATATAGAGATAGATATAAGTATTGATATGTATAAAAAAAAATCAGGTGCTGGTTCTGTAAAGCCGCGTGGCTACTCTTGTTCTTTCTCTTCACGCGGCTCGCACATGTGCATCCCTGCCGGGGAATCGGCGGAACAAACAAATAAGCCTATCGAGGTTTTCTATAGAGCCGATAGATCAAGGACGCAAAATATAGTATAGACAAGATTGAAGACAAAGTGCCCGTTATTGTAGCGTGGTAATGTTAATGGGAGCGCAGAGAGGGAGTCGCGGACTAACTCAAGTCACATTTCCGTTTGCTTCTCAAGGTTACTCCGTGGTAAGTTGAGTTAGTGAAATTAAATTACTAAGAACGCGTCTGTGGGGACCAGCAGCACGTATTATTTAAGGTATTTGCTATTATTTATTAAATACTAGCTAACTAATGATAGCTAACTTACTGCATGCAGTTGGCTGATAAAATGGCCACGAGTGATTCGTCATGTCGCACGCATGATATGAACTGCATACATACATACAAGGTACATTGGCGATGAGAAGATGCAGGTACCGTATACACCGTAGCCACTGGGACGATACGGTACGGTACGGTACGTACCCGGCCGTACCGTACAACGTTCTGTGGGTCGCGCCGAGCCAGACATTCAGTGCTCCACTAATTATCGTATTCAAATATCCAATTCTTTATACATTGTTCAAGAGAACCATTGTCTAATCACTCCGCTCCGTCCATAAGCTCAATGCATCCCAGAAATCTGTATGCACATTCGCATTTCCAGTCCTCTTCAATAATTCCCGATATACATCCTCACCGACACATTTAGAGAAAAGCAGAATCGCAGCCCACATAAAATCCGTGTAGCTACCCAGGAAGAACGGTCCCGAGGATGTCTCATTCAGCAGCACTGTCATCTCACGCGCAAATGGCTCGGCTCTCTCAAATGCCTTGGGACCGTGCTGTTCCTCCATAGTCGTCGAGAGGCATGCCCACATCTAATAAAGAAGTCGAGGCTGTCATCGATTGGCGGGAGCTGTCCCATCAGGCTGATAAGGATTTCCCTGAAGTTGAGTTGCACCGGTGTATTGAGATGGATGCTTGGCTCGGGATGGTTCTTCTCGATGATATCGGCGATTTTGTAGGAGTCCACTACATAACAGCCATCGAGCATTTGGATTGCAGGAAGAGTGAAGGAGGGCCCATGTTCGTTTGGAGAAACGCTGCTGTCATAATAAACATGATGTACGTGAGGTCTCCAATCCGGCACTTCAATACTCAGTGCTTACTGCGTATTCAGTCACTCGGATACTCAACCTGCCAGTTTAAGTTACAAAGCCTATTCTAGATGATCCCTGACTTACCCATTCGGTCTTGTAGTCCAGGACTTTATAATTCAAGAGTAATCTTGCTAGCTTGTTTGAGTATTTGTACGCATATATTTGACAAAAAGACTTACTCCTCCAGATAGCACACTTGTGGTGGCTTGGTGGGAATGTCGAATAGTATGTAAGTGCTAGATGACATCGGATGTCTTGCTTATCTGAACAGAAACAGATAGTTTCTGCGATAGCATACCTAGGTAGAAGTTGCCTCACAGTCAATAAAGGGACAACTCAGGTCTGGAATATGTTGATTACCTATGGAATCCGAAATTCCGAGGAATTACTACCGCTGAGACTACCTGCATCGTTGAGGTATTTTCACCCTCTTCAAACGGTAATTTAGTTAACGTGCTGTCATCTATGCTAACAGATCATGCCAGGTGCCCCTGGTATGGAGCGTATGGTACGGTACCGTTCTAACTTTGTGGTGTGGGCCCAGCCGATCCCGCCCGCGCCGAGCCAGACACTCAACGCTCCACTTCTTCACCTGCTACGAAATATAACTAATAATATGCATCTTTTCCCAGAGCGGAGATACTGCTAAGTCTATAATCTATAATATATATGTACAGATACAAAAAAATTAAATAATCTCTTCTCTCTCCCACCCCGTCGGCTTCATTAAATCCGCCCCCTTGCTAGGCCTCAACTTCGTCGAATCCCTGAATATAGCCGTGTACGGATTCGGGTCCTCCTTTTGATTCAGATTGCCCAGCGTATGGTTGACCTCGCGGTGCTTCGCTTCATCCGCGCGCACATACAGCATTAGGTCGAGCATGGAGCGATGACCCTCGGGCATTTTCCAGTATGTGACTGCGATCTCCGGCGCTTCCATTTGCGCCCAATTGGGTAGGTTGCCGGCTTCGATCTCGTTGATGATGCGTGTGTAAGTGAGAACGGCTTCTTCTTCGAGATAGCCCACGAATCGGTGGCAGGTGCGCGGTGAGATGAGGTAGGCTAGGAAGAGGCCGTTGAAGTAGACTCCCTGTGCGCCGAGGACCATGAGGCGCATGAACAGGCCGGGCTCGGCGATTTTCATAAAGGTGAGCAGGTGCATGCGCTCGTTGTGAGCCTCTTCGAGGAGCGTCTCAATCCTTATTTTTTTTCATATCTGTTAGTCATTGATTACGATTCATTCGAGGATGAACCTTACCATCCATTATCCCGCCTCATCGTCCTGAGACTCCGGAGGTGCCTGAGCATCCCAGCAACCATTCCAGGGACACCAGCAACGCTTTCCAAGAAGAGTATACGGTTCAGCCATTGCCTCTCTGACATTTTGAACTTTGCCGCTGCTTTATTATCGTTCTTTTTACTGTCGTGTCCCTTTGGCGGATGACGGTAGCCCGTGACAAAGTCCATCCCCCAGCGAAGACCCTGCACCATAGACAGGGCAAACCAGTCCGACCAGGTGCGAGCTTCGCGATGCTCGGTGTTTATGCTGCGCATTTGTTCTTCGGTGTATCTAGACAGGGGTTTGTTAGTTAATTGGGTCCGAAAACATCAAGTGAAGGGAACGAGGTCACTGGAAGCTTAAATCGACGAAAGAAACGTACACAGGATGCTGCCATGATGACTCTGATTGGATAATCTGCTTTGTTTCCACCTTGGGAAAGAATTCCTTGATCGCAGACTTGCGTGTTGTCGACGAGAGACCTCGTCGTGGCGATGGTATAGCGATAGGGCTGTGCCGGGTCCTGACCGATGACACGGCTGCGAATGCATAGAGACTGCCAGCACAGGCAGTCTTGGGCAGAGCCGTGGCTGTGAGCCGTATAGGCGTTGTGGTTGTGATTGAGTACATGATGTATCTATCTTTTCTCCAGATATGCTTGCTTATCCCAAATCCTGGACACCGGCCCAAGCTAGGGCTTTTATACCCAGCATTGTCCCTGGCAGCAGAATTTTCCCGTCACATGGCCACCGAGAACAATATGAAATCTCTTCACAAGCCCAGTCCATGGCATTTTCTTCCTCTTCTTCTCTCGCCGGACCGAACAGCCCCAAATCGGGATGCCCCAAATCATTAAAATATGCCAACCTGCCGGGACGCGTGTAGCCAATCAGCGGCCACTGAAATCTAATTACGCGAAACGGCGTATTCTACACTCGCGCTTATTGGCCATCTTGCCGTGCTTTGAGCTGGGTGAAAAGAATATCTTCGAATGTGTGTATATAGCTTTCGCGCTCTTGCAAGTATAAGCGGATAAAATGTGCTTCCCATTATCCTTTCGCATGCGTTGGGATTTTGTGTGTTTTGCGGATTCTGAATCTGGTATCGTTACGGTACGCGGTTGTGACGGTCGGGAGATCGCGGACGGGCCCTGTGACTCAGCCCGAGTAATTCTCGCTTTCTCTCAAACTCAGACGAATGATGTAATTTTAACATTTCAACATTAACACCCTTCGGTTGATATACATTACTCTCACCTATACTAACCAACCTTTTCACACCGAAGCTCCACACATGCCACCAGGACGCTCGTCTCTACGCAAAATGTCCGCTTAGCTGTGATCCTGACATTATCAGCCAGGTTCCCGCTGGAACGTATGAGATGAGCAGTGCGTCTAGGAGCTACTGCAATCGTGGATATGTAGTATTGTACTCCAGACGGAACTTCATGGTCATATAGTGACATTCTCAGAGGATATCCCTAGATTATAATAATCCATAAGCAACACAATGTCATAACTAATCCATCCAGCAGAGATCACTTTCGAACGGTAAAAGCACTTTCTCCTTCCGATGTGTCAATCTCGCTCTTCTCCAGCTTGACTACATGAGCATGGCGGGGCCCTTTATTTACGTCTTGCAGGAGTTTCTGCACGAGGGAATCTTCTCCTTGGATCTCGCCTTCGACCTATCGGACTGTTAGATGCGAAACCCGGTGACAAGAGAATATATATGATTCTCAAGAGTTGAATTTGGCGTACCCTGCCATCCGGACTGTTCTGCACCCAGCCCGTGACCCCATACTCCGTGGCCTTTTTCTGGGTGAACGCCCTGATCAAATAAGCACAGGATTCTGGCTAGTAAAGTAAAGGTGAACCTACCGAAAACTAACGCCTAGGACGGCGTCAACAATCAATCAACGTAGATGGGCTAGAATGTATGCGTCATGCTCACCTTGGACGGTGCCGTGGACTTTGAACTTGATCTAGTATGAAGATTAGAATTTAGTGGTAGTAAGTTGATAGACAATTACTACATACCCTTGTCAATGCCATTGCTGTCGATGTGTCTTGCAAGTTCTTGGTAGTTGTAGTAACTATATTTCCATCCATGCATGATATATGATGTCCCACGTAATCCCGCGCGAGATGTCGCGCTAACCCACTTAGTCCGTCAGGTGTGGGGTACGCTATACTTAGTGAAATCCTGCTCGGCATACATCGGCCAATCAGCGTGTTCTTTGCCACTTACCTGGGAACAGAAATGATGATGACTTCGATCAAGTACGCCCTTCTATCAAAAAGCTAAAAAGAAAAAAGAAAAAGAAGGCACCGGGTCTCCTTCTCTTGTTGGGAAAGAATGTCACGGGGGTATAAGCATACGATATGATGCTTTACATATCAAAAAGAAGTACTTAGGGCTTCTACAAGGATCCTAGTTCGAAGTCTCAATCAAAAGTATCGTCGAAAAAGCCGCCATTCTGGCCTATAGAGCAGACCAAGTCTCAGTAAGGGTTGGAGTCAAAGGTTCCAGAGTTGACGACCTCCCCACCGTGTCGTCTCCGTTGTGGGATTCTCTGGGGTCTTGCCGTATTGTTCCGTGAGATTCACTTTGACGGCCTCAACACCGTGCCGTCGTCGCGAGAGAGATTCCTTGAGATTCTGGAGTCTTGATGGCCAAGCTGCAACCGGCATCTCGCCGACGCCAACGACAGCGAGAGCAAGCACCCCCAGGCCAAGCCACTTGTTGGGAGCCCTTTTTAAAGTAGACCCAACACTCCTCATCGTTGGTCTGACAGGCAATGCGCCTATCTTCACCAAAAGGCTGTTCACCCAGCTCCGTTTCCATAATTCTACCGACATGGCCGAAATCTGCCACAGTTCTGAACATAAGCAACAGCAAAGATTACCTGCAATGTAGAAATATATCTACAGAGAGTCACTCCTTTGGCATACTTTCAACATGAATAGGACAGCCCTAGCTTAGATCAAGATCTGGGCAGTCCTCTGGATTAGAATAGAAGGTGCCACCTAGCTGCTTAATAGCATCACATCATTCATCCATATTAAAGGCATTGTGGATCTTGCCCACGCCAATTTCGAAAGATTTAGATTTAATTGTTTTCAGAACCTAGACTTCCCCGGTAGTAGGCCAACTTACAATCAGAACGGGCGCTTGTGGAGAAGAAGGAATGTCTAGTAAATGTTTATCGGTATAAAAGTCCTCTGGTTTTTCATACCAACTTGCGCCAAGCTTGCGCATCCGATTAGAATGAGCATCCTCCTCTGCAGGATTCTGAGACTGTGATGTATTATTGAAGCGATCCAATCGTAAAACTTCAAGTTCGACTCCGTCTCTGGCGCTAAAAGTGTACAGGCCACCTTTACTTGGCCATCCGTGCACAGAAGCACCAGGCACCGATCCAAAATAGGCTCGAAGATTATAATTTAAATCCTCCACTTCGCGGCCTTGAGATTCCTCAATGGCTTGCATCTCACGTGGTGTGAATTTTCCCGGGTGTGGTAAATAGACACCTGTCAGGAAGAGGCAGGTCACGAGAATCAACGCAATGGGAATAATGATGAGGAGGCAATTGATAATAGGATGGGCCGAGTAATCACAAATAGTAGGAAATCAAGGAAGCATTGTCCCTTGAGATCAGCTAATGGGCAGTTGACTGTATTTATCTCGGCAAAGCTCAGACTGCCGCGTTAAAAAGCCACTAGTGATAGTTTATCAAATCGCGGGGCTTACTAATCATACGCCTTTCCTGTTCTGATTAGGAGGGTTCCAAAAATAATATGGATCGATCGCTGTGGGGACCAATCAGAGACCACCAATAGCCAGCGTCAAACCCCCTGAAGGTCCCCACTTGGCGACAAAACATCAACTTCGACGGCGATCAGTCTGACTGTCATAAAACCATCTCGCAATGCGACAATGACAAGTCTTCTCAAGGGCCTGCAAAGGCTCTACTCCCTCGATACTCTCGACACACGCCTGACCGTGTCCTCCAGCACACCCATTAAAGCCTCGCAGCAACCGGCCACGCGCGATGCGCGAGCTCAACAGATCGCTGCCGGCGCCCAGCCGTCCAAATGGAATACCCCAGAATTCTACTTTTACTACTTTGTGTTTCTCACAGTGGTGCCCATGATGTTTAAGACTGTCATTGATGTGTCACAGGGTATGCCTTTTATTTGTGTGAGATTGAATGGAGGGCTGCTGATTGTGCTCGTTTAGTTGACCATCCAGCGTACTCTACTTACGCCGATGAACTATCTCCGGGATGGATTCCGGGACGCAAAGTGGTGTGTTGATGTCTTTTTGTCTCGTTGGTTTGTCTATTGACTGACATGTGTTCATCAGGACAACTCCGATGCCCAATATGCTAGCTTTCGCGATAATATACCCTACCTTATTCTACTCCTCATGATTCACCCCCTCCTCCGCCGAGTCTATAACTACTTCAATCCCATCACAACGGCTTCGGGAGAAGGACGCGCATCCGCCGCCGTAACTGCAGACGCCCGACTAAAACAGCGGACTGTCTATGACTTCAATTTCGCCATTTTATTCCTGATTGGACTGCATGGAATATCTGTCTTCAAAATATTACTCATTCTCTTTGTAAACTACAAAATTGCCAAGGGTCTTCCGCGATCATATATTCCAGCGGCAACGTGGGGGTTTAACTTGGTTGTTTTGTTTGCCAATGAGCTGTGCGACGGATATCCCTTGGCTAGCATGGCGAAATTCTTCGTCTCTGCAGAGGTTTTGTCCGGAGAAAGAACTCCTACTTTGATTTCGTGGGGGGAATTCCTGGATGGGTTTGGTGGTCTGATGGCGCGGTGGCAGATTCTATTTAAGTTTACCATTCTACGCCTGATCAGTTTCAATATGGACTACTACTGGAGTCTTGACTATCCATCCGAAAGTCCCATCGAGGTATGTCAAATATACTTTTTTTTACTGCAATCTAAACAATGCTGACACCCCTAAGAAGAAGCAAATCGACCCAGCATCGCTGTCAGAACGAGACCGCCTCCAGATCCCGGCAGACCCGTCCTCATACAACGGCTTGTATTACGCTGCATATGTGCTTTACTCCCCACTGTACTTGTCAGGACCAATTGTCACCTTCAACGACTACATATCGCAGCAGCGGTATCCATCAGCAGCGCTAACACCAGCGCGAAACTTCCTGTACTGCATCCGCTTCTGCCTCAATTTACTCTGCATGGAGCTTGTTCTGCACTTCATCTACGCAGTCGCCATCTCCAAATCGACCACGGATTGGTCAATCTACACCCCCGGCCAGCTCAGCATGCTAGGCTACTTCAATCTGCACATCATCTGGTTGAAACTCCTGATTCCGTGGCGCTTTTTCCGGCTCTGGGCGCTATTCGACGGCATCGACCCGCCTGAGAACATGGTACGTTGCATGTCGAATAACTATTCGGCGCTCGCTTTCTGGCGCGCGTGGCATCGGTCTTACAATCGCTGGGTTGTGCGATATCTCTACGTCCCACTAGGCGGTAGTCGAGCTCCTTCTTCTCCTTCTAGCGCTGAATCTGGTTCCAAATCATCACCAGCAGCAGCCAAGACGCAGTCCAAAAAACCATCAACCATCCTCACCCGCCTCCGTGGCATCATCAACCAACTCATCGTCTTCACCTTCGTAGCCGTCTGGCACGACATCAACCTCCGACTGCTCATGTGGGGATGGCTCATCACATTATTCGTCCTGCCCGAAGTCATCGGCACACTACTATTCCCAGCCTCGCGCTGGCAATCCTCGCACCCAGACGCATACCGCATACTCTGCGGTATTGGAGCCTTGGTCAACATCCTGCCCTTGATGGCAGCGAACTTGGTTGGTTTTGCTGTGGGACTGGATGGATTGAAAGGGTTGCTGGCGGGGATATTTAGTTCGTGGACCGGCGTGGTTTTCATGCTTGGTGCTTGTGGCGCGCTTTTTGTCGGTGTTCAGGTCATGTTTGAGATTAGGGAGAGCGAGAAGAGGAAGGGGATCAAGTTGAATTATTAAATATGCATCTGTTGGTCTTGCTGTTTTGTACAAAGCAGATGTCAAAAATCATAATAATGATAATACAATCTATATAATTTTAACACAGGGTATCTCGATTACAGTCAACGCCGTGTCTAACCAATGAAATAAATTAGAAAAATGCACCACACCTCGAATCCTCATGCACCTTATAACACTCCAACCCGCAAGTGCGCACGCCACAGTTCCTACACTTGATTTTTCCCCAGTACCCGCATATCGTACAGAAATAACGTGGTGGTTTCCTAGACGTCGATTGCGCTGCTCGCGCGGCGTGGTATCGGAGCGGCGGTTCCGCGAGCAGAGCGGCCATGAGTCGCTCCGATGGAGGCTTAGGGATGTATGATTTGAGGAGATGCGAGTTGTCGTGCGGTGTTTTGATGAGGCCTTTTATAAGGGGCTGTTCTTGATCGTCTTGAGAATCGATTTGCATGGCGTCGTCTTGTTCTGTTTTTTCCGGTGGTTCAACGTTTGTCCGCTGCACTGTTGACGTCGACGTTGCAGATGTAGACTTCCGTGCCAGAGCACGCTTTTGACGCTCACTCATCAACCCCTCCTGCTTTAGCACAGGCGTCACACTACGCCTACCAGCAATCCTAGCAACTTTCGACACTGCCGTTCCCCCGCCACCCCCAGCTCCTACACTAGCCCCCACCGCTCCTCCTCCTGCACCAGAAGCCAAAGACTGATGCGCCATCGCCGCCTCCTCATCATCCAAATAGTTCCTAAAGGTCTTCTGACTCTGCATAATCCGTCGCACATTACTAGTCGTCTTGGCCCTCGCCGTGCGCCCATTATCTCGCTGAATCGCGTCTTTGCGTACGGGAACCGGGACATGCACGTTATCGCGGTGGTTTTCGCGATCGAGTTCGGCCAAGTGTCGTAGTATGGCGTGGTTTTGTCGCGAGGTTAGATCGGTGCGGCCGCCCGGTTCGCGTATGCCGCGCTTTCGTCCGCTGCTACCGCTGGCGGGTTGGTTGGTGGCGCGGGTGTCGGCGATGTAGGCCCAGCCGGGCGTGGCGTGGGAGCGGGATGTGCCTAGGACTTCGACTAGGGGCATTTCCAATGCTTGCTTGATGTTGTGAGAAAGGTTGTTTGATAGGCAGGATAGATGATGGATGGATGGCCTTGATAACTTTGGGAAGGCGGTAAACTCGAGACTATCTCTAATTCGGCTAGATACCTTACAATTAGTGTGCTAAGGTAGGTTAGACCGGTAAAATATACGGCCCCCCACTGTGTGTACTTTTACCTCGTAATACACACTAGGATTAATTAGTTCTAGTCGCTGAAGCTTTCTGTGCAGTGCGGGGAGCCAATAAGAAAGAGCCTTGGAACTAACCGTTGATATTCGTCTGGCTGACAGACAATTAGTCGTGCTCACTCTACAAGTTGAAGGTATATATATGTAATTCAATCTGATATAATGACAGAAAGCAGAAAAAGATATAGCCTTCAGAGTTGCTGGCCCTGCGTGGACGCATAAATCGTGCTCCCTGCATCGCCTGCATCGTCCCCATCCGGGTAGGTTGTCGAGTTCCATGCCTGGACGGAGGGCCTGCTCTGGAGTAGTAACAGTAGGCAGCGTTTGCTACTGTCGGATGAATGGGATTGATGTTTTGCTCGAGGATTTAGGTGGAAGGATGAAAGATTTGTTGGACATTGGCATTCTGGGCTCAACAGAAAGGCACTGACAGAGATATATACAAAAATGCCTGGGCTCAACAGAAAGGCACTGACAGAGATATATACCTAGGTACCGGCTGAAGCTGCAATAAATGATGACTGTTTCTAGTCAGAAATTAAATCAGGATATGCAGCTTTTCATAAGCTTGTTTGTATTGCCATATCATACACGCGCCGTCGCACCAGGTAAAGATTGTTCTCGGGCCAGCGGACATCGCAAACTATAAACATTACCAGTAACTAGCTAACTTGCGGGAGACTTTTTGTGGTTGCGTGGTTTGGTCAAGACAAAAAATGAAGTTGAAAAAATTGGTATATTCGCCAACGCCGAGAAATGCAAAAGTTCACACAGAATGAAGAACAAAGGTAAAACGATTGGCCTAGGAATGACTAGGTAGCAGGTAGAAACAGCTCAGATCGAGTACTGACAGCCAGCACCATTGTTATTTTTTCTTTTTCTGCAGCTCATCCAGCTTGGTTTCCAGCTCGGTGATGTATTTGTTTAGCTTTTGTGACGCATTTTGGAGGGCCTACATCATATTCGATGAGTACAGAGGCCGTATGCAGATAGATAGGAAGAAGTTTCGAGAACGTACGAATATATCACCCGTCAACATCTCGTTTGATACTCTGTATTCCTTCAAGATGTAGAAGTAAACAGAAGCACCTGCAGCCACAGTGCCCAGCAGGAAGCCGAAAATTCTGCGAGCCAGTTAGTAGAAGACTACATAGATTCGAAGAAGCAGACTGACCCCCCGCGGAAAGCACCGACGGGCTTGCGTGTAGGCAATGCATTGTCGGCTCGAAGATGAGATGACGTCGAGAAAGTCCGCGTGGCGAGAACACGCCGGGCGCGCATGGGAGGTAGGGAGCGGCGCAACATGGCGGACTTGCACGGATTGATGATACCGTACAGGAGACTCGAGTTATCGGTTATATTGCAAACAAATGCTCAGTGAGCGGTGTGTTCCATGAGAAGAAGCTTGCGAATAGTTGGATCAATTCTTCGTCGTTCTTCGTCGTCTTCTCCGCACGCGCCAAGGTTGGCGCGCGCTAGTCCGGGACGGGCTTAGTGCGGACATGTGGATCCGTCAATTCTTCTCCATGAATTTCCTTTTTCATTTTCGTATCAACATCGAATGCATCATCAGTCATCAACAAAGACTTTCTTGGCCATTAGAGTGGAGGACCTGACGACTGCTCGTGTCTGGATCTGACAGACTGGCAGGCCATCATCGACACGACTCAACAGCTGAGGCATGAGTCACAGTTCTTCAGTCAACTGGCTCGGTAGACTTTCCGTTTCTGAGAATCAGGATTGGTCAGTCGACAGAAAGAAATGCATTAGTTAGTGACTTACTCGTAGTCTAGACCCCAGACTAGAATAGTATTGGCGGCCGAGACAGCGCCATCCACTGTCTGGCTGCGGGTAACAAAGCAGCAGTTAGGCAAGCGAATCTATATCAGATACACTATCTACTACAGCAAGAGGAAATTCTTTTGCAACATCTATTAGAAAGACCACCGTTACTATCGGAACTTCCTCGAGCTTCAACATAATCTTCTAAACTTGTCATACTGGCATTATGGCGAGAGCACTTCTCTCTCGCCGCCCTCCGCGGTATGTTCTTGCGAGCGTCTTGTGCTCGATTGGCGGGTTTCTGTTCGGGTAAGATTGGCAGCTCGAAGAGATAGAAAGAATCCTGGAAGCATAGTGACAAACTATCGTACAGAATGGACACGGGCATCATCGGCCCAGTTACTGTGATGAGCGACTATCTCTCAGAATTTGGCCCGATATCGTCGACTGTGCACGGCCTCATTGTCTCTTCCATCTTAATCCCAGCTGCCGTATCCTCGTTCTTTGCTGGCAAGGTCGCTGATCTCCTAGGTCGGCCCAAGGGAATAAGTTTGGGAGTATTCATATTTGCCGTGGGAGCTGCTCTCGAAGCCGGTGCCGTTGACTTGGCGATGTTTATTGTGGGAAGAGTCGTTGAAGGTCTGGGGGAGGGGCTTTATTTGGGGAACTTGGTCGTGTACGTCACTATCATCGTTTCATTAGTGTAAAGATTGCTCATTCAACTAACATTATCTAAACTTCCAGATATATTTGCGAAATCTCCCCTCCCAGCAAAAGAGGGCCGCTCACTTCCTGTCCCCAGCTATTCATTACGTTCGGTCTCCTTGTTGGATACTTCATTTGCTACGGGACTAGCAGCATGGGTTCATCCATGTCGTGGAGACTACCATTTATGATCCTGGCCTCGCTGGCATTCGCTTTCTCCGTAGCGGCCTTGCGGCTTACCCCCTCGCCACGCTGGCTTACTCTTCACGGCCGCACCGCCGAAGCAGCTGCAGCATGGGACATTCTCGGTGTCAGCCACGCTGAGCGCGAGAAGGTCGAGATCCAGGAACACATTCGCGAAATCACAGACTATCAGGCACTGAGTTCTGCCGAGATGACTACCCTGCCGAACGCAGATGGGAACGGCACGGCTGCTCGCCAGCGGAAGATGGCAAAGAGTACCTTTAAGGAGCTGTTCTCGCCGGAAGTGCGTGCGCGCACGTTCCTTGCTGCCTTTATGATGGCTATGCAGCAGCTGAGTGGGATTGACGGCGTTCTTTATGTAAGTGGTAGTGCAGCAGGGTTCATTCAAACTCCAAGGACTCTCCATAAAACTAACAACGTTCCCATGCGCAGTATGCTCCCCTCCTCTTCCAACAAGCCGGCCTTGCCTCCTCCGAGGCATCCTTCCTCGCCTCAGGAGTATCCGCCATTGTAATCTTCAGTGTCACCATACCCGCCTTGATCTGGGCTGATCGCTGGGGCCGGCGCCACAGCACCATATACGGTGGCATCGGCATTACCATCCTCATGTTCCTAATCGGCGGTCTATATGCCGGAGACGCAGTGCACAGCAACACCGGTGCCGGCCGCTGGATAGTCATCGTCTCCATCTATCTATTTGCCATGACATACTCTCTGTCCTGGGCCGTTGGCATCAAGGTCTATGCCGCTGAGATCCAGCCTCAGCGCACGCGCGCTGCAGCGACCAGTCTCGCGCATGGAAGTAATTGGAGTGCCAATTTTTTGGTCGGGCTGACGACTCCGATTCTGTTGGCCAAGACGAGCTTTGGCGCTTACTTCCTCTTTGGTGGATGTAGCCTGGTGACTGTCGCTGTTTGCGCGATGTCTATGCCAGAGACGAGAGGGAGGTCGCTCGAAGAGATCGAGGAGGCTTTCAAAAGAACTTCGGTCTCGAAGAGACTGGCCAGAGCTCTGAATAGGGCCGTTGGACGTAGAACTGTTGAAACCTAGATGTAACTGTTTACTCTAGGTGGCTGGTCAGTTCAGATGAACAATTTGACTTTCGAGTAGTTAGATGATAGCTACACTTGTATGGCCCAGACTCCTACTAAACTTGCTCCATAAACGTTTCAAAATACCTCAATACGGCTTTAGTTATCCCCCATCTATAACTTTGATGTTTCTGTAAACCGCGGCTTGTAATATATGAATTAATCATATGCACTGGTATGTAGTGCGACGGTGCGATACTAAAAGGTAAATATACTAAGAGATTCAGCTGAAGAAAAAGAAGAAAAAAAAGGAAAACCCTTTCCCTCCTACTTATGCTTCCTACCGCTCCTGATACCTGCAGGCCATCTCCTAGATACAGAGGTCCTCAGACGATCTGCGACGTGGATCAATATGCGGAGTAGGTCAAAAGCCTACGATATCGGGATCCCAGTCATGAGCTAGGCCACGCCCTTAGGACCCAGAACGTCCTCAAGACTGAAAGAATACATCGGCTTGTCTGATTTGCCCGTGTCATAGACAACGTCATCTTGAATTGGTTTTTTGTTTTTGCAGAACACTCTCAGCTCTTTGCATGCCACATCTCCATTCTTCTTCAAGTATTCTCGCATCACGTCGCCAGCGCTCATGACAATGCGACTCATTACCTCAGCTCCACCAGAGGCCAGTCCCATTGCACGTGCATTTCGGGCCGAGCCTTGCGCAACGTGATGGATAAGGATGACGATGTTAGATATGAAAGAATCATCAGGTATGTACGGCGACGGGAAATATTGAACGAATTTGTGGTGCTCTTTGTCTCGGATCAGTCTGAGTAGCTCGACAGAGCGTTTGTGCATGCCGAAGTAGTTGTACAAGATGATGGGCTCCTCTTCGAAAAGCTTGGTCTTCAGGAAGGCGAGAAGGTGCAGCGTGTCAATGTTGTGGGTGTTAGACCACTTTCGAGCAATGAAAAATTCCGGATTGGCTCTCCGAAGCTCATTACTGGATGATTCAAGCTTTGAATTCTGTGAAAGTTCGTCCAGGACTCTGTCAATGTGGCAAATCCCGCCATCTTTCTCAGAACCACCAACGTACTGGGTGAAGAACAAGTTCGCCACAGTAGTAGTGGGCTTGAGCACTCGGGGAGCCTTGCCATCAGGAGCATGAAATCTTTTGCTCCGGGAATCACGGGCAAAATTGGCAACGGATGAGATGCCTGTGGCCAACTCAAGCCTGTTCAGAGATTCCTTGGCGTTCTCTGGCCGAGACCCAATGAAAATATGAGATTCCCCGTGGATCTTGATGAAAGCATCCATATCATGCCATCTCAGGTCCTTATGCGTTGGAGAATTTATGACAAGGTTGTGCAAGAAGGCCAGTTGTTGGACATCGTACCATTGGGTGACGAGCTGCTGGCCAACAAACTGCATACGAGTATTGAGGTTGAACAGGAACAAGCCGCAGAGTATAGCGTGCTGTGAGAGGAGCGCATGCTTTTCGGGTGGGGAACCAACTTTGTCGATTCCAGACCGGACTCGAATATCAAGGAACAGATCTTGTATGATCCATGACTTCACGGTCATGCCTATATTTCGAATTTCCTCGTCACTCTCTTTTGGCCAAAATTTGGGCTGAGGGTGTGTTGTAGACAGTTGCAGGTAGTCATCAATAGTCTTCTGGATACGAAGTCCAGACACTCGGAGGTCTTCGAATGCACCCAACGTACTGTATCGCATGATATGATGGACGTCGAGGAAGATCTGGGAGAAGAAGCAAAGCCACATGGTAACCCGTTTGGTCTTGGCAAACTCAGTAAGACCTCGAGTGATGGTGTCCTCGGTAGGCATCTGGATTTGGAATGTATCAAGCATGCAAAACTCTGGCAAAATCGAAAGAAGAATGATTTTGTCTTCACTAAACTTCTGACCGACAGACATCCGCTCTCTATCCGCTTTCAGGTTATAGGTGCCGAAGTATTCTTTTTTAAAGACTGGCAGATGATTGTCCTGGAGAACACTTGCAAAGGACTCAAGAAGGACCTTAGTTGGAATATAGCACCAGTCGGCTATATCAGCCATGTTCCTGTTGTATGGCAGACCAATCTCAGTGGATGGAGCCGCAGACATTCCGCGAGTCAATACAGCATAATTGTAGACAAGAGTCTGAACATCGTCCTTTTCTCCCGTGAGCGAAGTGCGCCAGTCTTCCTCCACTTCCTTCACAAGATCTCGGGCAAGTTGTAAAGCACTGTCAGTCACGACAGCGGCGTTCATAAGGTCGATTTTCTTATCTCGATACTCTGACCAGGTGACGGAAATGAATTTTCGCATATTGTTTAGGTCTTGAAGTAAGCAGAGGGTCTTGAAGAACAACCGACTAAAATGCGAGTCTGCTGCCTCATTGTCGTCCTCTTCCTCTTCAACAACAGTCACCTTAACGACCTTCTTAGATTCTGCGGGCGTCGGTTGAGCTTGCGCAGTATCCTGGGGTTCCTCCACCGTGAGAACGGCAAATTTGTTTACAAACCGGTCAGCATCGGCGTCGTCACTGTGGGCCTCAGAAGTCGGTAATGACTGCTTAGCATCTGGCTTCGGGGGCGTGTTGATTTTCCATTCGAGCGCGTCACAAATCTGCTCCAGCACATCGATGAAATGAGCATGCCGCCTGTTGTTTGTGGAGTCGCCCTGGCCCAAGAACCAGGAAGTCACCGCTTTTCTCAGTTTGATGGCGCGCTTCGCGATGATGAGAACTGACTTGGGTACGGTGAGAGCAGAGTGGGCAATCACATCGGCGAGCTTTTGCAAATCTTTGGTAGTCGCTCTATAGTGAAGTGATGGATCTGCATCTGGATCATCGCTTTTGCCTTTGCGTTTACTCTTACCCTCTTTGGCAGTAGGGACGGGAGCAGAGAGCGTGGATGGTCGATAGCCACATCGGCTCGCCGTCTCCAGTAGCCATATTGCAAATGTATTGGTATCTGCTTTGTAGCGAGCGTAACTACTCTGCAAAAATTCGGGCAACATGGTGGCGATGAAAGGGAAAAGAACGTCGAGGAGCAGGAGCAAGGTTATATGCATTGCCAACAATCAAGTAAAGCTAGCCTGATTGCATTAGCGCGCTTGGCATCTTTGGCATTCATTTATCCTCACTACTTAGAGAAAGTATTCTGCTTAACCTCCTCTATAAAAACCTCTAGATCCCTCAACAAACTCTGAGCAACTTCCAAAGCAGCAAAATGCCCACCAGCATCATGCTCCCTCCAAAACGTCAAGCTCCCCGTCCTCTCAACCCACGCCCTTGGAACAGGCAGAATCTCATGCGGGAAATGCGAGAAACCGAACAGTTTCCCATCAGGAATTCGCCAACGCACCGAATCTCCATGAGCAGGCACATCCTCCCTTGGGGCGAAATCCGTACGATACGGATAGATGCTCCGAGGAAACGTGTCCGTAAGCCAGTAGAGGGTCACAAATGTGAGGATTGTGTTTGTGTCCGGTGTCGTATTCTTATCGGTCCATGTGCCGAACTTCTCTGCTATCCAGGCCAGGAGAGCCACGGGACTGCTGCTTAGGACTAAGCCAATGGTCGCTGCGCGTGTGGCGTGCATTTGCGCGTAGCCAGCTCCGGTGCTGATAAAGGTATCGAGCTTATCCAAGCGATGGATGTCATCGATACTCAGATTCTGTCGTGGGAAGGTATGCATGGGCAAGTCGAAACAGAAATTGAGATGGATGCCAACACAGGACTCATCGTCAACTGCAAGAGCGCGTGCAACTCGGCTTCCGATGTCCCCGCCAGATACTACGTAGCCTGTCGCATCAAAACCTAATTGAGCAAACATATTACGGAATATGCAGCTCACATCATAAGTCGAAAAATCTTGTTTGCTGATTGGGGGACCAGAGGAGAAAGTATACCCTGGTAGGGATGGCACGATAAAATGGTATGGTAAGCTCTCAGGTGTGTATTTTGACTGCAGCAGTTTTGCCATTGGCAGGTATTCCAGGAAGCATCCTGGCCAGCCATGGAGACATATCAAGGGTAATGCATCTGGCCGTTTTGAGAAGAGAGCCATGTAGTGAATACTGTATGAATGGTCATCGTGATCAACCTGAGCCGAGAAATTGGGGACGCTGTTGATGTTTTCTTGTATATTTTCCCTGGCAAGTAGAGACGTTATTAACATAGTCGGTCAAAATGAATAGAAACTGTTACCAATCGAAGACATCATCCGAACCCCACGCCTCAATCGCCTTGCTCAACCACGAACGTGTCATTCCGAATACGGTATTGATATCAGACCGAGAAGAATTCTCAAAGGTCACGGGACCTAGCCTGGCTTGCTGGACTAGAGTCCTGAGTTCAGTGATGTCTTGAGTCGTGATGTTGACTTTGCATGGCTCGTGTTTGTGCGATTCGCGCGCATTTGGAGGGGGGTGGCCGAACGGTCTTTGAGAGGATCCCGCTGGGCTTAGTGGATGTAGGAACCTGGATGTTGTCATTTTGTTCTTATCTTCTTCTTTGGTTGGATTTACTGTATAGTATCCGCTTGTAGAGAAGGACTAAACGTGAAACGTGAACTCCACCTTTATGCGTCCCGCATCGAACCCGCATTATGTGGGCCGGCGCGGGCCTTGGGAGTGAGTAACCTTATTCTGACATATGCATTGCATTTTGAGGTTTTAGACTCCGAAATCAAGTTAATTCATATAATTATCCTAAATCAAGCCACCCTCCTCTTACCACATGCGTATTTCCATTCAGAACAACAAAGATCGGTTTGAAGGGTATCACACCAAATGTAGACAGCTGCGAAATAAAATTATCTGCAAATAAGTCACTGAGATTGAGACCATCAACTTGCCATGGTGCTTTCATTGAAAAGATCCGCTAGCAGATCATCCACACATGCCTCGATATCAGGACTGCCCATACTGTAAGTGCTTTCAAAGGCCTGGATGCTGATCCGTTTAAAGAATGGCTTCAGAATCCGATCAACAACCTCGTCTTTCGGCGTTTCTCGGATGAAATCTGAACTCAAGGAGGGCTTATTAAGCCTTTCTTTGTCACTCAAATCTCCAGGTAGAGGTGAGACAGCGTCTCGGGAGCCTAGCGTTCGAGATATCTCGTCTGCAAGAGCGATGGGCTCCCATCGGCCTGGAGGGTAGATCGCGTCGATTGTGTCGGTCACGAAGAGCCATTCCTGTAACTGGAAGTCATCGGGAACCAGGAGAAGTAATGTGTCTAAAAGCTTGGACGCTTGAAGAAGTGCATAAGGCCCGTAAAGATCTGACTCTTGGTGTTGGGGTACTGCGGAGATGGCTTCCTGTAATTCTGTGTTGATGAGAGGCCAGAACGGGGCCATGTGAGTTGTCGAAGTCCGTAATGCGACGGCTCGGAGAACCATAAATAATTCTGCTCTTGTGACCGAGGATGGTGACGAGATATGTGTAGCCTGTAGAAGGTCTTCGAGCCTTTGCAACAGAGCCGGGTAGTCTAAAATGAACTGATCCTCACCATTTGACAGAATCAGGAGGGCGATTCGACGCAGGTTCAGCTGTGTTTTGCGATCAGCTTCCAGTCTGGCTGCAGAAGCCCCAACTCCAAACATGATCCCAGCCGTTGCAGGAGGCGTTACCCGTGACAATAGCTCAGGGAAACGTTCCTTATCTACAAGAACCCATTGCCGCAATAGGCTCATCCATCCGCTTTTCACCAAATCGACACGAGACCCAAAAAATCTGACATCATTGAAGGCATCACCGATATCCTTTTTCCACACCTTGGAGCTTGCAGATATTTTCGAGATCTGCTGAAGTAAATCAAGCACCGTTTGGTTCACATTGTTCGGAAAGAGTCGTGACCGCAGCGTTGGAGAGATTACATTCGTAGAGATGCTGGAAATTACATTGGTAATGCGATCTGTCTCACCTAGAGCAGTCAGGAACGCTGGTAATGACATAGTAAGAATACTCAGCATATTATCTGGACTGGCGTGCGGTGTCGATGAGCCCTCAGGGTCAGTTGATGGTCTTCCTGACATTCCTGAATCTTGGGACAATCCCATGGGTTTGCTGGTGAATATAGCCGCCAAGAGACGCAGCAGCAGGTCCTGTAATAAATCAGCAGCTAGATCCACAAATTAAGCGTATCGTCAGACATACCCCGAGGTCTTTCCTCATACGGCGGTCGTCGCCGAAGCTTGTGTTTTCCATCTTCGCGCCAAGAATGCCAGCGAATTCAACAAGACGAGACAGTATCTGCCGGTGAGGAAAAGGGTTGGTCAGAACATCACGCAAGAAGGTGGTGCAATCTCCCCAGATCTCGTCCAGGACATCATCGTCGAGTGACCTGGCATATGTGACTAGGAACGCTGCAATTTCAGACTCGGTAATGCTGGAGGCTAGAGTTGATTTGCGGCTTGGATCCAGAGCGGTAGGATTGGTCCGACTATATATGGAATTGAAAATGGCAGGAATTATAACTTTAGGCCGAGCCCTATCAAGTGTGTGTAAAAGGTTGAAAATGTGAGATGATTTGCTCGTTTCAGAGGGACCCAGGTTGCTCCATAGTTCCACCAGTGTTTCAAGAGACTCCAGTGCTTCCGCGGTGAACAAATGCTCCAACAAGCCTCGTGACCGGTTTCTCATTCGCAAGGAAGTATACTGGAATGAGGCTACTGATTCTGTATCGAGAGATACCTTGCCCTTGCTGTTCGCCCTCCACGACCAAATAGAGAAGCAAAGTCGAACAGCGTCTTGGAAGCACAGCAAAACCGTTAGTCTGTCGTTTGCAACGTTTCTCACTGGCGCGCCGTCAGAGACAAAAACATTAGACACCATGTTCCCAAAGAACGTCTGGTGACTATCAGGACTCCGAACGGTTGCTGTAGTTATTTCTTCGGCATGCAGACGCTCATGGGCGTTTGCTATACATGTTTCGAGTCCAGTTAGCAAGACTATCGTGGCGTGTTCCGATCGATCTTTCGCCCAGTCTTCCGTCTTTTCAAAGATCTCTTGAAGGTTTGAAAAGGAAGTTCTGATTTCTCGACAAAAGCACTCCACGAGCATCAGCAAGATTTGAAAGATGGATTCTCCATACAAAGGAAGACTTTCGCTCAACAGAAGGATCCATTTTTCAAGACAACCCCGTGAATTTGGAGAGCTAATACCCTTCAAAAGGCATGTCAGTAGCTGCTCGGGTGGTTGTGGTAGAGCGGGCGGCTGATGCAGCTTATCAACCCTGTCTGAACTCAGCGACAAAAGGGAAGCACTCCGCAAGGACCCTCTTGATCCTGCTCTTCTATGTTTGACGCTGGCGGGCGGCGGAGGTTGCAGGATATGAGCAAATTTGGCTTTGAGTGCTACGAGAAGCGTTTCGATGATAGTGCTCTGAAGGACATTGCTGTCTTGATCGAGCGCATTGGACAGCTTCTCAATGAGGATGATATGTATGTTGGTATCAATAATTTGTTCGGCCCCGAGACCTAACAACAATTGTCGAAGAACCAAGAGTGCTGTGCGTTGCAATATCTGCGCTTCTGCATTGAACTGGGTATTTGCTTGGGATTCAGGGCTAACTAGAGCGAGCGTAATTTCCGCAATCGTTACCTGAAAGCTTTTTTGCTCAGGCGTATCTATATACCTGTCAGCGCATAATCAAAGTTGGGGTTTGGTTGTTTTCAAAGCTTACTTTCTTTAGCCGGTGATTCGTGAGGATGGTCCACCGGCGTAGCGGAATGTGACACTAGGGTAATCCATCCATTCTGCGAAAGGCATGACAAAAGATTGGAAAGTGTCTGAAGTAGATACTGGCATTCACCTCGATCGTCAGGATTAACCAGGCCTTGTTTCTTGTCTCCATCGCTTTCCACATTTACAAGCTCTTCGAGTCTAGACACAAGGATATGCAAAACCCTGAGATTGTTTAGCTATGTTCAACCATAAAAAAGGGCAACATGACTAAGACTCACCGCTGAATAGATGGCATCTCCTGAACCCAGTCTCGAACAACTTGCGAGACTTCTTCGGACTTCTGAGACAACAAATCCAAAACTATGAATAAAGGGCGTTTCAGTAAGGAAATATGATACGCAGAACGATCGTTCGCCATAAGGACTCTTCCATTCACCGAATTGGCTTCAGAAGAACGAATTTGGGAGGAGTCCTGGCTCCATTGAAGGCTGTGAATCCATAGAACACAAAATTTCTCAACATGCTCAATGCTAGAAACTTGGGCACCAATGGATTCTTCTCCAACCATTAGAGAGGTAATGGAGGCTTCCACTGCGTGATCTTGCCACGTGATAGAATGTAATAAGCAGATGCAACGCACGGCCTCCACATGAAACTTGGGACTTTCTGGGGATAGAAAAGTCCAGAGGTGACCAACTAGGACGGGCAACAAATCCCATAGCTGTTCATACGTCACATAGAAGCCAGGACTGTGAGTACCATACAAAGTAGTGATAACTGAGGCGACTGAGGAAATAACGGAAAATCTCTGTGTCGTGAGTTGCGAGTTGTCAATCTCTAGGACTTTGTGGAAAGCTTTGATGAGATGGCCGTCGGCTAGTATTCGAGATTTTGGCGTCTTCTTCAAAAGATTGATTAGAAGATTCAAAGTCTCTTTGACTGATAGATGGTGATGGGGGTCTTCTAAAGCCGGCATCGACAACCGATAGGCTGCACGTAATATAAGGTCGGATAGGATTTGAGGCGGGAATGGGAGGAGCGGCAATTCAAGGCTCTCCTTGCTGCGATCGTAAAATTGTTGGACCTTTTTCAGAAGAGTTAAATTGTCGAAATCGTGGGGATCCGTTGATAAGTCTTCTGAAGCAGCCTTAACAAAGAATGCTCGCTCCGGTAGAAGGTTTAGTGTCAAATTGAGTAACTTGAAGAGATGTTGAATGCAAGTTTGGATCTGTCTTGGCCGCCACTTGGGCCGATTGAACAGAATGATCTCGTTGGACTCAACCAATATGGCCAGCGTTAACAGGGGAATGTGGATGAGTAGCATTTCTTCTTCTCGGACATTGAAGTTAGCGAGAATAAAATGAGCAAGCTTGAAGTTGTTGTCTCGCTTTTCGAAGTCCCCATGCTGTCCGTTCGCGTTCATACCAACAAGATATAACAGCTCCGAGAAAATCAGGCTACTTTCAACACCGTCGAAGAACGCACTCGAGCTCCGAAAGACTTCCTCAAAATGCGATTTGTCAGCTGTTCCTTCAAATGATTGCACACTGCGCATGATAGGAAGGAAAACAGCAGGAACAACGAAACCGCCCACTTCCCAGCGATCCATGAGGGATAATGCAATGCGCAGAGGTCTACTTCTTTCAGATGGTTGCGAGGTGTCTTGATTGATCATGTTCAAAAGACCACGGACCAAGGAATCCAGCCCATATTTACTAAAATATCGGGACTGCGATTGTTCCTGGCCATCCACTGAAGTTTCTTGACCCTTTTCTGCGTTAGGATTGGGCGACGCAGTCATGGGTCCTGGACCGAGAAACCAAGCCCAAAGCCGCCTATTCAGGCTCATGTCTCGCCGAAGCACAACGCCAGCCGCGGCAAGGATCAACTTTTCTAGGTCATCACGCCTAATTCTTGATTGGAGGACCGGCGAGTTCAGGGGCAGATGTGTAACTAACAAGTCGAGAAAATTGCGTTGCACGAGCAATTGGTCATCGGTAAGACCACTGGCGAAACACCTAATAAGTAATCCGGGTTCAGGAGAAATAACAGATTCCGCAATAGCCTCTGAGTCAGTTGAATTTAGGTTGCCGTCTTCTTTCTCTGAGCTAGCGGAGGTCTTAAGTCCTAGCTTGGGAAGATGACGTTGAAGGTAGGCTAGAACACCGAGCCGTCGACTAGGATTTGTTATCGAGGCTAGAAACATGCATTGCCAGAAATACTGGCCCTTAGAGTCCAAGCTCAAGCTAGATCTCCGTGTATCCATTTGACTTGCTAGACTGCGAATCTTGTTGAGAGTACGCAAAGTTGCTTCAAAATCATCGCTCGTTTCTTCCTCTAAACCTGGTAGCAAAGCTAGAATTATGGCCTTCAGGGCGGGGCGTATGGTCATCGGCTCTAGTTCTGGGAGGTAGGTTTCTAGGAGAGATATGAACAGCGGCCGTACTGAGAGGGAGGCAAAAGTTAGGGTTGGCGCAACGCCTGGGAAATATAGGGGTAGGTCTTGTGAGAGGCCTTGGGGCTGTGGGCATGTTGTTAGCAGCTATACCGTGTAGGAGAAGGTCAGATGAATACCTTGAGCAAGCCAAATATATACGTGTAAACCTCCAAAGCCTTCTGGTGTACACCGGAAGGCAGCGCTGGGTTCAAACATTGTGCCAATCGCTTCGCGACAGTGATCTTATGCGGCACGACGGGTATCTCTGGAGGATGGGATTGTAGCGCCTGTTTATGAGGCTGTTAGCAACTGTATACGGTTTTGATTGTGTATTTGCATGCGGACCTTGAGAAGGCGACTCAGGAACGAAATGTAATCGGCCCATTCCTGCAACGTAGTGTCGAACAGAGACAACGCCCGCTCGACAGTCGTTGCATACCGCCGGTAGTTTTTGTCTTTTCTCAAGTGTTCTTCTAAGTCCGTCAGCTGCCTGAATCCACTACCTGGCCATCCTAGCACGCACCATCATCATTTGCGCGAAGGCGAGAGCGGGCGAGGGAGCTATCGGAGCTTGCGGGGGTGTCGGTTCTAGGGAATCCGCCTGGATCGAGGCTCATGGTGCCAATGGCCGGGCTTGCGAAGGGTCTGAATCAGAGATCGGACAGCTCATAATTGGGGCATCGATAGCATGAAGTCGCAACTGGGGCGAGACGTGGAAGTGACAGAGCGCGCGAGAAATGGTTTTGTTCCATCAGAGGCCACGCATGCAGACTAAGGAAGGCACGTTCTCCGCAGTCGCGGCTGGCCCGCATTAATTATGCTCGCACCTTCAGGGACACAACTAGCAACTACGTCAGTCCTCCACCTACCTACAATACGTTGACAGGCAACATGGCCAGTTTATTATCTCGGCTAGAAATAAGGACCTACTGATTTGGTCGTCCGGGACGCCTTCCCATTGTCTCTAGCATCATGAGAGAAGATGGAAACTCCGAAGAACGAGCTCCCAATTACGCAGGAGGGACTACATGAAGACGACGCTCGAAGCAACGAAGCTCCGCACGACGAGAGCGGTCATACCACAGACTCAGAAGAAGCGCGGCCGCCGTTACCGCCGCGTCCTGAGAGGATTGATCTGCTGAATGAAGGCAACACTTTTCGAGCTTCCCCCTCACGACCCAATCTACAATCACAAGCGACAACGGCGCTGTCCCTGACAGACATTGCCGGTCAAACAAATGCAGATGCTAAGGATGGTTTTGTTGCAGGAATTGGACGAACCCTTCTAGGGCGAGGATTGAGAGCTAGGGCTAGTCTGAGTCAATTGAATAGTGCTCGTGCGAGCGAGGCTGGAGACACTGCGAGCGTGAGGAGCTTCATACCAAATTCAGAGGAGGGCCAAGAAGAGAACCTCTTTGGCGAGTTCGCAAACGAGAATGATGTGCAAGACCATTCAGAAAACATAGAGGTTCTCGGGCTTAATGAGTATCCCCAAGATGGAATTGACGACGAATTCGGAGAGGAATTTGAGCACATTGGTGATGTGGCCGAGGATGGCCATAATGAAGGCAAGCGATTATTGCTCAGGTTGTTGATTAGATGACCGCTAACTTGATGGGTTTAGAAATGCTCTTGCAGAAGTGGAAAGCAAAGCGGAAGCATTATCTCATCCTGTCGGCTGCTGGAAAGCCCATATATACTCGACATGGTGACAGTGGCTTAGTATCAAGCTTTATTGGTATAATCCAAACCATAATTTCATTTTACCAAGACGCAGATGATGTCTTGACAAGTTTTGTTGCTGGAGACACAAAAATCGTCGTTCTCTCGAAGACACCGCTCTATTTAGTTGCCATCAGTCAGCTGCTGGAGAGCGAGAGTCAGCTCAGACTTCAGCTCGATGCACTATATATGCAAATATTGTCAACCCTGACTCTCCCGGCTTTAAATAATTTGTTCTCAATAAAGCCATCGACCGATCTCAAGAGACCGCTACAGGGCACCGAAACACTGCTTTCAACACTGGCCGACTCTTTCACTAAAGGTTCCCCAACTACTCTACTATCTGCTTTAGAGTGCTTAAAGCTGCGCAAATCGCATCGCCAAGTCATTAACAATCTGCTGCTTAAAAACAGAGCGGAAAAACTACTATACGGTCTAGTGGCTGCTGGCGGCCGACTGGTCAGCGTTATCCGGCCCAAAAAGCATTCTCTTCACCCGGGGGATTTGCATTTACTTTTTAACATGATCTTCGAGGCTGGTGGTGTTAAGGCTGGCGGTGGCGAGAGTTGGATACCTGTTTGTCTTCCCGGGTTTAATAGCTCTGGATATCTTTACATGTATGTGAGTTTCTTGGACCTGAACGACGAGACGGGAGGACTGGTTACGGATGATGATACTCTGAAAGACGGATCTGCGGCTATCGTTCTTATAAGTGCCGATAAAGAGAGTTTCTTCCAACTTCAAGAGATGCGCAATAACCTAGTCTCGGTACTATACTCCCTTTTCTTCTTTTTTTCCACTCTTGGCTAACAATATTATAGCAAATGCAGAAAAGTGGAAGCATGAAGATAATGAAGGAAGCAATCAGAAAGGGAAGACCGTCCCCGACAGATATCGTTCCAGGTACTGTCCTGAGACATTTCATATACAAATCCAAGGCCCATGTCCAGTTTGCCATGTCTTCATACGAGCCAGACTTCACATCTCTTACTAGACACAGAAGGTGAAATTCCTACCGCGCTTTATCAATGAACAGTTAATTTGAACATGCTAACTGGCTTGCCTAGGTTAATATCAACGTACAACTCCCTTCATGAAAGCGTACATTCACGTAATACACAAGTCAAGATACACTATGGCACCAGTAAATCGGCAAGCGGATTTGCCTGGGTTACACCGGTCTTCGAATTTTATTGTGTGGCTGGACCAGACGCAAATCGCAATGCTCTTTCGCAGAGCGCGAACAAAATTCGTCAGTGGGTGCAACAAGAGGAAGAAAGACTCTTCATTATTGGCGGTGCAGTAAGTTTGCCTTCTCTCAGATTATATTTAGACTGTACTGACGAAGTGACTAGGTTTTTTGATTTCCATAGACAGATATCGTGTGTAGCACTTTCTGCAAATAGTTCAGTGGTAATTATATACCGTCTAATGGTTTCTATACTTTATTACTTCATCATCTTGGATAAATATATATCAGATCTATACTTCCCAAATCTATAAACAGATTATTGCATAAAGTCATATTGCAACCGACACTTCAGCCGCCTTTCTAATTCTATTCATAACCGCAGCAGCGAGATCACCCTCGTCGTCACGAATACCCTCGATATAAATCGCATCTACATTGAGTTCATCCAAACTCCGTAAAGCAGCAAATAACCCTCGCGCAATAGCCTCGGCTTCAGATCCTAAATCTATGTCATAAACCGTGGCACCAATGCCTTCTTCTAACAAAACAGATACTTCACGGATGCGAACAGCACTGACGCCATTGCTTTCGTCTTCTGCTAATACTTCTTGAGACTGGGATTCCGCGGACTGCGCAAGTTCAGCGTCCGGAGTCAACGCAATAGTAACTGGCCATTTCCTCGTCCTCACAATGCCGATTTTTCGTCTTGTCTCCGTCGAGAAGCCAGTGCCGAGCAAGTCTTGCTTCACCCGGCCGGTGATGGAAGGCAGATCCGAGCCGGCTTCAAACAGTATTACCCTCGCCTTGGGTGAGTAGTGCCTATACTTCATGCCCGGCGCGCGAGGGGCTTCTTTGCCGTGCTGAAGCGCACTATCGTGATATCCAACCTGCACGTTTTCCCAGCCGGGACAGGCTCTTATTTCCTCGATGCCAATCCCGCCGGGACGGAGGATTGCCGGTGGCGAGGAAAGGCCGTCAACGACTGTGCTTTCGACGCCTACGCCGCAGGCCCCCCCGTCTAATATCAGGTTAATGCGGCCCTTGAGATCGTGGTAGACGTGCTGCGCGGTGGTGGGCGAAGGTTTGGTGGATGCGTTGGCGGAGGGGGCGGCGAGTGGTCTGTCAGTGACGTGGATCAGAAGACGCGCGAATGCAGACGAGGGCATGCGCACGCCGAACGTGGGCAGGTTCGCGGTCACTTCTTTAGCCAGCAGAGAGCCCGGCGGGTTTGGAAGGAGGATTGTAAGCGGGCCGGGCCAGAATCGGGATATTAGAGGTTCGTATATGGCGGGTATCTTGGTACTAGGAGTGGTCGTGGTAGTAGTAGGATTTAGGAGTCTATTGATCATCTCAATCGAGTCGACGTGGATAATTAGCGGGTTATCTGACGGCCTCTTTTTGGCCTTGTATATTCCCTGCACCGCAGCAGATCGCGTCGCATCTGCGCCGAGTCCGTATACCGTCTCCGTGGGGAATCCCACGGGGATATCGCTTGATCGGAGAGCCTCTGAGGCTTCGATAACGGCAGATGCTTCGGCGGTGCCTTTGGAGTTTTCATCTGCCCACCATTCTGCGAGAGACTTGTTGGCGGGCACTTTGCTCAGGCGATGGACTGGCAATATTCGAGTCTGCTGGTCAGCCATGGCGTATAGATTGCGCCGGCTACGGCATACGGCGAGTCGGAAGGAGGACAACAGCGTTGCGTTGCTGGTGATATGATTTGGGCTTGAGACAGGAAGTTATGCGAAAAGCAGTTTTCGCTCAGTGCTGGCGCGCCCTAATTGGTTATGAGTGAGCCACCTTGGTTCAGAGACTGTAGAGCATGAGAGCCTCCAGCTGCGATCACAGAGGTTGTTTGGGAATATTTCAGTGGAAAAGGAGGGGTTGATAGAAAATAAGAACTACTTCTTTGTAACTTTTTTTGCGGGTCAAAATTGGCATTTTTAACGCTTTTCCTATCTTATCAGTTCTTGGCGATGACGTCTTCATGGGAGTAAATATGCAACATATTTACTCTCTAAAATGTATTTTCACTTTATATTTGCAAGTAACATTTTATATTCATAAATGATCTACTGCTGCCATCTACTTCTCGTTATCTGTGCGGTGGTAGACAGCCTAAGCATACTGCACATCCGTCTGAGGCTGTTTCACCTTGAAAGACGTGAAGCTGCAATGAAGATATAGCAGGTCCGGATCAGCATCGACTACACCCCATTGAACAGGCTTGAATGCGGCATCCAGATCATGTCGAGGCGGATGACAAGGTGCACTAATGGCAACGAATGCAACGGGCATGTAAGGTGCCTTGCTATTCCCTTACTCCAAGTAGAGAAATCACACAAAAGACAGCGATCGTGAGAAACAGACCAAGTTCTAGGGGAATTGTTGACACGGCACAAGTTTTCAGCTGCTTGGACGGAATAGGTTCACCTTGTATATTGTACGGTAGGATCTGGACATAGAATAGGCCTTCGGAAACAAACCAATGTGTGAGAGTGAATGTAGTAAGAGGAACGGCATATTGGTATGGAATGGTTAGGTACATGGTTGATTGTTGTTAGCCACGCAGAAAAGACGCTCGTAGGGGGCGCCGGTGAATTGCATAATTGTTATATTCTTCCGCAAACAGAGCTCTGGTTAGTATGTCATTGAAACACAAGTAAAGCAATGACACTCCTAGTTGCGATGTACTGGCGAGAAGCACCATGCCGATGAATAAATGAGCAAAATTCGAAGCAAAGCCGTTGACTGGACCACACCCCAGCCCTTGATCTCCCATGTTGCATTTAGTGACGTGCTTTGAAGATATTGGTGGGTTGTCATATTCTGCACCGCGTAGCCCGGAGGGATGAGGCTCGTGGCAATGTATAGGAGCAATACCAAGCAAGTCACGCCCCAGATCTTCCCGCTGCTGGCTTTGGTCCATATCTTGCTGGCCTTGGGAAGAAAGCCGGGGTGAGGCTCGTCTGACCAAGAGCCTTCCCCTTCAAGGCTCTGGTTTTTCGGATTCCACGGGCAAGATTCGTCGCGAGATATTACTTCGGGAGAAAGCATGCACCATTTCTTTCTGGCCGGGTCTGGCCGTTGAAGAAAGGAATGAGATTGCGTCGCCGAGGGTAAGAAACGAGTCACGACGATCACTACGTAGTACGAGCCAGATGCAAATCACTTTGATCAAGTTGAAAATAATGACAGCGAGTGCAGCGGGCAGGTGATAATATAGACGGCATTTTCAGGCAGTTTTTTCACTGAGACAGTAGTCAACGCTACCTAACAGCTGCAATTCGCGGCTCATTGACCCCTCAGAATACCAATCTAATTTCGTCTTCCGGTGCACAGGAGGCTGAAACATGCACACCAGACCCAGTGGACGCGATCCAAGAGGTGTGGTTTAAGTATGTCCACAGCTGCTCAGGTGGAGGATTAGCTTACATGTTAGACAAGAAATTCTCCACGTTAGCATGGTTACAAGTCATGTCGCTCTCAAGAAGCGAGTTCTCCAGCTTGGACTTGCCAGTATGCTGGATTGAATTACTGTCAATCCAGTCTGGCCCGGCCCCTCGCTCTTCAATTCAAACAGGCTTCATCTGGTGGGTTTTTTTTGACCCGCGAAACGCTCACGCAGCTCCTCCACCCTGGACTGCATCTGTGTCGATACGCTTGAAGTTGCTGAACAGGCTGATAAAGAAAGACAGCCCCACCGCAACGATAGCCACTGCAAAAGCGGCCAGGATGCCGGGCATCTGCTCAGGGCTAAAGACAGACCGTAGCTCAGTGGCTCCAGTGGCAATCACAAGGGCTGAATCGATGTCCGGCACGCTCGTATGGAGCGTATTGATGAGCTGATTGACGAAGGCAACTTGTCCGGCAGCCATGAAGATCGCTCCACCCATCAGTTGGTGGACTACGTTATGAGATTATATATATATATATCTTCATTTTTGACTCTGGGCGGTTGGAAACAACTTACACATAATGATAGCGGTCATGGTTGCGATGTTCGCTAGGAGCTGCGTGACCCTGTGCGGCCATGATGGGAACCTGGTAAGACAATCCCCATCCAAACCCACCAAGGATCTGGTACCCAATCCACTTGCCTGCGCTGGATCCGATATCAAGAGTATACTGTGAGCCAGCAGCGATGGTCGAGAGAGAGTCGCACCAATAACTATGTTTTCGTCTGTGACCATAAGTGAGAAGTAGTCCGGATGCACAAGCTTGTCACGACGTTCTACACGTGATCGGCCATCTTATGGTTCTCTCGGTAGATTGTTGGGATTACTATGGTCAGCCTGTATGGAAGAGAGGCGAATATCAAGGCGTGGAGCCAGGGCCACCGATACATGACCTGGTGGATTGTCCCGATGAATCCAGCTCGCCGGAAGACAGTGAGCAAGGGATTTCTTCGACCTGCCACTCCAATTAGATATCGAGACGACGCAGACAGGCTTGTGGGTGGATTCTACCTTCGCTGACTTTTAGAAATCCGCCATTGTAACATAGATCCCCCGCAAGATCACAGTTAAGCCAGTCGAACCACTGTCAAACAGAAAGTCAATCCGCTTGCGCCTACTATGGGCAGTTGACCAACACCAATTACCTCAGATACGTCCACCTCCCTTGGCGCTACCTTCGTCGAGTTTGTGGATGAATGCCTCGATATGAACATGTAGAATTGGTTCCTGTTCCTTCAGAGGATTGAACACCAGCGCAAGTATCTCTCGGACTGCCCGGTGTTCCTCGGGATCCGGATCAGCAGCAATGCCAGCATGCTCTCCTTTCCAACGTTGGATTTCAGTTTTGATGAACAGCGATCTTCCTTTGGTGCTGCCAGCCATAAGAATATCTGTGAATTTAATATTATGAATCAAAATCACTAACCCTGACTACACTGTTTATGTACCTGTTTTGCGCTTCCACTCTGAAGAAAGCAATCTCATTCAGGGTGATTCGTACAACATCTCCTGCAATAAATGTTTATTTTGAGTTTCTTCTTCTCAAAGCCACCTTGTATATGCTTATTATATTTTCTGAAAGCCACCTTAATGGCCCAAGGGTACCGGCCAGATAACCTTTAAAAACGTCAACAGTAAGATCTTTTCTTTTTTATGCAATCTTCATTTGACCAATTTATAGAGTTCAATAAGAGAACCAACCAGTGATAAGCGTATCACTTTGAGACAGCCGCAAGTCTGGGACCGAGGTACTTGGCATATGGATGAAGAATGGCACGAGGGAAGTATTGTCCAATCTTGTAGAAGAGGAACTGGCACTTATTACATACAGTATTAGAATGAATTGACGCAGAAATGATATGAGCTTTGTGCGGGAGCATTGTATGACCTACCGAATCATACTGAATCAAAGCCTTGCTAGAACATGCTTAGGCAGTAGGCGAAGGATCGAGAGCGCCATCATTTAAATAATTTACAGATTGACAATCGGAAGATATATTCATGAGGGTTCGGATGCCTAGGGTGATCCCTACCTGCCTCAAATTAGAATCATCCGATATTGAGATGACTCCAATAACATTGACACATGTCAGCTTCCGAGACGCCTTTCGCAGCTGCAACCTAAAGTAGCTAACCCCTATTGTATGCAAAGTTGGATACAGTAGCGCTTGACAATTGCAGCTAGCAATTCATCTACCAGCATCACACTCTCTGGAGATGACGATGCTATTGCAGAGCTGGAGGAAATCGTCCAAGATGAAGGGAAGTTGAACCGCCGTCTCAAAGTCGGCAATCGCATGTCCATTCACTACCTCTCCATCGCAGGAGTGGCCATGTTTGCTATTGGGGATACTTTTGACGAGGTCTCTGCCAGCTCGACGCCACCACCCACCGATGGCGGCGATGGATACTCGGCCTCGAAGTGGGCTAATGAGCGGTTCCCCGAGCGTGTAAATGCGGTGTTCGATCTGCCAGTATGGATCCATCGGCCGTCAGGGATCATACTGCTAGCGAGCGAAGAGCATAACCAGAACGAACTGCTCCTAAGCATATTCCTCTTCTCAAGGAAGATTAGAGCTGTGCCAGAGACTCACCTCATCCAGGGAACAATGGATCTTGTCTCTATTGAGAGTGAGCCGCAACATTGTCAGGGACGTATCCTTATCCTAACCGGTTCACAGCGTAGCACTCTTTCCTCGATATGCTGAGTCCATGGTAGATATGCATGCCATATTCCTATGAACCTGACGTAACAGCTATGATACTGTCGATTTGCCGTCGCTACTTGATGAAAGTCTCAACAAGAAAGCCCCCTTAGCGCAGTAGTAGCGCGTATCACTTGTATATCGTGATGATAATAAGGTCCTAGGTTCCCTTGAGGGGCATTTTTTGCCTCTTTTTCTATGACTCCCTATAATTGGGCGGTCATAAACTTCTCCCCAGGTATCAAATTTCACGTCGCTGTTTTTTTTCTTGTGAAGAAGGCCCGTACAGCTTCACTTCCTGCATGCGTCATGGACCCACACCCTGACGAAGAGAGATTGAGGTTTTCGACTCTCCGTCGTGGTCACGAATGGTCGCGAACCGTCCAACAAGCAGGCCCTCTTAGCGCAGTGGTAGCGCGTATCACTCGTAATTCTGGATATGATAAGGTCCCAGGTTCGATCCCTGGAGGGGGCAATGTAAGCCTTCTTTTTATAACCCCCTCGTTATAATGGGGCGATCATAACTTGTCAGGTTTACCAAATTTGACCATGTTGTTGTTTTTTTTTTTCCATTTCCTGCATCGGTCATGTCGGCCTCCCTGGCGAAGCAACTGGCCGAGGTTTTCAACTCTTTCAGTCGTATATCAGCGACTCAACAACGCCATAAAAAGATAAATAAGTAGTAGTAGTAGCCTGTCACGGCAAGCAGATACAGGTGTTAGTAAATTTGTCGCTAGATTGTGATTCTTTGATTCACCACACAACCGGTCATATGGGAACAGGCCTGCCTCTAACAAAAGCTAACTATTTGTGGTATCGGATGGTTATTAACATCTACTTCTAGTTTGATAGTTACCTAAGCATACAGTACCCGAGGCGGGGTGTATACGAAATATGTGTAAAGGTGATATTCTTCAACATTGTACATCATTAAATTATATTGAACATGTCTCTCAAATACGCAACTGTACCCGCTGCCGCTCGTGCTGCACCAAAGCCTTTCGCCATCTCTGTCCCAGACGAGCAACTCGAAGAGCTTCAAACGCTGCTGAAACTATCCAAACTCGCCCCGCCAACCTATGAAGGATCCCAGGATGATGGCAGACTTGGGGTGTCAACGAAGTGGCTGACAGCGGCTAGAGACGAGTGGAAGAAGCTCGACTGGTGAGTATGCTAGCTGTCGAGCATGTTTTTATAGACTGCTTTTATTGATTCCGGTCTGCTGGATCGATATCAGGAGAGCTACCGAGAGAGAAATCAATGAATTCCCTCAATTCACCTACGAAATCGAGGGCTTAACAATCCACTTCGTTGCCTTGTTCTCCGAGAAGCAAGATGCAAAGCCAATCGTCTTCCTTCACGGATGGCCCGGTGAGTCTTTGCTCTCCTCCCGGAAACGAAAGTACTGGCCTTCATACTGATAATCCGGACCGCAGGAAGCTTCCTGGAGTTCCTACCGATGCTGTCGCTATTTCGCGAAAAGTACAACCCCAGAAACTTGCCCTACCATCTGGTGGTACCCTCGCTACCGGGTTATACATTCTCCTCAGGACCACCGGTCGACCGAGACTTCTTCTCGACAGATGCCGCGCGAATCGTGAATCAATTAATGCTCAATCTCGGATTCGGAACTGGCTATGTCGTCCAAGGCGGCGATGTGGGATCCAAGATTGGCCGTGTGATTGGAGCAAAATATGAGTCTTGCAAAGGTGTGAGGAAGTCCATGACAAAGATCAAAGAAATGTAGCTAACCAATGCTCCTCCTCTATAAGCCGTTCACCGTAAGTACAAGCCATCGTGCATATTGAAACAGCTTCCTAGAAACAGCGATCGGCTGATTCAGCCTCGCAGTGAATTTCTTGGGCCGCGTGAACCCACCGCAAGGGGATGTGAAGTACTCCGCGGTAGAACAGGAGGGCCTAAAACGGGCTGAGTGGTTTTTTACCTACGGCACTGCCTATTATCTCAGTCATGCCACTCACCCAAGCACAGTTAGTCATATATTGTCTACAAGTCCGGTGGCCCTTCTTGCATGGTGAGTCTACATCTGAGATCCTGGGCCAGGCACTCACTAACTAATGCAGGATTGGCGAGAAATTCCTTGATTGGCCGGACAAAAGACATCCAATCCCCCTTCAAACGATTTTGAAGGAGGTTACGCTTTACTGGTTGACGGAGACTTTCCCAAGGTCTATCTATACCTACCGAGAGGTACCATCTTATGCCGTGGACAATAAATCAGCCCTGTACTTACAAAATACTAACGATCAATAGAGCTACCCAACACCTCCTGTGCCTTACGTACAGAGCCCTGAACTACACATCCATAAACCACTCGGTTTCTCCTATTATCCGCAGGAGATCATGCCCGCCCCGAAGTCGTGGGTCGAATCTACCGGTAACTTGGTTTTTTGGAAAGAGCATACAAAGGTAAGACAATACGCTACTACTGTTGTTAGGGACGTTGTTGTCCTTGGTACTAAAGTGTTGGGTTTGTAGGGAGGCCATTTTGCAGCACTTGAATGTCCGGAAACCATGGCAGAAGATATTGTGGAATTTGTAGAGCAAGTTTGGCCGTAGGGAACAACACCCCCTTGTCAACGATCTCATTGGTACCTAAGTATATGGATGATGTGTTCACCAGCATGTGTTACAAAGTAGATGAAGCTTGATATTTGTGCTAAGATGTCATTTGAAACTCGTCAGCTGGATTGCTATCATAGATATTAGATTCTATTATTCCTGATATGGGTATAATACATAGCACTGATGCTTTGCAGACGGATACACAGATAGTTTACTATACACACAGTTAATCAAACTCAATGCTTCACTCCTGATAAGCCCGGACATGGTCATCAATTAAATTCAAGAGCTCCGATTTTCGCTCCTGCTCAACCCAACTGCCATTAATACTATTCTCTGCAATCGTCCTCCACTCGGCGATACTCAAGTCAAACGCCTCTTGAACACTGCAATAATTATGCAGAATAAAGCCTCCGAAATACGCCGGATCATCACTATTGATGGAGAATCTGACACCGGCATCCAAAAACGTCCGGATGGGCACTTTACTTATATGGTCGAAACAGCGCAGCTTGACGTTCGACACCGGGCAGACGGTAAGCAGGATCTCGTCCTTGGCCACCTGCTGCAATAAACTGGGGCTGTCAATTAGCCTGATTCCGTGGTCGATGCGCTGGGACTTGTAGGCCTCCAAGGCAGCTCTGATGTAGGAAGGATCTCCTTCTTCGCCCGCATGGGCCGTCCTCCTGATCCCCTTGGAGTATGCAGTGGCGTAGATCTCCTTGAACATGTCCTTGGGAGGACCAACTTCAGAGGACGAGGCTCCAATACCGTGCAGTGCACCGGACTCAAAATGGCCCGCTTCAACAGCCAAATCGAATACTTTCTGTGCGTCGCTGGCAGGCAAGTGCTTCACAAAGCACATAATGAGCTTCGTGGTCATTCCATACTCCTGTTCCGCGCGTCGACAGCCTGCAACGAATCCGGATACGACCGTGTCAAAGGCTACACCCCGATTCAAATGCTCTTGGGGGTCAAAGAAGACCTCAGCGTGGTGGACGCCGTCGGCATGGGCCTTTTGGAAGTATTCCCATGCCAGGGCCTCAAAGTCACCCTGCTGCTGGAGCACAGACATGCCGATAAAGTAGTAGCTGAGAAAATCGTCTAGAGAGGTGAAATGCTCATATCTTTCGTAAAGAGTCGCCGGCGAGCTGAATTCCGGCCGTTTCTCTGTGTCTGGCAAACTCACCCCGTTGCGCGCGGCCAGAGTGAACATCAGCTCAGGGGTGAGACACCCTTCGAGGTGGACGTGATGTTCGCATTTGGGCAGATCCTGAAGGAACTGATGGATTTTGGTTTTGCACATTTTGTTTTTTTAGTGTTTCTTTTCGGCGCAATCTTCTTCTCTATATCAAGTCCGGTGATAGTTGAATAGGCAGCGGGAGTATGAAGTTAACGACGCAGCGCCCACCGAGCGCAGGGGATCTTCGAGTTATATAGTGACCCTTCTGATCGTCAACGCCATCGAGCAGAATTTTTTATTTCATTTTTTATTTCGTTTTCCCCCCATCAACCTTGAAGCAATCCACTTGTGGGGCCGGTTGTCTTTGCAGAAAGTCGGCTGTCGGCCACCTCCGATTTGGTATCTTCCGTCGAGCCATTCCATGGAATCAGGATGCCAGTTTTCGGTTGATAAGTAACGGTGCGTCTTGTTTCGGCCAATCAAAGCCATTAAGTGAAAAGATCGGATAGCTTAGTAAATATCCCCTATCTAGTTAGTTAGTTAACTAGTTAGTTATAAAGTATTTTAGCCGGTACCTAGGTATACAAAACCCGTTCCTGCTTATCTTTCAGTATGTATCATGTCTTGGGTATAAAAACGACAGAACAAGAGTACAGAACTCATGATCAGTCTTTTGCCTGGTAACTATCGCATCAGGTTGTCACTAAGGCTTTATGTATACTCCTATACCTTACCGCAAGCATTATGTCTGAGGAGGAGAGTTGCTCGTAATAATCATCACTGCCTTCTGGTGGTGCCGGATATTAGTCAGCAGTTGACATGGTCGACGTTCATCCTCGCAACAAACGAAACAATCTCGTTATGAATTGACAAAGTGCAGGAGTTACTGAATATCTTCGTTGCAAATAAAAACTACTGATGTTTAGCGCGCACACGCGCGTACCGTTGAATTTATCCCGTCGCTGCTTTCGATCGCACGCATATTGGCCCGCTGGCCTCAGCGCAACAATGTCCACAGCTGTCGTGACGGACCGCTTCAAGCTGATATTCTTCGTGCCTCACCCGCAACTCGAAACGTGCAAAGAAGCCGTCTTCGCCACCGGTGCAGGGACGTTTCCTGGTGGGAAATACTCGAAGACTTGCTTTCAGACACCTGGAACAGGACAGTTCTTGCCGGGAGACGGCGCGAATCCCAACATTGGCGCCGTGGGGGCACTGGAGTTCGTGGACGAGATGAAGGTTGAGATTCTGTGCGTGGGAAGACAGACCATGCTTGACGCGGTCAAGGCTCTTGTCAAGGCTCATCCTTATGAAGAGCCAGCGTATGAGGTTTATAAGTTGGAAGATGTGTGACGGACTCTTCGTATTAAGATTCAGATCCAATCTAATTTTTTTTATATCATATAAAAAGAACAGCAGAACAAGCAATGAGCCTCACACTATGGTAATACACAATCCTCGCATTGTTGTGAGCATATAAAAAATGTTTCTATGCTGGCCTGGCATAACCAATCGCTGCCGGTGATTGGCTGCTGACATATTGAGGGCTGTGATTGGTTCGGCCAGCTTCCCTTCCATCGACGTTCTTGTCTGATTCCGCCCGGAGGAACTTCATCGACCTCTCTCGACAACCTCGCGATCCCCATCCAGACAACATTGACGCCAGCAATGGCTTCTAAACTGTTTCCCGCCCTCGTGCGTTCCTCCCGACAAGCCGTTCGACAGATTTCCCGCCCTCAATGGCGGTCATTCTCTGTGGGCGCGCCAGTGCTTAGCGATGCGCTCGCTGTGGTAAGAAATGGCCCTCCGTCACGACCACCGTCCTTTTTCCGGCACCACCTTGTTCCTCTGTTTCAATAAATGTCATTGATTTATATGCTGACTACATATTTGTACGGCCGTTAGCACCGCAACAAACCTGACAATAACCCGTCTATCCCTTTCAAGTTCAGCACGGAGAACCTGAAAATCATCGATGAAATCCTCAAACGCTACCCCCCACAGTACAAGAAGGCCGCAGTCATGCCAATTCTGGATCTCGGCCAGCGCCAGCATGGCTTTACCAGCATCAGCGTCATGAATGAGGTTGCTCGTCTACTAGAAATGCCCCCCATGCGAGTATACGAAGTCGCGACCTTTTACACCATGTACAACAGAGAGCCTGTGGGCAAGTACTTTGTGCAAGTCTGCACAACGGTGAGTCTACATTAACACTTAAACTTTGCATGTAAAATCCGGGCTCACTGGTTTCGCTTTTTCCGTGCATCAGACACCTTGCCAACTCGGCGGATGCGGAAGCGACAAGATTGTCGAGGCGATTAACAAGCACCTCGGCATTACTCCCGGACATACAACAGAGGACGGCCTCTTCACTTACATCGAGGTCGAATGCCTCGGTGCTTGTGTCAACGCTCCAATGGTCCAGATTAACGACGATTATTACGAGGACTTGACTCCCGAGTCTGTGGTCCAACTCCTGACTGCCTTGAAGGAATCTGCTGGCAGTGCCACAGCCAAGGTCCCTGCCCCCGGCCCTCTCAGTGGAAGAGACACATGCGAAAACAGTGCTGGCTTGACAAATCTGAAGGAGGTTACATGGGATCCTGAGCAGTTCATGAGGAAAGATGGAGAGTTGTAAGCGGGAAAGACGTTCTTTTCCGTCTTCCTTTGTCGTTTATTTTGGAAGTTACTGGATTCTCTTCTATTAGAGCTGGGATTGCGATTTCTTTGCCGGTGAAAAGCTCATGAGACGGTAATTGAGATTATCCATTTCAAACTGTACAGTACACTGTCTTCATGTTTTGTGGCCTTATTTCACAGGAGAATTTGAGCCATGCATATCACACACACACATATTCCTTTGATTTCACGAATCTAAAATTCCAATAATTTTTTACATTCTTAGAGCTTGCTTACTAAACACAAATCGAACAGTCGCGCTTTCCGTAGGGAGTGGAAGACCGAATTGGGAAAGAGCGCAACTCTCCTTCTACTTCCAATCGAAAGCCGGAAACTCAAACCCTTTGGCATCATCCGCTCTGATTTCATCGTCGAGGACCAGCTCGAACTCTCCGTCTACGTGTCTGACCAGAGTACGCCCATCTTGCCCCTGCAGTATGCCAACTTCCAGCGTGTTCAGCGCCACAAGATGCCAAATATGAACCTCTTTCTTCTGCCCAAACCGAATGACACGGCCGCTGGATTGTGTGATGGCGCTCTGGTACTCATAATGGTTCTTGGCTGCGAAAGGCCCAAAAAAGATGACATGGTTGGCATTCTGGAGGTTTCTAGTCGCATAGAGATGTCAGCGAGAAGTATGAGTATGAAAGAGTGGGTGGTGCTTACAGTCCTGCAGCGTTTTCGGTCCCCAGTTGAAGAATGGCAACCTGCTTGTCGTGCCCGGCAAATGCTTTCATCTTGCTCCTGCCGCGTCCACCACTCATCCCTACCGAAGCATAGGAAATGTTGTGTCTCTCAAAGGCTGCCGTGACTGGTCCCTCGAGATCCGCAAACTGCAAGAAGAGAATGACCTGGTCTTCGCTGGGGATTGCTTTTTTGTCTTTTAAGAGCCTAATTAATGCTTCGATCTTTGACCCACCCAGCGGAGTTGGCCTGTCGATGGGCTGGCACATGGAGAAATAACGACCAGGAATGACATATTGTTCGTCTACAGCTGCTCGACAATCATGAGCAGTGCATTTATTGTCGCTGAGTACGTCTTCGAGGCATGATGCACAGACGATATGGCCGCACTTGCCCAGGACACTAAGATTCTTTGAGGATCGTTGTTGGCCTTTCTGACCGCAGCTCTGGCAATGAGGTACAGTTCTGGGGTTTTCGAAAAAGTGGCCTGACTCTACGAACCTGAGCGCCCGCGTTCGTTCCACCACGGCAAGGATGTTCACTCGGACCTTGTTTGTCCATTCTCGAAGTTCTTTTTCTTTTTCGGATTTGCTGTTTGGCAGAGGCTTCAACCCGTCTTTCTTTTTCTGAGGTGTAGCTTTCTCTTGTCTTGATTGTGGGACATATTCGCCATTTGCATCTTCTTGCTGCTCTTCCTCCTCGTCACTTCTGTCTTCATTTTGGTCCATCTGATGCCCATCGAACCTGGTAATAGACATGGAGTTATCGGCAGAGCGGCCGTTTTGCCAAAATTCTTTCCAGTGGTCTTTGTCATATGACTCAATGGCCTCGCTGAGTAGTTTCTGAACCATATCAGAGACGTTGCTGTCGCCGTAGTCGTTTGACTTAAGACTGGCTTTGAGAGCGTCGAAACGAGGATCATTCTGTTCAAGCTGATGAAACAACCAGGATACAGCTTTTAACTGTATCCTTATTTCTCCAATGACCCTGTTCATCTCTTCGCGTCTGTGCCTAATAAGTTTCAGCACTGTGTCAATACTCTCAGTCGCCGAACTCCATCGAGGCAACATATCATAGTATGAGGAACGCTTGACCAGACTTTGCTCTGGAGTGTTACATGTATCGACAATCTCACTGACTCTGCCACGCTGATCATACAAATACTTTTCCTTCTTTTCGCCTTTTGTTTGCGGATTGTATGATTCGAAAAACAGTTTCAGTTCGAGATAGAGAATCCTTTCCACGGCAGACAAAATGACAGGATTATAATGAACCTTCCATTGTATCGGCGGAATTTCGGGGGTATTCTGCTCCTCCCGTTAGATGATGGCCTGGGCTGGAACTAGTCTCACTTACCTGACGCATAAACACATCAATGAAGTGCTGTGCAAGCCCATTACGGCGGAAATGCCAACCTCTGCTTGCAACGTCTCCGAAGAAGTGAAAATTCTCGGATTCTATATCCGTGAGAAACGAAACAAACACGGATTTCTCTGGTGATAGCTTACCTGACCGTTTGTATTTGCTTTTCTCGTAATCATCATCACTGGCCTTTCCGAGATATACATTTAAAAGCCGCGCCATCTTCTCTGCAGCCGCAAAGCCTTTGATGGGAGGCGTTCCAGACATTATCCACCGTGAACGTGCTTTGAGGGATGCCAATAGCGCATGACGGTCCTGATTCAAGTACGTGAATTCATCAATGACGAGCCTCTGGAAACGATACATATGTAGAACAGTTCCCTTAACATCTCCTATTGACGTCTTTTTGTTTGAGGGAACGTCAGAACTTGACCTGTCGAGGGACGTTTCTTGGTTCGATATGTTGCTCGTTTTGTTGATTTTGGGCGTAGTACCTTTGGTGTCATTCTTTGCCCCTGGCAACGATTGACGAGAAGAACCAACTACAGAGTCGGCTGCTTGATTCAATGAAGAAATGTTTTCAGAGTCTCCAGCCATTACTGCATTCTTCTTCCCTCTGAGCCTCCTTGACGGTAAGTAGCGGTTGTAGGCATCAGTACCCCAGACGGACTTTCGCTTACGTTGAATAGCTTCTAGGAATGCTTCCGGGCCGCCTTGCTGTAATGAATCAACTTGGTTTTCGATCGATCCGATTACATCGTCAAACCAGGCTTCAAACATGCGTACGTTACTGTTCGCTTTCGGAGGGGATGGTCCTCCCGCTGTTTCTTCCAGCTTGTTGAAATATAATGCACCTGTGAAAACTGCCCATGAAACAAGAACAATGTCTGCTGATTGAAATGTCTCAATTGAGGTTGCTGCCAACTTGACAATATTCGCAATATCAAGGACAGTGTACGTCTCCCCCAGGAACCGTGAGATCTCGCCTTGCCACTGATCAAACAAGATGTCAGGAACGACAATGCACGTTGCCTTCAGTGCTATTGCATTTCCACATGGCTCCCCTGCTTCCAGAATATCCTTTTCGTGCTGACAGTCTATGAGCCCTAGAACCACAGCTGTTTTGCCGAAGCCGACATGGTCCGCTAGTATTCCACCCCTAATCTTACGATGCAAAACGACTTTTGCTTCTGCTCGCCAATTAAGGGGTCCTAAGACGGCCTCTTCGACTTCTTCCTCTGGAAAAGTTTTCATGTCATCCGATTCACGTGTCAACGCCCACTGAAGGGACCGTCGCTGATCTGATCTTAATGGGATTTTGAAACGGGGAGGTCTCTCTGCCTTGGGCTCACCATTGTTGTTCAATATGCGGTAGCTTGCCGGGCGAGGGATATCTGTGTCGTCGTTACTAGAGACTCGCCAGTAAAAGTCAACCGAGGCACTAGCATCGCAACGGTGTGCTATTGTCCCACAGGCTCGATGGAACATCGTCTTGAAGTTCACGGCAAGACATACATGACCAGTTTCTGTATATTCTTCATTTACCGCGTTTTCTATCTTCGTGAAAATGCGGAACGGTGGCGGCCTCAATTTGTAGTCACGCTCATATCTCGCTGCATCCACTGGATCTTCAATGGGACGCTCTCTTCCTTTGATAACTGTCCATGCCATCCTAGGCATTTTGGGGGAGCAACGTTCGCAGATCTCGAATTCAGCTTTGGCAGTTCTCCAACTCGTGCATGGAGACCAGGTCATAAACTTGGCCCATATCCAAGCGAACTTGTTCATCTCTTCGAAATTGCCGATTTCTACAGCTCGCCATGGGCCCTGCTCCCACGGTACGCTCATGTTTGGGATAATGTTAGTTGTTACTGACAAAAGGGGGAGGTAGCAGCCATAACAACCATGGCCGTTGATCTGAAGCGTAATGTGCGAGGTGGGTATGCGACTAACAATTCCCATCTGCGAGTCATAGTTGATCAACGACATGGTCCCAATGTCGATCCATTGTCGATGAGAAGCGAGTACAGAAGAAGCCTCTGATGATCGCAGCTTCTGGTAGTCCCATTTACTATCTAATTGCAGAATTATATCTCTCGGGGTGTCATCAGTTTTGCGCCGCGGATCCGTGGAGAATACCCATGAATCGAGCTGGGAGGGACCTAGTCTCCTTGGATCTAAGAAAAAGAATAAAGCTGGCTCATCTGCTTTGGGAACACGGCGATGCAGTGACTGCAATGCCCCTCCGCAGTTATGGATCCGCTCATACTTGCCACGAATGTCCAAAGAGAGGCCTTCAATAGCTCTATCATCACCTGTGACGATAATACTGCCCCAAACCCACTGCTCTCGATATGCACCTGGAAGGCCACAAATATTTTCATAGGATGCTAGCAAGTCTCCAGTACCTTTGAGACTGATTGTTTTCTCTTTTTTTGATAAGAGCTTACAAATTTGCCATTCTCCCTCTAGAATTGACGGCCCATTTTCATTAACTTTCATTCTCGCAATCGGGTGACGAAGAATCTCTCTGAAATGGCTTCTGGCTGGCTCATTGAATGGTGCTTTTGCAAACAAATCCCAGTGCATCCCTCGAGGACCGATCGTTAGGTGAAGGATAGAATTGGAACCCTCGTACACGACTTTCCATCTCTGAGTTCTCTTGATAGACTTGTACATGAGTATATCCAGACGCACTACATCAACGGTTTTGAGGAACAGTTCCCATATCTCCTTCGTCTCCTCCGATGACGAGTACTGACCAGACATTGCTCCGTAAATGTGTAATGGGAGCTCTGGGGGCTGTATTGTTGATGGAAGGCTCCATAGAAGCAATTCTCGAAACCTCTTTGGATCCTGACGAATTCTGAGCTGTGATACAGGGATGGGCTTGTAGGTGTGGACGGGATTGACTTTGCAGGCAGCACAAGCCGTGAAATTGCAATCCATACATCGATAAAGGCCATACCGTCCTATACCATAGGGGCCCTCACAACTGCACAGACTCACTGTCAACCCAGCAAGTATCTTGAGCTTAACTAGCCAATCGACAGTAGGCTTAATAAGCGGCATCATGCTTCTCGAACTTAATAGATAAGAGTCCATCAAAGATGGGGCAGGCATACGTTCTTCCGTCAGTTCTTCGTTCTCGAGGGCACCTGTTTCTTCGGGCTCTGCTTCCAACAAGGAATATGAAGTCATAAGGGCTGCTAGTATTGCTGGGCCGACAACGGTAGTACTCATTGCATTGCCTGCTAGATCTTGCATTTGGGCTTGATTCTCTCGGGTTAAAGATAGCCGGCTTAATGGCATTCCTTGCATGGCCAACAACTCGCGCCCTTGGATTTGACCACCGCGAGCTGTAGAGTACAAAATGCCTGAGGGCGTTATGCATCCCATGATACCCAAGGGCCTAGTGTCCATGTCTCTGTCGACGCCTTGAGAGATATCAATGCAGCGGCTACAAAGGGACAAAATTAGCTAATCATAGAATGTCTTCATAGGGGTTACTCACACTTTGAAACAGTTATCGTAACCAGAAGTCATCAATGTACGCAAATGGTTGACATCAATCGTATCCCAAACACGTTCCACTTGAGAAAAGAACCACGGCCGGTCCATCCACGCCGCAGGTCGACACTTGCCGCCTTCTTCCCAGTGTGTTATAGGCCTCCCATTACCGAAAGTGGTTCCTCTACGAACATCAGCATGTCTGATCTTGTAAAGAGACCAGTTAGGGGATGATCTCGGCTCGGACATGGTCAAGCGTTCGAGCTTGCGCTGCTCTATGACTTCGTCATCTAGATCAATGAATTCTGTAAAAGGCGAACTTGCTCGACGCTGGAAACTCAAAAATATAGAGACCCATTCATCAAGCAGTCTTTCTCCGTTTGTAGCACTAGCCCTCTCAATGCAGATGGCATAACCGCGTTCGCGTGTCTGTGGTAGATAGAAATCTTTCGTGTCTACCTTCACGCTGCGGAAATGGTATCCAACTTTCTCGAATGCAGATCCAATATAGCTCCAAGGTGCATTGCTGATATTTTCAAGGATGGCTATTCTGGGCCGATGGATCTCGCAATATGCCACAAGCGCTCTGAGGGTATCGTCGGATTCTCCACGCTCGCCGAATTCCTTGCGCCAGTTGTTCAGATTAGAGTAATCCACGCATGGGAATCCAGCGACGAGGAGATCTAGTCTTGTTGGTACTTCGCGCTCTGCTCCGTATGCAGTGTGTCTACATTCAAGAGTAAGTTAAATATTGTTGTAATATCATTGTGCATCTGGAAGGGATTAAGGGTTAAGGAACGCACGCTGTCTTTTTGTGGAGCTCAATAGCATCTCTGAAGAGCAGAGGGGGATGGAAGTTTCTCTCAATATATGCTTGTTTATATTCGACAATCTCTGCACTGAAAAGGTGTTTGAATTCGAAGGACTCGAAGCCCAGTTTCTTCAATTCTGGAGACGAATTAGCGTCACTGAATCACTGATAAACAGACATATTGACTTGCTTGAGCTTTACAGAAAACATACGTGAAATAACCATCTCCAGAGCTAGAATAGGACTTTCTGTCCCCGAGCAGACCGTGGCAACACGCAGCTTGCGCCCATTGAGAGAGTCGACGAATCTCTTAAATCGAACGTCGCGCACAGCGTTCAAAGTGATGTTCTCGAAAATCTTATCGAGATCATGAATAGGCGGCAAGTCACCAGCCAGACCGTTCTTGGGTGAATACTTCTGTTTTACTTGATTCACGTACTGGATCTCTGTGTACTCGCTCTCTGGTATTGGGGGATCCATTGTCTTCTGCTTTTTGCGTACTTTTCTGCATTGAGGGAGCTTTGTGCTGTCGCTATTGTTGTTGTCGTTGCGGTTGCTTGGTTTTGGTGTTCGTGTTGAAGGAGAATGTGGTGTTTTGCCCTCCGCCGTCTTGGTTTGATTTTCTTCATCTCGCTGCTCGACATCGCTTGCAGAATTAGAGGCACATGAGGAGACAGAAATGCTTTCTAACTCTTGATCACAGTCTAACATCTCCTCTCTTCTCCGCTTAGGTGCTTGCGTCCACGTTCTGAAATGAGGCATGATGCTTGTTCCTTCGCCTCAAACCTTCAGTACGAATCCGTTTGGTACAAACATAAAAGGAGAGGAAATAGCTTCACTCAAGTATCAACACATTCTTAAAATTGATATCTTGATGCTTTGAAAAGGAAGAAAAAAGGGGGGTTCAGCCAAAATGTGCAGACTTGGATATATCTCATAAGAAAAATCTGGAAGAAAGAAGAAAATTCATGGAATCTTCCGGTCAATAATAGAGGCCATGCGGGTCTGTTTGCCTGAGATTACAAATATTACCTGCGTGACTGATATTAATCGTTAAAGTGAATGTGTATATATAAACATTGTAAGATCCCTTTCATCCTTTTGGAGCTTTTTTTGGTGGCGTGAAGGATATGGTTGTTCTTTAAACTGTCTGCACTGCCATGCACTATAGTTTTTCATGCTGATATACAATTGAGGTTTGTTTTATAATCTAGTAGTAAAGTCAAAGAAGAGTCATATATATTATATTATGTCTCTATGTTAAAGTTAATACATCTAGTTACATATAAACTATGCACTTTTATCTAGATAAGTAGGTGAATGAAATGGGTGGCCATCTGTGTTTTCCTTATCATGCCTTGCTATTTCTACTTGATATCATATGAGGAGTAATAACCAATGCTGAACTTATTATTTAGGTACTGATCAGTGTAAGTTAATTAGGAGTTAACACCTTTTGCAGAAGATAGTCCAATTTCTTGCACTAAGCCATTCTTTGAGCTAACCGGTAGATTCTATCTCATTGTATTCATATACTTGTTAGCTAATTCAAATCCAGTTCCTTTCCTAGAAAGTTATATCTATTATTACCTGAAATGGCTGTTGTAAATATTATAAACATTCATCATCACCAGCTTTTGGAGATGATCAAGAGCAGTTTAATAAGCCAGACAGCAAATAGTCTTTCCTAACAAGGTTTTGACAAAGCGTTAAGAAAGAACGGTCTCGCGAGCGTAGCCAGAATGCTTTGAAAAAGTAATGCTTATTAAATTCATCTCAGCTCTGGCACTCGGGGACGTTCTGTAAGTACGGGGCCGATTGCGATTCCATCTCCTTCAGAACATCTTTAGAATCAAGTACCGTCTGAAGAGGCAATTAATTTTCAGAATACTTTGGTGGTTGAGAGCTTGACTGAGCCTGTTCGCCGTCATGAACTATAGGCTCTGAGAAGATATTACTCATGCGTCAAGAGCGACTATAGGAGTATTGAATTTGACGAAATGCCTAACAGAAACACAATATTCTACCATACTCCGTATGTCCTCGGTCATTGCTGTGGGGCATAAATCTGAGATCACCTGCATGGACCCACTTAGCTCCCGAGAAGAACGCCCTAGCGTGGTCTAAATTGTTACGGACATTTATAGTTTAGGTTATTCCTGTATGCACCATGTGTTGTAACTGTTGGTTGAGCGAAAGGTGGAGCTGTCATGAATGACACTTGTGACAGTGGGCGCCTTTGCGGGAAACTGTCATACAGTTGGGTGTTGGTCTGGCGTGCAACATTGCTCGTCTCCCACTACGAACAGGTGATTCGCCTCTCCCCTTATTCTAGTGAAGGTGTCTGTTATAGTTAGAAAAGGCTGGATACGGAAAATCAACACGATTGCTACTATCTTCACATCCAAGTGGCTTACCGATGTTCACACTGCCGGAAATGAGACTGCTTCCGCTTTCATATCCGCAACTGTTGCGTAAGGCAAGAAGTGTTATATGAGAAAATGACGTCCTCTAGAGCCTGGAGCTTCAGAAAAAATATAATGCATATTGGTGCCAGGGACATACAATCGTCATGGATATTTCACTCTTGACTCTTGTGCAATAAAACACACCCTAGTCCATGTATCTACTCTTGCAGCAGCAATAAGGTGGACGGCCTTTTAGGAAAGAACTGTTTCATGTCTACTATGGTTGCCAAGGGTAATGGAATCTTGACGAACGATAATCTGTGTATTTGGTCTCTTTCCCTTTGCTTCGCACGAAACCAGCCGATGATTGTATTGCCCATAAGTGGAATGCGGCCACGGTGAAATCTGGAACGGAAAAAACATTGGAAGGATAGTAGAGTCGCAGATTTTTGTCCTAATTGAAATTGGATATGCAAGCAGCATGACAGCCTCGGGAAAACATCCGCCCTACAAGATTAGGTATTTCATATCCGCTTAAGTCATGCCATCATGACACGGGAATATTGTATCGTTTTCAGGTTTTCTTACTTACATATGTAGTATTTGCGCGTATGCCATGACGAAATTGTATGCATCATTCACTTTTCAATAACTGCGTCAAAGATGCGTTTCTACTTATCTAAGAGACGTTCATGCTACTTGTCAGTGCCCATTACTGCACGCCCGAACCAATACAGAGTACATATCACTCCAAAGCTCGCGAAATTATCTACATTTTCCTTTCAAAACACTATTAACATTGCCAAGTTGGTAGACTGGCCTATATATCAGTTTCAGCATGGGCGAAATGGCCGAAAACTTTCTCGAAATCGTCAATAAACTTAGAGAAATCATTCGCTCTACTCAAGGCGGAGAAGACGATTTCAAAGAGGCCATTAGAACTGCCCGCGATCCAACGACGGGGGCCCTTGACCAGATGGATGCCTATGGAATCATCTCGTTGGACGGCTTCTACAAGTTCTTGTGTGATTTTGTCTTCTGGGTACCATATGAGAATGCAGAGGGCCGTGAGCCCTATACGAGGATGTGCCTTATGTATTTCGTTTTTGAGCAGCCTAGCGTACGGGACTACCAAACTAAGCTGCTGCCTGAAAACGCGAGACTCCCGCGTGATGAGCTCACGCCCATTTCTCAATGGCTTGTAAAATTTGCTCAACTTCAAGGCAGTTTTCTGAGTAGTCCAAACTCAATCAATGACCAGACACTGGGCACCTTCGAAGCCGTTACAGGGGATAGCAGCTATAGATTGGACGACTACGAACAACCAGAAGACGGATGGAAGACATTTAACGATTTCTTTTCCCGCCAGCTGAAGCCTAACAAGAGGCCTATCGCAGGGGAAGAGGACGATACCATCGTTGTGAGCCCAGCTGACTGCAGATACGGAGGATATAAAGCGATTGAGGACGGTACTGTGTATCTTGAGGATATCAACCTTAAAGGGATTCGATGGCCTATCAAAGATCTTGTAGCCTCCACCGGACTACCAGATGGTACCTTTGATAATGGCGTATTGATACATTCCTTCCTCGCGCCATTCGACTATCACCGCTTTCATACCCCAGTTTCTGGGACCGTGGTGGTTTCAAATGTAATCCAGGCCCAGGTTTATCTCGAAGTCAAGGGAGACGGGAAGAAGGTAGTCCCCATTCGACGACCATATGGTAGACCAGATGACTTTAAGGGAATTGATGCTCCTGATGATCCGGGGTATCAATGGTGCCAGACTCGGGGCGTCCTTGTCCTTCAAACCGAGGAGTATGGCTATGTGGCTGCCATCCCCACCGGCATGTGCCAGATATCTTCGGTAAACATGACAGTCGAAGTGGGCGAAAAGCTGAAGAAGGGTCATGAATTTGGCTACTTCCTATTCGGCGGGTCAGATGTGGTATTACTTTTTGAACAGAAGGCCAACTTCAAGTACGCGGAGGGGCCAAATCACAAGTTTGATATGGGACAGAAGTTTGGAACTCTTGGAGCCTAGGTACATATGCGTTTGGAACGCGCCAGGCCCCGACAACTAGCTCTATTGTATCTAGATGATGAATCAAGATCCGATAGGATCGTAAGGCCATGGCGCACTAGCCGCATTTTCAGCATTCTTTTTGTTTTCCGCATTTTGATCTTCAATGAACTTGGTCAAATAGTCCGGAGCCTCTCTGACTCGGTTATGCTCGCCAGCGATTGGATCACCAAATGCCTGCCAAGTTGGAACCGCCCCTTCCCAATAGTTCTCACGAACTGTCTGATCGCTGACATCCTTCTTCATTTCGAATACCAAAGCTGCGGGGATACTGTGCGTGTGGGATTCTGTTTCATTCACATCAATTCTGACGATGGAAACATGATCCACATCGTTCCCGAGATCACGAATGTTCGTCGATCGGTCTGGGATGAGGGAATCAAGAATATAATCCATGACTGCCAGCCTTTCTTCTTTAAACTCGTTTGACACAGGGAATGGATGCGCAACTCCATTTACCACAGTGCTTACCCAGGTATAGCCAGTGGCAAAACCGGAGTATCCAAGCACGTAGCTATGGATCTTGCTAGCGGCGATGGTGACCGGTAACGAGCCGACTTCTTCGAGACGAGATTTGATTGGTTCCTGACGATGGCCATGGACGTAAATTGTCTCGGGGTTCTGCTTGTATCTGAAAAACTTGCCGGCGAAGTAAGCAACAGTGGGAATACCTCATCCTCCACGGCGGGGAAAGACAGATGCAGGATGGGCTGCGAGTTGATGACACCTTTGGATACCTCGGGATCGTATACATCTGGAAATCCAATTTCAGTAAGGGGGTTAAACCTTGGTCGAAATGTTGACATTGTTTGATAAAAGACTCACTGCTCCATGGAGGTGATGGGTTTGGGCCTGTAGATGCCATATCACCCGTTGGAGAGCGGATAGAGGTGAACTTTCCCATGAAGATAATTGGCAGACGCCTCGGATTTGAACCCAATCTGAATGGACGATGGAGATTGGGACGGTGTGGCAAAACAGAAAGAAACAACTGGCTTCTTCATCCTGGTATCTATGCTGGCTGATGGTAACTATGCCAAAGAACATTCTATCGATGCTCGCATACCGCGTGCATACAAGTCACACCCCCTTTTGACAGACGGATATGCTGAAATTCTGCATGTAACAGAACATTGTCTTGCTATTAAGCCCAATGCGAGGAAAAGAGAAAAGCACGCAGGACGAGTGGATAGGAGGTGCTGCCACTCTGTTGGCACATTCTCCCTTTCCGGTTCACCCCCGTGCGAAGATGGTCAAAAATCCGAAGACGGTTGACGTTAGACTACATCTGACGTGACACATCGATTCTAGAATGTTTTAAGGTTCTGACTGGATATGCAAACATCTCTGTCATCCCAAGCCATTGCTCGTTGTGGTAGATCATATAACAATGTAGCACGAGCATTCCCGGCGCACATACTCAGGCTAACCACTGGATGAAACTATATCTTCCTTTGGCAGCAGCAAGAACAATTAGGATGTGACAAGCGTGAAAGATTGTGGTGTACTTGATTTCCTGCAGACATCTATGGTTGCAAGCATCAACATCGGCTGGATTTTACGCAATATAAAAAAACCACCGTTTTTGACCTGCTCATTACTGGACTTCGTGTCTTGCTTATTGGTTTGGGCGTTTAGTGCAACGGGAACGTTATGGAAATGAGGCTTTTAAAAAAAATGTACAGACATGGATTGATATACAGATGCTGTAAGCCATCGTTAGACGTTACATGTTTGCTTTGATGCTGTTTACCACATGCAACATGGTAAGCGGTAGATCGATGCATTTCCGTAACTTGTTGTTCAATACAGGTGCAAGTCATAGGTGAGACGCTGTTTAAACATTCTCTTCTAACAACGGTAGGTAATTAGCCGAGGACCTCTCGGACGTTCGGCTGGGAAATGAAAAAAGAAAGATTGTATCCTCGTCAGATGTGACTGTAGCTCTGGTTACTCCTCTTTGGCAATGATCATGAAGCAAGGGACACATTTCTGCGTCATTACTGTTTCTTTCTTTCAATCATTTACACCATATAAAACCTCGTCTTTTCATGCCAGTAGACTAGCATCTCCGCTGGACACAATCCTCACTACTCCTGACCTGCTTCACACTCGAAAATGACCATACCGACAATTATAGTTGCAGCGCTCTATACAGGGCTGGCATTTGATCAATACCCTCCCATCCCAACGGGACTACGGGAGATCGTTTCTAAAGTGCTTCCGGTCGTCACTCACTTACAAGAAGGTGCAGGTAAGGAAAACACTCCCTGGACAGCAAGCCTTAAAGAATTAGCCTAACGTACGCACCGGTAGGATGTCATCTGTGACTCTGGCTCGGATTCGTATGCAGGGTATATTAACTTTCGGAAAAATACGATGAAGGATGCAATTCAAGACTATCCCGTGCACCTTTTCTTCTGGTACTTCGAGTCCCAGGCGGACCCCAAGACTTCGCCGTTGTCACTATGGCTCCAACGGGGCCCCGGAGGATCTTCCATGTTTGATGCCCCCTGTACTGTGAATAACGACTCCAGCTTCACAAGTCGCAACGAATACGCCTGGACAAAAGGATGGAAACATGCTGTATATCGACCAACGGAACGCTGGACCTGGTGAATGGAAATATCATCCCTCATTTTGACGTCGAGGGTCCGTTAAACAAGACAGGAACGTTTGGGAGTCAAACGCTCCTGTCCACTGCAAACACCACCGCCAACGCTGCGCGGCATCTCTGGAACTTTGCCCAAGTTTGGCCCCAAGAGTTTGACATCTATAAGGACAAGTCTGAGAATGACCGAGTCGGCTTATGGACGGAGTCATATGGCGGTCGCTATGGACCTGGCTTCGCTGCATACTTCCATCAGCAGAATGAGAAGATTGTCAATTCCAGTGACACCTTTACACAGATAAATTTTGACACCTTGGGGGTCATCAATGGGTGCATCGATCTGCGCACACAGGAAACAGCTGACCCAGATTACGCCTATAACCCAAACAACTTTGGAGTTACTGCGATTAATAGAGACCAATGGACTGACGCAATCGAAGCTTTCGAGAGACCCAAGGGCTGTATAGACCAGATAGACAACTGTCTTCAGCTTGCCGCAGATCTCGACCCAGATATGTATGGGAATGTTACATTGGTCAATGAGGTTTGCTACAATACAAGCACCAATTGCCAAGCAGAAGTCGAGGCGCCATATATCTTCACCAGCAAGTAAGGCTTCTACGACGTCGGCCACTGCAACCTGGGTCCATTTCCCGCCAACTATTTATTTCATGGGCTATTTGGCCGAGCCTAGAGTCCAACAGGCTCTAGGGGTCCCCGTTAACTTCACCTTGCTCTCGAACAATGTCGGAAAAGCATTCAACCTTACGAGTGACTACTCGCGACGAGATCCCTTGGGCTCTATCGGAGACATTGCCTATCTCCTCGAGCACAATGTCCAAGTGGCATTATTGTACGGAGATCGGGATTTTGACTGCAACTGGGCCGGAGTAGAGCGAGTCAGCATCCGATACGAATCCTCTGTCGCATTTCAAGCAGCTGGGTACGCAAATATTACCCATGACTCGGATATTTGGGGCCAAGTTCGTCAGCATGGAAACTTCTCATTCAGCTGCATCTACCAGTCCGGCCACATGATTCCCTCGTATCAACCAGAGGCGGCACTGGAGGTCATCCGGCGCGCCATGAACAGCAAAGATGTAGAGACAGGTACAGTAGATATCACCCCCCGACTATTCAACTAATGGCACATTAACGTCCACACATACAGATACTCTGCCACCAGCTCCGGCCCCAACATGCTACCTTTGGGCCCTGAGTGGCACATGTGCGGAGAATCAGAAGGATGCTGTTGGAGACAACATTTCTAAGATCGAGAACTATGTAATAACGTATCCGGAACAGCCGAGTGGTACTTGTCCGAATACGCCTACGTCTGTTGCCTCCAACGATTCTGAGTTATTTGGTTTTCATAGGCCTGGGGTCTTGTAGAAGGCAGTCTGCATATATGAGTTCAGTCGAGCCCCCAATACAGGCTTGTATGATTGAGGTTCAATATTCAATACAGTAGGCAAGGGTTTATAAAGTCATTATACCTGCTGCGAAATAGTCACGTTCGCTCAATATTTTTGTACAATGAAAGTGGCTATTGAAGTCATCTGCGGCATCATCAGCTCGTCCTGTCTGACTGTCTTTACAGACGTGCTGAATGAGTTGCAGAGAATACCAGACAATTAAGTAGCCGAGCTTAATAAGGTCAGTAATGAATCTCAACCGAGATTAGCAGGCGAGCCAATCATAACACATCATCATAGTGAAAACATTGGCGGAGATATGTTTCCAAGGTGTCTGTTTATAGTATCTGTACCAGGGAACTATGGACCTGATATCCACAGATGGCTTTTGTATATGAAATGGGATAGTTGGAGGAAAATGGCCTAGACCTCACTTGCGCTATGATCATTTGGTGACTCAGGGTGCTGGGCGAGTAACCCCAGTGGCTCCAATTTTGGGCTCTATGATGCTCACTGAGCACTCATTGACATGAAGTGGCGTGCTGCAGAGCAATTTAGTGTCGCACGTCCTTTTACGAAGATGAGTTAAAGATTGACAAGTCGAAAGCTTTCATTTCCTAACCAAGCTACATAACTGAGTTAGACACAGAAAATTGGAAAAGCTTCTAGAAATGTCTGCATCCTGTATCACAAATCTGCCAAAGACAGTGGGGGTATTGATATTTCTATAAGTACAGCAGAGTCTCAAAAGAACAAATTCTTAACTGAAGGTAGTTAACTTTAACCAGATATTCTTGCGCCATTCGCCATCCAAGTCCGCATATATTATCCATGCAAAGCAGATAAGCCATCTTATCTATTTTTTGTTTTTCCTCCAGAAGGACAATTGAAAGTTTAAGCATAAAGATAGAATCATCGCATACCGCTTTGCAGCAATTGCTGCCGCAGCATCATGATTTGGCTTCGCTCGAGAGGCGGTAGAGCGTCAATCTGTGCTTGTGGCATATTCAATACCTGTTGCAATAGCTCTTCTTGGCCAGGGACCTGTTGGGGTGCTGCAGCGGGCGGTTGTTGAGCCATGGCTGCGACCGGGGGAGGTGCAAATGGTGTGCTGTGAACGGGGGGCGTTGACACTTGCGCCGGAACAGCAGCAGCATATGGTTGATACGTTGCCGGGGCAGCTGCAGCTGCCGCTGCTTGTGAAGCCTGCTCAACAACTGTGCCAAGTGTGGTATAATCGACAAGATTCATGAGAAGTAGAGCTTGGAAGATTGCGTATGCGAGTTGAGGCGCTGTTCTGAGGAGTTCTGTTGCTCGTGCAGGGTCTGCCACGGCTAGAGACTTCATTTGAGAGAGGACATCCAGGAGTTGATTTGGCGGGATCTGGGACAGTGTTTGGGAAATGGCATTCGGACAATCGAGGTGTGGAGGAACTTCTACTCCTGGAGGCAGCGGCGGAAGAGAGCTTGGATTTTGTTGCGGAGGTGGCTGTTGTTGGTATCCCCCGATCTGGGCGTCTGAGTAGTCCTCAGGTATCGAATCTTTTTCATTGTTATGTGGCCAGTCAACGCGGATCTTCCTTCCCATAATCTCATAATCGTTTAAATTTCGCACCGCGGAAGCTGCAGCATCGGCGTCTGCAAAGTCGGCAAATCCGTAACCCTTGGGCTTGCCAGTCTCTGGGTTCATCATAAGCCGGAACTTGGTGACTGTGCCCGCCGTGCTTAGGATGTCTTTCACTTGTTCTTCTGTAAGATCTAGGAGGATTTTAGTATGGACATGTTCATTGCAAAGGACGTATGGGTAAGCGTACTGTAGGGAATGTTTCCCAGGAAGACACTCTTCCCGGTTCCTGGAGCCATATTGAGTATTCGGACCGAGCTGCTACAGCACAGCTTGCTATCGTAAGAATTGAATCGAGTGAGAAGTCGATGTGACCGTCAATACTCGTCGCCTTAAAGCTGCGGGAGGAACTGCGTTTATGCCCCGTTGTTCCGCCCAGCTAAGCCCAATCCAGCTAGACCAGTTTGCGACTTTCGATATCGTTGCTCTGTCAGCGGAAGCTCTTCAACTTCAATTCTGTCTTTCATCCATACCCACTCAACGCATCACAAAATATGGCAGGAAGCCCGCGGGAACAATGGGAGAGGCTGCAGGTCATTCTCCAGCAACGAGCTAGAGCTGGTGGCGGCGGCGGTGGTTTCCGGTTTGGAGGAGGTGCGCCTTTTGGAGGCTCAGCTGCTGCGATTGCTCTGCTGGTAGCTGGCGGATATGCGGTGTCGGCATCTCTCTTTAACGGTAAGATACGGAATTGGCAAGAATTTTGAGATATGAATTAGTCCGATCAAGATGCTGATGGTGTTTTGCGAAACAGTCGATGGTGGTCACCGAGCTATCAAGTATTCGAGGATATCCGGTGTGAAGAAAGAGATCTACAACGAAGGTAGGTTTGAATACAATTTAGAATATTTTGGGTGCATTATATACTTATATCAAATGCTTTACTATAGGAACGCACATTCAAATCCCATGGATCGAAACACCCGTTGTTTATGATGTTCGTGCAAAACCAAGGAATGTTGCGTCCTTGACCGGAACGAAGGACTTGCAAATGGTCAACATCACATGTCGTGTTTTGTCGCGACCACGTGTTGAGGCTTTGCCCCAAATCTACCGAACACTTGGCAAGGACTTTGATGAGCGAGTTCTGCCATCTATTGTCAACGAGGTCTTGAAGAGTGTCGTTGCCCAGTTCAACGCCAGTCAATTGATCACACAGCGAGAGAACGTGGCACGTCTTGTCCGTGAAAATTTGGCCCGGAGAGCAGCCCGCTTTAATATCACATTGGATGATGTCTCCTTAACTGTAGGTTTCAAACCTTGATGGAAGAATTGCCGTGTCCGTATCTAATCCTGCGTTACTAGCATCTTGCATTCTCTCCCGAATTTACGGCTGCTGTCGAAGCCAAGCAGGTTGCTCAACAAGAAGCCCAAAGGGCAGCTTTCCTTGTCGACAAGGCCCGTCAAGAGAAGCAAGCTACCATCGTCCGAGCCCAGGGTGAGGCCCGCTCTGCAGAACTTATCGGTGACGCCATCAAGAAGAGCAAGAGTTACGTTGAACTGCGAAAAATTGAGAACGCACGGAATATTGCCCAGATTCTTCAGGAATCCGGTGGTAAGAACAAGCTCTACCTTGATACTCAAGGCTTGGGCTTGAACGTCAACGCTGGCAGCGAGGTCGAAAAATAGAAAAGAAAAACAAGCCTTGGAAATGAATACTTGAAAATTTTGTCATAATTATTACATCTCTCTTACTGGAACCTCCCTTCTTCTGTTTCCAAAATCTTTTCCATGTCGCATGTGCATCATCACATCGTGTATAAATAGTGAACAACAGTGCTTTAATGCCATTTTATCCTTTTCCATCGTCGATGCATGGTTCGAATATTCAACGTTCCTATCATCTAGGACTTGTAACTCAACAAACTCAACACATGATTTGTCGATTTATTATGAGGTCTTCGAGCACGTTTGTTTCTTATACTATGCATGTCATTGTCTCATTACAATTGATAACCTTGGAAGTAAATATGCCAATCGATGCACCAGTGATTTGTACTTATCCGTCCTGTGTCATCCTGAATTTATCATAATCCATAGGGATGTTTATTAACCAAACGAATAAATAACTAAATTTGAAGCAATAGTTTGTCTGTAGCAGGAACTTATCGGCTATCGGTTATCGATAAGGATAAGGAGAGAAAATAATTTCAATGTTCCCCCGCAATGAAGCACCAAGTTAATTCTGATTATACCACAGAGCATTTATTCCATACCCAAGCGTCCTGAATACGTGATTTCCTTGCTTCCCAAGTCTCGAAATCTAAAAATGACAGACCCCCACGCCGAAATAGACGTCGATCTCGACGTCCAAGAGGTCCTCCTCGCAGCCTCTCAGCACAACATACCCAAACTGCGACAGCTAATCCGATCAAACAACAGCGGAGCAGAAAACCCGGCGAATGTTAAAGATACGGAAACGGGATATTCGCCCTTGCACGCAGCCATTGCTGCTTGCGAGCCGGATCAAGATGAGGCAGAGCAGGCAAATGGCGTGGTGAATGGACATCGTGATGGAGATGAGGGACAGTCAGAGGAATTGATGTCGGGACGGGAGACGGTTAAGTTCTTGCTGCAGGAAGGCGCAATTTGGAATGATCTGGATAATAATGATGAGACTCCGGGGTGTATGGCGAGAAGGCTTGGGTTGACTGAGTTATATGATCTTATGGTTGATGCTGGTGTGCGCGCGGAGTTACTTCTTAATCGACTTGAGGGCTATGAAATACTTGGAGATGACGACGAGGAAGAGGTAGATGTTGAAGATGATGCCAATATAGTTGCAGAGCAGCAAGGGGACCTCGCAACTGGTGAAGAAACACATGAATCTACCATCCCCACCACCACCACTACAACACAGGAACAAGACCCCGAACCCAATGTCTCAAACGTCAGATACCTCCATTCAAATCTGACTTTCCAGGATGACCGACTGCTTGATGACGACCAAAACGGGGTCATGATGGCATGGGAAACAGAGATTATGTCCAAAACAGCGCGCAAACTGCTACCTAGCCAAGGGCTGCGGGTACTCAATATCGGACATGGCATGGGCATAGTAGACGGGTTTTTCCAAGAGCAGTCTCCTAGCGTGCACCACATCGTCGAAGCGCATGCAGAGGTGGTAGCGACAATGAAGCAGAAAGGATGGCACGAAAAACCGGGCGTCGTAATTCACGAAGGGCGATGGCAAGACATTCTCCCCAAGCTTGTGGAACAAGGCGAAATGTTTGATGCAATTTACTACGATACATTCGCCGAGTCGTATGCTGATTTTCGTGAGTTTTTGTCGGAACAAGTCATTGGCTTGCTGGATACGGATGGCCTGTGGAGCTTCTTCAATGGGATGGGTGCAGACAGGCAGATTAGCTACGATGTCTATCAGAAAGTGGTGGAGATGGATGTCTTCGAGGCTGGGTTTGATGTCAGCTGGGAGGATATCCCTGTGCCGCCTCTGGAAGGAGAATGGTCTGGTGTGCGACGTCGGTATTGGGTTGTAGATAATTATCGCTTGCCGATTTGCAAGTACATGGATTAGAGCATATTTCACCCAAAATATCACTCATAGCACTATACATACGTTAGGCTGCAAATCCCATTTTACGGTCTACACCCATGGATATCATCTTGGGAATGTTAGGCCTTACAGTTAGAGCAGCGTTTCTCAATATCATTATTATTGTATATCATTGGCATGAACGCTTCACGCGAAAAGGAACGCTAGACCTTCAGAATGCCAACCCAACTCGCTAAAGGTACGCGACAGTAACAACATGATTAATAAAGCAAAAGAATGTATAACACAAAAAAAATAAGGGAAAACGACGATACTTTCACAGTTGAATCAAGTCAACCTCCGAAAAGTCAGGCGGACTGCGACTAAAAATGGTCCGACATTTCCCATCCAGCGCTTGATATTCGTTACTGATCCATACATGTTTGCTGAATCGCTGGGTGCAGTAGATCTCGTCATCACTGACTCCAAGATCATCGCGGGGGATCCATATGACAGGACGCTTTGCTCTCAGAGCGTCGTGCTGGAATGCCCGTTGGACAAGTTGGTCGCGTTCATCGGGGGTGAGATCCTCTAATTCATCATGAATACCGGCGAATAAAGACCTCCCCATCCCGTTAGATCCAGTTCCTCTTGTTTCTTCGTCTTCAGCTTTGTACGCCAGTTGCTGCCGCAATTTTTGAATGCTCGGTACGTCGTAGCCGGAATTCGTGCCGAAGTATTTGGAGCGCCGTGTTCGTGAACGATCTGCCCAAGAGCCTGGCCTTGCCGCAGCTCGCTTGCCTAGTCCACCAATTACATTCAAAAATTTGTCTTTGTTTCTCTCTTCTCCTTCTTCCTGGCCGATGTTTTGCAGTTCAATCTCCTTTTTATCTGCGTAACTGTGGCCTTCCTCATGTTCGGGTTGCTCACTCGTGTCACCGCCGTCGTCATCAATATGCCAGCCGTGTCGGATTTGTTGAGCTCTCGCAAATTCCTCGTCTCTACGGACAGCATCGTCCTCTAGCGTGATTGGCAAGTAGCGAATGAGCGGGGAAAATGCCTCGTTCAATAGGTATTGATAGCCAAGAGTGAGAATCAAAACAACGATCATGATGATTGCTTGTCCCTGACATGCCACTGCGTCGTGCTCGTCTCGTACAAGGAAGAAAAGGCCAATCAAGCACAGCTCCATAACATAAAGCCCCGTGAAAAGCTGGTTGATAGCTTTAGGAAATAGGAGTCCACCAGTGTCGAAGCGGAATTTCGTGACGTAGAGCGTATTATAGCGATACACAAACCAAAAGAGAGCAAAGGTAGCAATAACAAAGACTACAATAAGCGGAGCGATGACTATATAAATGAAACCTAGTAATGTCTTTTAGCCCTCGAATCTTTATATCAACAACGCAATGAGATGCACAATACTTACCGATGCATGCGAGAACGGTATATACAGGGAAGAAACTTCCCCATTTCATTCGGTGTAGATTGGTAGTTCGCGACCACTTATTTCTTGCAGTGTTGTCAAACATCGGTCCAAGGATAAACCATTTAATCAAGTTCCAGACTTGGGCTAGTGCACCAGCACTGACAGACATGGCGCGAAGGATCATGTAGGAGAAAAAGTAGTTGCTGGATTTGGGAATGTTGTCGGCGAGAAGTTCAGGCCAGCCCGTTACATCCGTGACTGAATCAACCAGCGTGGAGAAACTGGATGAAATAGTCACGACAAGAAATAGCTGAACAAAGAGAAATGCAAAATAGTAATTGGAAACCATCAATTCCACAGACATGCCTGTCTGCAGACCCTGGGTCTGGGAAAGGAAACGGAGAATCAACGGAAGCAGCACCATTAATAGAGACAAGAATAACGGGGGCAGGACACCCTGCACTGCTGAAAATAGCCAGTGTGGCAACTTAGACAACCACGCAAGCCATGAGAATTTCCCTTCTAGGTACGAGAGCTGAGATAGGACTCCAGTGAAGGCAACTGGAATAGCCCAGCCGGCAACCATGCCACAGACAACAATGAATATACCACCGGTACGTAGATATCGTTCCCACCATTTAATGGACATGTTGTCCCAGATAACATCGTCTGGTGAGATCTCAACCACCCGTGGAGCCATTTGCTTTGGAATGTGGTGACTGACGGCTTGACAAGCCATATGTGCTGCTACCTGATGGTTGAATTGGATAAAAGCCGAATTCATCAAGGGGAATTTCTCCGGGTGCTGTTGATCGATTTCAATTTCTACGTTAAGCCGTGCCACTTCTTTCCGGCAGTAATCAATAGTATCGACCTTTTTGCCGATTAGAGGTAAAGATGGCATCCAACTGAACCCAAAAATAGGGAGGCGCATTGTCTCGCGATCCTTTTGTCGGATATACATTTTCCAGAGTGGTTCTCCGCACTCATTTTTATAGTTTTCGTTGTAAGCGAGAGGATATTCTTGACTTCTTTTCTCACTTTCTTTCGTGCCTTCTTTCGCTTTGCGCAAAACATCACCATCGTCGACGTCGTTAAATTCTTGGTTATTCTGTTGCTCTGTAGACTCAATCCTAGTCAATGGTATTTCATCGCCTTGTGGTAGAGCTTTGTCACTTCGACGGCTTAGGTGAGAGATGGATGATGACTTCCTCCTCCAGCCAGGGCGGCGCGAGTTCTGTTCTTCGCTAGCATGTTGGTTGGTTGGTTTTTGCTGTGATTGCGAGTCACCTTTGAAAGAGCCCTTATTACTATCGAGGCTAGGGCGAGTAGACATATCCAGGGAATCATTTTCCCTCTTGTTATCTTCTTTGCTGGAAATAGAAACCTGCTCGTCATCAGCCAAACCAGGGGTTCTCTCCAGCTCCTCCTTGACATTTCTAAAGCCTCCCGCGAAGGTTTTACCCAGTGCGCTAGTCCCGTGGCTGAAAGCATTGTTGATACCGCCACCAACAAAAAACTTCCTCTTATGATGTTGCGGTTCCGGATTGAGACTTTGGCGGTCCATGTTTAAAGCTTCGTGTACATTATGAGCAATCTGATGAGGATCACCCGAGCTGATACCAGCCTGCATTGCTAGCTCAGCAGCCTTTTTGTCCGTTGTCTCCTGTTGTTTCTTGCTTTCATTTTTGGATTTCTTTCCTGCCTTTTTGGCCTCCGCTTTAGCCTTTTTCAATTGGGACTTTTTGCACTTCATGATCAACTCAGTTTCTGCGGCCTCCAATGCTAGAGCAAGCTTATCTCTTAGCTTGACTTTCTCGTTCAGCTCATCCAGCTGTCGGTTAATCCAAATATTTCGAATCCCCCCGGGAAATACATCGTATAAGTTAGTTAGTGCCTCTACCGTCAACCACCCCTTAGGAATTGCAGTAACAAGGACAGTTGTAGCAGAGGCTCTTAGTCTGTGTTGAGGCGAGGTAAGGTACGCCTGCCGCAGCCTTATATATCCACGCAGCTCATCGAAAAATACTGCACAGATATAAATAATGGACAATACGGCCAACACCAAATGTGCCCAGTATCGGTCAGTATGGTTGGGCGTGATATTGCTCCAGGCAAGTTGATCTAAACCAGTTATGTTCCATGTTGTGTCATTGTTGTGACTGATGACATTATTGTCCTTTCCTCCTATCTTGTTCATGGGAATCAAGATTGGCAGAATAACTAGACCGAGTGGAAGGAAAATTTTCAAAAGCATGCGGAGATATCGTAGGAAGAAATAAGCATCCAAGCCGCATTTTTGGATGAATTCTGAGTTGGAGGTCTGAAATACAGAAAAGACCCAACCGAATAAGCCAGGGGGTGGTGGTTTAGTTCGTTCGCGATCTGGCACGAGATATGTGCGAGGTTGACTGAAAGTAACATGGTTAGTAAGCTCTTCCATGGCCAGGAAACCGGAATACCTACTATATTCTGCGAAGATTTCCTTTCAAGACCAAGAACAAGAGGGATTCGAGGGCAAAAACGACAGCGCCAGTTGCCAGCGAAGCAAGGAAGGTAGATACTGAGATTCCTTGGTCCTCCTGGCCCTTTGAATCGCCAAATCCAAGACTGCGAGGCGTCCACATTTTGAAGAATGTCATGAAGTGGCCGGCAGCAAACCGTTGTGGAAAGAGTTGAGTTCAAACTCTTGGAAGCAGGGCCAAACCAGTAGCATAAATGAAGATGAAAAGACGAAAGCAAAGATAACAAAGAGGAAAAAAAAGAAAGGAAAAAAAAAAAAACAACTGCAGCAGCGGTAACAATGGCAATAGCAACCTTTGCTCAAACGCTAACACAAAAGAAAGCGCGATGCACAAGTTTATCTAGCATCAATAGTGGACTGACTGCAGAATCAACAAGAAAATACCAAGAGCAAAGATATAAAAAGCACAGTGGGTATCCTAACAATGACAACAATCGGGATGTTTCAAACTCAAGCTTTCCACCCCTCAGCCAGGCGATGAGATGAGAGGGCTTGAAGCAAGATTCGTCAGAGTGCGTCTTCTCTAGAGATGACATCAATGTAGATTAGAATGTCTTGGCGGCGCTTGCACTAGCGTCATCGGCGACCTCGCGCCTCTCATTGGCCCAGAGGAGATCCTTGCAAGTGTTGTGTTGTTTTAGCGGTTTTATCCTTGAAATGGCGGCGGTCTCTATCGCACGGTGATTGGAAGCAGGAAAACTGAAACGCTGAGCCATTTCCCATCTATTTTTGTCTCTGATCTGGCTATGCCGGTCGACAGGGTCCTGTTGTTTGTTTTCTTTTCCCCTGAAGAACACAGCGGGCACGTGACCGTTGAGGGGTTGGCCGCTTGGCGTGTGCAGGAACGTCCTTACCGTCTGTGGGTTAGCGCGCAGCGCGCATCACGTGCTCTTCCAGCGACGCGTTTTCTAAAAAGGGAAGCACTTAACGCGCTTGCGCGTGGGTGCGACGCGTCCCGAAAATTAGTTAAGGGATTCGTTTGTCTCTTAAACCTTCCGCCATCAATTTGTGAGTTGCCTCAACAACAACTGCCTCTGTGGTCACCTCGCACTCCAACGCTTTAAACAAGGCAATACTCTCTGGCATTGACAACACACACATATATAAGCGATAATGTCCTCACCAGCTTCTCGTCGTGGTCGCCCGCCGAGGAGTTCGGCTAATTCGACTCCTCGCTCAACACGATCTCAGCAGATCGCGAGCAGCCCTCAATCCAACACACAAGCAACTCCTCGTGCATCCAGGCGACTTCAAAATGAAAATGCAGTGCCATCATCATCCCCGTTGATGTTCCCATCCTCGTCACCGGTCCGCGCAGGTAACCGCGCTGAGCAGACCAGAATGGATATAAGTTCGCCTGTAAGAGAATCTTCTGTCGCAGAAGATGGCGAAACTACACCGCGTGCTACTAGGGCCGGCATTAGAGGTAAACTATCTGATAAGATATAATATCTGAGTCGGTGACTAACCGTCCTTCAGACTCATCGCCGATTCGCTATATGTCTAGCTCAAGTCCACCTCGGAATGGCACTCGCCAGGATATCCGTTCAGATATACCGAGTAGCAGCAGTGGCCTCTTTGTCGGCTCTTCTCGTCCAGAACTGTCTGGCTATGCTCGCAATACCTCGCGTCGAGGAGATATTCACTCGGATACTTTTGGATCGACACCAAACCGTCGTCGAAGGCTATTTGTCGACGCGAATGGCAGGCCAGTCAACGAAGGCGATCCTCAATCCGACGCCACTTTTTCAAACGTAAACCCCGATACTTCGGAAGCAGATGCGCTCGGCGGTAGCTCTACACGTGTGATTTGGGGTACCAACATCTCCATTCAAGATTCCATGTCCGCGTTCAAGAATTTCCTTTACAACTACGCTAGGAAGTACCGTATGTGGGCAGATGGAGCTACGGAGAATGAGACACGAGCAATGGGCGAAGCCGCAGAAGAGAGAGAGTATATTACGATGCTAAACAACATGCGAAAGCTAGGCGTCACTGGATTGAACCTTGACGCTAAAAACCTTAAAGCGTATCCTTCCACATTGAAACTATGGCATCAGTTGCACGCTTATCCGCAAGAAATTATTCCACTCATGGATCAGACGATTAAGGATGTTATGGTTGAATTGGCAATCAAGGAAATGGAAAGTTTAAGGAACCAGGCCCAGCGCAATCAACGACAGACACGAGACAGCTCAGCTCCCCCCGTCCCAAGTTCGGACGCAATGAGTGAGACTGGTCGTGCTGCTCCTATTGCCATTCCTGATTTGGTAGAACAAGTTGATGTCAGGACTTACAAAGTGCTACCGTTTGGCTTAGACAAATCCGTCAATATGCGAGAACTAGATCCGGCAGGTAAGTATATTCCGCTATGAAAATAAGCCAATCTTTACGCTAACATGCTGTAGATATGGACAAACTTATTAGCATCAAAGGACTGGTCATTCGCACGACTCCGGTCATTCCCGACATGAAAGAAGGTAAGATTTGATACTCCTAGCTCCTATTCGAAAAGGTTGCTAACGAACTGTATCGTAGCATTCTTTACTTGCCAAATTTGTAATCACAGTGTTAGAATTGATATCGACCGAGGAAAGATCATGGAACCTACCGCTTGTCCGCGAGCTCAGTGCAAAAGCCCTAACTCAATGCAATTGATTCATAACCGCTGTGTCTTCGCCGACAAGCAAGTTATCAAGCTCCAAGAGACTCCTGACAGTGTTCCTGATGGCCAGACCCCTCACTCAGTCTCGCTGTGCGCTTATGATGAGCTTGTGGACATCTGCAAAGCTGGTGACCGTGTGGAAGTGACTGGAATTTTCCGATGCAACCCCGTCCGCGTTAATCCTCGACAACGTACGACAAAGACTCTCTTCAAAACCTATGTTGATGTTCTCCATATACAAAAAGTTGACAAAAAAAAACTCGGCATCGATCAGTCAACCGTGGAGCAGGAGCTCTCAGAACAAGCAGTTGGGGATACCGAGCAGGTGCGGAAGATCACTGCAGAGGAGCTTGAGAAGATAAAAGAAACGTCAAAGCGGCCCGACGTTTATGAACTTCTAGCGAGATCATTGGCTCCGAGTATCTACGAGATGGATGATGTGAAGAAGGGAATCTTGCTTCAGCTTTTCGGTGGCACGAATAAAACTTTCCAGAAAGGGGGCAACCCTCGATATCGCGGCGACATCAATATTCTGCTTTGTGGTGATCCCTCCACGGCGAAATCGCAACTCCTCCGCTATGTTCACAAAATCGCACCGCGTGGAGTATACACCAGCGGCAAAGGTTCCTCAGCTGTTGGTCTCACAGCGTATGTCACTAGAGATCCTGAGACTCGTCAACTCGTTCTCGAGTCAGGTGCGCTTGTACTGTCGGACGGGGGCGTCTGTTGTATTGATGAATTTGATAAGATGAACGACTCCACTCGTTCTGTCTTGCACGAAGTCATGGAGCAACAGACTGTATCTATCGCCAAAGCCGGCATTATCACCACCCTAAACGCGCGAACAAGTATCTTGGCGTCTGCCAACCCGATTGGCAGCAAGTATAATCTCAACCTGCCTGTTCCGCAGAACATCGATCTGCCCCCAACGCTGCTGTCAAGATTCGACTTGGTGTACTTGGTCCTTGACCGCGTGGACGAACAAGAGGATCGTCGCTTGGCCAAGCATTTGGTTGGCATGTACTTGGAAGATACCCCCGAAAACGCTAGTGTGGATGAAATACTTGTGAGTCGAGTCTTTAGTCCTTCCACTATGTACAGAATATGCTAACATGGTTCGTCGCTAGCCCATCGAATTCTTAACCTCATACATCACCTACGCAAAAACGAACATTCATCCTGTTTTAACTCAACCGGCAGCGGATGCGCTGACGGATGCATACGTCGCAATGCGCAAGTTGGGTGATGACATTCGAGCTGCAGACCGTCGCATCACCGCAACGACGCGTCAACTTGAGTCCATGATCCGTCTCTCGGAAGCGCATGCACGAATGCGTCTCTCTTCGGAAGTGACAGCAGAAGATGTTGAAGAAGCCGTGCGTCTGATTCGATCTGCTCTCAAACAAGCTGCAACTGATGCACGCACCGGACTGCTTGATATGAGTCTCCTTACCGAAGGCACCAGTGCAAGTGAACGGCGTCGCCGTGAGGACTTGAAGAAAGCCGTCCTTAGCACGGTGGACGAGATGGGTAGTTCTGGCGGTGCACCTCGCTGGACAGACGTGTATCGCAGACTCGGCGAAAACAGCAGTATTGAAGTGGACGGCGGTGATTTCCAAGCTGCGGTACGAGCGCTGGAAACCGAGGGCCTTGTCAATGTGGTTGGCGATGGCCCTCGACGAAGCATTCGAAGGGTGGGGGGCACCATTCTATAGTAGTCTTTTTATTTCTGTTACTATCTCTTTTCACGTGTTATGGAGCATTGGTTCTTCTGATCATCCCTTTGTTACGAAGATCACGGTATGGGACTATGATGTTAGGTCATGAATTTCAATCTACTATATCTACGGACAAGCCAATCGGAGAGCTTCATTGTCTGCGCCCTCTGATTGGGCCGCATCCAACTACGTAGAGTCTGAGTGTTAATCACTACTAAGTAATAATTAGTTACTAACCCCACATGCTAAACCACATATGGAATGTATATCTTTCGGTAAAGTGACACGTTTGGTATCAAACATGTTTGTGTATTGGTAATATTGTATGTACATATGGAAATCCTAGAAGATTCAATACTCAATGCAAACATAATAAGGTGGGAACGTTGCAGTTATTATTATCTTTCTGCATCTCATACTTGATAAAGAGTTACAGAGCACTACAGAGTAGAAATAATTTAATAGTCAAGCAGAATTAGGAAAGGCTCCACAGAGTGTATAAAAATGATGCCATTTCCGTCCGTTACTATGTATATATAGCTAAGTGTTGCTGCATATTCTAGTAGTCATAATGTGGTCCCAAGGCTAGTTAATAAACACCAGAGCACTAATATTAACTAGGTCTTACAGATGGATCTGAGTCTTGAAGAGAAATAACTTATAGTATCTGATTAAGAAATGATGTATGATTGTTGGAAATCCAGGAATCTCGCATGCTATAAACGCTATTTGACAACAATATTATACTCAACAATTCTCTTTTAACAAGCCTCTTCTATGTTAGCATACATATAGAATCCAACTGTCTTGCACCAATTCACAATAAGAACATCAAAAATTTGACAAGATATTAGATTCCATACTACATTGGCATCATAAATACACAATCCTCCTCCAAAGAATATCAGCGATTTCGGGTGAGATTGTACGAGAGAGCCTTGACCAATAATAGAGAGAAGCTAGAAGCGAGGAATGTCGCCTATAATCTGACATGTGCTCAAGAAAGAGATCTAAGACCAGCTAAAGACTAACAGGAAGCGTTGGGTTAAAAATTTACAGTTCATAATAAATATGAAGAGAAATTCTCTTACTGTACCGTCTGTCTCCTATCTAATGGCAGCCCTTTGCTTATTGACTTGACTTCTAGGATGAACAATTTATTTTGAACCTGGCAGAAGTGACTCTTATCTCCTTATCTTCGTTAAGTGGTTGTTTCATCTGAATGATTTGCCACTGCTCAGTTTTGCTATATTATGAAACGCAAGGAATGAAGTTGAATTGTACATAATGGGAACGCTAGAAGAATTAGATTAAAACCTTGTGTAAACAGAACACTCCTGGTCTATTGATAATAAGTAGAACACTGTATTGTAGAATACTTGCATTGGGAGTATAGCACGCGGTTAGCGGTTGATTGGATCCTCCTCACATCTAGTTTACGATTAGGCTTAGTCCGACAAAATCTGAGAGCCTACTTTCCGACCCACGGTGATCTAAGAGATATGTGATACTGATAGCAAGGTAAAGTACGGTCTTGCTACAAAATTAAGCAGGATTGAAACGGCCCACGGGCAGGGGTCTCCTGAGAACATGGGAACGAGAGGTCTTCAATCAAAATACCACAGCGAATATCCTTTCAATAAATTCGATTTACGGACCTCCAGTCGTGGGCTAGTTTTACAATGAACATAGCTGTCAGTAGAGTATCCTGTCAGTATAGATTTGAGTGTCACTCACAACAGGTGGAATAGCAATGCCGCTCCCGTTGTCAGTCCCTCCGCTGCCAGTTCCTCCGCTGCCAGTTCCTCCGCCGCCAGTTCCTCCGCCACCGTTGTCGTCATTGGCGTCTTCCTGCTTAGGGTGCTCTTCTCGGAACGAAAAACTACTCCCGCTAGGATCAATGATGATATTCGGCCCACCGTCTGGGAGCAATATACAGACAGCTCTGCGTCCATTCCCGTGGTCGTAATGGCACTGCATATTGGGAAATAGATATTTCTATCAGACTGCTATCCTCAGCCGAGAATGTGCAAGTGGAGGAATATTTTTTTCACGCAGAAGAATGAGGAATTATAAGAAACTCTTCAAGTAGCACGCACCTCAAACCTGGCTGATAAATGCCCTGTATGTACCGTTGTTACTATGGGTATATAGATATATTTTGTCAATTCTGGCGCAAATGAGGTACAGAGAGGATAGGGTGTGGTATACGAGTACTAGATTTATACGTTCTGCGACAGTGGATGTCATATGGCGTTGTAAGTGCTACGAAATCGTGATTCCATGTTCACTAATCAGTTATTTGCGAAATGTCATACTTGGGGCTAGAGCTTGACACGATCCATGGGTTACCTGCATAGGTTTGAGTAGGCAATACCAACCCACGAGCTGGTTCCGGTCAGAGAGCCATTCAGACTCCGAGCATACTTAAGTGAACACTCAGATTGGTACTCCTGTTTGCAGCCACTGCGCATCTGCGAAATAGCAAGCCTCCCCACTTTGGTCCGTATCCATAGATAAGCACATGATCTGAAGGGCTAGGCTTGACCTCATCTCGGTTCGAGCAGAGATATAGTGAGAGGTTAATTATAGATGGGACAATTCCCGTGGCATAAGTGGAGCACTGAGCAGCCAGTAGCCAATAAGAGTATACCGCGTGAGATATGGTCATTTGGTGTTTATCACCGCCAGATTAATCAACGAATATTAGCTGGTATGAGTGGGTATGGGGAGAGATTGTGTTGGTAGAAAGCTTGTAGTTGTGGGTTCTACTTGTTTAGTTTTTCATTAGATGTTCTTTTTGCTTGGGGAAAGCTGAATACTAGAATGTTGATAAGAGAATATCAATTCTTTCTGTAGAAAGGCTGCTATCTCCTTGATATATAAACCAAGTTTGTAACAGTAGTGAGGTGATCATACAGCGCGTTAGACATTAGAGGCATGAAAATCGGTTGGTTATTGTTGTTATACGACCACACTTCTACAACTTTCTATAAATATTTAAGACTGAATAGCAAGGATATTATGTTGCGTCTGCAATTTGCTGGTGAAGTACATTTCTTACTATGGATCACACGGACGATCATTTTATGCTTGTGTACTTTGATGTATCTCGCTATTTTGCCTTACTGTACTGTAGAAGATCATTCAAATGAACTGTTTACATGAGTACCTTAGGTTTGAACTGACATCATAGTGAAAGAACGTAATTTTTAACCTGTAACAATACAGTTTGTACGAACTCGTTCTCCGTATGGTAACTGGGAGAGAGCAAGGTGAAACGCACTAGTCCGATTATGGAGACAAGCTTCGCTTCTCCACCACACTAAATCTGCAATCTTCAAAACGTGAACGCATCGCAGAGGCTGGTTGGCTAATCTACGAAGCTGCAGTACGCAAAAAAACCAGGCCTGCTTCTTTGCATGAGGAATCTGTGTATTTGAGTGTACCTAGGATGGCAGAGAATATCAATGTACACGCAAATAGCTAACTGCACTAACTAGAAGGCTAGGAGTCGTGCTGAAGAATAAGCAATCGTCCATCAGCCTGCCAGCTTCGAATAGCTTTCTAGATGGTGATGTCCGTAAAGAAGAGAAAGCAAGCAAGCAAAAGCAACAAAGACGGCATAAGTGCTGTAACTTGTGCATGTAATAATGTTCGTATACGGATGTATTGACTGACTCTGGATGGATCCGGCAAAACTGCTCCACTTTCTTGCTCTCCTCCCTCTCACCTGCGCCTTCTTCGCCTCTCACTCAACCTCCCTCTTCTGTCCCTGCTCCAACAGCTGGTCGCTTGGTCTACAGAGCCCGGGCATTTATTGCTGTCTGGACTCGTATATACAGTGCCAATCCAATTGAGGACTGCTAGGCCGCGTCCTGACTCGAACATCTTCTGATTCTGATCTGATCTTATCTATCGTGAGATCGATTAGAGCTGGAAGATAACGAACCATCTGCTTTGCCGCGCCCAACCACCACAACGATCGCCCTGTGTAACACCGGACACTCAATCGCCAATCATGAGGTACAATTTTCTGATCCATTGGATGAATGCATGCGTGCCTTGCTTGCACTCCCTGCATATCCGCTGCCCAGAAACCCCAAATGCCCAATCAGTGGGCGTAACACAGAAAGAAACGCTAATGTGGTACATTCCAAATGAATAGGTTCGGTGAACAACTCCGCTCGTCCATGATCAAGGACTATTTCTGGCATTATATCGCCTACGATGATCTGAAAGATGCCCTCAAAACCCAATATGTCACCGATCCCAGTCCGTCTAATCCAAAACCCGACCGCAAACCCTGGACAGAATCCGACGAGAGACGCTTTGTCGCCTTGCTAGAAAGTGAGCTTGACAAAGTCGCTACCTTCCAGAGCTTGAAAAGCAATGAGATCATTCAGCGCATCAAGGCTAGCGAGCGAGAAGTTAATCATGTGGTCTCCCGTCTGGATATCCCGGCTTCTGGTTCTCGTCGCGCTTCCGAGAGGCCCACGGATGAAGATTTCTTGCTTCTCGAGGCTGATTTGAGCGATATTATTGCCGACGTGCACGATCTTGCAAAATTCACGCAATTGAACTATACCGGGTTTCAGAAGATCATCAAAAAACATGACGTAAGTTTTCCTCTGCCCTGGTCTGAGAGAAGTTTACTAAATAAGCAATGAAGAAACAAACCATGTGGTATCTCAAGCCTGTGTTTGCGACCAGGCTGAATGCGAAGCCATTTTTCAAGGATAATTACGATGCTTTTGTTGTCAAGCTCTCACGACTCTACGATCTGGTCAGGACCAAGGGTAACCCTGTCAAAGGCGACTCTTCTGCTGGCGGGGGCCAGCAAAACTTTATTCGACAGACAACCAAGTACTGGGTACATCCAGACAACATTACCGAATTGAAATTGATCGTTCTCAAGGTTTGTCATTGCTTAAGGCTAGATAAAACCTGCCTACTAACGTGGACATTAGCATCTCCCCGTCCTAGTATTCAATCCTAGTAAGGAATTTGAAGAAAAAGACTCCGCCATTACATCAATCTATTACGACAATCCGGATACATGGGAACTCTATAAAGGTCGCCTTCAGAAAACAGAGGGCGCAGAGGCCATTCGTCTACGGTGGTACGGCGGGATGGATGTTGACCAGATATTTGTCGAACGCAAAACACACCGAGAGGATTGGACAGGAGAAAAATCGGTTAAGGCACGATTTCCAATGAAGGAAAAATATGTTAATTCATACTTATCCGGCGACATGACTGTTGGATCTGTCTTTGAAAAGATGCGGAAAGATGGCAAAAAGTCTGAGCAGCAGATTGCCGACTGGGAAGCTCTCGCAAAGGAAGTTCAGTATCGCGCAGTCACCCGTAATCTCCAGCCTGTTTGCCGAACGTTCTACCATCGTACTGCTTTCCAATTGCCAGGTGATGCCCGTGTGCGGATTTCTCTGGATACCGAACTGAGCATGATTCGCGAGGACAATTTGGACGGGCGGAGACGTGCTGGCGACAATTGGCGTCGTATGGATATTGGCATTGATTGGCCATTCCGACAATTACCCCCGGAAGATATTGAGAGATTCCCATATGCCGTTCTTGAGGTGAAGTTACAGACGCAGGCTGGACAGGAACCGCCCCAGTGGATTCGTGACCTCACCGCTAGCCATCTAGTGGAGGCCGTACCCAAGTTTAGCAAGTTCATTCATGGCTGCGCAACTCTGTTCCCTGACAAGATCAATCTTTTGCCATTCTGGTTTCCACAGATGGACGTCGACATCCGAAAGCCAGTGACCCGTAAGTATGGCATTGAACGGCCTACCCAAAGCACCAGTATATCTACCTCTGGCATGGTAGATGACGATGACGATGAAACCGATGATGAAGTGGAACAGCGGGGTGATAATACCGCTACCGATGGGACACAAATCGCCAATCCTGCAATCTATGAACGTCGTTTGACCGAAGCAACCCGCAATGAACTGGATGTCGAAGAACGTGTTGGTGTCGATTTTCTTGCCGGTGATGAGGATTACCCGTTGTATGACTCGGATGATGAGTCGGACTTTGATGATGCGCTGGAAGAGGCGCGTCGTGTTGGAGGGCCCTACTACTACCGCATGCTACTAAGTAGTTATCTTCAACGCACAGGGCATATCACTTGGGAAGTCTTGAAGGCCATTACACCACGGCCTAGGGCCACACAAATTCCAGAGGCTGGTAGCAACGGAATCACCGTACTTGGGACTGGCAAACGTACAGTGAAGCGCTTCACTGCCCCTAAGGGGAAGCGTAAGTGACATAACCTTTCTTAAGTATATTTAGAAACGCTAATATTTCATCGAAGGCATCCACGTCCCCATTCGCGTCGAACCCAAAGTCTACTTTGCGGCAGAACGCACATTCTTATCATGGCTTGAATTCTCCATCCTCATCGGATCCATCGCAGCGACACTCCTAAATTTTGGCAGCGACTATGTAACATTCGCATCAGCATGGATATTTACCACCATCGCCATCATGTGCCTCCTCTACTCTGTGATGCTGTACGTATGGCGCGTGGACAAGATCCGTAAAAGACGCGACGTCAAACGCATCTACTACGAGAAATGGGGACCGACCATGCTCTGTCTGGGCCTGTTATTGGCTGTGCTAGTCAATTTCATTTTGAGGGTGAGGCATGGCAATGGCATTGCATCTGATAACAACAGTCAGAGTCAAAACCAGATTGTTGCCAATATGTCTTCCTATGATATGCGCGGGTTGGAGCTTTGATTTGTTTGTCTTTGTTCGTCTTCGTGTGATTGGGTTGTCAGATACCTTTTAGATGTGTGTACATTGGAAACTGTAAAATTTGGTGGATAGATATGTATGAGAGTATATTATTATACTATATTATATGTTATATGAATTTACCTTGAACTCTGAGCATCTGTCTACATAACTAAAGTAGATGATATATATATATGGGCGCCAAGCCAGCTAAAAGTCTACAACTATCAAACAACCTACCCAATAAACATAATAATATAAAATATATAAAGCCTTGTAACACTTTGAGCAAACGCCTTTGATGTGCGCTCGAGGTCGGTGTTCTGTATAAGCCCAATTTGTGAGGCTAATCTGATATGTATTGTATACGGAGAAGAGCAATATGGCAAGCTTCAAGTAAAGTATATATAACCACGCTATATTTAGATTGGGGATTCCAAATATTCAGACAACACTAGGACGTCAAGAGCGAACGCATATGAATCAACGACTTGAGTCTATCTGCAATAAGCCCTTCACCGCCATGCACACTCACTATTATCACAATTCCAGCACCGTCCACTCAAGCATGTGCAGGATCGTGGAACTCTCGGTGTTCTCCACCCACGTCCTTCTCTTCACCAAAGGCGTGTGATTTCTCATTCTTCTTCTTCTCGGTCCAGGTGATAGTAGGCTTCCAGTAAACACTCTTCCTAGCCGAAGTAACCTCGCTGTAGAGCTCATCGACCTCCTCCAAGGTCAAACCTTTCGTCTCATAGATCATGGTGTACACGAACGCGATGCAGAGGAAGCAGCAGCCAAACCAGATGAAGAAAATCTTTGATTGAAGGTTGGCATTACCAGGTCCATAGTTGACCAGGTACGGGGTTGAGAAGCTCAGAGCCCAGTTGAGAAGCCAATTGGTCGCGGTGGTCATGGATAGGGATTTGGCGCGGACTTTGAGAGGGAATATTTCTCCTGTCACCACCCTGAATTCCCGTCACTATTAGCACGTTTTTTTTTTCCCCGAACATATAAAACAACGGAAGCAAGGAGGGTTGGGACTTACCAGGCGATCGGTCCCCAAGAGGCAGCGAAAAAGAAGATAAATATACAAATGAAAGCAATGGCGGCCTTTTGAGCAGCTTGATTGTGGACAATAATATTCCCAAGTTCATCCTGACTGGTGGTAGTCGTTCCCAACACGGCAACGAGCAGCTGAGAGACAGTCATTCCAATTGCTCCCCAAAGCAGGACCGGACGTCTTCCCCACTTGTCAATGGCATAAAGACCGGGAATAGTAGAGCCGACGTTGACACAGCTGGTGATCAAGCTGATGATAAACTCGTTCTTGAACCCGGAGTTCTTGAAGAATTGAGTGCCGTAGTAGAAGATGAAGTTGATGCCGGTCAACTGCTGAAGAGCTTGGAGGAAGCATCCAGTCATAAGACGTTTGCCGAGGCTGCCCTTGAAACACTCAATATACCCAGCACTCCCGATACTCATCTCGTACTCATGGTTGGCCTGGACCTCTGCAAGCTCATCGAGCAATGCGGGATCAGTTACAGGGAGCCGTCTGAGCTTGGCCAAGCTGCGGATTGCCGCTTGGTGGTTGTCTCTCTTGATCAGGTAGCGGGGTGTTTCTGGAAGGATGAGCATGCCAACCACCAGAACAATGGCCCATGCGAATTGGACCGCGATTGGGATACGGTAGCAACCAGTATCATCACGCGAATGAGTGGCATTGTTCACCACAGCGGCTAGTAAAAGACCAACTGTGATGGCAAACTGGTACGAGCCAACAATAAACCCACGAATCCATTTCGGGGCCGTTTCAGACTGGTACAGGGGGACTAGTTAGACTCTGTTAGCCCTAGGACAAATCATGCTGCTGGGGGAAAATAAAAAGACTCACTCAGAGCTGAGATTAAACCCACACCAAAGCCAGCAAAGAAACGTCCCGCTAGAAACAGTGGGATCGCCGTGGCAGCAGTTTGAAAGGCGACTCCGAGCGAAAAGACACCGGACGAGGCAATCAATCCCCAACGACGACCAACGAGATCTCCCATGGGGGCAGCACCCAGTGCGCCAAAGAAGGTGCCGGCAGAGAGAATGGAGACTATGGCCGAAGACTGACTGGAGGTAATGGTCAGACTGCCAGTGGAGTCTCGGTAGCCTGTAGAGAAAGTCCTCTCCCAGTACGGCATGGCAATGATGCCGCTGATAGTGCCTGTATCATATCTACACTGAACAATTAGCTCAAGCTCGCTCTCAGTCCTTTTCGATCAAGGGCCGAGTACGTACCCGAATAGAATACCTCCAAACGCGACGAAGCCGCTGATCAGAATGGCAGGCCACGCCTTTCCCGCGGTCCCCGCGGGCTGTTTGAGTAGGATACCCATGGCGTGTATATAGGAACTTAAAATGAAGAGTAAATTTTGCTGAATTATTCAAGGAGATGCTGTTGGTCAAGAGGATTGGAGGAGCGAGACGGCCCTTTTATAGGCAGCCCTGAAAGCGACGGCCAGGGAGTACCTCTCACCAGAACAAACCTTCTGAATCACATGGTCCAGTAGAAACCTGACAAGCACAGACTGCGGGGGGAAGGGGGACAACAGTGTTACAGTCTGTGCCGTACAAAGATGAGGTCCAAGCCTCCAAGGGCTCCTATCCTGGCGCACGCGGTCTGACTGCGGTAGCGAGGCTGAATACACTGCGATTCATTGGCAATACGTAGATGGGCGTATAAAGTTAAACTTTCGTCGGAGCAAATAGTCCATCCGCGCTGAGAAAGAGTAGTTCTTGGTATTTGTCTCATTGGTTCCGTAGGTGAAGGGTTAGTCGTTAGGGGGAGTTTCGTCCTCCCCGCATTTCGCTCGTTCAACCCCATGGGGCGCTGCGTTCCTTGGTCAACGGCTTTCCGGTGACTGAATCGAGCAGACTAAAAGTCTTGGATCTCATTCAATGATCCTGACACGGACCTGGCATGTAATCAGTCAGATATAGAGAAAATATAGCAATCTATAAAACAGTCAAGTGCGTCATCTTCATGTACAGTATGACCGTGACAGAATCATCGTAGATCCGAGTTGGAGCAAACCAACCTTAGGTTTACCCAATGTGTATAGCAAGGCCAAACTATTAGTATAAGTGCTTCTTGATCTTCGTCATTGATCTGTATGTAAGTCCATGAAATTCCAAGGTTCTTCTTACCTGTGAAATCCGTTAGGGCTACGGCACTGTAGTGCGTTGAGTCCGTATACTGTATTCGTTCGCGTCTCCATGTCCCTAGTTTGAGAGCAGAGTTTCTATTCTCATACAATTGCACCATACTGTACCTTAGCTAGGTAATTCCGTAAGTAATTGCACGCTCTTTGGCAGTTTGGCTGGCTCGTAGAATCAAGGGTATTTAATCTATGTATAGCTGAGGTACAACGACCGACTACCTACCTAGGCAGGCCGATACCTTTTCATTCCTATACTGAATTATGATATGATATGATATGGTATACACGAGAAATTAACTTAGCACAAATACACTGAAGAACAAGAAAGAGAGCGTATAACACAAATTGATTTCTCTATTGCTTTTTTCCATTTCATCCCCTAATTTCTTAATAAAATCATCGCTTCTTGATACTCACGTCCAAACTTCCTATGAACCATATACCTGCGAGTACGGCCAATAGGCCCGCTGCAATGGTTAGGGGTTTGCGAAGGCCGGCTGTGAAGGAATATGTGTACGTGACCTGGTTTTGTCGTTAGATAACTAGCTGTAAAGAAAGGGTGGGAAGAACAAGCCCCCCCCCAAAAAAAGAAAAAAAAAATTTAAAAGACTTACTAGGATTTCCGAATCTCTAGCTTCGTCAGACAAGTTATCAACCTTCAAGGTCAACGCGGTGCGTCCAACGGTGTCCATGAACGTGCGGTGAGTGGAAATGCTAGACTCAATGCGCGATGCGTCTGGGAGGCCATTTGGCGCATCGCCATCGACTACTTCGTAGCGAACATCCGTTGCGCCCTCGGGAAGAATGACACGGACGACAACATGGTCGTACTGAATACCCTCAGAAGCAATGGGTCCCTCAATGAAAGGGACTTTGAGAGCGTACGACTCGGCGCCAATCTGTCGCAAGAATGAGGAAAGCTGGTTGTTCCATCCCACGCGGAAACTGTACTTCCAGCCACCGAACAGGGGATAGCGAGGCTTGAGCTCAAGGTGGGCATCTCGGCCAGGTTTTCCGGGTCGATAGCGACTGGTAGACACATTGCCGACATCATCTGTGAAATAAGGATCGACAGAACCCGGTTGGAGCGGGTATACCAACTCCTGCAAAGCAGAAGTGGTCGCAAAGCCGCCGTACGAGGTCTTGGCCCATTCGACTCGGTCGAAGTTCTTGGATAGGTTGGCGCCGTCGTTTCGGAGCCAGTAGCGCTCCTCGATGGCAAGGTTGCCTCCCCAGTGGGATACCTCGATGTCTCGTTCTAGTAGTGAGCTGGCTAGGACGGGTTTTGTGGATTCAAAGCGGAAGCTCAGCGGATACGTGGCACCAGGCGCCACCTTGGTGTATGGTCCATATGTGTAGGTGCTGCCTTGCTTCTCCGGATCACTTCCTGACTTAAGCTTTGAGGTAGTTGTGTAGTCGGGGACCTTGGAACTGGGGAATTTGACTTTGGTCTTTTGCGTCTCGGTCTGGTAGGCGGACGGCGCATAAGCATCTAGCTTGTATGTCAAGTATTGTGAGTCCTTCTGCTCAATAGCCTTGGGGAGAGGGCTGAAAGAGCCCAGAATATAATATGAGATGCTGAGAGTAGTCTGTGAGGATGGAGATAAGGGCTCGAGGAACCGGATCTTATAGAAGTGAGAGTCGCTGTTGTTCATTCTATATTAGCTGGCGCACTCGCCGCTTGACCATACCATTCTGTCATGACAACACGCACCTGTCCTCGACCGCCACAGCAGTCACTGGGAAGCTCCCTTTTCCAGGGGATTTCTTATCGCGCACCTCGAACCCCCCAATGCGGCCGAACACATCAGATGGGAACGGGAGATAGTAATCGCTTTGGGGCTGCTTGTCTGTATTCTGCACCACCACATTGATCGTTTCACGAACATAGCCCTTCTCCAAATTGGTGTTTCGCACTAGATTCGTATTCTTAAAGACCTGTGGCGGTTTGAAATCATTGCCCAGGACCAATTGTCCTTTGGTGGCCTCCGCAGCGCATAATAGTATGCTGCAGCTTGTTGACAGCAGCCCAGCGGCGATGCTGAGGAATCTCATTGTGACAGTGGCTGGGACCACAACGGGTCTGTCGTGGACCGCTTGCGGGTGACCAGGCTGCTTTTATGCACTGGCAGCTGGAGAAAGGGAGATCCTAGTCCGATCGATGACAATGGGCAGAAATGAAGCTGTGGTGCAATCGTTGTATGTTTCTGATAGGGAAAGAGCTTAGGTGGCCCTCCGCCGCGGCTGTACGGGAGGCGTCTCGGCCACTTGACGCACTCCGCATTGCTTCATCGTTCGCTATGCGGGGAACTACGCATACATTCGTTCTTTCAGCATTCAGGATTGTCAGTGTCAAGATTTAACATGCTCTGATTCGAACATTGAACCCGTCTCGTATCCCCATGGCAATTGCCTTTGCTGCCGCTGCACGCCTTCGCAGCTGGCCCAAATCACCCCGTCTTTTCTCTCACAGGCGCATTTCCCAGAGGGCGTCGGATTTCGCCAGGAGTCGATTCTTCCAGGTATCAGATGAAGTCAGAGATGCGATAGCTACTGGCAAGCCAGTCGTCGCTTTAGAATCAACGATATACACACATGGTAAGCCTCGGCCTCTGTGAATCTCCAAGTACTATGCTAGTACTAAAACAGCCAAGGCTTCCCCTATCCCGACAACGTCGCGCTCGCCTCGTTGCTGGAATCCGTTGTTCGCAAAAATGGCGCTATTCCTGCAACAATCGCCGTGTTCAATGGTGTAGCACGAGTAGGATTAAATGCCGATGAAATCATCGAAGTAGCTGCCAGTGCCCGGTCGAGGACTGCATTGAAAGTGTCACGTCGGGATCTCGGCTACATCTGTGGACTGGTATGTCTCTCGAAGATGAGATGTCATGATTGAGGTTGCTGAAGATGACAAAGGGACTATCCGGCAAGCCTATCCATGGCGGCACCACCGTTTCAGGAACTATGATTCTTGCTCATCTGGCCGGTATCAAAGTCTTTGGCACTGGTGGATTAGGTATGCATACCTATACCTGAATATACGCACTAGCTAATACAAGTAGGGGGTGTTCACCGCGGGGCAGAGGTCTCGATGGACATATCAGGTAAGCAGAGCAAGAGAACCTTCGAGTAGGACCGCTGTCACTAAAAACATAACTAGCCGACTTGACAGAACTAGGGCGGACTCCTGTTGCTGTAGTCAGTTCTGGCTGCAAGAGCTTCTTGGACATTCCCAAGACTCTTGAATATCTCGAAACCGAGGGTGTTCTCGTTGGCACCTTTGCTGACGGGCGGAAGGGCCATGTTGACTATCCAGCATTCTGGACTCGAGATAGTGGTATACTGAGTCCCAAGGTGATTGAAAATGAACAAGATGCCGCGGCCATGATTTGTAAGTCTGCCTATTCTGGGGACTCGAAAATCATGACTAACTGATTGCTTAGTTGCTCAGAATAAGCTGGGTCTGAACGCCGGAATTCATTTTGCAAATCCTGTGCCAGAAGAATACTCTATTCCGAAAGCCAAAATGGATAGACTTATCGATGAGGCTGTTGAGGCAGCCAATGCAGAAGGTTTTCGTGGAAGTGATTACACGCCTTTTATTCTTGCGAAGATCAAAGAACTCAGCGGTGGAGACAGTATCCCGGCAAACCGCGCACTCATTGAATCAAATGTGAAGCGAGCAACGAAGGTGGCTGTGGAGTTGGCAAAACTCGAAGAGGCACAGAACGGATCGGAGCATCGGTGAGCAGGCTATGATGGCTTTCACCACACGGAGGGCTTTGCTGATGGGTTGTATATACGCGAACAGGTCAATACCAGTGAGTTCTATTTTGACGCCCTCAGCTAGCTCATCAGTCACAACGCCGACGCATCACACAGGAAGCGTAGAGACTGTAGCACACGACATGGGAAAAGTAGATGTTCTAGTCGCAGGCTCTCTTGCCATCGACCTCTCCTGTGACTTTGCCCCCTTTGGCAACCGAAAGGCCGAAGTCACCCCTGCCCCGAACACCTCAAATCCAGCTGTAATCGAGCAGAGTCTAGGAGGCGTTGGCTACAATGTCGCGATTGCGTCGAGTTACGTTGGAAGTAAGACCCTGTTCTGCAGTGCTGTTGCAGATGATTTAAGCGGCAAAGCAGCTCTTGTGGCAGTTGAAAAAGAGGGCTTAAGTACTAGAGGCATTCAGACATTGTCTCCCTCACTGGGCGTTAGGACAGCTCAGTATATTGCTGTCAATGACGCCAAGAAGGACTTATTCGTGGCCATGGCGGATATGGCTATTTTGGAGCTTCCGGAACACGATCTGGATATGGAGGACTTCTGGGGTTCTCTGTTTGCGCGGACGCAGCCTGATTGGGTTGTTATTGATGCTAATTGGAGTCCAGCGGTGATCTCCAAATGGGTCGAATTTAGCAAAACCGTCGGTGCTCGAATCGCATTCGAGCCTGTCTCTACGGCCAAGTCTACAAGACTATTCAGCAAAGCGACAGACAAAAAATCGTCTGTAATAGGATCTGCTGACACCGTCCCCAATCAAAAGATTGACCTTGCCGCGCCCAACGAACTCGAGCTCGCATCGATATACTCTACCGCTCGTGAGAATGGATTATTCGACTCTTCTGAATGGTGGAATATCATCAATGCGTTGAACCTGTCAAGCGCGGGATCTCGTGATTTACTCGTTGCCGTCACATCCAATTCATTGGTCGATGCAGGCATACCTCAACAGAGCATCCAACTACTACCTTTTATCCCATGTATCATAACCAAACTGGGACGACAGGGTGTTTTACTCACGCAGCTTCTGCCCCGCGGCGATGACCGTCTGAGCTCACCTGATTCTGCCCCGTATATCCTGTGCCGAGCAGATGATCAAACTGGGAACGAAATGGTTGGCGGAGTTTATATGCGTCTGTTCCCGCCGGAGACGGTACTCTCTGATCGAGATGTGGTTAGTGTAAATGGGGCTGGTGATACACTGCTGGGCGTTGCTGTTGCTGGGCTGGCTAGAGATGGAGCTAGAAGGCTGGAAGACATCATTCCTATGGCCCAAGAGGCTAGTCTATATACGCTGCAGAGCCAGGGAGGTGTCAGTTCTGGGATTAAGAGACTGAAGGGATTGATATAAATAGGTAGATGCGTGTTAAATAATAATAGAGCCTTGATTAAGTTTATATACCTATTTGTACTATAGATATTTGTCGTATTTTTAAAATCTGGCAGTTACTATGTTCCTATTGAGAAATGCTGTTTAGAAACTGATGAATGCTGCATCGTCAGTCTCAAAGGGATGGATCGAAGAGTCCAAGGTCGTTCAATTTTCTCTTTCCTACAATCGTAAGCTCTCATCACAGAGCTTTGATATATGTCTAGGTCTCAAACCTTGAAAAGCAACCTTGGAAAAAGAACATTAGAAGATTGAAGTATATTCCTTCAAATAGCAAGACAAGGCGCTACCTAGGTACAAAATCACAAGCTCTTGCTTTTTATTTTCTGTTGCGTCACAGATAAGTCCGTCGGGGTAATATTCGCAATGTATTCTCTAAATTCCTCTGGAAAATTACACTCCTTCGTCCAGAAATACTCGCCTTCCGACCAACAATTGTACTGGCAGGCCTCTTCACGGAAACCTTTACTAAAAGCTTGACTGTTGATACACTGCCATGCGAAGATGCGTGATAAAGCATGTGACGTTTCCCTTTAATAGGGACATTGACATCCAAGCCTTGGCGGAGAAAGTATACTACAATCTCAGGGAAGTTCCTCTTGCAAGCCTCGTAGCAAAGTAAATTGTAGTATGCTTTGATTGCTCTTTCGCGCAAGCGCCGTCAGCGGAGTTCCCTCAACATAAAATCGAGAGCTTCCTTATTTCCAGAGCTGACAGCACAATAGATTGGCGTCTTTTTCCTGCGACGAAGAAGCACAAGCCCTTGCAATCATTGCGCCTTGTCCCACCAGAAACTTGATCATATCAAACCGAGATTCTTCTACTGCATAGCACAACGCAGTCCTGCCTGAGCTTTCTTCAAAGTCGATGCTTACGCCTTTCTCTTCCTTCTGGAGTAATAATGTCTTTACCACATCAATATGGCCCAGGGCGGCCGCAGCTAGAAGTGGATACCGATGAGCCGTCGAGCCCAAAAGATCCCTTTTTCATCATGCTCCGACAATTTGTTCCGGCGACTCCAGAAACGGAAAATGACCACAACTGGTCTAAATGCCCTTTAAACGCAGCCAGTGAGACTCCTGCTTCGAAAAACATTGAGATTGCATTTGCATTTCCGTTTACGGCTGCATGAAAGAACTTTTTCTCCGCTATGTTGGTCTTGACTGCTCGTCAATATAACAAAGGTTCCACCACAGCAGTCATAGAACTACATGTCACTGACAATGCGTGGAGGTCTCCGAGACTCAGTCTGTCGGTCAGGAGAAGAAATAATTCACGGGGAAGCGTAAATAAGAGGATTGTCTTTGTTTGCCTGGCCATTGTTGACAGATAACACACACGCACCAACTGGCAGACAGAGATGGAGATGGTGGCTCGCCGAGGAGCATATACCTAGGCAACAATCCATGACGGCCTCCTGAGTCGTCCACCTCGTCATCGAACGAGGCATCAACGGACAGTTTGCACCGGATTATTTGGTACAATTGCTAGACACATGCAAATGGCGGCCTTCATCACCAACTGCCGCCAAGACAGCGACGTCCCTATAAATCCCGGGCTCTCTGTCAGTCACCCGAGGTCTTCTACTACTCTGCCACAATCAGCGACCGCAGCCTCAGGAACTGTGCACGCCGTGGTGGCTCCGAGAAAAGAAACCACGTATTCAAACGAGGTGGATGTAATCAATCAAGGTCGGCTCGTGAGGTCTTGCCGCATTCGGCGCGGGCCAATCACAGCGAGTGCATTTCATAGACATAGACATATGCATAGGCATAGGCACAACTCAAGAGGCGCAGGATAAAGCTACGTGGGCAACAAAAACAGCTGGCTGGCGACAAAGGATCCCTTGCTTGGCGTGGAACAAGGAATAAAGAAGAAAAAGAAAGGAGAAAAAAGCCAAATGCAGGCACCGCTTTGCTGCATGCAGAATTTTCCCACGCGAGGACGCAAGAATGCGCGGGGAGTGAGGCATTTTCCGTCAGCCCAGGGCCCGAGCAGTCGCATGGACTGCTGCGAGCCAGTATAAATAGCAGGGCGAGTTGAGTCTTGTGAGAGAGAGAGAGCGCGACAGAGAGAGAGAGAGAGGTACATGTATGACTAATGTAGCCGAAGACGCCATACTTTTGCTCCCCGCAGCAGCCTCGGACCTTCCCAGTTGCCAACCAACCTTGGAACCCTGCGAGAAAAACGTCGCGTCTTCGCTTCTTTCTTCGCTTCTTTCGTGCAGCTCTCTGCTCTTCTGCGCAGAGCACTGCGTGTTCTTTCTACCGCCGTTTGCACGATCCTCAGCACACTCTCCACTCCCGTGCAATTTGTTTCGTCGCAAAAGCTACCCTCGGCTGCATGCCCGAAACGCGGCGTGGATTGAAAGAAAACGGCCAATTGTGGCGACCACGCCGACAGCAGTTATCACAAAGAAACCGCGCGTTATTGTCGCCTCGAGACAATCGCATTATTCGCCAACACCAGCGTGCGTCTCGTCGTCCTGGTTTGCATGATTGAGATATCGTGGGCAAGGAACCCGGTGCGCTGGTTCGACAATTGCCCAGATTCGCCTTTACGCGCTCGACGATAGCATTTGGCACACAACACGACACAGTGAATTTTGTGCTTCGATTGGTTTCGACGGGACTTGAAAGGGCCGGTCGTGGTGAAATCTCTATACTGACGGCTGGCCGCGCAGAAGGGAAAAAAAAAGTTTTTTGTCATCCCATTTTTCACCCCAGCATGATGGACGTGGACAACGACAAAGACGATCTGCCCTCCGCCACAGATCACAGCGAGCACGAATCGGCTGATATGGTCAAGGTGGACGGCGCCGCGCGAGACACTCAAAAACCAGCTTCCAATTCCAAGGACCCCTCGCGGCCTCGCAGAAAGAAAGCACGTCGCGCCTGCTTTGCTTGTCAGCGGGCGCATCTAACTTGCGGTATGCCACCACTCTTCAACCAAGCGGTAGATTATAGCAAAAGAAAAAGCAAAACAAAATGCTTCTCCTTCCAGAAAACGATATGTCCTTTTTTTTCTTGTTTAAATTATATATACTAATCTTCAACAGGCGATGAGCGTCCTTGTCAGCGATGCATCAAGCGCGGTCTGCAGGATGCATGCCATGATGGAGTGCGAAAGAAAGCAAAGTACCTTCACGATGCCCCAGATGGTGCTCTTATGCCTGGAGCTGGCGGAGGTTACTTCAACCAAGGGAACGGTCTTCCTAAGAATGCCACGAACAATTTCGCGCCAAACGGAAACAACGCGCAACAACCGCAGCCAAAGCCGAACAACATATATACAGGCTCGACGCCGGCGCCAGCGCCCACCTTTAATGCAAACGGCTCGTTTGATGCGAATACTACACCCAGTCAAGTGCTGACAGATAGTGCGTCCATGAACCCGGGTCCTTTCACTGCCACGCCAGCTTCGCCTACATTCAGTATCTCCGCCTCCTCCGCTATACCAAATATTTCGCAGCCGGCCAGCGATATGGCACCGGGCACGGGCGCGGCGCAGAACTCCTTCGGGGCATTTTTTGATCCTAGCGACCCGGCTTTGTTCAATTTTGATCTTGCCAGCATGAATTTCGGCAATCGGTACGGTGCATTGGAGTTTGGGATGCTAGGCCATATGGCTACAGGTGCTGGAGACACACCGCCCAGTGACAGTGGCGCACAGAGAGGCTCGATTGGACAGCGCAGTAACTCTCAACAGTTCGGAACACCTGCTCCGGGAACCTTTACCGATAGTCCCAATCAGCAGTCATTCATGTTTGGGGATCCAGTCTTGAATGAATGGTCGACGGGGCAAAATCCCAATCGAATGGGTCTATACGGTCAAGGAGGAATGCACCTGTTGCAACAGCAACAGAAACAAGATGCGCCTCATGCATATGCCATTGGATCTGGTGCCTTTGCCAGTCCTTCATCGACAACGAGCCCTCATACATCGACAGCGCCGGCGGCGGCTTTTGAGGAATCGCCAATGAAGACCAAAACGGTGATATCAACCCCGCATCTGCGCCACCAGAGCCTATACACCACTTCCAATAAGAGACGGCTGCGGGAGCCATCGGCTATCTACGAGAGTGTTAAGGAGCCATATTCATACACTGGCGGGTTTCATAAATTGATTGCCTATATTAAGAGACGATTTTCACCGCCGAAGACGGTGCGCATCGCCAAGGCATTAGCGTCGATCCGACCATCGTTCATCGCTACGACCAAGACACTGGATCAAGACGATCTGATATTCATGGAGAGATGTTTCCAGCGCACGCTGTGGGAATACGAAGATTTTATCAATGCCTGTGGAACACCCACCATTGTATGTCGTCGCACTGGCGAAGTAGCGGCTGTCGGCAAGGAATTTAGTATTCTAACGGGATGGAAGAAGGAGATTTTACTGGGCAAGGAGCCGAATATGAACGTCAATACAGGAAACCCTCAATCCTCAGAACCCAACCCCTTCTCCTCATCGTTATCGCGCAGCAGCGGCGGAGCCAGTGGTCCTGGTCCCAGACTGTTTAACCAAGATAACAGCAACACGGCAGCGGTGTTTCTGGCGGAACTTCTCGACGATGACAGCGTGATTGAGTTCTACGAAGATTTTGCGCGACTTGCATTTGGCGACTCGCGCGGCAGCGTGATGAATACGTGCAAGTTGCTGAAATACAAGACGAAAGAAGACATGGATCTGGTCAAGACGGATGATGGAAGATGGAACTCGGCGGCGCATCATGTGGGCAAGGGAGGCATTGTTGGAGAGGCTGGCATGAATCGGTTAGGGTTCAAAGATGGACGGGTCGAGTGTAGTTATTGCTGGACTGTGAAGAGGGATGTTTTCGATATACCCATGTTGATTGTTATGAACGTGAGTCTTCCCCTTCTCTCTCTTCATCGTGTATGGTACTAATAAGAAACAGTTCCTACCGCACATTTGATTATTTTTTTTTCTCTTTCATTCCTTCCTACAGCCTGCCTTTGTCAGACTGAAAAAGACGTTTACTTTTTCAAAGTGATACCACACAATGTTTCTGTTTTTCTTTCTCTTTAGCCCTTGGATTCCGGGATGAACAGGCGTTGGACCAAAAGTTGGGGCACGTACATATCTTTCTGTTTATCATTTTATTTTCTCTTGTCATCTTCGAAGAGAAGAGCTGTAAATCGCGCGTGTCGTGTACATATACGATTGACAATCGGTAATTAGTTATACAAGACTATATCAAATAACTTGTCGATTGCTCGAATATAAGCATAGCAGAAAACTGACTAATAAGCGTCGCCGCGTCAGATCCACCCAACTACGTTTCGTCCACTTCCGCCCCGCGATAGTTATCCCGGTCTCTGGCATTTTATATCTGAGATAGATCTTCCTATAACTAACTACTCACAAAAAATACTGCTCTGAAAGGTAAGTATACTAATCTCGTAACATCCATCGTATCACCTGTATCTATCAAAGGATAGAACTAACCTGAGTACTAGGCCAAATCCCTTCCCGTGGGAGCATCAAAATCTCTCCCCATCTCAATCAAGACACATTCAAACGAAAGAGAAAAAGGGAAAAGAAAACGAAAAGGAAAAAAAAAAATAAAATGCGTCCAGACGGCCCTCGCGACCCCGTCGCTGGCCCAGACCAAGGGCCCCCAACCCCCTATCCAATCCGCCTCTCGGGCCCGGTCATCAAGGGCTTCGGACGCGGCAGCAAAGAACTCGGCATACCAACCGCCAACATCCCCGCGGACGGTCTAGCAGCGCATCCATCCCTGGAAACGGGGGTATATTATGGCGTTGCAGCGCTGGACCCGGCACGCTTCGTATACGAGGATGCTGTTTCTTCGTCGATTGCTACGTCTGAAGGGGGGGGGGATCGGAAAAAGAAGAAGGTTACTATCCTCCCTGCTGTGTTGAGTATAGGGTATAATCCATTCTATAAGAATGAGGTTAAATCTATTGTTAGTATACCCTTTACGAGTCATGTGTGAAAATGCTCGTGCTAATGATAGGTAGGAAATCCACATAATGCCCCCTCTAAACTCACCCAGTCCAACATCCCAAAACACAAAGGAGAGTAGCAGTGAAGAAGAGAAAGACAAAGAGCAATTCTTCAAACTGCCTGATTTCTACTCCACCACCCTCAATCTACTCATTCTCGGCTATATCCGGCCGGAATTCGACTATGTCTCGCGCGATGCGCTTGTGGAAGATATTCGGGTGGATTGTGAGGTTGCGAGGAACAGTTTGGAGAGGAGTGGGTATGCGTGTTATTTGGCTGATGATGGTGATGATGAGACTGAAAATGAGGCTGGTGATGAAAAGGGGAGAGAGGAGAGGGTGTGGTTGAGGCGTTTTTAGTTTTATTCAAGACGATATACGTATGTGCGTCGTATAGAATTGGAAGGTATATTATTAAGTCTAGATATCTGTCTATTGTATGCATGTTGTTGTATGTGCCTATGTAGTTGGCTATGAATGGATAGTTATATCAGAGAAGTCGCAAATTTACTCCTCTGGCGTAGTTGTTTGCCGTATCGGAAGAATATATACCTAGGTAAAGTCAGCAGTTTTCCCCTGACTCGAACTAAAAGAGATAGAGTACTTACGGAAATGGAACCATGGCCAATGTCAAAAACGCCAATAATGAAGACGCCCATTGAATCCCGAGTCGGTTATACACTGCATAAGAAGGGGGTGGTTAGCAAATTGCTTTTTCCTGCCAATGCAAGCAGTGTCTTGGCCAACGTGACACAACAGATCAGAGTCAAACAAACTTACTGTACGTTCCAAATAGAGGGAAGACGCCAGCAAAGCTCGATCGAGCAAAGCTGTTGGCGGCCAGCGCACTCGCTGCAAATTCAGGGTACGCATCAACCAGGAACGTGAAGATACCCGAATAGACGAGAATGACACTACAACATGGTATTAGCGTGATCAAATTAGACACACAAACAAGAAGTCTCATTGCATACCCCATTCCAAACACCGCCGTCCCAATAACCGGCGCGATCCAGGGGATATGCGGATACGCTGTCCAGGCGAAAATGAAGATGCCAATCGTCACGGGAGGAGCGCCTGCAATTGCTGTTCAACGAACCTCATTAGTACGTGGATTATGGGGAAGGAAACAACGTTAACAATGGACTCACCTGGGGGAAGACGCCATTCGGGCATCGTCTCTCCCTTCTCGCCCACCGCGTTCTCGTGATTGCGCTGCAAGCGAAGGTAGTTCTTCCGCCACAACGGATCTGTCGAAACAGCCACCATCATTCCAACGGAAATTCCCAGAAAAGTGCATCCGACTTGCCACAGTTTGAAATCATACACCTCGGTAAAGACTAGGTTGAATGCGCCGAAGAAGATGTATAGAATACCCAATAGGATGGCCGAGTACAGACACAGACACAAAACCATCAGCTCCTGGGTGAGAAGCAACATGGGCCGGTAGCAAGAACGTATTACAGTCTGAGCGACAGATCTGTCCAGTTTCTCGATGGGAGCGTAATATCTCTGATCCCTGGTTTCTTTGCGGAGTCTGATAGCTTTACGTTTCAAAAGTCTATCCACAATAATACGTCAACAGATGTCTTTGATACTAAACCGGATTCTCCATCAAAATTTACTCACACTGGGTGATAGGTTTCGGGGACGAGGAAAAATATCACAATTAACTGGACTCCAGACCAAATAAGCAAGGTATAAAACGTCCATCGCCTATCACAGTCAGTTTGTTATGTATGTAACCTTGCTAAAAGACCAGCAGTCAAGATTTCTTACCAAGTGGTGTATTGATTGATGAAACCTCCAACCCTGATTGCAAGTCAGCAAAATCCACGGGGGTTCACCAGAAGGGCATAATGATAAAATCTTACAAAGGACCAATCTGAGGACCAAAAAATGGACTCGCCGTAAACACCATCATCGGCGCCGCCAGCTCATGGCGATGGAACATATCACCCACGGTGCCGCCGGCGACGCTCAGGAAAGCCGCACCGGAAAGCCCGCCAAAAAACCGCACAACAATCAAGGTTTGTATATTTTGCGCCACTGCGCACGGAATCATCCAGATGACATAAAACGAAAACGAAGCGATATAGATGATACGGCGACCAAAGAATTCCGACAAAGGGGCTAGAAACAACGGCCCAACGCCAAGCCCAAAAATGAACGACGTCAAGCCGAGCGTTGCGACCTCATCGGAGCAGTGGAATTCCTTGGTTATTTGGCTATAGGTCATTGTATAGATGGAAGAGGTACAGGTGCTGTGCACAAGCGTCAGCATGCCTGCCTGCCTGCCAAATGAATCCCAACAGACGAGGTACGAATGATTGATCGACAACTTACACACAAACGGAGCCCAAACACACAACCAAGCAAATTGCCCATTTTCTCGCATAATTCATATTCTTCGGGTTTTCAGGGTCGTTCTCGTCCCATTTCACCACCAGTTCCGCCGTCGTCTCTGCATTTTCTGGTTCTTGCTGCTGCTGCTGCTGCTCTTCCTCCTCGTCATCTTCTGGAGCGGTGATACTGTATCCGTCTGTGCGCGAGATTGACCGTTGGATATTCAGGGAAGCTTGAGATTTGGTTTTTTGCAGATGATTTTCGCCGTGGTCCTTCTCGGACGAAGCTGTTATGGGAGAGAAAGTTGGGCCATCGGCATCTGCGGAGAGACGGCCTGTCTCTTTGTCCTCCATGTTGATGTTGATAGGAATGTATACAAGGTGCCAGGACTCCTCTGTTAACAAAGCCCCAGGTATATATACCGTGCTATATATTCAGAGAACTGAACAACGAACGCTGACAAATGCAAATTGATCAGACGAGTCGGCTGCTGCGGGTGGATTTTTTTTTTTCTTGGTTCCAAAGGAGGAACGCACCCAGCTCTTGCTCGGCAAGTAGTCCGAACCGGGCCGTACCTGGTGGATCAATCATAATACTGAGGTCCTTGCCGAGGCTGTAAACGCACTGTTACAGAAAAATAACAATAGATATGCATAAATTTGACATTTGATCAGTCTCGGAAATAGTTGTCCTATCTACGATCAACGGTTTTAGACAGCCACCCCTACTCGTTCCTAAGTGCAGCCAGTATATTGCCACAAAGTCTATTTGCTGCATAAACGTTCAACACATCCGGCTGCTTTCATCACCTAGTTAGAGACCCTGATTAATAGCTAGGGCTTGCTGTAATTAGAAGTGAGCCAATCAAACAGAGCTATCCGTTTGTTCTACCCGAGATCTGGAAACCTGCTCAATCGGGCACGTATACATAGCGTTTGATTCAAGATCTGTCATAACATCGTTACGCGCATGATTTGTTCTATGATAACATGTTACTATCATTGAGTGCATCAAGATGCCCGTCCCTGATACAAATAACTAAACAGCTGTCTTGAGATGTTCTATGACTACGTGACTACCACGTGCGGATGATGCTGCGGGCCGCACGGAACGTCAAGCAGGTGGAGCTCGCAATTTATCTAGCCGCAGATAAGATCTTTAATCTCTTAATTTCAGGTCATCAAATCCCAGGCATATATAGACTGTACATGTATTCTCAAGGATATCGAGAATGACCGTTATTGTACGTATACGTATTATCTTCCAGATCCTTGATCATTTGCGCGCGCTTGGAGAGTCGAAATCGCCCACATCTCTCGATGACGCCGTGCGTGAAGAGGAAGACGTGCAGCATCCTACACACTTGTCAGCTCTCTAGCAGATAATTGAAGCAGCTGAAAGAGAAATCACTCACAAAACCGGCACCGCAAACACGATGCCCGCAAGCTCAAGCGCTCCAATTCTGTACAATTCCGGGGAGCACACCTTGCTGAAAAAGTCGGGGCTCGAGTCGCACATAATCATGCCCGAACCAGCAACGGCTCTCTGCCACACATTGAATACTCCGCCCCAAGTAGCAAACAACAGCCCCGGCATAAGGCTAGCCCAGATCAAGAAGTCGACGATTGCTTCCATGGTAAAAGGGACTCTTTGCGCCGTTTTAGCCGCATATATTGTCGTGCCCAGGTTGTAGAGGAAAGCCAAAGCCAACTTTTTTTTTCCCCCGGCCGGCAAAGGGATCTGTCAGCAAGATCCCTTCGTTCACCTGGCATATAGGATGAAGAAAGGATTTCTTACAGGCGCTATAGGAATCCCATCCTGCCAATCCCCTCTACTCGGACCAGCTATATGTACCAGATTCTGATCCCACAATGGTATCGCCACGGCGAAGCACACGGAAGAAACAAAGGCGAGTAACGCAGTGACTCCACGGATGATTATCTTGATAAAGAGCCACGGCCTACGTCCCGGGAGGGTTGCTGATGATAATCGGTAGCGAGTATTCATCCATCCAAAGCGAAATCGTGAGACTGTGGCGTTCATGGTGGCTATGGAGGTAGAATAGCTGGCACTTGATAGTGAAATGATAATGAAAATATTGCAAATGACTCTAATGATTAACTAAATAAATAGCAAATAAATTCAGAGGGGGAAAAGAAATGACGAAAGTTATGATCTCGACGATGAAATTTTGTCCTAACAGTTTCACACCAGTTACAAAATAATTACACTGCATGGCATTAATTTAGATGCAACGATAAGGCTACTGCCAAGCGAGTGGCTTCTTCCAACTAGTATATCAGGTACCTAGGTAGGCTGATCGATGAGTAGAATGTTACACCTAGTGAAACTCCTCATGTCGCGGGGATGCGCTGATCTTTATCACTCGACTTGACACGTAATATGTATGGCAGCTACTTTGCTATTAAAAGATACAGGTGAGGATAATCTAATACTCATTAGAAATCTACTAGCTAACGTACAACTGGTTGGTCAACAGGAGTACTGATACTGATATAAACAAAGACAGCAAAGCACGGTGAACTAGTGAAACCCATTCGAAGCAAAAACACCTGGCAGCCAAAAAGGGCCAACCAATGTATACGCCTGACAAAAGCCGACCCAAAGAATTTTTCAAAGCAATGCCAAAACACAGCCAAAGATCAAAATGCCAGATCTGTACACAACGCAAGGCACTCGCTTCCGTATAAAACCCTTTTATTAGCAATAATCCAATTGAAACGCCTCTTGAACCAAACCCTCGGTATCATCCCTTCCCTAATTTTGCTATTTCTGTTTTGTTATTTCTCTTCAATTATTGCTTAGGCAGCAACCTGGTTTTCCTGCTGAGCTGCTATCTCGCCGCCGGCTTCTGTTTCTGCCCAGGAGCCCCAGAGTCCGCGCTTAGCTTTGATACGCAGAGGGCCACCGATGTGATTATGACCTTGCTCAACATTGATAGCATCTTTCGTCGCCAATACAAGCGTCTCAAAGAACATCTTAGTTGCATCGGCTTTCGATGTAGTCTTCTCTGGACACAAATTCTGGAATAAGACGCTCTTTTTCTGTGGTGTGGCAGGCTCTGCGGCCTGTGCGCCTCCAAATCGCTCGCGGAGGAGATGAACGGCATGCTTAGTACCCAGAGACACTGGTCCACTTTCAGTTGGGTGGATGAGGGTGTCGTCAAAATCATCCGGAGGTAATCCTTCATCGTCACTTCCAGCCCGGTTGCCGTCATCGGAACCAAACTCGATTTGTTGCTGCTGAAGGGTAGAATCGAGACCAATGCCTTCATCGACATTCAAAGCAGATTCATCTTCCTCAAGATCCAAAGCAGGGAGGTTTGCAGCATCAATATCCATGTCGGACACTCCACTGTCCCGCTTACGCTTGAGTTCACCGGCTTTGCGTACAGTATCAAATGAAAGCATGTCTCGCAACTCTGGTGCCCATCCACGGCCGCGGTCCTGGCCGAGCACGCTGGACACGAAGTCGCCATTCTTTTGCATTTGCATGAGCGTAAGGAGAACGGGGTCACGGGGTAGAAATGACACTGGCCTAAGGATATCTTCGTGATCATCCTGATGCTGTTTTAATGAGGATGTGCTCAATTGGGTGTCCACGTCATGTCCGATAATCTTTCGCCGTTTAGAACGTTGTGTTTCTTGTGCAGCATCCCGATCCTCCGCAAAAGTCTCCTGTTCCTCAGGTGCAGCATCGGTCGGTGGCGTCGCAAACCGGTCGGTGGCTGATGCCTGTGGTGATCCAGCTTGCGTTTCAGGCTCAACTGGCGGGACATCAAGGTCGCCTTCGCCCAAATCCATCGGATCATCGGGCATAAGGAAGCGATCGATGTTGTCGTTGCTATCTTCACCAATGTCCATATCTCCCAATGGAGCATCATCCTCTCCGAGGTCCAGATTAAGGTCAACATCATTCAATTTTCCTTCTTCACTGAATAAATCTTCTTCAACAGGTCGCGTAGGAGGCGCGTCTCGACCGACTTCAATGCTGAAGTCATTCGCAAGAGGGGTGTCATCCTCGCCAAGGTCGAGATCGAGTAAGGTGTGGTCTTCCAAACGAGCCGGTTCTTGAGATGGGAGACGTTGTGTGTGTGGTAACAATTGGCTGCCAAAGTCAATCACGCCCGGCCGCTTACTCTCAGTTTCTAGGTTGATGGAAGGCAATAGCAGGGATGAGGTATCGAGGTTCATAAACAAATCAGACTCTGTAAGCACATCGGGTAGAGTGATGCCGCCTGGAGGCAAAGTCACATTAGCTGGCAAATCATTATTGTTGGTGAGTCGAAAGGCCTATAGAAACACAGTTAGAGATCGTATCCACAGTAAGTGCAAAAGCGGATAGTGGGATTATACCATCTTAATTTTCATCAACGCTTCATTGCAATCATCCAATAGATAACGCGCTTTACGGCTATAAATTCTGACAACACCGAGCAAAAGCTGGCCACTAAGCCGCAGAGCCATAGGTGCTTGGCCTTGGTCCACGATAGCACTAACACTGCTTTCGATGTTGGACTGTAGAATGTGTGACTTGGAGAGTTTGCGCTCCAAGTTGGCGGAAAGCCAGACGCGAGCCAATGGCCCGGTCTTGGACAGTAGGGTTTCCGAATAAAACATCGCGTCTTAATGATTAGGCAAAGCTATAAATCAGAGCAATAGCCGCCTCGTGATTGAAAGGCCGACTGTTTATGGTGGTCGAGATCAGAGGCAACCACTTGGCCTCGCGACGAATATATGACGCGCCTATCCAAACACCACCGCCTCGGTTGCGCGACAACTCCTAAACAGATATCAACCGTTGGGCTCTGTAATATACGAGCAGACGCGAAATACAGAGACGCAAAAAGGCAATGCAGATGATGATGTGCAGGGTACAGGGGAAAAAAGGGGAGGATGGGATGGAAGAGGAAGAAGCAAAACAGGATCGGAAGTTGCGAGGGGCGCGTTGGGCGGCAGCAACCAGCCTCTAACCGTCTGGCACGGGAATGTGTGGCTGGGATCACGTGAAGATGCTGTCATTGGCTGTTGCTGCATGCGCGACGCCTCGCGATTCGCTGGCGGGCGGCAAAGCGTGGCAGTGGCAGCCTGGCGGCTCAGGCACCACTATGTCATGTGATGCCTTCTCGAACAATTGCCGCAGCAGCGCTTGCAGCCAATCAGAGGCGGTGTTAGACTTGGCACCGCGCGTACCGTCAAAGGCTAGTCCGTTTTGATGCCATTTGGCAATTGGTGCCCTTGGATATAAGGCTAGCAAGCTGACTCTTTCTCCTGCCACGATTGTCACCATTTCCTCGATCTCTTTTTGCAGGTAATTTTTTTTTGCGGGGTAACATCGGCGTTTTCTTAACTTCTATTTCTTTTCCCCTGCCACAAATCGCATTAGATTCCTTCATAGCCTGTGCCGGGCCGACAGTGTTGTGAGCTATATAGCGCCAGCTAGCCTTTCGGTTGCAACCGACATCGATCTTTTCTCCCCCCAAGCATCTTCATCGGCATGATTCAGCTTTCATAGTCGAATTGATAGCTCCGGGTCTCGTCCCAGAGCGCGAGAGCTAAATGTCGTCGTCATCGAGTCCTTCACTGCCGCTGTACAACCTGCAAGATTCCCGATCTCAGTCTCCCTACCCTACCACGAAGAAGCACGTATCCTCTGTGAGTGATGCATTTTCCAAGATTGCTAGCATCCATTCATTCTGATTGCATTTGTTTTCTAGTCAATTACTTCGTCCTACGCCCTCCTTGAGCCCCAACAAGTTGCCGACCGCCTCAACACTTCCCTAACTAACGGACTATCCCCGGCTGAGGCCGAGATCCGCCTACATCGAGATGGGCCAAATGAGCTACCTCACGAAGAACCAGAGCCTTTGTGGCTCCGGTTCTTGAAGCAGTTCAGAGAGACTTTAATCTTACTTCTTCTTGCGTCCGCCGGAGTCTCATTTTTCATGGGAAATTTCGACGATGCCGTTAGCATTACGCTTGCAGTGACCATTGTAGTCACTGTCGGATTTGTACAAGAATATCGTTCCGAGAAGTCTCTAGAGGCGCTAAGCCGACTCGTCCCCCATTTTGCGCATCTGATCCGAGACGTAGAGCCGAGTAATGGCGTGGATTTTGGAATATCACGAACCGGCACCATTGATACCGAGACACAAAAGACGCACGCAGAGGCCCCGGCTCCTATAACAAACGCCCTCAAGGCTTCGAGTGCTGTCATGGCTGGAAAATTGGTTCCTGGCGATCTAGTCCTCTTCACGACAGGGGATCGCATTGCTGCTGACATCCGCATCACGTCTGCTACCGATTTGTCCATCGACGAGTCCAACCTAACTGGAGAGAACGAGCCAGTTCACAAGTATGCAGAGGCATTGCGGAATCCTCCGGCTACAGTTAAACAAGAATTCGCCGGGTCTCCATTCCATGACATTGCTTCTACAGAACTAGGTGGCGCAAATGTCCGTCTAAGTGAGCAACACAACATTGCGTTTATGGGAACTTTGGTACGGTCTGGATACGGCCAAGGTATTGTGATTGCTACAGGCGCCAATACAGAATTTGGTAGCATCTCTGCATCGCTGCAGGAAATCGAAAGTCCCAGGACACCTCTTCAGCTATCGATGGATCGACTTGGACAAGAATTAAGTTATGTTTCATTTGGTGTGATTGGATTGATCGTTATCATAGGACTCATTCAAGGGCGGAAGCTTTTGGAGATGTTCACAATCGGTGTTTCGCTTGCCGTCGCAGCTATACCTGAGGGGCTTCCTATCATTGTCACTGTAACTCTTGCACTGGGAGTTCTGCGCATGGCTAACAGAGGAGCTATAATGAGGCGACTACCCAGTGTGGAAACATTAGGCTCGGTCAACGTGATTTGCAGTGATAAGACTGGAACGCTAACAATGAGTCATATGACGGTCACAAAAATGTGGCATCACGACTGTCCGGAACCCTTTGAAGTCAGAGACTCGGCGTCCTTGACGCCTGAGCCTGTTGTGCGAAAGTTGTTGCGCATTGGGAACATAGCTAACAATGCGCGGCTCTCACGAGCACACGCTGACTCGCCCGCGAGTGCAGCTTCTGCTGCCGTTCTCTCGTCAACCATGGATAACTCTTCCAGCCATAGCAAAAGCAGATGGGTGGGACAACCGACAGATGTTGCGGTACTCGACCTTCTCGATGCCTATGGCGAGGACGACATTCGCGATCAAATCAGTGGCCGTGTCGCAGAGACCCCATTCAGTTCGGAGAAGAAGTGGATGGGAGTTGTAATTGGTGGCGCTGGACCGGGGGACAACAAAATGGCATACCTAAAGGGAGCCTTGGAACAAGTCCTGGCAAGGTGCGACACATACCTAACCAAGGACGGTCGAGAGGTGATATTAGACGAACCGCGACGACAAGCCGCGCGGGAAGCAGCAGAGAAAATGGCATTAGAGGGACTACGTGTCATAGGATTTGCAAGCGGTCCGATCAGAGAGCCGGGAAGGCACATGAGGAGATTAGGAAGCCGAAGTGCCACCCCATCACCCAAGATGGACCAGCCTGCGACGGATAACAATGACGAGCAATTCAATGGGCTCGTGTTTGCGGGACTGGTCGGAATGAACGACCCGCCACGCAAGGATGTCCGCAAGTCCATAAGCAGGCTGATGTCAGGACGAGTCCGAGTGATTATGATAACGGGAGACGCGGAGACCACTGCAATAGCGATCGCACGGCAACTTGGAATAGTTGCCAATGACACCTCTGCGGGGAGCAACAATGTGGTTTTGCGCGGGGACCAGATCGACCACATGAGCACAGAGGAGCTATCACAGGCAATTTCGACGACAAGCATTTTCGCGCGCACTAGTCCGGATCATAAGCACAAGATCGTGCGAGCACTGCAAGCGCGAGGGGACGTTGTAGCCATGACAGGTGATGGTGTGAACGACGCACCGGCATTGAAAAGAGCAGACATTGGAATTGCCATGGGCAAGCTAGGCACAGATGTCGCCAAGGAGGCAGCAGACATGATCCTAACAGACGATGATTTCTCGACGATTCTCCGGGCAATCGAGCAAGGCAAAGGCATATTCTACAACATCCAAAACTTCATCACGTTCCAACTCAGCACCAGCGTGGCGGCCTTGGGACTAGTCCTTTTGAGCACCACTTTGGGATTCCACAACCCGCTGAACGCGATGCAAATCCTCTGGATCAACATCATCATGGACGGACCCCCGGCGCAATCACTAGGCGTCGAACCGGTCGATCCCGCAGTAATGAACAGCCCACCACGCCCAAAACACGCGCGCGTCCTCACACGCCCTCTCATCCAGCGTGTCCTCACGCAGGCCTTCCTCATCATGCTCGGCACACTCATCATCTACCTCCACGAAATGAGCGACATCGACGACGAACTCAACCCAGGCCACATCTCGCGCGTTGTCACCAACCACGACACAACAATGACATTCACCTGCTTCGTGCTCTTCGACATGTTCAACGCCCTCACCTGCCGCAGCGGAAGCAAATCCATACTCAGGGGCGAGATGTCCCTGACCGGCAACAAAATGTTCAACTATGCCGTTCTGGGGTCCCTAATTGGTCAACTGGGAGTCATTTACTTGCCTTTCCTACAATCCATTTTCCAGACCGAAGCCCTCAAATTGTCCGATTTGTTGAAATTGGTGGTTTTGGCCAGCTCTGTGTTTTGGGTTGACGAGGGTAGGAAGTATTATATGATGATTAAACGGTCTCACAGTCCTGGGGAGTTGTATAGTTCTAATGTTTGATTTTTTCTTTTTTCTCTTTCACAAAATGTTTTGCAGTCTAGTCGTCCTTTTTTGTTGGTTGTTGTCTCGTTTTATTTTCGTTTTCTTTTCTTTCTTTCTTTCTTTTTTTTTCCCTTGTGTTTAAGATTATGCATTTTTTGCCTGTTTTTGTCGATATGTGAAAGGATGGGGGTTTTGATTAAGATAGATACAATATATAAATAACGACTTTTTACTCACCAAGTAGAACTAACTGACCGCGAGGATAATTCCAACTGCAAACTCTCTACCATAACTAATATTTTGTCTTGAAGTCTTATCATCTTGACCTTGGTAATATAAGATCACAGCTACGAATATCCAAGGAAAAGCCGAACGTCAACTGTGCTATTGCAACGAACGGAGCCCTGCTAGTCTATTAACTTCAACCCTAGTAGTCATGCATTATTAGAGCTGAACTTACCGCGAGCGAGACATCGATCAGCACTGAGCCTGCTTTGTTGGAATGCCGGCGACGAATAGTTCCGGCATCAGGGTGAAGGTGAAAGTGTTGGATCATGGACAGGCCAAAGTACATGAGTCAACCAGGTTACAGTGAAGAATGTCGATCCTGAGGCATTTTCAACCCAATCACGCTGGTTTCCTTTTGTCCAGCACCAATCACAAAATGTGCTCGGCGAGTATTCGATTCATACTATACATAACCCGGAACAGCATGTATGCTGCGCATGGACACAAAAGAACGAACGAATGCCCAATCTGGCATCCAGGCCATACCGTTTTCCTCCCCCTCTCTCTTCTCACCAGGAAGTAAGAGAGAAACAAAATCAACCTCAAGGAGAAGCGTCACACCGGACAATCTCATACGATATGATCGCCGACAGCTATGATTACATCATCATTGGCGGCGGCACCGCTGGCTCAGTCGTTGCGGCGCGGCTCAAAGAAGGCGCTCCATCCCTCTCGATTCTGCTTATTGAGGCCGGCTCCGACGTCAGTAGTCGTGCTGACGTGCTGGACGGCACGCAATGGGCTCGTCTACTGAGGGGTGAACTCGACTGGGGCGATCTGACAGTGCCGCAAGCCCATTTGGATGGCCGTGTTCTTCCAAACTTTTCTGGGAAGGCTCTCGGGGGGAGCTCAGCTATCAATGCAGGTAGGCAAGCATCTCTTAATCTACAGCGGCTCTAGCTTCGGCGCACTTCCTCGACTGATCGCTAGCCAATAGGTGGCTGGACGCGTGGAGAAAAGGAAAACTACGATGTGTGGGCACAACTAGTCAATGATCCCAGATGGAGCTACGACGGCTTGCTGCCCTATTTCCGGAAGACCGAGACATATTGGGACCCCAATGGCGATCCTACAGTTCATGGATTTGATGGGCCCATTAGAATGGAGGCGGCTGGCGACCGGCAGTATCCATTACGCGAGAAGGTCAAGGACGCCTGGGCCGCGGTAGGGGTATCGTACAAGCGAGATATGAATGATGGCAATCCCATAGGCCTGGGCGAGTTGATTGAGAACCGAGTAAATGGCGTGCGCCACATTGCATCTTCGGCCTATGAACTGAAGAATGTTGAGGTTTTGACAGAGACCTTGGTGAAACGGGTGCTTATCACGGACAAAGCTGGTCTCAAGGTGGCCACTGCGGTAGAGCTGGCAGATGCCAGCCATAGAATCATCATGGCACGCCGCGAGATTATTGTCTCGGCTGGAACCTATCGTTCTCCTCAGATTCTGATGCTCTCTGGACTAGGCCCTCGAAAAGAGTTGCAAAAACATGCAATCGAAACTATACTTGATCTGCCTGATGTTGGAAACAATCTCCAGGACCATTGCTGCGTCAATCAATGGTGGAAGCTCAGAGAACCTGAAAAGGGGCTTTCCGTCGGATCCTCTGCTTTCAATAACCCGGTTTATTTCAAGGGACTCCCTTTGGACTTCATAGCCACTCAATCTGTACCAAAGGAGGGCCTACTGAAAGCACTATCTACCGACAAAGAGGCTAGTTCGGAACTTCATGCGGTAGCATTACAGCACGGTCACATCGAAATCTTTATCACGTATCTGGCGCTGAATCAGGGAGACCCATTGATTATCCCAGATGGCACTCATGTTACAACGTCCACCTTGTGCATGTTACCTACCTCTAGGGGTTCTATTCGCCTGAAAGACGCGAATCCAGAGAGCTTGCCCTTGATAGACCCCAACTACTTGGCGACAGAAGCGGATCAGTATGTACTCAGAGAGGGTCTTCGGAAGACCCATGCCGTGCTCTGTGAGACGGAGGCTGGTCGAGAGCTTATTGTGTCTGAAACCGTTGAGGAGGGTGGCCGAGCAGTTTCTTCAGACTCCACGGATGAAGAGCTCAATGATTTAATCCGGCGGCGTTTAGGGTGAGTTTCGTGATATGAAAAACCGAGTAAATTGCTTCAGACTAAAATATCTGGGCAGAACGATGGCCCATCCAGCAGGCAGTTTATCCATGGGTAAAGTCGTGGATAGTGAACTACGTGTTAAAGGTGTAGATAGGCTGCGTGTTGTTGATGCCAGTGTTATACCGGTACCCATCGCTAGCCACATTCAGAACTCCGTCTATGCACTAGCAGAACAAGCCGCAGATATGATTCTAGCGTCTTCATAAGCCTACTGTCTCTCTGAATGCAAGGGTTTGGGTATTCTAAAATCGATGTGAGGCTGTGTAAGAACAGTTCATCCGCATTGGAAGTTGCTAAGCTATCAACAAGACTGGTTGAAACGAGCTGAAGCTCATCAATCTTCTTTCTTTTTTCTTACTACCTTATTAAGCAAGTCAAAAAATGCAACCGGGGATGATCTAAGGGTTGCCTTGAGGCCGCTTCACTTAATCGTCCGGCGGCGTAGAACTCGCGTATGCGACTATCGATAGGCTATTAATGACATTAGCTGTCGTCTCCTAAGTATGATCTACCTGGCTAGTTTCAATTGTCTTGTGTAACCTGGTGCTTTTGAGCGTGTTTGTGTCTTTTTGAGGGGCTTTCTTGACCGATACATAGGTATGGCTTTAGGCAAATCTCTCAAGTATAAGATGTATAGTCACTGGACATGTGTATATCAAGTATCCCAGGAATGAAAGTAACCACAGCCTGCAAAGCCATTGATGTATCGGAGGCATTCATTTAGAACTGCGTATTCTATGTATGTGTAATATGTATATTCTTTTTTTATTCTTTTCTTCTTCTTCTCCGTCCAAAATTATTGTCATCAAATCACATCACGTCGCATCATCCATACAGAAAGGTAAAAGAAACACATTAGATCTAGACTAGAGACTTGAAAGAATCCTTGTCCCGAATTCCAACAAGATTACCTGCCTTGAAACGCTTGAGCGTCAAAGCAGCAATCAACGCTGCGCCCACGCCCGATCCATCCTCAGCGGGGAGGATGACAATCTTGTCCTTCTCGTTATCCGGCCAGTCGAGAATCTCGCGCAGTGCACGAGCGCCACGGGCCTTGAAGTGCGGGTATTTGGTGAATACGGAACCATCTGCACCCACATGGCAGCGCTCAATGTTCTTCTTGGTGCAGATAGCGGCTACACCGCAGGCAGACAAGCGCGCAGCACGAGTGCCAATAAGCTCGGCCAGTCGGCGGCACAGTTCGAGTTCGGGCTTGACGGCTTTGAGGCCAAGGACGCGTTCTAGAAGTTCGTCGGTCTCCTGCAAGTTCTCAAAGGGGTCTTCTTCAATGGCGGATAGGAAAGAAGCGTCGAGTGAGTAGGGCTTTCGTAGTTTGGAGGCATCCTGGCCCTCGAAAATGAGACCGCCCTTGTTGTCAATGACATCTAGAAGAGCAAGACGGAAGATTTCGCCGAGGTACAGACCGGCAGTCATCTTTTCAAAAGCCTGTTGGCCTGGGCGAGGAGAGTCCCTGTCAATGATGATATCGTACTGTGTCAGAGGAAGAACAATGTGTTCGTTGTCAAAGGCTCCGTATTCACAGTTGATGGCAATAGGGGTATCCGGAGGCAGGTTTAGGTGAGCAAGCTTGGGGACGGATCCGGCATCTTCCATATATGCTGCATTGACGCCCGTGCCGAAGATGCATCCGATTTTCATTTCGGAATCAGTGTATGAAGACGCAATGAGCGTGCCGGTTGTGTCATTGATCAAAGCAGTGGTTTTAATTGGAAGGCCCTGATGTTTTCGTGCGTTAGTTAGCTATTCCTACAGATAAGAAGTTCCTCCGTAACTACAAACCCTCTTCTTCAAGATTTCCTCAAAAGGCGGAACGACGTCATGGCCCTCCACACCGTCAATATCAAAACCCTTTGTCCAGCGTTGAAGAATACCATGGTCGATGTATTCTTGTGTCGCAGGATACGAGAAGGTAAAGCCCAATGGCAGAGAAGCAAGCTCCTCGTTTTCGTGGTGATATTCAATGAACTGCTGCAAGCAGTCGGCAATATACTCCCAGAGCTCCTCGGCCGTGCCCGTCTTCAATTCTTCGGGAATTCGGTACTTCGACTGCGCAATATCAAACTCTCCGCGTTCCTCGGTCAATTCGATTTCGCAAACACGCAGGTTGGTGCCGCCCATGTCCAGAGCAAGGTACCTTCCTTGCTCGTCGCCGGTTGGGAAGCCGAACACCCAGGTCACGTTCATAGGCTGGTGAGGTTGTCAGAACACGTGCCAAGGATATAATGCTCTATCTATAGATTTGGCCACTTACAATGTTTCCTCCCTTGACGGTCAGACCTAGATTGCTCAATTAGCGATTTTTTTTCCTTCATGTGAAGGGCAAGGGCAACAAGACATGTGACACGCACCCTTCTCCAGCTCCTTGACGAAGTGCGCGACAATCTCCTTGAGTTTCTGTCGGTCGACGGTGAATATGTCCTCGAATTCCTTGATTTGATCCAAAAGATTCTTCGGCACATCGGCCATGGAACCTGCAGCGAATTCGGCGTCAGGGTCATTTCTCAACTTGATTCATGATGACGATGATTCATTATATCATGGCGTACGTACCCTTACGGGAAGGACGGCGGCGTGGTCCAAGTCCAACCATGATTGGCGATTTCAAAGCAACACTTTGCAAATAATTAAAGAATAGGGAAAAAAAAACAAAGATGGGTAAGCGAGAGATGAGGCAGAGGGAAGAAAAGAAGCTCAATTCTTCTTATATGGCTCCAGAACCCTGGCAGCAGAACGTGGGGCAAAGAAAGACTGGACAACCCCGCGGGCCACTCACAACAAAACTTCGGCGTGCTCGGTGAAAGCTGGGTAAAATACTAGCGCAGTTACAGTACAGTACGGATATGGAAGCAATTGCAAGCTTTGGTGCAGTTATCATTGGCTGGCATGCTGATTGAGTCGTCAGATACGTGTTTTCCATGACGTTTATCGTAGCTACTATCTAGATGAAGATGGACGACAGTCCTCCGTGAGCTTTTCTCGCATTATTTTATATTCCTTCTTTCCTTCAGTAACAAATCACCCACAACGAGAGCTTTTTTTTTTAAAATATCTGATCACAAGACCTCAGCCAGCTGGCCCCAAAATGACGAGTCTCACGTTTCCCCACGTCTCACCGCTAGTGCCTCATGTATGGAAATCGTATAAAGCAGTGGTCCAGTAGCTAATCGCTGAGATGCAGGGTTTGTTACTATGCATAAACATTAGTGAGTTACTATGCAGTGTGTAGTGTCACGCATGAGGTGGAATGTTAATGCATCAGCCTTCAACTTCTTTGCCAGGGATACGAAGAATCAGCCAACTAAAAACGAACTGCATCAGATGTTGGTCAATGATTAACCCAGTCTAGAAGCATCACATGATTATCATTACATATCGTCCCATCGTAGACAGTCCGAAATAGAGACTAAATACGGTTATATATCTTACGGAGGTCGAGGCTTCTTATCCGCCAAATGCGGGAAAACATGATCCAAGCCGCCTGTAGCATTGGGCCGGAGAATCTTTTCTTCCTTCTCAGCGGGAGTCTTGGTCTCGCCCTGAACGTTATCCTTGTCCAGCGCCGAAACAACCGTCCCCTCAGCACTGTCGGCCTGTTTAGCCGTGTCGGCCTTCTTTGCAACATGTTTTGCCAAATAGTTTTGTAGATGATCTTGGTGAGTATTTGATACGTGCAACGCCCGGTCGACGTCAGCTGTGAGGCGTTCGACTTCGTCGTGCAACCGCTCGTCGCGCGTCTTCTTGGGCGCTGTCTCCTGGTCTCGATCTTCTTTATTGGGGTTGGTCTCCTCCCAGAGAGCCTCCAACTCCTCCAACCAGCCTAGAGCCTGGGCGAGTTTGCGTACGCCTTCGTCACAATCTCCAAGTAGAAGCACGTCGTCTGTACGAGACCCGAGACCGCCAACTTGCTCCATGTTGATCAGCAGGCGAGGCGTCTCATCGCGGCAAAAACTGGGCAGACTTGCAAATGGCTGAACAGTCAGGCTGGTGCCCATGACAATGCACAGGTCGGCTTCTGCGGGTAGCTCGCGGTTGAGGAAGAAAGCTTCCGGCAGCGCTTCGCCAAAAAAGACTATATCCGGCTTCACAAGGCCGTTACATTGTGGTGTCACGCAATGGGGGACCTCGCCCTTGGCAATGGCTTGTTTCATGAGCTCGTCGGGGTAAAGGCTCTTGCAGTCGATACAATGCTGGGAAGCAAAACTTCCATGAGCATCAATGATTAGTTCTCCTGGAAGACCGGCTTCCCGTTCCAAACAATCAATATTCTGTGTAAAAAGCTTCAGGAGGCGACCCTTTTTGTGCAGAAGGCTGATAAATGAGTGCGCTATGGTCGGTCGGTACCGGCCAGGATAAAGCTCTTTGGCGAGTGTATAGAATGGAACAGGGTTATCTCGGAAAAAGGTAATGTTAAATACTGCTTCTGGGTCCGGTAATTCCAAATGGGCTAAATTCGAGTACAGGCCTGTATCTGGAGATCTGAAATCTGGGATTCCAGCAGATGTGCTGATGCCTGCGCCGGTCTTGGGTGTATTCTTTTAGCATGTCAACCGACAGAAAGAATGGGAGTATAACTCACCAGAACAACAATTTTCCGAGTATCTTTCTCGAGAATGTATTTGGCCACTGACTCGAGATCACGGCGCTTGAGTGTTGTGGGAGGTGTAGCCTCGTCTACCATCGTAGACGATTCGTTGCCCATATTGAAGCAATGCCCCGCGGACGGCTGATGCTGCTTCTTCTTCTTCTTCTTCTTCTTCTTCTTCTAATTGTAAAACGAGATGTTTGTTGTGCAGACCGTCTAAAGTCTGGTAAGTTCTATATGCGATGTAAGTTGGCGCCAATAAGCAATCTAGACAATAAACGTAAAAAAGGCAAATTTCTTCTCATCCAAGATGCAAAGAGATGAATCTTCAATCCGCGCGACGTCAATCTGGGTGGACTAGTCCCGATATGGCAACGCGTGCTTCCCCATATCAACCCAGATTCTGCCGGCATTTGAGAGTTGACACTCGACGGTCGTTCGTAGTGTGGCAATTAAATTACATAGCTACTCTGTTTCTCGAGTGTAGCAGCGGATTGCATCATGTTTGCCTATCATGAAATAATATGGCAAATCATGCTTAAATCCAATGCTTATGACTGCATATACATCGCCAGTCCAAGTAGTCTGACCGCCTTGCCGTAGCCAATCATCAATGGCGGTTCCCGCTGGTGGGGCCTCAGGCTTATGTTTGGCTGTACCTGGCCTCTTCCACAATAAAACGACAACAAGTCAGCCAACCAACATTACATTCCCCGCAGACTATCCGACATGTCCAAAGATGACGGGCCTGTCGAGGCCAATGGCCACGAAACCTCTCCCCCTGATATCTTCAATGCCAGCTCGGTCTCCGAAATCAAAGCGACGCTGCTACACCTCCACGACCAGGAAGCGGCAGTCACGGCCCGGCTCGATGCTCTGGTCGCTTCTCAGAAGGATTTTTCCCGCGAACTCGGACGCCTCGACCTGTTACGTGCTCATCTCGGCACGCAGGTGAACACCGCCAGGAATATTAGCCATGGCATGCTGTCCCCGGCCGCAGCAACTGCCGACCGCATCTCAGGGGCAGTGCGACGTCTGGACCTGGAACAGGCGCGAGTCAAAGCCACGCTAGAAGTTGTCGAGCAGGTGGCCGAGCTGAAGGCATGTGTGCTAGGAGTCAATGGGTCGATGGAAGGCCCGCAAGATTGGGAGATGGCAGCCAGCTATTTGAATCGCGCATCCAAAATTCCGGCCGATGTCGTCAATGGAGCTTTTGCGGCGCAGATTGTGCCTACGGCGGAGGTGCCGGATCCGCCGAGCGTTACGCTACATAATGCATCGGAGTCTCTGTGCGGGCTGTTTTTGAGGGAGTTCGACAAGGCTGTCAAGGAAAACAATGGTGCTAAGATCACGCGGTTTTTCAAACTATTTCCTCTCATTGGTCGATCAGAGGTGGGCTTGGATGTCTACGGGCGATATGTCTGCCAAGGTGTCGCAACGCGGGCTCGGTCAAACCTGAATACAGGCGCTGGCAGTGGGCAAGCCACGGATGGATACTTTTATGCTAGTGCGCTCACGAAGCTTTTTGAGCATATTGCTCAAATTATTGACGGGCACGGGGCGCTGGTCGAACGGCATTACGGTTCCGGAAAAATGACCCGGGTTATTGAGAGGTTGCAAGTGGAAGCCGATGTCCAGGGAGGTATCATTATCGACACATGGACGGACGAGAGGAACGTCGTCCGGAAGTTGACAGATATCAAATCTTATGCATTTACGTTCTTGGTGCAAAGCTTCCTGCCTGCACAACGTACCTCTGGTACCCCTCGTACCGGTTCTCCGGCCCACCGAGATGGACTTGCAGGCGAAGTTGAAGATGAAGGGGTCGACATGATAGAAATTGATGCGATCCTCAACGAATTGGGAGTGATGCTTGGACGGTGGTCACTCTATTGCCGATTCCTCGGCGATAGCTGCAGGGTAAGTACAGTACAGATTTTGGATATTTAACCCGGGGACAACAAAACTAAACAAGTCACAGCCAATTGAAGAAAACGACAATGTGGATGCGCCGTTGATGCTCCCGGATTTCTTGGTGGATTCTCCTCTGTCGAAGAAGATCAAGGACCGAATGATTGGCCCTTTTAATGCGATGACTACATTCTTTCTCCGTCGTTCCGTGGAGAAAGCATTCCAGCTGGATGAGCAGCCCTCTGGTCTTACACTGAATCTACATAGCGCGCTCAATTCAGAGCCCCCCCACATCACCTCGGCTGTTGACGATATCATGTACATTGTGAACAAAGTTCTCCAACAATCTATCGCAACATCGCAGGCACAAGTCGTGACGAATGTAGTACCGACGCTTTCAAGGATACTCGGAGCGGACTTCATCGGCATGATTCAACGAAAGATGCGCGATGAATACTACCCGCGGCCGGCGGTCCAGGGAGCCCAGCCAGCGGAACAGACGGTGATTGCGTTTTTGGTCTTGATCAATAATCTGGATGTCGCAGTGGACTACATCCGACGAATCGTGCGAGGTCATGTTGACAACAAGCCGGGTCGCGCGGAAGGAGAGGAGACTAAAGGAGGTATAGAGGACGGCGCCGGTAGCGGGCTCGAAAGCATATACCCTCTTTCGGACGATGCGTCGGTTGTGCGACAGGCGCTGCAGTCCCTGTCGACATCATTTGAGTCCAAGGCCAGTGACTTGATTTCGGATGGCATCCAGGTGGTTTTCAACAACGTCGTCAAGACACGACTGCGGCCGATTCTGGCCGAGTCATTCCGGGACATTGAATACCAGCCACGGGACCACAACGACCCGACGGCCAGCACATATCAGAACTACGAGGTCGACGAAGACGAAGACGAAGAGCTACCGCGGGCAGAATTGGTGCGGCCGCGGTTTGCGGGGATGTGGGCAGAGCTGGTCTCACCGTTATCACGGATCCTGACGCCGACGGCGTTTGATCGTCTGCTGACGATTACGGTTGCGTATCTGGCGCGGCTGCTCGAGAAACGGCTGTGGTCGTATCACGGACGAGTCAACGCGCTGGGGGCGATTCGGTTGGAGCGGGATGTTTCGGGGATTGTGACTACGGTGGTGGAAGTGGGGAGCAGCCAGGGGGCGCCGGCGCGCTATCGGCACCGCGAGGCATTCTCTCGGTGCGTGCAGATTACGATGATTATGGCGATGGACGAGGACGAGTGGGATGATGTAGTGGGCGGCGGCGAGACGGCGGACGTGGTGGACAAGCTGGGGGTGGACGAGCGGGCGCGGGCGCGGTCGATGATACGCGAGCATAGGTGATATATATATATATATATATTTATATGGATATATACTAAATGTATATATGATTTATTTCTTCTTGGGTTCGCATATACCACAGAGTATAAGCGTAATTGTATGAATAGTAATACACTATGGCATACTGGATGTCTCACTACTTCCGTCAGACATGTGACACCGTTGCACAAACGGCAGTCGCACCTGTGCCAGGTCAGCCTCGACTTCCTTCCTTCCCGAGTCTTCCAGCAGCAACTCACGTGACTGGCCTCGAGACTCGAGATCGATTCGATGACTCTATGAGTAATCGCCATTACGCGTGGAACAGCCCGCCAATCAGCGCGCAGAGACGCCGACTTATCTACAGCCAATCCCTGCGCTCCCCGAGCGGGCGTTAGCCCCGATCGAGAGGCTGCGCTAGCACCCAAGACAGCTAGCGGCAATGCAAGGGGATCCACGGGCGGCTCCACACGCACGGATTGGGCGCTAGCAGGGGCTTTATCTCTGGCCAATGGGCGCGAGGCAATTGCAACGGGCGACAGTCATCACTTCGTATCATGCCTGAGGCCGTTGACTTAAGTTCGACAAGCTAGCGTAAAATTAGCAGCGTATGCCTGGTTTAATATAGCGAGATAAGAAGGCTGTATTGACTACTATCTATCATCTATCTTATCTGCATAGCTTGACAGAGGCTGGAGGTACTTATATAGGCGCGCTGCCCGTAGACACCATGTACATACTCCCTATAGTGGTGGTACATTTCAAGACTATTCGCATCGATAACTAACTCCTAACTATAGAATATACATGATGGGCGCCAGCCTTGGCAGCCGACTGCCGGTTCCGCAGTCCGATTGCCCTCCGAACGCGCGCTTGCCACTCTGGCGATCCCCGGCCATGACGCTTCTTCCTCCAGCTTGTCCTGTCGGCTAGCAGAAAAAGAAACAAAACTGAAGCTGTGACACTCGCCCTTTTTTTTTTTTCGAGCTATGCGCCCTCGCCGCCAGCCTATGCTGCTCGACCGGGCCTAGTGCAGACCGTGCCAGACAGACAGCCAGGAAAAATACTCCATTGCCAATTCGCATTGCAAATCGATTGATGGAAAAAGGGAATAGGCGCTCGTCGTGCTTCCCGAATTGGCCCGGCCCACCCCGTCCAATCCATGAATGCCTGACAAGCCAGGCGACAACTATATCTACCTTCTCTTCGCTCTCTCCACACCATCGACTCCATCTCTCCAGTTCTCCTCGTCCGACTCTCTCTGTCTCGCTCTCCAGGATTCTGGAGGTGAGTGAGCTTGGCAAGCAGACGGCCTCTTGCTTTCCGTGCTCTCGATTCCTTTTCTCTCTCTTTTTTTTTTTTTTTTTTTTTTTTTTACAGCTTCGTTTTATTTGGTCTGTTAATTTTGGTCTCCCGGCACGCCCACCACAACACAACACCAAACCTTGCCCTCCTCCGACGGACGGTCAATCCTCGATTGTATTGTATAATTCTTGACAGCCCACAATGTCGTCTGCCGATACTCCGGCGCCGTATGCGCCTGATTATGCTTCATACAACTGGACTGGGGCTCCCGCCGATTATTCCCTCACGACGAACACAGATCTGGGCGGTGATTCTCGTATGCAATCCCTTGGCACCATCCTTTGACGGCCACGCTCTTCATATACATATAATATATATATATATATATATATATATTATGTCTGTATGTATATTTCTGAAAGAGAAGACTAATTCTTGCAGGCGTCGAAAATCTGAACAAATGGTACCAATCCGGTGACCAGGCCTATATAATCGTCGCTTCCGCCATGGTCATGGTCATGGTGCCCGGTCTGGGCTTCCTCTACTCCGGGCTTGCCCGCCGCAAGTCTGCCCTCAGTATGATCTGGGCCTGCATGGGTTCCTTTTCGGTGATAACCTTCCAGTGGTATTTTTGGGGCTACTCATTAGCGTTTTCCCCATCCGCCACCAACGGCTTCATTGGTGACTTGCGCAGCTTTGGCTTGATGAATCTACTCGGTGCTCCAAGTCCAGGTTCGCCATTGGTGCCAGGGCTGCTCTATGCTTTTTACCAGGTATTTTTTCCCCACCCTTGCAGCTAGGCCAGGCAGAGATGCAGAAGAGGCTAACGTCTGTAGATGCAATTCTGTGGCGTCACTGCTGCTATTGTCATGGGTGCCGTTGCGGAACGCGGGCGGCTGCTACCGGCCATGGTCTTCACTTTTATCTGGGCCACCATCGTTTATTGCCCTCTCGCCTGCTGGGCCTGGAATGTCAATGGCTGGGGATACGCTTACGGAGTGATGGACTACGCTGGAGGAGGACCCGTCGAAATAGGGTCTGGTCTATCGGCACTTGCATACTCGATGGTCCTTGGTCGTCGCCAAGAGAGAATGATGCTCAATTTCCGCCCGCACAACGTGTCGCTGATTCTGCTGGGAACTGTGTTCCTCTGGTTTGGCTGGCTGGGTTTCAATGGTGGCTCTGCATTTGGCGCCAACCTGCGTGCGACCATGGCATGCTGGAACTCCAATATTGCCGCTAGTTTTGCCGCCATTGCTTGGGTTCTGCTCGATTTCCGGTTGGCGAGAAAGTGGTCTATGGTTGGATGGTGTTCTGGCACCATCTCGGGGCTGGTTGCTGCGACTCCCGCTTCTGGTTTCATCACCCCTTGGGGAAGCGTTGTGCTGGGAGTGGTGACTGGCATAGTTTGCAACTATGCCACCAAAGGTTGGTTTTACTTGTAACTCCCGTGCCTGTGTCTTCTGTCATTCTAATGTGTACAGTGAAATACTGGATTAAAATCGACGATTCCATGGATGTGTTCGCTGAGCACGGCGTTGCGGGGATTATTGGTCTGCTCATCAATGCGCTCTTCGCATCGGACGACATTATCGGCCTCGATGGCGTAAACACCGGCCAGACAAACCCCACCACAGGAACGGCGCAAGGTGGATGGATCATCCACAACTATCGGCAGCTCTACATCCAGATTGCCTATATTGTTGCCACCTGCGCATACGCCTTTGTGGTCTCCGCAATCATCGCATATTTGATCAACATCACGCCAGGTCTTCACCTGCGGGCATCTGAGGAGGCGGAACTGCTCGGCATGGACGATGACCAGCTAGGAGAATTCGCCTACGATTATGTCGAGGTACGCCGAGATTACTTGGCGTGGACACCGCAAAAGGCGGCGCAATTAGAAGACGGCCACGAAATCCCACACGCCCATCGATACGGCATCGAGGCGCACAGCACGATGATGGAGGGACATACACCAGAAGACAAGAGGAGTGAAGAGGATATCATTGCCCCCCAGTCTTCGATCCCGGTTTCCTCTGATTATCACCATCACACAGCGCAACTTCCACCGGCACCGCGACAAGTGGCCGAACAGAATCCTCCCGGCGAGGGACAAGCTGTGATTGAAGAAGAAAAAATTGCATAGACTTTTGCTAATCGTTTTGAGCTCCCCCATCACAAAAGTATGTTTAAAATAAAAATTTCGAAAGCTCGACATTGTTTTGGTCGATTCATGACAAAGCGTTGAGAGATGTTCTATCGGCGGATTTCTTCTTTTATCTTTCTATTTCTTAATCTCTCTCGATACATATACCCTTCCCTACCTATCTTTTACTCGCTTTTCCCCCCCTATCTACCGGCCTTTCCTCCTGTACAACCTTGTGTGACATACTACCTGACTATTCGATTCTGTGTACTTTTTTTTTTCATCTGTCTCGTGTTGATCGAAAGCAATGCACCACTCAGCTGAAGCTGGCCTGATTGAGGATGTACTTGTACTTACGTTAATGATTAGACAATATTATTCAATCTACTATTACTATCTACTATCCACATGTAGTTTTCGGTCCGCCATGGTATACACTTGGTATAAACCCAGGGCGCGCTTTTATTCAAGTTAATTGTTTGAGCATGTTTTCACCGTGGCCTATATCTGGAAAAGCCTCGGAGTAACAATTGTCCAAAAATTGGCACTGTACTGTAGATAACTTACAGTAACATAGTCCACGGTTCTCTAAGCGGAACAGTCCAGTAGCGGTGCTAGTGGGGGCCAGCTTTCAACAACAACAACTTTCTGGTAGCCTCCATATCACGAGCAATGGCAGATATGCAACGTATTAGGCGCCTCAGCGGCATCTGCTCCCTTGAAGAGATGGAACGCCTTGATGGAGATGTTTTTTCAACGAGCCTTGGGGAATGGACTGCGTTTGGGTGACTTCCTGGAATATCTCGATATCCTTGCCTGCTTTCAGTAAGAAGCAAGGGGTACGGCCTTACCTGCCTGGCGGAGCATTCCGTTTCCCAGGGGGGTTGAGAGAAGGATCTTCACCCCTTGTTGATCTTGAAACTTTTGCTATAGTCCCAACGTAATAGTGAGGCAGACTCTATCTGTCCATTGGTCCACGTCAGTGTATTACTCGTATCGCCGCTGAATCTCATTAGGCACTGGTCAAAAGAAACTGATGGTTGGTAATATGTACGTCCACACCAATCAATCCTCTCGAATACTAGGTATATGCTGCGGCTGGATCAAACTCCTACCTCTCTCAACTACCGCCATACTGTTTGCTCCACCATGCTTATTGTGAGGACACTATTCATCTGATCAATTTCTACATTTCTACGTCCCAATATGTCAGGCCTTGATGTGATCGGTGCCATCTCCGCGGTAATCGGTATCCTCGGTGCTTCAATCAAGGTCTACGACAGTGCCAAACGTGACCTGGGGCTACAAGAAGCATTCCACTATGTTCCAGTCCAGAATACCCCTCATCCGCAATACCCTTGAGACAATCCAGACCGAGCTACAGCCCGGTAAAGACTCTTTGCCCCCAGATGTCTGTGAGGCCTTGAAGAATATCTTTGATGCTTGTGATGGGAACGCACGGGAGTTGAGAGGAATATTTGAAGAAGTCATTCCTGCAGAGAACAGTACGCGGAAGAAAAAATACCCCATGAAAAAGGTCATTCAAAGATTGGGAAAGGGAAGCAAAGTCGAAGAGCTGATGACTGCGCTCATTCAAAATATTCAAATCCTTGTCAACTACAGGATGGTGAAGTCTGCTACTCCGGAGCAAGACACTGACCTTCAAGAAGATATCCTCAACGAATTGAGATCCATCAAAAGCTCGACGGCTGAGGAAGAGAGCCCGACCTCGATTTTCCATAGCGGTGGAGGTACACAGACTAACAATGTTAATAGCGGCAGTGGCCAGCAAATCAACAATCATGGTCATGTCGGAATTCAGCATTTCCTTAATGGTGAGGTGAAGTCATGAGAATAACACCGTAGCGCTACACCCAAGGGTTATTATAGTTGATCTAGTCTCTAACTGGATTGAGTGGTTGGCTGTTGTTTCACACTTATCCCTCAATGCATCCCATTAAAATTGCTTTCTCCAATGAAAACCGCTTCCCTTCTAAAAAACCATCGCCAGTCTTAGCCACATATCAAAGGGTATACTCCCTGCTGATTATTCTTTTATAGTTACCCTAGGGGCCAGTGAGGATGAAGAAGAATTAGCTTGAATCAGTGACAGTTCCTCATACTCCTCTGAGTCTCCTCCCACTCGGTGTTTCTACTGCAAAAAGAATGGACACATTGCTAAATTTTGCCCGCGCAAACACAAATGCGAGAGATGTAAGTTGATCCATGTACATTCTATGCTAATCTTTCATTCATTTACTTATTTTCGGAGCAAAAATAGGTAGTACCATAGGTCATGACGAAGAACATTGCACCAAAGAACATGGGATTTGCTAGTATTGTAAGTAAGGGTAATATCTTACATATCCATGGCATCGCTAACATTGGTCTCTTAACGGCCAGGCGGCAGAGAGGGTCATTACGCACGTACATGCTACGTGCCTTATTGGGCGTGGCAACGATGAAGAAATCTTTATACTCCGAGTGCGTTGCAGCTGGAGAAGAACTAGCGTATCTATCCCTACATCGAAGTGATAGAATATTTCGTTATTGGAGGATATAACCCTCAAGCGGAAGGCATGGGAGAATTGCAATAATTACCTGCCAGATCTAGCAGTATGCTCTTCAATATCAAATCTAAGGAAATGGCATGATGAAGGCTTTCATAACGCACAGAGTAGAATCGCAGATAGATTGCACCACTGGTCTCTATACAGAGCGATGTAAAAAGCTGGTACCTAAGGAGAAAATGAGTCCCTACTTGCATGGCAACTCAGCAGCCCTCGCCATCTGACGTTGGTGAATTCGTGTCTCATGATGATCCCCTTGATAATCTTTCAAAGATGATGATGTTAGAGAAATTATTGCGAGAATCTGCTAGCAAGTAAGGGGGCCGTGGCCTGATACAAGGCTTGTATTACGTCAGTTAACTAGTTGTTTAACTACTAACTACCGTACTACCTCGTTACAAAGACCTGAATCAGGGCCTCAGGAAAACCTACATAGTTTAGCTCCTCTTGACTGCAGGCGCTGTGAAAGAATTGGGACAAAAGCGTGCACTGGGTTTGCAGCCAACTGTATCCACTGTCAATGGTCAATTGCGGGGGATGTCTGGGGCATACATTCATTTAGCCTGAATAGCGCTCACTTAAGAGTTATACTTATAAGACGGGGGAAATTGTCCTGGATGACTCTTAGAATGGCAATGGTAGCAGGCTCTTCATTGTCTTCAGGATGCGCTTTTCTTCTTCCTTGCTTCTCTCTGCCTTGGGTTGGTGCTTGTGCTGCGGTGGGAGCAACTCTCGTCAGGACCTAGTAAGCTCAACATCTCAATCGATTGATTGGGGCTCATACGTGCTAGGTAACATGGGACGAACACTCCTTCTTCGTGCGAGGCGAGCGCCTAATGATTTTCTCTGGAGAATTCCACCCCTTCCGTCTTCCAGTGCCCGGCTTATGGCTCGACGTTTTCCAGAAGATCAAAAGCATGGGCTTTACAGGAGTATCCTTCTACACGGACTGGGCGCTGTTGGAAGGAAATCCCGGCCATGTTGTGATTGGTAGCGGTGGTGGTATCTGGGACCTCGAAGAGTTCTTCAGTGCAGCGACTGAAGCCGGGATATACCTGATTGCTCGTCCTGGACCGTATATCAACGCCGAGGTCTCGGCTGGAGGTATACCGGGCTGGGTTTTGCGCAGCAGCAACGCAACACTCCGATCGTTGGATCCGGGGTACCTCGAAACGACGCAAAACTACGTGCCAACGATCGGTAAGATCATCAGCAAAGCCCAGATCACGAAGGGCGGTCCGGTGATCTTGCTCCAGCCTGAGAATGAGTATACAAGCTGGCCGGGCCTCGGCGTCTCAACTTTCCCAGGCGAGATGAACAGGGAATACATGGCTTTTGTAGAGCGGCAGTTTCGTGATGCTGGTATTCAGGTCCCGTTTATAGTGAATGATAACTTGGTAGAGGGTTATTTTGCGCCGGGCAGTGGACTCGGCGCGGTAGACATATATGGCATTGACTCGTATCCTATGCGTTACGACTGTAGGGGACCAAATCACTGGCTCTGTGAGACTTGCGAGGTATCTAACTGACGTGCTCCTAGGTGCTGATCCATATGTATGGCCGACATATAGGTTCCCTTATACCTGGCAGGCTACCCACCAGAAGGAAAGCCCGACGACGCCATTTTCTATAGCCGAATTCCAAGGAGGAAGTGGAGAGGGATGGTATGTCGTCTTATATATTTATATATATATATATTGAACTTGGGGCAGAGACTGATCTGTTCAGGGGAGGCGTTGTCGAAGAGATGTGTGCTGACCTCGTCAATATGGAGACAGCCCGTGTCGTATACAAGAATAACTACAGCTTCGGGGTGAAGCTATTCAACATCTACATGGTCTTTCTCTCTTTATAGTTGAAGAAGGTATATCGACGAACTGACGACAAATTCTAGACCTATGGTGGCACCAATTGGGGCAATTTGGGTTACATGAATGGCTACACGTCCTACGATTACGGAGCAGCCATCAGCGAAGATCGAAGCCTACGCCGAGAGAAATACAGCGAACAGAAACTCCAGGCAAACTTCCTCAAGGTGTCCCCAGCATATCTCACGGCCACCTCGGTGGTGGGCATGAATGGCACTTATGGCGCGCCAGAGACCATTGCGGTCACTCCACTTTTAGGGGATAATAATGGCACCAATTTCTACGTGGTGAGACACGCAGACTTTACTTCACTCAACACGACTCAGTATACCCTTGACTTGTCCACTAGTATTGGAAGTGTCACCATTCCACAGCTTGGAGGTAGCTTGGCGCTAAGTGGACGCGATTCCAAGATTCACGTCACAGACTATGATCTCGGTGGCATTAACCTGATTTATTCCAGCGCGGAGATACTTACCTGGGCGCGAGGGGAGGATCGGAAACGCACTGCAGTGCTCTATGGGGGAGAGGAAGAACTGCATGAGATTGCTTTGCCAGCCAGTCTGGGGCAACCTTCAGTCATTGAGGGCTCCGGCGTGGCCATCCGACAAAGGGGATCTGCTTGGGTGCTGCAGTGGCGAGTCACCCCTGAGCGTAAGATCGTTCAGATTGGACCGCTGCTTGAGCTCTACCTGGTGTGGAGAAATGAAGCGTATAACTACTGGGTGATGGAGCTGACAGCTCCAAGTCCCGTGGCAAATTTCACATCCCCGTCAAAGGACCTGGTGGTCGTCAAGGCCGGGTATCTTATTCGAAGCGCAGAGATCGAAGGTGATAAACTAAAGCTGACGGGCGATGTCAACCAGACAACTGTCGTCGAACTGATCTCAAGCCCGAAGGACAACATTCGCAGTCTGACTTTTAACGGGGAGCTGGTTAAGACTACTACACTGGCGTGTAATGGCAAAGTCATTGGTGAAATCGAATACAAACCCCCTTCCGTGGAAATTCCACGGCTTTCCAGCCTCACTTGGAGGTATCTGGACTCCGTGCCAGAGATCAAGTCAACATACAACGATGCATCTTGGACTGAATGCAACAAAACCATCACCAACAATCCTACTCCTTTCAAGACGCCGCGTGATTTATATGCATTAGACTACGGATTCCATACCGGATCACTAATCTACCGCGGACGATTCCTCGCCAACGCTCAAGAATCCACACTTTCCCTAAACATCTCCGGCGGCACCGGCTTTGCCAATATCGTCTGGCTGAACGATGTATTCCTCGGGTCATTCCCCGGCAGTTCTACCGCTCAGGTACTAGCTCAAAACTTCACATTTCCGCATCCCTTAACCTCAGGGAAGGAGTATATATTGACCGTTCTGATCGACAACATGGGCCAGGATGAAGAAGGCCCCGGCACCGACGCAATCAAGTTCCCACACGGAATCCTGAATTACAGTCTGGCTGGCCACGACGACCAGTCCGACGTCACCTGGAAGATGACGGGCAATCTTGGTGGTGAGCAGTACCGCGATCTGGCTCGCGGTCCTCTCAACGAGGGGGCATTGTATGCTGAACGCCAGGGCTACCATTATCCGCAGCCCCCAGCCTCGAACTGGACTGTGTCCAGTCCTGTGGAAGATGGTCTTGCTGCTCCCGGCGTGGGGTTCTATACGACTTCCTTCCGGCTGGATATCCCGTCTGGATGGGATGTGCCCATGAGTTTTGTGTTCAATAATGGCTCGGACGCGGCGAAGAGTCCTTCGCAGAACTATCGATGTCTGATCTTTGTGAATGGGTATCAGTTTGGGAAGTACAGTGCGTATTATATATATATATATATATATACTTCTCCTCCTGTGATTATCTTTTTCCTAACATCCGCCAGTCAACAACCTGGGTCCGCAGACTACCTATCCCGTCCCAGAGGGCATCCTCAACTACAACGGCGACAATTTCATCGCAGTGACTTTGTGGGCGATGGACACTGATGGTGCAAAGCTGGCCGGTCTCGACCTGGTCCCGACTGCAGTTATCAAGTCTGGTTACAGTAGGCCAGCGTTGGCGCCGCAGCCTACATGGACGTTGAGAGATGGTGCATATTAAATCAGATAGAGGCAGAACCAGCAAGCAATATAGGCATCATTTGTTTGCACTGTCTACTGCTCGATATTCCATACTCTCTGCGCTCATTTTGCGTGGTCATTGTAAATACTTCGTGCAGAAATAAAATCATTTACTCTCTGCTTATGTTGATATGTACATAAGCCGAGGTTCTCCGCATTCTCCCCGCCTACCGTGTACATACCTCCGGCATCAACTTCTCGGCTTGCACCAACGAAACAATTAGATCCATATCCATGCACATTTCAACGAGAACTCTGTGTAAATATATAGATATACTGAGAGAGGAAAATGACAGCAACCCCCCCACAATCCCCATACTTCCTCCTCTCCTACCCATCCCCGCACGTCCTCCTGGTCACCATCAACCGCGAAAAACAGCGCAACGCCATCAACACCCGAGCACACTGGGACGCCGAGGCCATCTTCAACTGGTTCAATGACGAGCCTTCGCTGCGCGTCGCCATCGTCACGGGCAAGGGCTCCAAGGCCTTTTGCGCGGGGCAGGACCTGATTGAGCAGAGTACTAATGCTGCTGCTGCTGACGGTAATACCGAGGAGAAACTACCGCTTCCACCCGGCGGGTTTATGGGCGTGAGTCGACGCAGGGGCAAGAAGCCCATTATCGCTGCTGTGAATGGATTTGCGTTGGGCGGGGGATTTGAGATTTGTCTGAATTGGTTTTGTGCTTTCTACTCTATTGCAATATACTTTGTGCTTGGGTTAACGCAGATAACAAAGTGACATGGTCATCGCCTCGCCAACAGCAACCTTCGGCCTGCCCGAAGCCCAAGTAGGCCTGTACGCAGCCGCCGGCGGTCTAGCACGCATCGCGCGCATTTCAGGCCTTCAAATCGCCTCCGAAATAGCCATGACAACCCGCAAGCTCACGGCCGCCGAAGCAGCGCGGTACCTGCTCATCAACAGAGTGAGCAAAACGCCCGAGTCGGTGGTTGACGAGGCCGTTGCAGTAGCGCGTAATATCGCCGAGATGTCGTCCCCGGATTCGATTGTTGTGACTAGGCATGGCATTAGGGAGGCGTGGGACGGACTGGGAGGTGTGGAAGATGCTACGGATCGGACGCACAGGCTGTATGCAGAAAGGTTGTTTGCCGGCGAGAATTATGAGATTGGCGTGAGGGCGTTTGCAACGAAGACGAAGCCGGTGTGGGTGCCGTCGAAGTTGTGACATACATTTTGTATACCATAATCTTACTGCTAGCCCTAACTAAAGCCTGGAGTTGCCGAATACGGCAACTGTAACTCAATTCAGTAATGCATCTAGATCACTTCAAAAAAAAAATTCAAGAACATTCGCAATAACCTCGCCCGGCGCCTCCTCCGGAATATAATGCCCCGAATCAACAGCCCTCCCATCCACAGACGCACTCGACACCTTGCGCCACTCAGCAAGCACATCAAAACACTTGGCCACGGTCGAATGCGCGCCCCAAAGCACCCTCAACGGACACTGCACCTTCCGGCCCTCCACAACATCGGCCTCTGCCTCTCTCATATCCAGCGTCGCTGCAGCCCGATAATCCTCACACATAGCATGCACAGTGCGCTCATCCGCCAAATTGGCCTCATACGCCGCAAGACACTCGGGCGCAAACGCCTTGAGGCCAGCATGCCGGCCACCCATGAACATATCCACCCATGCCCTGTGATTCGTCGCGATTGAGCACTCCGGCAAGGGCGCCGCCTGGATGAGGAAGAACCAGTGGAAATAGCCCCGGGCAAAGGCCTCGGTGGTCTGCGAATACATTGCCAATGTCGGGCAGATGTCCAGCAAAATGCACCTTTTCACGCGCGAGGGGTAATCCACGCAGAGCCGGTGGGCGACTCGTGCGCCTCGATCGTGTGCGCAGATGTAGAATTGGTTGCCTTCAGACCGGTTCGCTAGAAGCGCGTCCATTACCTGCACTGCGTCGCGGGCCATGGCTTTCTTGCCGTATCGCACATGTCCCTCGCCGCCGTCGGGCTTGGACGAGTGTCCGTATCCGCGCAGATCAATTGCGACAATGTAGTAGTTCTTGGCCAGTTCGTCGGCGACCCGGTGCCAGATGTGATGCGTCTGCGGGAAGCCATGGAGAAGTAGAAGCGGCGGTCCAGAGCCGCCGTGGATGCCGTGGATGGTTACGTCTTGTTCGACGGGGATGTCGAAGGGGGTGAACTGGTTGAACATGTTTTTATCTTTCTGCTGGATACGCAGAAAACCATGGAAAGTTAAGTGGAAATGAGGTGGTGAGCATTCATTTATATACTTTGATATCCTCGGTTGATCATTCTCCCGCTTCCCCGCATGCAGCACAGCGACTTAGAGCGGCCAAACTAGGTAGACAATTTTATAACAATTTTATATACTTAACGAGACCCTGAGAAGATTGTCATCGGCCTTCAAGGTCCTCCGAGACCGCTGCATAAGGACTCACTATATAGCTAGGTACCTAGATAGTCCACGAAGGAAGTATATCAATGCTTTAATATGCAGTTTGAAGCTATCCAGCTCGCAATGCTTTTTGTCAGACAGATCGTTTGCTTGCTTTCCCCGCCGGCGGCTTGAATCGTCGCCTTTTTGTCACCTGCGACACAGGATTTGGCGCGCCTGTCGTGGTGTTATACGTAGCATCTGGGTTTGTCACTGTCCACTGAATGGTGCCGTTGCCCTCTCTGTAAGTGCTCTCGAGCGGGCCGACGGTTTTGTATCCCGCGCGTGCTGGGACCTGGCCAGTCGCAACGTCGAGCCCGTTGATGATGCGCTCAAGCATAGTCAATGCAAGCAATGGCTGGTAGAACGGCACCTCGTGCCCGCTCTCGTAGACCCGTACGAACGCAAACTGTCCAGATTGTCGTACCTGGCCATGCACAACGCCGTCGTCGGTCGAGATATTCGCATATCCTGCGCTGCTGAATCCAGGAGAGTTTACCAACAGAGAAATGGCCTGACCACCCAGCCAGTTACAGTTGTAATCCGCGTCACCAGTGTACATGACAACAGTAACACCTTGGTCTAGTAGTTTGCCAAGGTCCTCAACAGTATGCATGATACGTCCGTCATCGCCAGTCGACTTGAACGCATCGAACACGGCATTGTTAACCTCGGTATAGTTCACGTAGGCTCCAAGGGCAGCTAGCACAGAAGGCGTATTGAGATAATCGACGTAAAACTCGTATGGGAAAGGGTCCGGTTCCAGCTCTCGGAGATCATATTCGTCTCGATCCAGATAATCATCGTATATGGATTCGACCTGGTCAGCGCAGAAGCTGTCGGCAACACTGCAAATCTCATCGATGCCTCGTGCCTTGCAGTCAAGAAGCTGGTCGACACAGTTTCCAGGGCCGTAGAGGTTGTTGTACAACTTGGAAGCTATGGAGTCGTTGTATGGATGATAGTCATAGGTATTTCCAGGCCACACTGTGAAGTTGTAGTACGCCTGGTATTGAATAATCGGATCGTACCAACCATTCCCAATCATGACAGACTCGAGAGTGATCTTCTTCGCACCTTGAGGAAGGTTTCGATTCTGTTCCTCGATGTATTCATTGAAGACAGGTCCATAATGACCGCCATAGCTCTCGGTGGCGAAATGGAATGATTCTCGAGAATACTGGGGGAATGCCCCCATAAATCCCTGCAGAGTGAGGTAGAAATTTGGTGCCGCAGCCTGTGTGTTGTTTGCTGTTAGGCTCACATTGGGGTATGAATACGTGCCACAGCCCAAGTCAGCTGCATAGTCAGGGCACGAATTCGAGGGCAACACAATCACATCAGCTGTCTCCGGGTCGGTATATCCTGGAACTGGGGTGGTGTAGGAAAAGCCTGTTTGAGTTGGTTGGTCAATGTATAGCATGTTGGTTGCATTGTTCCATGAGTATGGGTTGCTGTACACATTCCCATTTATATCGACACCGCAGGGTCCATTTTCTACGAAAAGTCCGATTATTGAAGAAGAACCGGGGCCTGTTGCAAAAGATCAGTCAATCAGTCATCATGGCTTCAGTGGTAAAAAAAGAGACACTACACACCTCCATTAATCCACACAGTCAACGGCGCAGTTTTCGGGTCCTGATTGCGCGCCTCAAAGAACCAGAAGAAGATATGCTGGTTCTCTTCAACATCCACATAGCCAGAGAAGCTTTTCACATTGGGATCTGTCTCGCAAATTCCTGTTGGAACTTCCTTGTATCGCACCGGAAGGTCCAAGTAACCCCTCGTTTCAGTGAAATTTGTGGGCGCTGCAACAAATTGAGCCTGTATTGTCGGGATTGCACCCAGCAAGGTAATAAACGATAGTGACCGCATTGCCGAATAGCTAACACAGTGCTACAAAACGAAGCAGCACCTTGTGAGCAAGCGGAATGCCGAGCGGGGGTATTTATTCGATGCCACCACCACGCACTGCGCGTTGCAAATACGTAAATACAAGCAAGCTAGGATTTTTGGCTGTTCTTTAGCGTTGCGACGGATTCAAAGCTTGACTGATGGCGCCTGTAGCTGGCAAGTTGGCTATCGTGATGCATCTTAGTGGCATCCACCGTAGCGGTGATCTGCAGGCAATGTCGGTACAGATCCTGTTTCTCTCCGCGAAGAAAACATTGAATATCAATGCAACAAGCCATTCTAGTTGACGACGCCGCGCCTCAACTGATGTTTAGTGAATTGAGATCGGGGAGTGACCGCCAGCTGGCAATTGAAGCCATACATAGATAGTATAATCGTGCAGGGTGACATCCTGCAGGCCCACTCTTATCGATGCAAAAAAATTGGCATGAATTAATTAAATGCGGAGAGGGCCGTGGCTGATCATTGATCACACAGCTGAAGAGTAAGAAATTGGCGTTGCATGGTGCTTGATAGAACTATCTGTAGGAGAAGGTCAAGAGGAGAAGTCGCCGACTCTTCCGGCGGTGCGAACTCGATCGGAATCGCCCAAAAAGGCAGGTAGGCTAGATTCTTACAACGATGGGATACATTCGCTTGTGCCATGCGTTTTGTTGTTATATACCTAGCTGAAAAAAAAGACTACCAGACTGACATGCCGTATGTCTACAATATGATAAAAAAGAGTAACCAAATGCTTTTTCTAACCGTTGATCTCCCACAGCCTAATCTTGCCCTGCTCGTTGGCAACAGCTAGCAGATTCGACTGCGGCGATATGGCCACCGATGAGATGCGGCCAAAGGGAGTGTTGGATGTAGGCCAATTGCGATAGACGGTGCATGATGGTAGGTGGACTGTACAAGGTTAGATGGCAGGACAAAACAGGATTTATATGCCAAAGGTAGACTTACCAAGTCGCAAGGCATCTCGCTTCCACCGGCTAGCCATAACCATGAATTGTCCATCAGGCGCAAAAACGATCTGTGTGATTGACGTCGTGAGCTGTTCAAGTGCTCGAACCGGGGTGGGATTGCTGGGGATAGCGTCCTCGATCTTTAACTTCTTGGACTGTTCCGCCTGCAAGGCGGCTCCTTGCCATGGCTTGCGGTCGTAGACGTTGACAATGCCGCTCGAACTGCCAATGGCTACCCAGCGGTCGGCTCCGAGATGTGGTCGACCGGAGAGACCACCCAGAGCAACGACAGTTGTGCCGACAGCGCCTGCGTCGGTCCAGCGGCAGACGACACGGCGTTGGCGGATATCGTACTCTGAGATCTCGCCGTTCTTGCTGGCAATCACCATACCATTGCCATCGCTCCACCAGGCAAAGTCAGCGACACCTCCGATGCCATCTACTCGAACCTGCGCTATCCATTGGGCTGTAGTCGCGTCTAGCACATTGATGACACCACCGCCCTTGCGGGCAGAACCTATCAAAGCCACGTATCTGCCACAAGGGGACAACTTGAACTTTTCCATCGACTTTTGTTCTTCCTTTCGATCAGCTGCGGGATTGACCTTTTCAATCTTACCCGAGTCTAGATCCCACACATGGAAGAAACGTCGTCGACCAGAAGCGAAGATTCGGTTGCCGGAGGGAGCAAAGGCGGATGTAGTTAAAGGCGTTTTCCGGATCTGAAGCGAGGTCAAGAGACTGCTGGGGGTTGGGGCATTTGGCGAGATATGGTGTAGCCAGAGAGTAGATGCAGGACCTGAAGAAAGGAGCAATGAATAATGAGGGTGAAAGGACAAAGAATCTATAGACGACTAGTTTATGTCAGTACGAATCACGCTGTAATGCAAGGAGAAAAGAAAGACGGGCGCTGTATCACTTACAGGCTGGACACCTCCAACGTCCTTCAAACGTTGAATATCTATAACTTCCTGACGAAGCTTCACTGGTTTCCCAGCCATGTCACCCTCACTCCCTCTCACAAGATCGCCAGCACCTTGAAGAAGTTTCGCCAGTGGCTTAACTGACACATCAGCATCATCGTCGGTATCCATTTCACTACCGGAAAGCCCATCTTCAGAACCACTGCTGCTGCCACTTCGCTTCTTGCGGTGTTTCCTTTTGATTTCTGGATTGGCCCAGTCAGGCGTGGGATGTAGTCGCAAATACTGTGTGCGTAGCCTCCTTATATATTCCGTCCCGCTGACAACGTCGTCCGACTCGGCGATGCGTAGTTTCCTCAGTCGTTTATGTCCCGCAAGTGATATGGCCATGCGCTCGTCGTCACTATCAACCCATACAGCTGGTCGGCTAACAATGCCAGCTTCGTCTTTGCCTTCAATAGCCAAAACATCGGATGGGTAATCGCCTCCATCTTGTGCTTCCACGGCACCTGAGTCTAGGAAAAAGAGCTTTGGCGCGGGAAATCTATTGGTTAGAAAGAAAAAAAAAAAAGAAAAGAATACGGAAAGACGAGAGACCTACATCGGCATCTGCAACATCATCCATATTCTCTTCAATGTCACCATCCCCTTCTCCATCTTCCTTGTCACTAAGCATGACGAGATCTGTTGATCGTTGCTCTCCATGATTTTTCAACGCCGCTCTGAACCCGTCGTCGTCGCCGAACAGCAGCTTCTCGAGTTTCTCTTCTACCTCGTCCTTCTGCGGAATCTCGTCTTCATCATCATTTTCTTCCTCAGATGAGTAATATCGCATGCCTGCATTATTGAATTCGGCTCGCGGCGCGCTGAGGGAAGAAGATGTCCTGGCCGCACTTGCGGATACCTTCTTCTGCTTTGCGCCAACCATGAGTTTTTGCCGTTGCCAATGTGAATGAAACGCAGAGTATTTATTTATCGTAATGAAATAATAATTTTCGGTATATTCGGTGGTTTTTTCTGCGTAAATGTCCAATTGAATGAGGTGAAGCTGGTCGAGTCTGGTTTTTCAGACTATGAATTTTTTTTTTTTGTTTGCTGCTGCGGCTCTGCGGAAAACATGCCTTAGCGCGCCGCAAAGTGGCAAGTGGGGAGAGGGCCCCGATAAGATAAATATTCTTATATACTCTCAATACTCTCGTTAGATTCAAGACATATATTCTATAATGGTGGGACGGTAGAATATGGGATGCTTCAAACGCAGATTTATAGACAGTTTCTGAACTGCTTGTTTGGGTCGTAAGAACAATAGAGCAGTTATGAACTGAAACACTAGGTAATCAAGATGATCATCTTAAAAATAAAACTTCATGTATCGTGTTTGAAGACAGATAAATATACATGGTGTCCAATCGTCATTCGCGTGTATTAGTAATTCATGAATCGTGAAAGCCAGAAAGAAAGAAACAGAAAAAAAAAAACACCCAACACTCCTACAGGTATCTTAAGAAGCGTAGCCAGCATAAGATGATGCAAGAACCGTCAAGACTAAGTTCGCCGTGTCGAGAAATTGGCTCTGGAGGATGACTCTGGAAGGACATCGGTACCGTCTACCGAGGGATTATATTCGGTGGCTGCGACGTGGACCTTGGATTGACTGCGAGACAAGGGCTTCACATCTTTTCCAGATGCCTCGTCTTCCAACACAGGGTCCACATCGTCTCCTCTGCTGGCTCCTAGAAGGGCACCGTGCAAGTCTCGGTTATCACTCATCAGTTCGTTCCTGGACTCATCGTCGAACGGCTCCACGTCGACGTCTGCCACGACTTTCCTCTTGATAAACGTATCCACGATGTAGTATTGGATGGCGTTCATGAGAAGGGGAAACAGTAGCATCACAAATATAATCTGGAGGGCAGTGTTCCCTTCTGTCCAACGCAGAGCCCAGTCGCCAATCTTGACTATGACAGGAAAAACTTGGATCAGGACGAATACGCAGAACTTCATCCACAAGAGACCGATAAAATATAGCACCGATTGTTTGAACCACCACGTCAGTCTTGGAGGTTGCCCGTAGTTGCCAGACTCTATCGATTCAGGTGGTCGCGCCAGGGGTGTATAGAAGGCCAAGCGGTTGATGACGAGAAGGGAGAAGTATAGTATCGGAATGCCCAAAGTTGTCTTGAACAAATCTGTAGCGTTAGTGCAGCTCTGAAATAATAGCATATAAGAAGCAACCTTACGTCTATTCCAAGATTGAGAAGGTAAAACGAGCATGGGTTAGGCTGGTACTTTTGTCGGATTTCGAAATGGCCAGCAGAGAACATGGACAAGACAAGATTAGCCAAGTGTAGCATGGACGACCCAAACACTTGCTTGGAAACGTCAAAAGCCCATATTTTCAGTGGGCGTTGCGGCCTTTCTCGATATCGCTTGTATACCAAAGACAGCAGTGCTAACGCCCCCAGGGCGGCCTGCACAAGCAGAGAGAATGGGCCCAAAAGCTTACACTCGCCATTCGAGTCGGGAGGTTCGTTCGCATTTGTAGTAGCAACGGCAGCGGCGGAGGCAAGGGTCGTTGTTGACGGTAGTTGTAGTCCAAGCAGTGTGGTTGTCGGGGCTGGGGCTGCCATGGTGGTGCTGCCTCAGGATGCGGCGCCACTAGACGTAGGTGATGCGGAGCATGAGCTGTAAATGCAAACAATATCGATAATAGAATAAGAGATCCTGGGGCGAGTCTTAGAAGATGATCGGTGTTGGGCGACAGTCATGAAACATGATCTGTGGTAGGTGATGTAAAGCTGTAACAGCTTGAAGCGCGATGCGGAGAAGAGGCGGGCGGCTCGTATTTTACCCACCTGCATGCATGCTCGGTTCAATCAATAGTTACGCTATTAAGACTTCCCAGATAATGATATCTACAGCTAAGTGCACAGACGGCTTGCAAGCAAATTCAAAGTTCCCTCATCATGCTGAGGATTTCTGGTGCCATTGTTCTAATCCGAATTCACAGTCGGGTAGCGAAGGCAAAGCAATCTTAAGATGAGTCGTCTCGACATACAGAAAAATTAAGCCTCCCCCCTCACCAACATCTCCTGTAGAACAAAATAGAAAGCAATACCAGGAGTATCCGTCATGACAAATTAACTTCGAATTGACCAGTACACATGTGATTAATGGATTGTAACGAGTTCAATCAAAAACGCCGGAAACCCAAAACAGCCGTAACAAATGGAACACAAGGAGCAAGCAAGCTCTTTGCCCGATACGTGAGTAATTCGCATGAGTCGTTATTCTATCCCGTGTTGCTGTTTGAGACGTTCTAAATTTTCTTGACGTTCCGCGAGGTCTTCTCTTGATCGGGCCATTTTCTCTGGCTGGTGATATAGAACTATAACGAAGGAAGAGATTAGTCTCAAATTTCACAAGCTCTGTTGGCGATGACTGCCTTTGGGGTAACGTACCGACAAGATAACGATTTTGAAAATTGAAGCCGTTCAATTTGTCGCAGGCTTGTTTCGCATCCATCACGTCTTCATATACAACAAACGCCGTACCCTTCGTATTATTCGCAATTCCTTGTCGTATTTGCCTGGTGTTATGAATGTCAGCGAGCCCCGTTCTCCCCCCAAAGCGAAAAAAAAAAAAAAGAAAAAAAAAGGACGGCCCATTGCCGCAGAGGTATCGAGATGGGCTTACCTGATCGGCCCAAATTTGCCAAAAAGATCGAAGAGCTCTTCTGCTGTGACGTTGTAGCTATTGCCATGGATCAGTATTCATCTTGCTCGTTTCAGACAGGAAAAGCGATGCCACGATTCGGGAGACTGGTCGGGTGTAGGCACGAGCAAGTTATTCGGCGAGGGCCTACCTCAGGTTCTTCACAAAGAGAATACTAGAAAAGAAAACGTTGGTCAGCGACGACACTAAAAAGAAGAACTAAGTAGTCGCCATGCCCTTACAGGCCCCAGCGGTACCACCACAACGGCGCTGCACGAGGGGCTTGAGGACAAGGTGGATGGAGGGAGGAAGCGAGGACTAACCGGTTGGCTTCAGGAGCAAGCTTTCGGCTCATTCTTGTATGGAGAAAGAGCCTCTGGTGAGTACTTGTTTAGAAAGTTGGAATAGCACGCCCCAGGACGGAGATTCTGCAGTGTGGAGTTGGGCAATGATGGAGTCTGGAGGTTGCAGAGACGCACGCGATGTCTAAAACGAGGTCTGCCAAGACTCTAAGGCTGGCGGCAAGGCGACGGATGCTGCACTGCGGTGGATGGCGCGCCTCCAGGGCCTTCAAGAACAATAATTGCAACACGCCGCGATTTCCAAGACGGACAATAATCGTTCACTGGGCACTCGGGGTGCTTTTGAGGGCATTCGCTGCGATGTAAGTCGAGCCCCGTGTGCAGAGACCGTCTTGATTGGCCGCCGCCGGGAACGATGCTCTGCCCGCAGCCAAGAAAGAAAGAACTACATACTGCCGCCTGCCTGCTCTCCCACCCGTGACAGACAGACACACTCCCCTCGACTCCCCTCGTCCAATTCATCTCCTCCGCAGACGCCTGTCGTGCACCATCCCTCATAGCTGCGTGCCTGCCTGAGTACCGCTGGCGCCAGCTCTGCGTTCGCCTGGACGCCGCGCTCACTTGCCTCTTCGTCGTCCCAGTCGTCAACCCGCCTCCCTCCTCTCGTTCCCGCGTGCGCCTCGCACCTCTCCCACGTCGGTTTTCCACGCGGAACGTCCCCCTGGCGTGTCTCTCGAGACTGGAGAACCTCGGCATCGTACAGGCATCGCGCGCTGTCCTTGTCCGGGGATGACTTCACCTCGTCGCAGGTGGCCGCTCTCTAGCCTGATTCCCCGCTTCATTCCCGCCTACCGCAAGAATCACCAGCATCGCCTTTCCCTCCTTGCAACCCTCCCCATCAGCTGCGAATCCTATCTCTTCGCATCATAGTTCTCCATGGCGAACACATCGTCTTTCTTAGGTCACCCAGGTGGTCGGCCGAGACAGTACCGTACTCCTTCGCCCCCGCGACGCGCTATCGAGCCGATATCTCCTGCTCTCAAAACCGAGCGCCATGCCTTTTGGAATGAACGCAGCGTCTTCTACCCTCGAGGCTACGATGGAAATCTACACAGCATTGCAAATGGCCCCTCTCGACAGTCAATTGGGACCAGTCAGTCCCGCGCCTCGTTTAACAGGCCAGCGACACAACCGAAAGCTGGCCACGGTCACCACCGAGCCAGCTCAAGCATTGAAACACTTGCGAACATAGCACTAGCGACAAGTCCCAGGTTTCCTTCTTCTATGTCGTTTGAGCCTTCTCGAAATGCAGTGGACGCAGATTCCTCGCCCCTGTTCCCATCGACCGACGCTGAACCCGAGCGGCCTGCTAAACGCGCGCGGTCGGAGAAGGCATCGCCTGCATTCCAACGTATTGACGCACGGCCGTCGACCAGCCATGTTGCCATCCCAGATAGCATGAAGACTGACGCTGAACTTCTGTTGAATTTCGCCCGCCCGACTAATTTTGCGCCTCCTCGCCAGTACGCGCCTCCTACTAAAGGCTTTGATCGGCCTCCCCAGCATTTTGCAATGGACCAAAGGTTGCCTTTAGGCAATGGCGCTATTTCAAGTTTCCCGGGCTCATTAACAGACGTCTTGTCCGGAAGTACTGAGTCACCCTCGCGGTTACGATCTCATTCGGATGGATCAGCTGCTATTGCGCGGCCAGTTATTCCGGGATTACGACCGAACACGAGTTCCTCCATGTTACCTGGAACTTCCTGGGAGGGGGATAATAACATACAAAATCCGTTGCCAAACTTACCAGATGAGCAACAATTTGTTCAGCCACCAAAACGCCGTCCTACCATTAGTGATGGGGCCATGGACTTTGGTCCAAAGACAAAGGAAGAGGCGGCGCAATCAGAAGAAATTGCTCCAACAAACTGTGCAGCATGCCATCTAGTGCGCATGGACGTGAATAGCGAGGATCAAGGTGCAGATACTTGGATTAAATGCGACGGCTGTGAGAGTTGGCATCATATTGTCTGCGCCGGCTTCAAGAACGACCGTGAAGTCCGCACAGTCGATAAATTCATCTGTCGGAAATGCCGTCCAGTTCACGGCCAGACTACTTTTGTCCGCAAGTCATCTCGCGCAAGAACAGCTATCGACTACGCAGGTTTGAACCAGGGCCTCGTCAAGACTTCCACGGATTCCTATGAGCACCATTATATCCAGCCTATCAAAGATGGAAGGATACAATTTCTACCGGAAAATTTCCCGCGCATGAGAGCGGAGCTAGTGACTGCGGAATTTTTTGAAAGGGGAGTCGGCATGACCGAGCCTATTGTCATTCCAGCTGCCCTTAACCCTCGTACCTCTGTTGACATGACGGAGCTGGACTCTGCTTTCGACAATCTGGCGAGCGAAGCTCCCACCCAGGAGATGTTTGATGAGCTACTGGAAAATTATCCGGACGAGCCTGAGACGGTCATCGATTGTGGGCAAGACACATTAGATATGGTAATCCCAAGGGGCCTCACAGTTCGCACTGTCGCTCAACTGTATGGGCCAGAGGAAAGAGTTGAAGTCATTGACGTTAAATCTCAGCAAGGCGAGGACAAAAGGTGGAATATGCAAAAATGGGCCGATTACTATGAGAGCACAGGGAAGAAACCCGTGCGAAACGTCATCAGTCTGGAAGTATCGCAGAGCCAACTGGGCAAATTGATTCGTCGACCGAAGATCGTTCGTGACCTTGATCTTCAGGATTCTGTTTGGCCGAGCGAGCTCACGGCTGTCGGTGATTACCCCAAAGTTCAATTCTATTGCTTAATGTCAGTGGCGGATTGCTATACGGATTTCCACATTGACTTTGGGGGTTCCTCGGTCTATTACACCATTCTCAAGGGCAAAAAGACATTCTTTTTCATACCTCCGAAGGAAAAGCATCTGAAAAAGTACGAAGAATGGTGCAATTCTCCGGCCCAGGATACAACGTTCCTCGGTGACCAAACCAAGGAGTGCTATCGAGTGGATTTGGAAGAAGGCGACACCATGCTTATCCCTGCTGGCTGGATCCATGCAGTATGGACGCCGGAGAACAGCCTTGTTATTGGGGGCAACTTTCTCACTCGCATGAACTACGGAATGCAGATCAAAATCGCAAAGATTGAAAAGGACACCAAAGTTCCGCGCAAATTCAGATACCCCTTTTTCCAGAAGATTCAGTGGTACACTGCGCTGAAGTATTTGAATGATGATCCTATTCCGGATACGGTTCTTGATGCCTTTACTCATGATGAACAATATCGCTTCTACCGGCAGTTTCCCATCTACTATGAGTTTGGAGAAAGGGAGAATCGCTCAGCCCCGGGCTCTCCTTATTACAATGCACGCTTCTATTCACAGGCAGAGTTGGAGGGATTGCCTGAGTTGCTTAAATACCTTTTGCGAACTGCACTTGTTGCTGGTGGGTACTCCGTAGACGGGGTTACAATAGAGAGCCGCGTCGCGATCAAAAAATCCATTCCCAAGATGCAGGGAGAACCGCTCGAGGTAGTCAAGAAATTTGCGGTCTGGATAGCTTGGAAACGAGGAAACGAATATCCCGCTCCATGGATACGGCCTGGCGTCATTTCCAGTACATTCAAAATCGACCAACTGGACAAAAGACCAGCTGGACGTCCTAGTCGTCGGTCCGAGCGACATGCAGATGCTCAAAAGATGTATGCGGAAAGGCAAAGCCTCCAACTCATTTCTGATCAGCTTCCGGAATCTCAGAACCCTATTCTAAGCTCCACGCCCAATCCTCCTGACAACGTAATTCAGCCGCCTCAACCGGTTCCAGTGGTCATCAACCCGGCTGTCAATAGTCCAGTCATCAGCACTAGCCCGACTACTAAAGAGGAATCTCTCAAACCTCGAAATACAACAAAAGGTTCGGGTTTGGGACCGAAGCGAGTAGCTTGTGATGCATGTCGGAAAAGGAGGATACGGTGCCGCCACAAGGATGAGCAGAGCGATAGCTTGCCACTAGGAGTGTCACCAAACCCGCCACATCCAGGCGCTATGTTTGACGCTGTTGATCCGCAGAGGCAGTCTATTCTGGCCCATGATGCAGCTTCTGTACTTAATGCGCTAGCATTTGTTGCCACGGAGTCGACCCTTCCGGAAGGCAGCGAGCATATGGCACTGAATACGAGTGACGGGTATCCTCGAGACAACGTCGGTCTCTTGAGTGGTATCTCGCAATCGGCGTTTCCACGGTCCATGGATGGCAGTCTAAACGGTATTAGTGGTGGAAAGAAGGGGAGAAGTAAGGCGTGCGACGAATGTCGCAAGAGCAAGGTAAAGAAATGTTATTTTACTTTATTCAGATATTTACTCCCTATGCTAACGTTTTTTTTTATCAGCGTCGATGCATTCATGACGAGTATGGACGAATCGACCCTGTCAAAGCGCAGGAACGGTCAAAACCTCGAGCGACTTCGTCAACGAAGCGGGCGAGGCCGAGTGAAGACGGCATTGATGCAGCGACGATTAAAAAGGTTAAGCCAGAAGCTGGCGCTGTCCCTGGCATCGAGGACGACCAAACCACTGTGCCTTACTTTCCTACTCCCAGGACTCACCTCCTAGACGAAGAGCAACCGCCGCATCACAAACATGACAATGAAGTGCTGTCAACAGTACAGTCTCCACCAGAAGACAAGCCCGTCCAGTTGAAGCATCTTGAAGCAGAGAACGCTTCATACACTTTATCTCCAGGTGCAAAGACCAATGGAGACGCAGGGACGATAGATCAACCGACAAATCCACTAGTATCCCCGCCTACTTCACTTGCAGGGGAAACAGAGGTATTACCGCCAGATCACCATCGTCACGACGAACTTCATAGCAGCAGCGTCATTGTCGAAGGTGAAACCGAGATACTACATACACCGACATCAAGCTCTCGCCACTCATCCCGTCAACCACGCCAGGTCGATCGATATATTCCCGAGCAAACACATCACGCAACAAAATCAACAGCAGCATTAACACCATTCTCTCGACAGACGGCAAAGCCTTCAACAAAGAAATCATCCTCTCGACCTAGTTCATCACACACCAAGAAAAGCGCCTCGCCCAGCATTGACAAAAAGCAGCAATCAACAACAACCACCACTTCTCGTCCATCCTCATCGCATCGGAACACTGCTCCTGTAAACAAAAACGTGAAACGCGAACGAACCAGTTTCACAGCCGAGGACACCGACGCGGAGAGTCTGAAGTTAATCAGAGAGATCCAGGAACAGGAATTCGGTCTTCGACGACGGACTACGCGCGTTTAAACACTTTTTTCATACCATCTACTACTTTTTTTTTTCTCTCTCTCTCTCTCTGTGTCCCTGTCTCTTATGTCTCGCCCAACTTAGGTCTACCATATTCATTATGTTACCCGCAATGCAATGCTATCGACGACTTTTTTTCTTTCCTCTTTTCTTTCTTTCCTATTATCATGATGACTCAGACTTGATCATTTAACCTAGCTCTGTGCAGTTTCTTTCTTCTCTCTTTCTTATTCCTTGAGTGATAATCAGTATATTGGCGTTTCCTTTTTTTTTTTTTTCCATTTCGTGTTTCTGTTATGATCCGTTCTACAGGCTGTTTGGCGTATAGTTCACTCCTCTTTCTTCGGTCTTTTATTATATCTCTTTCTTGTTGTTTTTGTCTGTCCACTGTCCACTGCTCGTCGGTTAATTGATTAGAATGAGTATCAATCAATAATCAATTTCTGTTTATTCTCGTTTTGTTTACAGATAGATAGATACTTGTTTGCATATATTATTTATCTATATATATATATATACGCTATCTAGATTAGATTATCTTCTTCTTCTATGAAAAAGCAGATCAAGTCAAGTCATCAAACGTAATGTAATAATCATAAAGCATTTAGAGAAACGATATCGTGGAGGGGGTATAAGAAACGAATAAATAGATAACAAGAGAAGAGCTAGTGTCATGGTTCATCGGGACAGAAAAAGAGAGGAAGGGGAGAAAAAAAAAAAAAAGGAAACGCGTGCTACCTAAATGATGATGAATCGCGTTCGGAAGATAGCGTGTTATGGTTCTTCATCATCATCAGCGCATTTGCGCGACGGCTCATGATCGAGCCCAGATCTTCATCCTCCGGTTCTTCGCCGACGCCCACGCCAACCCAGCGCTTGAGGCGTTTGTCCTCCTCGACGGAATTGCGGATTACGCATGAATGTTCGAAGCGTCCTTGGCATACTTTTCGGCGGCCGAGGTGCTTGAAGCGTGGTCCCAGGGGTCCATTGACGTAGTGGTATTGTCCTGCGAACCGGTACTGTCGTCGGTCGCCTAGCTGGTAGAACTTGTCTCCCCAGTGACCGTTGAAATAGAACCACTGGGTTGGCGAGAGTGGAGAAAGATTTGACGCGCGGAGATCATCTGTTAGGTAGTCGTATGTGTAGTAGTGCGAGTTGTAAAGAGGGTCCCATAGCGGGCCGCGGTCTGTCGTGTCGTGAAGCAGTCCCCAGGGGAGAACGTACTCATGGATCCCGGGGGTGGCATACATAGCATGGGTGCCAGTTGCTGAATACACAACGGGCTAAAGAGCAGTCAGTATGTATTTATTGTTTATATGTGTACGTATAGTTGTGACAAACGTACCCTCTTACCCCGCTTCTCAACACTCTCGTAGCTAAAGGCCTCGCCAGCAGTATGCGCACTCAAGAATAATGCCTTCGGATGGCCCTTGTAAAATCGCACCATTGTATGCTCCCAGTCGCCGACGTGATTGCCGAACCGGACGTCAAAAACTGTATTTCCGAGGTTGTAGCTGTAGAAAAAGAACCAAAATGCATCTATAACATCGTTGCCCTTGTCAACGACCACCAAGACAGCGGGTGCGTCGCTACGTCCACGGCTTATTTCACTGTCTTGTTCAGCAGACTCGACAGGCTCAATAGGTTTGCCCGCATATCTTTTGCGGAGCTCTTCGCTATCCATCTTCAATCCAAATGCATCTGGATCTGCGGACTCGGCATCCATAGGATCATCCCAGCCACCAGCATCGTACCATTTGTTGCGGTCATCATAATCATTAAAAACTGGGGTCTTATTGCCAGGTGTATCGTGGTCTGGTTCCTCAGGTTCCACTGGTTCGCCGGGTTGGGGTATGGGAACATTCCGCTCTGATCCCAGCCAGTCCGGCAGAGTCTCCACATCATCGTCGCTCGTGAGGTAGACGTATCTGCCCAGCTCCCATCGGTTCAGCTCATTCAAATCCTGCAGTGACGGGTGTTTCCATTTGGCCTGGACTGGGGTGTAGTTCAACTGTGGAGTAGTATAGACCAAATGCTCTGCAATGTCACTCGGCCAGAAGTTCTCGCCCGAAAACAAGTGCACCAGAGGCGCATACTCTAGCACATACTCCGGGATTTCACGCAGGACTTTCTCATCGTTGGTCCAGTTTGCCGAAATATCCTCTGCAACAGTCCAGTCCATCCGCCAGCTCTCGTCTCGATCATCCATGAGCGATTGATTATCTTGGACTATCTTAACAGACCTCGAGCCAGGGTGGTCCCGCCGAACGTGGGCAATGCCGCAAAGCCCGAAGAAACGGCAGAACTTGCGGTCCCACCATGATTTTGAGGTTGCCAGCCATTCTGCTTCTTCCAGGTCTTCTTCGGACCAGACAAATAAAGACGGCTTGACGGCACGGACCAAGCTAATAATCGATATGTAGGCGATCAGACTTGAAAGCGTAAGGATGATGAGTTTCGAGACGGGACGACGACGAGCCATTAGCAACGACTGTTCTCGAGTTCCCGCTCGAGACCGGATCTATTCAACAAAGGTTGACCGGCAGTGCCGGATAACAGAGGAAAACCTCGAGACTTTACTTCGCTTGTCTCTGATCGGATAGAGAATATAAAAGGACGACAGTTGTAGGAATATGTCGCTAAAGATAGGGTCAGGATCGGTGACAGACGCAATGATGAGTCGTACACCAGTCAGCGGCAAGAACGTCGAGACAAGCACGGTGAGGGCGAGGGAAGAAGAGATGCGCCGAGGGAGGATGAGGCGGGGAGAGAGAGAAAGAGAGACACCAGCAGACGAGGCGTGAGTGATTCACAGAGGAAGTCAGGAACGCAGCGACGGGAAGCACGGCAGCCGTGATCAGATCAGCCATGCCGCTGGGCACCAATCACAGCGCGCGACGACGGGGCGGCAGCGAATCGGCATGCGAGTGTTCCGCACGCAGCCGATTTTTTCTTTTCTTTTTCTTTTCTCCTTTTTATCTTTTCGTTTTCTGCTCTGCTATAACTATATGCTCGGTCTCGTTATACGTCTGACGGGATACTAGACTGTCATAGAGTTAACTAGTTAAGTTACTGATCCTTAATTACATCATCTACTTGTTACTTATCGATACGTTATCGATAAGTGGGAGTCGTGTTCTTTCCGAAGAGTCCGAATATTCACAACGAATGTTGCTGCGACGTGTCAGATTTTAGTTTCTCTTTGCTATTTGGATCTACTATTTATTTTTTTCTGTCTTGATACGGAATACTTCGTCGCAAATTTGAGAGTCTGCATGCACGATAAAAGCCGTGTTATTAATCAATGAAGGTTCTGCTGATTGGCCCAGTGCATAAGCTTAAAAATAAGCCTCATTGCGCTTAGTTTCTGAAGAACATCGTGACACCAAAAGCCCTATTTAGGGCTACATACAGATTATAACCTTCATGTAAGGACGTCCAGTTGCGGTAGATAGCATATGAATAGAACGATCTAGAGAAAAAATCCTTCATTGGCCAGCTAAAATACTTCCAACACCCAATGGATGGGGTTTGTCATCGCCCGCGCATAACTAACGCAAGTGAGTTATTCTGTCTTTTGCTGAATCTATTGGATTATTTTGAACATCAGAGCCCAAATGGAGCTCATTTATGTCTTGTATTTCCGGTCATGATTTCTGATGGCGAATCAATGACTGTCACTGGAAGACCACATGGAGCTGAATACGTGCAGAATATATCCAAGCAGATATTGCTGGCCTTGGATTTTCTCCATGGACAAGGGATAATTCATTGCGGTATGTCGACATTTTTTTTCTATTGACTAACGCACGCCTAATTAACAGGCCCATTGACCTACAGCCTGCAAACATCATGTTTCCAGTTGTAGGTACCTCTTCTAGCGATGACTTCCTGCAGCCCCCGGAGTTCAGTCCTGTCACATGGCTTGGAGGAGTGGAAAAGGATGATAGTGCGCCACGGTATTTGATGGCTTCACAGAGGATTCGAGGGACTCTGGATAATGCAGACCTCTCCACATTATTAGTGAAGATTGGCGACGTAGGGGGAGGTAACGTGCCACTTCTGAGCTTCTAGTACGAGGACAGACTCTCACATTTATGACATTATAGCTACATTGGGTCAGCAGCATGATGAACTACTACCAGTAACCCCCAACAGCTTTACGTGCACCTGAATTGATTTGCCAGCAGAGTTGGTATGTCAATCACGACAATCAACAAACGCTCTGCTTAACCATGCTTTTATAGTTGGGAAGCCTAGTACTTCATAAAGGAATAATCTTGAATTAGGACGTCTCCAGGTCAAGTATTCTGTTAAAGTGGATTCGAAGACCAAGACTTTATATAGTATCGGAGTCTCAACATATAATACCAGATAAAATCTTACATAAATTATCGTCCTAACCTGAAATATCAACAGATTTATATATCCCATATACCGCGACTTTGGTATTTTACCAGTATAAACACCTGAGATGAAATTGGAGGATTTGGTGTCGGCCGAGCGGTACATAGTTTATCCGGGTTCATGATGGAATGAAGTTGGTTGAAGGAATTACTTTGGCCAAGGTCGGTAGTAACGATTACATATTTTTTGGGAACATTGACGTTGACTTATCGACCAACAACGTAGCCATGCAGAATACAGCAGACTCAGAGTATGAGTATGAGTACGACGAGACCGAGACAGAGGTATGCTATGTCATCTACCAATATTCAGCTACTACTCGCGACGCTGACTTTTCCAGACATTCTACGTCAACATTGATCTAACATCGTACAATGGTGCCCTTCGCCAACCGCGCCGCGGGGTAGCATCTGGCGACACCGCAGACGAGCAAGAAGCCGAGAAAGGCCCCTCCCCAGCAGACAGGCAAAACGCAGAAGACGAACAACAACAAGAAGAAGAGGAGGAGGAGGAGGAGGAGGAGGAAGAAGAAGAGTCGGGCGACGCGACTGCGGAAGCGGAGGACATCGAGAGTGCGGGCCGACTTCAAATCATGGAACTGCACGGCAAAAACCCCTTCGTTTCCTACCGCAACCACATCTTCAGCTGCGAATGGGCCGACATGATTGGCACAGATATGCATTTCGTCAGCCACGAGGACACCTCCGCCGAGCCTGACCCGACCTATGTAAAACACGCCGAGAACTATTCGCTGATTGCTACGAACGGGATCAAGATTATGGGACGGAGGGCGCGTCTTACGGCTGCCAATGGTGCCGTGTCGAGAGAACAGGTCGACAGGCCAGAGCCAGATACTGGGTCTGCGCAAGTGCGCTTTCTCCAGGAATTGATGGACATCAAGCGGGAACGGGGAGAGAAAGACATGATTCAAATGACGTTTGGGACTAGACGTGGGAGGAACTTTGAGGCTAAGATTGGGCGGTGGGCGAACACTGACGAACGACTCGAGATGATTTATCAGTTGAATCGGGCGGCGCTGGGAGGCGACCAGAACGCGCTTGCGAATTTGGAAGAGTTGTACGCCCAGATAGAGGCTGATGTCGATGATGTTGACGTTGAGGATGTCGTGACTGGTTCGTCGAATGTCAATGCTGCCTCGGAAACAGTACCATCAGGCTAGACGCATATGCGCGACGATGCGTTTACGGACATACGGACAGTCATTGCAGCAGACTACTCGGACAAGAAAAGCAACGATCTATTCCGACAAAGACAGCAAGATTAATAATAACCCATATTATAGCAAACCGAACAGCGGAGTTTTTTTATAGAAAAAACAAAGGTGTATGCCAACACCCAATCCTCGCAACGCCATGCCTGATGAATCACATTCATTACACCAAAAAAATCTCCTTCCATTTGATTGCGTCCTCGACTTTTCAACCAGCCAACTTTGTCCTGTCTAAAGAGGACCGTGTCTAGACGGAAAGCCCACCGGCGACGGCGGCGGGGGAGGCGGATTCTGGAAATGATGGTCCGCAAATTCGATGTGTGTCGAGGATGAATTCTTCGAGCTTGATATAAACGACTTGGGTAGCAGTGAACCCGATGCCTCGAGGGCACGAAAGACGTCTTGATGGTTGAGGGGAACAGCTGGGGACTGGGTTGGTTGTGAGTCTGGGGTTTGACGCATTGCCGATGCCATTTGGAATCTTCCTGTCGGATGCTTTGTTTGGCAAGGGTTGACGACTATCGAGATATGAAGGTAAAACGATGGATGAAGAACTGGTTTTGCGTGTTCGGCGTCCGAAGGTCAACTGTCGGTCGGTGACGATCAGCGGCAAGGGATCCCCTAGCAGCTATTCATTCAAGAAATAATATCAGTACCATTATTTAGATAACAGAAACAACACAAGGACGGACTCACCTAGCTTCAACGGGACGGAAGAATTCGAGAGAAGGAGAGAGAACTGGAGAATGAAATTAAGGGGAGGAATTCGCCGGAAACTAGAAAACACCATCGTAATAGCCGGCATGCCTAGACCTATACAGCCATCTATAATTGGCCTGATCAAGGGATCGTATGCCTAAGGGACGGTATGACAATGCTGCCAACTCCAGACGGACGGTCATCTTGGCAGACAAGTCGACAAGTCGACAAGCAGCTGGCTGTTGAACTAGCGGACCGGTCATCCATCGTAGCAACACCCGTAGCAAGGCTGGCCTGCCAGTCAAACGGGGAGCTGGATATGAGGATCATGATTTGTTGCCTTGCATCGTATTGCTAAGAAGTCCCAAGCGGGAAATCTAATTTCCCCATACTTCTGCCCCATCCTTCAGTAATCTCTCCGGATGGGGAAATCTGGGGGAAATTTGCTGTGTATTCCTAATTACTCCGCAGACACTTGTGCTTTGGCATCGGTAACTAGTTAACGAATTCGCCTACTTACGTAAATTCTGCGACGCCTCGCTTATTGACGGTCTATGATCTATGACAGTCAGTGTACGGAGTCGCTGAGGCTCACCGCTTGTCTGAGCCATGCATGCACGGACTGGGATGAAGAGACGAGATTCTAGTTATAACTACGTAGCTAGTTTAAGTTAGTTGGTTGACCAAGGCCGCCCCTGACTAAGGCGTAAATCCCGTGATATTGTCCCGTGACCGCGACACGAACGCCAACGAACTCTGCCACGCACGTGACGGCCGCTTTTGCACGATCGCCGACACGTGGCTTACTGGCACACACACATCTAGACGGACTTGCGGACACCACTCTCTATGGTATACGTGTATATTGCAATTGTGCTATATTGTATACTAATATTATGGGTATATGCACACGAGGATGAGAAAATCCCTCACGTGTATCATGTCATACCGCATTGCAGCATCTGTAGTGTATTGTGTTTTTTTGTATATATATTCGTCTCACTTGCGGGGTTTAACGCAAGATCGCCGCCCCACTGGCCAGCAGCCTGGAACATTCTTTGGTAGTAATCTAAATCCTTGCAGAGAATTTTTTTTTTAAAGATTTTCTAGTTTTTTTAGTTTTTCCCTAGATGAGCCACTTTTCGCAGCTGGTCGTCTCGCACGCGTCGGCAGGTCGTGATTCGTCCCGACGCCGGTCGGCAAAAGAAGATGGAGTTGCCTGCTATTCTCCTTTTCGGGCTTCAAATATTCACCACAATACATGCTGAGAGTTCGTTAGTATGTCTGAGGTAATGTTCATATTAGCACCAGCACAGCCTCGTCTGGAACAAGCAATCGGATCCAATTGCGGTGGCGCAAGAAACCACTCGCAGGAACGGGGGACAGTTTTCTCCTTTTTGCGCCATTTATCCCTCCCCTCCTCTTTGTTTGGTGCGCACTTGTGAGTCATCCCAGCTAATAATAGGATTGTACGGAGGTTTCGAGATAGCTGCATGCCAATGGCATCGGCCCGGTATGCCGACGCTGATAGTGTGGATTCCTGGCATCCACTGTTTGAGTCTAGATAGTGGCAGAACGGAAAAATTGGGAGCTGTGGTAGATTTGCTTAATTGATAGATAGCAAACCGAACAAAATAAAAACCAAAATTGCTGGCCGTGCCTGACCGCATCTTGCCGGCCGCAAATCATGTGCCGCCGCTGACGTGCACGCTTTCCTTTAGTTAACTAAGTATTTATATCCCACCTCCTCCCCTCAACCACTCAATGCTCCCCCCTCCAATCCACCACTCACTCAATTCCCCCCCATTGAAACGTGTCCGTCTCATTGCCTCGTGCATGGCGTCCCCTGTCGTGCTCCCACTGCTGTTTGTACTCGGATAACCCTCCCGGAGCTCTGCTCATTTGCCCGTCAGTTGTGTCACAGCTGTTGCAGCCTCGATTGCAATCGGCAGCTCCAAGCCAGAGATAACACCACGGTATGCTCTTCTCTTTACCTCTGGCCCTTTCTCTCTCTCTTCTCCTGCCTGTGATTTTGCACCTCGCTGACCGACTCTCATCCAGACCTCAACCCAACCCAACCCACCACACCATGTCAATCGATCCCACTTTGTCCGAGGGCCACTTGCCCTCCCCTGCGCAAACCGGCCTGTCAACACCGCAGCTAACTGTCGGCAGTGGATCGTCAGGTGCTGGAACCCCCATTGGATTTCAGCGTTACCCCCATAACAAACACCTCGACCATGTCATTAGAACTCCTGGTCGTCAACCGTCGCCGCAGCCAGTTCATCTGGGACTGCCCGGACAACAACACAGGGTCCTCACCGAGGAAGGCTCTGGCTATATCTCTGCCAAGTTCGAAGGCAAGCAGGAGCAAATGGAAAAGGGTAAGCATAACATTGGCAGACCTTCCTTTTTTTTTTTTTTTTTTTTTCCCTTCCCTTTTGTCTAGCTGTCTAACGGAATTAATTGCAGTCATGGACCGCCTCGAGGAAAAGGGCTTCTTCCCCTCCGATTTCGTCGTCTCAGAGACCACGTGGTTCTACAACATGCTAGGAATCGACGATATGTACTTCCAGACCGAGTCTGTCGAGTCCATAGTCACCCAGATCCTATCTTTATATGCCGCCAAGGTTGCTGCGTATGCCCGAGATGACAAGCGCCTCGAGATTCGCCTGGACAAGGAGGACGAAGACCACGCCGTCTACATCGATACCAGCAAGCCCGGTGTTACCTCGCTAGACGGCCCGAATTACGAGTCCCGTATAGACTCGAAATACGTCGACGGCTCCCGACCCGGGCGAAGCTATCGAGTAGAGAGTTTCCGCTCGACGAGCCCTCTTCCGGGTGAGGAAGAGCAACAGCTGCGTTGTTACTTCGTCTACAGATGCCAGTTCGCCAATCCCAAGCCGGGCCCAGATGAGACCAACATTGAGATCGTCGGAGAGAAGCGCTTCCTCCAAAAGGCCACTGCTAATACCAAGGCCATCTATCAGGAGATCATCACCAACGCCGTGTCCCGGACCGGTCCTGTCATCGAAGTCTTCGACATCGAGAATAGCCGGGAAAAGCGCCTGGTCGTGGCTTACCGTCAAGGATCCGCCATGGGCATCTTCAGCGCTCTTTCAGACCTGTATCATTACTACCGTCTGACCAGCTCGAGAAAATACCTCGAGAGCTTCTCCAACGGCATCACCGTTATCTCGCTCTACTTGAGACCCATCAACAATGCGGAAATATCGCAAAAGTATCCCCCCATCGAGGCTGCCATTCACCAGATTGTGAAGGAGGTTTCGCTCTTGTACTGCATTCCGCAGAACCGCTTCCAAAACCACTTTGCTACCGGCCGTCTGAGTTTGCAGGAGACTATTTACTCCCACTGTGCCTGGGTCTTCATCCAGCAGTTCTTGAACCGGCTTGGGTCCGAGTATACTTCGTTGACAGCACTTCTGGATTCTGGCAATAGCGTTCATGCAGAACTTTTATCCAAAATCAAGAAACGACTCCGCACTGAGACATTTACCTCTGATTACATCTTTGAGATCATCAACAAATACCCTGAACTCATCCACAAGCTATACCTCGACTTTGCCAGCACGCATTACGTGCAAACCGGAGATCCACAAGATGATTTTCTTCCCACGCTCAGTTACTTGCGCTTGCAAGTCGACGAGGTCCTGGACGATGCGAGACTTAAGGAACTCATCAGTCGCACTGCTGTTAATGAGCACGATGAGATGGTCATGACGGCTTTTCGCACCTTCAACAAAGCAATCTTGAAGACAAATTTCTTCACTCCCACCAAAGTTGCACTGAGCTTCCGTCTTCACCCAGACTTCCTGCCAGAGCACGAATACCCGCAACGTCTTTATGGAATGTTCCTCGTAATCAGCTCCGAGTTTAGGGGCTTCCATCTTCGCTTCCGTGATATTGCTCGCGGTGGAATCCGAATTGTCAAGAGCCGAAACAAGGAAGCCTACAGTATCAATGCTCGGTCTCTATTTGACGAGAACTACAATCTTGCCAACACGCAGCAGCGCAAAAACAAAGATATCCCCGAAGGTGGCGCCAAAGGTGTCATTCTTCTCGACGTCGATCACCAGGACAAAGCTCGTGTGGCGTTCGAAAAGTATATCGACAGTATCCTCGATCTCCTCATTCCCCCAACGAGTCCCGGTATCAAAGACCCCATTGTTGATCTCCATGGCACGGATGAAATTCTTTTCATGGGCCCAGATGAGAACACCGCGGACCTGGTTGACTGGGCCACTGAACATGCCCGCAAGCGAGGCGCGCCATGGTGGAAGTCATTTTTCACTGGAAAGAGCCCCAAGCTTGGCGGCATTCCTCATGATGCCTATGGCATGACGACGCTTTCTGTGCGTCAGTACGTTCTCGGCATCTACCGCAAGTTGAAGATTGATCCATCGACTGTGAAGAAGCTGCAAACCGGAGGACCCGACGGCGATCTTGGCTCTAACGAGATCCTGCTTGGTAACGAAACATACACGGCAATTGTTGACGGATCAGGTGTGATCGTTGATCCCAACGGCCTTGATCGCGAAGAACTTGTGAGGCTCGCGAAGAAGCGAGTGATGATTTCACAATTCAATGTATCCAAGCTGTCGCCTGAGGGATACCGCGTCCTCGTCGACGAATCCAATGTGAAACTGCCATCAGGCGAGATTGTCAACAACGGAATGCTCTTCCGCAACACCTTCCACCTGCGCAAGGATTCCCCGGTGGATCTCTTTGTGCCTTGCGGTGGACGGCCGGAATCGATCGACTTGAGCACGGTGAGCAAGCTGATTGTGAATGGAAAATCGGTGATTCCATATATCGTCGAGGGCGCGAACTTGTTTATCACGCAAGATGCGAAGCTCCGATTGGAAAAAGCAGGCTGTATCTTGTACAAAGATGCCTCGGCCAACAAGGGAGGTGTCACATCGTCGTCACTCGAGGTGCTGGCGTCGCTGTCCCTCGATGACAAGGAATTCGTGCAGAACATGTGCGTTGCCGCAGACGGCACCGTGCCGGAATTCTACCAGGCGTACGTCAAGGAAGTGCAGGAAGTCATCAAACGCAACGCCACGCTCGAGTTTGAGGCTATATGGCGCGAACACGAACGCACGGGTTTGTTGCGCAGCGTGCTCAGCGACCGACTGAGTCTGGCGATTACGAATCTGGACGAGGAGCTGCAGAAGACAGCCTTGTGGGAGAATGTGGAATTGCGGCGCAAGGTGTTGGAAGATGCTCTTCCGCGACTTCTTTTGGAGAAGATTGGTTTGGACACGTTATTGACCCGGGTATGTTCATTCCGATTCCTATCTAGACATGTATCAATATGTATATGTATACTAAATCTTTGATTCATCAGGTCCCCGAAAGCTACCTCAGGTCGATCTTCGGCAGCTACCTTGCCAGTCGCTTCGTGTACGAATACGGCAGCAATCCCAGCCAATTTGCATTCTTTGATTTGTGAGTCCACCACTGTTGATGATATTACATTTTACTAACGCGTTGTTCTCTGCAGCATGTCTAAAAAATTTTCGGCTGAAATGTTATCCAAACAACCAACTTACTAACTACTTAATGTCTGGATGATTGCATCCTTTTTCAACATATTATCCTTATATCGATAATGGAGAAGAGCAAACTTTTTTATTGTCTCTATCAAACTAACTCATGAGGATGAGCGATGTGTGTGTGTGTGTGTGTTATTTTTATCCTATCATGTTTTATAAAATCCTAATCCATCCATCCTGGTACATGCACAGGTTTACCATCAATATATCTTACCAATACAATCTTCGATAGAAGACTTTCATCCTCCCTTCTAGAATACACAATACAATACAATACAAATATCATGTACACAACGTAGATCCAACGTCTACGGCATCAACACCTCTTCATACCCCTCTAGATAAACGCCCTCTTCTCTCTCGGACCTCGGCCCCCTTTCTAATTCCTGCCATATATTCGCATGTCTCCTTTTGGCCCATTCTTCGATACCTTCTTTGGCATATTCATGTGGGCAGGCGTTGTAGGTTCGCGCGATCCTGTTACTTATCAATACATGCACACACACACGCATATATATACATGCATATGTTTATAGGGATGAAAACGTACATATCTTTATCAGGCAGCTGACCAATCTTCTGTTCTGTCTGCTCCAATGCTTGGATGGCCAGTTCATGCTCGCCCTGCGCGGCCACAGCCTTGATATAAGCCAGATATAGCTGGCGATCAAGCGGGATTTCGAGCGCGGTGATCTTGCGCATCATTTTATGCGCATCGTCGATACCGTGAGTATGCGATGGCGACTCGCATACTTTGAAGAAGATGAGCAGTGTGTTTTGAGAGGGTCCTTCGTCAGAGCGCAGGATCTCGCTGAATTCGTTCATGGCTTCGTCTGCCTTGTGGCATGCGGCGAGCGCGATCATGACTGCGTTGCGGATGCGGGTTGTCATGTCCATGTCCACGTCGAGTTTGAGCATGTTTCGGATTAGTTTGATGTTGGCCCAGTCGGCGGCGCGCGCGAGGCCGAGGAAGCATGTTATGTATGCTTCGGGCGTGGGTCGCTGGTGGACGCTGGTGGCGTGGCGCATGTGGCCGAATACTTGGCAGCCTTTGTCGAGCATGTTGCGCTCGAAAAAAGTTTGCATGATTGTGATTCGGGTTTTGCTATCGGTGTCCGGAAACGCCATTCGCATCAGCTGGTATGCCTCCCAGACCTCGTCGGAGGGCTGTTCGCGGTCGTGGATGAATCTTATGAGTGAGTTTCTGATAAGCGGGCGCTCAGTGACTGGTGAATAAGAGTTCAGACGAGGTCGGAGTAGCTGAGAGAGAGCTTCCCAGTCATGGCGATACGCGAGTAGATGCGTAAGTGCCGCCAGGGCCTCGGGCTCTAATTGTGTGCCATGTTGCACCAGTGGATCCAAGAGCTTGGTCACTTGGTCAAAGGCATCGTCGTCGTTTGGCCGTTGGCATAGCATCTTGATGAGTCGATATCTCATTGACAGGTTGATGCTTGTCGAGGCATCGTCATTTTCCTCCAGATCGCGCAGCACTTTGACCGTGCCATTAACATCCGAGGCCTGTATACGGGATTCTAGTTCCAGAAGAAAGAATGTGTCTAGATCCGACTCCAGGTTCCACTGGGGTATCAATTGCGAATACTCAGCCGCAAGCTGCAGGTCGCCGGTCAGGTTTGCGTACCTAATGAGGTCGTTGACGCAGGAAACGGACAGACCATTTCGAACCGAAGGGTCTTCTGAGCACCATTTGTTAAGCTTCTTTGCCAGGTCCGATGCCGTGCCGCCTCTTGCAGCTCTCATCAACAAAAGTACATCTCGTGTCTCGGCGGATGGAGACGCCCAGTGTGGACGTAGAATGTCCTGGGTCCACTTCACATCATAACTCAGGATGGCTGCTCTTGAGACTGCAACCATGGCAGTGATAGTTGGCTCGGCCTTCTTGGGCAAAGGGCAGGTATATATAAGTTTGGCAGCATCAAGTTGATTCTGTTCAAGCAGAGTCACAATCAATTCTTCTTGTTGCTGCGAGCTGAGATCAAAGTTGTATTTATCCGACAGTTTCGTAACAAGTTGTTCAATATTGGTCCTATCCTGTTTCAACGCCAGTCCGTGTAGTACCCAAAGCCAGGGCGACCCTTGAGCATCGAGCTCTGACCATGACTGTAGTTTGGGCCACCACGTCAAGAGAACCTTGTGTGCCTGGTATGGATTACCAAAGAACGCTAGTATACGTACCCAGGCAAGAAGTGCTTCGTAGCTCAATTCACCCGCGGCTTTTGTGGATGCCGCACATAAGATGTTATATGCGTTTTGGGCCAGTTCCCGCACGAGGGGATGAGAATTGCGATGACAGGTTGCTTGGGATAGAACGTAGAGAATCAGCTCTGACGTTTCGTTGGAGTTGATTATTTCCCACTCGGCGCTGTTGTTCGCGTCTTGTTCTTTGTGGTGGGCTCGGAGATATTTATATGTATTAACCAGCTGTCTGGCATGGAATTCCGTAATGACCCCCGGTTCTTCGGCGCGCACCTCAAAGAATCTCTGAAAGGCTTTGCAGAGGACATCGAATGGCGGAGCCCTGCCACTTGTCCTCATCGCTTTGGACAGTTCGCTCATGGCTTGTAGCCCAACTTCGGAAGTGGGAACGTCGGCAGTCTCCTGTCGCGGAGGCGCGGTGAAGGAGAAGAATGTCCGCGACTGGCCATAGTTGCTATACGTCTTCCGAGCGCGGTACAGTGTTGCTGATGAGGAGTAAAGTCGACTTCGACGAGGGGAGAAACACACCGGCTCGTTGTTGAGCAGAGCACGAAAAACACGTCGCGTAAGGTAGGAGGACTGCATCTTCGACGAGAGTCCTTTGGGTTGATAGAAGACGAGAAGAGTTGAATTAGAAAGGATAACCCTAAGAAAGGAAGAATTAGGAAGCAATCTGTCCAGCCATATTCCTGCATCCAAAGATTCGAGATTGAGGTAGGTCCAAGTCCAACCGTCGATTGTCGAAGGGCAAGTCGCTGGCGGCTTGGCGCCGGTGGAGAACGACAAGAAAATTGAGCTCCGAAGCTGCTCCCTCAAAGACAGCAGCACAACTTTGGACCGCCATTTTAGTTCAGTACCACCAGACATTCCACGGAATATTGATAGCTGGAGAAGCAGTTTTAATCATGTCTTTGAAGCTCTTCTCTCGAACGGGCAATTCCCTGCTCCCGAATCTCCAATCCAACCTACTCGCCCCGGCCTCCTGTCGATGGGCTTCATCAACACCGAGCAACAACCAGAGGACAGCTTTCCCTTCTCCAACCCGGAGCTCGTGGTCATCGCCAGGCAGTATGCGCTTCATTTTATCTGCGCGTTCCTTTATGTTGCTCACTAACCGACTATCTACTACAGGAACGAAAGCAATCAGCAGCCGCCAACGAATCACCCAGCGCACCAGGCTCATGGAGGAATCCAAAAACCAGTCCGATGGCCGTGTCCTCGAACGATTCCAAACTCGGGAATGGGCGCCAGGCGATATTTACTCTCCGCATGATTTGAGCCCGAGTGAAATGAAGAAGTGGATGAAGCGCTGGAGTCCGGCAACCGATGCCTTTGATGCGTTGAACATTAAGCCAATTGAGCAATATAAGGTAGTAACAACCCTAAACGCTCCACCTTCGAATAGCTAAACTGACGTTTAATCTTTCCACAGAACTTCTCGATCATGTCGGAATATATCACACCCATGGGCCGCATAAAACACCGGAAACTCACTGGTCTACGGCCGGTTAACCAGCGCAAGATCGCAAAGGCCATTCGGCGTGCCATTGGTGTTGGTCTCATGCCCAGTGTGCACAGGCATCCTGAAATTCTTGCAATCGAAGCCAGATCCAGATTTGGCCCTGGCGGCTCGGGATTCTCTTAGGGGTGTTGTGCGGCGTGTCGGGAATATATAGTTGGCATTGTATTATAGGGGATTCTACTTCGTTCTGATAATTTTCTAGCTTGAATCAAGGAAAATAAGGAAGCCTGGTGGTGTGCTCGTAGAAGTCGATGAATGTGTATGCCTGCCGCTGACGACATCCCCCACACGCCCGTCAGGTACTTCAGGGACCCATCAGCCCTTCCTCTCTCACTCTCCTCTTCGCCCTGCGAACTAGAGCAAGCATAAATCCCTTTCTCAATTCACAGTCTTCGCATACGCTGGCCTGTTTTGCAATGTCTCTGACGAACGGTAAGCCGGCACGCCGCATCCTTGAATCCGTCTTGTCTGACTGTCTCTTGAGAGCACATCTGGGCTCCCAGCCCCTCCACCACACGCGGCCAACCCACCCAGCTTTCCTGCGACGCAAAAGGCGAAAGATTGGCTTATGCGGTAATTAAGTGCGACGAGCGATATCTAAGGGATGGTTCTAACAGCTCCTGTCACACATCTAGTCCAACAAATCTATATTCATCCGCTCCATTGACGACCCCGCAGTTGCGCGGCAATACACAGAACACAAGGCCCAGGCCACCGTCGCGCGTTTCTCACCCTCGGGCTTCTACGTGGCCAGCGGAGATGCTGCAGGTACCGTGAAGGTCTGGGACTGCGTTGGAGAAGGCATCACAAAGGGGGATTACTCGATTGTCAATGGCCGGATTAACGACATTGCATGGGACGGCGACTCTCAGCGCATCATCGCTGTTGGAGATGGCAAACAGAGATACGGACACTGTTTCACCTGGGACAGCGGTAACAGTGTTGGTGAGATATATGGTCACACGCAACCTATCAACTCGGTTTCCATCAGACAGCAGCGTCCTCTAAGAGCGGCCGCGGCCGGTGACGACAAGACGTTGGTGTTCTACCATGGCGCGCCGTTCAAATTCAACACGGGGATCAGAGATAAACACACTAATTATATATACGGTGTCTCTTTTAGCCCTGATGGCTCACAACTGGTGAGCGTTGGAGGTGACCGTCGCATATGGCTATATGACGGTAAAACCGGCGAGTCGAAAGCCCAAATTGGAGAAGGGGAGCACAAGGGCAGTATTTTTGGAGTCTCGTGGTCCAAGGACTCACGGAAGCTGGTGACGGCGAGCGCAGACAGGACCGTGAAGCTCTGGGATGTCGAGGCAGGGAAGGTAGCTCAGACTTGGAGCTTCGGCAACGAAGGCGCCGTCAATCCCCTTGATCAGCAAGTTGGTGTAGTCTGGCCATCGGGACGAAGTGACGGTCTCGTTATAAGCTTGTCTCTGAGCGGTGACCTGAACTATCTTGTAGAGGGCACCCCGCAACCCAGACAGGTTCTGAAAGCTCACCAGAAGAACATCACATCATTGACACGATTCGCTTCCGCGGACGGCAAAGAAACTCTCTGGTCTGGAAGCTTTGAGGGTCGAGTACGTAGCTGGGATGTGGCAACTGGAACGGCCGACACGGTCGATGGGGACAATCACACCAACTATATTGCCGGATTAACAGCCACGCAAGAAGGCAAAGGCAGAATCTACAGTGTCGGCTGGGACGACACTTTAAGGTCTATAGACGTTGCGGCCAAGACGTATACCGGCAGCCTGTCCAAGTTATCGGCTCAGCCCAAGGGCGTTGCAGCCGCCGGGAACACGGTTCTTGTTGCACAATCGGATGCTATCGATATCTACCAGGATGGCAACAAGTCCGGCACATTCAAGGCACCGGCTGATGTGACTGCCGTAGCGGCGCATGAAATCACGGCTGCATTTGCAGCGGAAGATTTGATTGTTCGTATTGGAACAGTCACGCCGTCGGCATTCACATCACAGGTTGAATTCAAAGCGTCGCGTAACCCGATCTCGACCTTGGCTTTCTCCCCGGACGGAACCCTGCTGGCTGTTGGCGACTCGAGGGGCAGAATCCTTGTATTCAGGTCGAAAGATGGCAGTCTAGTCACTGACCGCTGGACTGCTCATACTTCTCGCATCACGTCGATTGCATGGAACAGCAAGGGAACACATGTTGCCAGTGGATCCCTGGATACGCATATCTTTGTCTGGAGCTTGGAAAAACCGGGCGACTGGATCCAAGGTAACAATGCGCACAAGGAGGGCGTGACTGGCGTTGCTTGGATTGCAGACGAAACCAAGATTGCCTCAGCAGGAACTGATGCAGCGATCAAGGTGTGGAAGGTCGAAGGCCTGCCGTAGTCCTCTTTCACATGTTAGAAGCTGTAGCACGGTTCACAGATGGAAATGAAGCCTTGATATTCGAGTGATATGCAGAAAACAGTAAATAGATATATCTATATGTATAATGTAGTTGAGTAGCATGTAGTTAAAGGTTCCCAGTTGGTCAGTTACACTCGGCCGCGGGAACTAATAATTCCTTGAAGCTCTCTGGCCGGAGCTTGTCCGACTGACAGCTTACCACCTCGTCCATCGCCGTCTTTTTTTTTTTTTTTTTGACTCGTATCGAACATATACCAAGCTATATAAAATAACATACTTTGCGTTTTCAAGGACGCGTGATGGCGGTTCTCCAGCACAGACGACCGATATCACCACAATGAGCGCCTCAACATCGACGAACCAGTCCCGAGTTCGCCGCTTCAAGGCAAGTCGTGCCATAAGCAGCCTACATCTTTTTCCCATGCATGGCCTATGGATCCCATTCAACTCAACTGACGCTTAGCGTGTGCTTAGTTGCGAGAGGCGGCATTCATTCTCCCGCATACGGGCCAGCGACTGAAGGGGCTGGTGAATCTGGGAAGTCGCGATGCTGCTCGAGATGGCAGCGGCGAGGAACAACGTCCGCTGCTCGCCAGCAGCGACTCAACCACAGAATCGTCGCATCGATCATACGAAATGGCAACACTCGCTGAGAAACTGATAGAGTGGTGGGACAAGGTGCGCGCCTTTGCGGTCTCGGAACACGGCAAGGGCGTCTTCAAATTTGGTCTCGCGTACCTGCTGGGTTCTTTGGCGACGTTTATTCCTGCCATCTCTGCCTTCCTGGGCCACCAGGATGGGAAGCATTTGGTCGCCACGGTCACGGTCTATTTCCACCCGGCTCGGTCTAGAGGAAGCATGTTCAAGGCCTTGATATGCGCTTGTCTCGCGTTCCTGTACACGACCTTCCTGTCGGTCACCAGCATGTGCGTCTCGATGTTTTTTGAGAACCTCGACCTTCTCGTCGTTGGCCATATCATAGTCTTGACTATCTTTTGTGGCGGAGGTTTTGCCTTTATCGGATGGACAAAGCAGAGGCTCAACGACCCTCTGGTCAATGTTGCATGCTCTCTGGCCTCGCTCTCTACAACTACTATTCTTACAAAAGAAGGTGCCGTGCAAAAGGGGGACTTGTCATTCGCCAAGATTTCGCAGACGCTCAAGATGCTGGTCATGGGGGTTTGCGCCGCCATGGCAGTGTCCTTCCTGATCTTTCCCATATCCGCGAGGAAGAAGCTCCGATTCAGCTTGACGACTATGACGAGCACTCTGGCAATCATGCTTGGTAGCGTGACTGAAAGCTTTCTCACTGGATCCGATGAAGAGATGTACACTCCTCCGTTCACTAATGCGTCGGCACAGAACAAAAATACCTATGTTCTGCTGGACAAACTAGTCAAAGAAGCCAAGCTAGAGCACTATGTTGCTGGTACAGAAAGTGAATATCGCTTGGAGAAACGGCTTGTACGATGTGTTCAAGATATCAATCAGAATATGGGCGGGTTGCAGAGTGCAGCGGCCCTGCAGTTCCAGCTCCTGAAGCAATCTCAACAGGAGCCTGCCAATTTGGCACCCGACAAAAGCCCACTACTTGCACGGAAGAGTAGCACAGCCAGTCAACCCGGGGTGTGGTCTATTTATGGAGAGTCTGTCACTCTTACTCCAGTAAGAGAACGAGAAGAGGACGATTTCTTGACAGAGGAGTCGCAGACCACCCCTGTTTCTGCTTTGAATGGGGACCAACAGGAACGGGCCATGACCGCCACGCCGTCACCGCAGCGGATGTTTGAGGTTTTCATTGAACATTTGGGGCCATCTATGGTAAGAACAAGCCGATTTCTGGAATTTCAAGTCGAATACTAACATACTCCTTCCCAGCAATCATTTGCCTTCACTCTCAAAGAGATTCTTGAGGAAATCCCTTTCGGTCCTGGCCCCGAGCACAACGTATCGTTCAACACCAAGTTCTATGGCAGCCTTGATCGTGCTCTGCAGCTATACCGAGAAGCTAGAGAAGAGGCCTTGGCCCTTGTCTACCGAGAAAGAGATTTTGCCAAGATTCAATCCCCTGACGTTGAAGCTGATCTTGAGGAAGTCTCTGCTAGCTGTGGTCATTTCAGTTTTACCCTAATGGAATTTGGAGAGCAATTGAAAGATCTGCTTCAAATTTTGGATGAGCTGAAACTCGAATGTGAAGAACGCCCACGGGGGCGAACATGGAACTGGCTGAAGTTCTGGCGGTGGTTCGGAGAGCAAGAACCAGATACTGCTACTAATGGTAAGTCAGTCCCATGAGAGAAGATGATTGTCTGGCGTTATTCACTTACATGGACCATAGATTACCCGAATCTACCCCTTACAAACTCGGGACGTCCTCACCTTCGCAAAGGACATTCATCTCTGGAAAGCGGGTACACTGCTGAGATCCGTTCTCAGAATAGAGTCACATACCGAGTGTGGAAGTCTCTGGGTTTTCTGCGGCGGGACGAGACAAAGTATGCTATCAAAGTCGGCGTTGGTGCTGCACTGTACGCACTCCCCTCGTTCAATTCTGTGACACGCCCTCTATTCACGTCTTGGAGGGGTGAATGGGGGCTTGTTTCTTACATGTTGGTCTGCTCTATGACGATTGGAGCGTCTAACACAACTGGATATGCTCGATTTCTCGGCACGTGTTTGGGAGCTTGTTGCTCAATAGCTGCCTGGTATGCGTCAGGTGGAAATGTTGTTGCTCTCGCCTTCATGGGCTGGCTCATGGCAACATGGACTTCTTATATAACGTTGGTGAAGGGACAAGGCCCCATGGGTCGGTTCATCATGCTTACATACAATCTGTCGGTTCTATACGCTTACTCATTATCTGCGAACGACAATGATAACGACGAAGATGAAGGTGGTACCCATCCGATCATCACGGAGATTGCACTCCACCGTGTGGTCGCAGTACTGAGCGGCTGCGTCTGGGGAATCATCGTTACAAGGATGATATGGCCAATCAGTGCAAGATCGAAGTTGAAGGATGGACTGAGTCTCCTGTGGCTACAGATGAGTCTGATTTGGAAACGTGATCCATTGTCAATGATGGTAAATGACAAGCCTGTCACCCCGTATCTCACCGTTCGCGAAAAACTGCAAATCGAACGGTTTCTGTCCAATTTGGAGACACTGCATGCCGCAGCCAAGTCGGAATTCGAGCTGCAAGGTCCTTTTCCTGAACTCGCATATCGAAATATTATTAACCGTACCCGAGGCATGCTAAATGCCTTTTATTCTATGAACATGGAGATATTGAAGAACCTCACTGCTTCAGAAGGTGAACTGAGTTTGCTGCAGTACACAACCCAAGAGCGTGTGCAACTATCATCTCGCATCAGTCACTTGTTGTCAGGTAAGTCATCTTAGGAGCCCTACCGTCGAGGTCCATATGACTCTGACTCACGGCGGCAACAAACATAGTTCTTGCATCTTCGATGAAACTCGAATATCCCTTGAATGATGCTCTGCCAAATATACAACATGCGCGCGACAGACTTTTGGCTCGCATCTTTCACTACCGCCTGGAAAGCGAGGTGTCGCTGCACACCACCGATAGCGACTATGCGCTGCTCTACGCATACGGTAAGCCTCTACCATTAAACTTGAAGGGCTCCAGATAGCGATACTGACTGCCTTGGTTAGTGCTGGTTACGGGACAGTTGGGAAGCGAAATAAGTGCGCTTGTTGCAGAGATCAGTCGACTCTTTGGTGTCTTAAACGAGGATGTCATCGAGCTCCAGTAGTTCGTTAGCTATCGTTAGCAGTAGTAGCTTGTAGTCAGATTTATAGGTGAATACATGATACTGTCTGTATTTTTTACGATCGATTTTATTTTCCGCGCCTTAAAAATCGTGAACTCAGGTAGTCAGAAGCACCGAATGCGGGCGGCAACCCGAAGTTTGGCTGGCGAACCTCTCGCTCCGCGTCCATCATCATTCAGACATTCACATTTCTGTTTCATCAACGTCCGCCATCCACCGCCGGAGTCTCTCCATCTCCAGAAAGGGCTTGTCTCCTTGTATGACAAACAAGACACACAGGACATGGTTATCAACGCCATCGCTTCTCTTTTTTTCATGAAGGCCTAACATCCTCCTCCGTGTTTGGCTTCGCGCAGCCGATCGCGCGTGTTCTCTCCTATTTATTATGCAGATCGACCCGGCAGCTTTGAGTCGACCAGATTCGACTTCGGCTGCTGTTTCAACGTCCAAGGCTGTCGCGTCCTCAGCGGCGGCCTCGCAGAAGGCCACCAAGGCCCTGATATCTGTGCCGCGTCTGGATCTGGAGGCTGTCTATACGGACCTCAAAGCCGCTATCGGTGACAATTGGGGCGAGTACAAGCACGCAACAACGCTGTTTCTGCTAGGTAAGATGCGTATTCTTGTTCTTGTCTCTCCCTTTTTTTTTTCTTCTGTTTCTCACTAAACTAAACCGTGTGAAATCAAAACCGTACAGGCCATCTCAATCAAGACGAATTCTCCTCGCGCCTTGACCACATCATTTGCGCCGAGCCCAGAACCGAACATCTACATAACAATTTCATATGCGCGCTCATTGGCAATCTCTCAAGAGACCTTCCAGACCATGGCGTTGCAAGCTGGGTATCGGCAAACGACAAGCCCACGGTGGTGTCGAAGCCGGTGTCTAGCGACCTGGCGGAGCAGAGACTGAAGACCGAGGTGATGCAATTACCTCCGCGGGATCGCAAAAGGATCAAAGCTATTCCTGAGGTATAGTCTAGTTCCCTGTCAGTTATGATACTACGGAGAAGAAATTGCCTGTTAACTCAGTTATGTTGTTGTTCGCGTTCTGCAGCCGGATCCGTACGAATTGCCACCAAATGAGCTCGAGCTATACCATCAAGCAAAGCAAATCAGATTACCTACCCAGGTTCCAGCAAGTGCCGGCGGTTTAAATAAGACAAGTAAGGAAATCTCCAGGCAGGATTGAGACTTCTCTTTCTTCCCCCCCCCCCCCCCCTCCATGCAACGAATCAAATCTTTCTAACCGTCATTTGATATCTCTCTTGTTTAGATTGGGAACTTGAAATCAGAAAACGTTATGCTCAACCACTCGCCTCGGAAACCGGCGAGTTTCCCGACGCAGAATCAATACATTCACGCATGGTACCAATATGTTATGAAGAATCAGTGGCTAGCGGCGCTGGCTTCCCCTGCGCCGAGTTCATGGCCATTGCGACGGAAACCTTTGTCAAACAGGTGTTGTCGAGTGTATTCTCTCGTACCAGACACAACGGCCCCTCTGGCACAATCAATAGCATGATGACGCGGAAATACCGCAGACAACTGGAGCGTGAAGAGCTAGCTTTCACTCGAGGCGAGATAACCAAGGATCTCGCAACGGGTCTTTTACCCGTTGAAGCAAAAGAGGCGAGGGTCAGACAGCCGTTGGGAGTGAAGGATTTGAGACTGGCGCTTAATCTGGGCGGTGCGCTCCTTGGTCAGATGCCTTTGGTGGTTGATCAGATTATGAGTACGTATGACGAAGATGAACTTGAACTAGAACGACAGGGTTATGTCGAAGAGATGCGAGAGAAAACCGGTGCTATCGATGGCACCGATAATGCTACGATTAAAGCAGCAGAGACTAATGGAGTCGACGCCATGGATATTGATGAAGAATGGGAGTGGGAAGGTGGCACAATGACAGATAGAGAGCAACTCAATTCTCTTCTGGACGAATGTCTATCACTGGCTGCATGAAGAAGAAAAGAAAGAGAAAGCGACATACATATTTGTCTGATCCATCTACTTTTTACAAACCTGGCGCTTATGGGGCGGCGGTACAGGGGAGGCGTTTTTTTTTTTTTTATCCCTCAAGCGGATCAAGGTGAAGATCTCCATTTCTTATCCATGTTTTTATACTAACCAATTTTTCGTGTTGTTGTGAGAGACAGACGAGAGGAGAGGATTTTATATTTTTTTTTGTTTTGTTTTAACCTGATACCAATACCATTTTTCGCTTGTTATTTATTATGAAATCGTCGTCTTACTATTTCTTCTTCTTCCAAATAACAAAGGATAATGTCGTGTGAGGCTTTCGCTTTTCTTTTTCTCTTCTTTTGGGTGTTATTTTATGCATCTGGAGCGGAGTCTGTTGACTTATCGAATGGTCTTGTCATTCTGTTCTTGGTAGGTAGGTAGTGTCGGTAGTGTGTAGTATTATTTCCATCACCATCATAAGCCCTATTCAGGTCGTTACATATTGGAACTGTCTGTGAACAATGTAGACATGAGTGCATGTCGATACTAAAGTAGACAAAAAATGTTGGAATTATTTTCTATATATGTAACCCAACTTATCGTTCAATTCTGGCTCAAGTAAAACCAGACTCCCCATGTAACAAACTATTTATTCATACAGCACCCACAGACGCCACGCCAATACCGAATTAAATATATGCATACTCGCTCATCATTGACGCGGCAACTGTTCCACCACCATTTTCAAAATCTCCTCGGTAGACTTATTGAAATTTGTTGGATCCTTTGTCACTGACTGCCAAATCTCTCCGTGCTTGGGTTCGCTGATGATGCATTTAGAGACAACGTCCTGTCGTTTCTCTTCCGTCCCGTGCTGCGTCAGGAACTTGTAATACCAGGCCCATGAGTCGCCCTGGTCACTGTCTGCCAGAATGGCTTTCTCAAACCATGTCATCGCCTTTTCTAGTCGACGCTCATCCCAGAATATGCGTGCAACTGTAACGAAGAGGATGGGGTCGTTGTCCACCTTCTTGATTGCTTCTAGACTTCGAGGTTTTCGGTGCGTACGAGCTTCAAGGTACCAGATCTTTTCGGTCCATAGTAGCCCGGAGTTGGGAACTTCCTGGAGTGCCTTGGCCATGAGGACCTTGGCCTGATTGATATTGTTCGCACGTCGCTCGACTCGGATACTTTCGGTCCATAACTCTGCATTCTTGGGGACCGCGAGCCGAGCTCTATCGAGGATTGAACGAGCCTTCACCACCACGCCTGCCTTCTCTTCAAGTCGTGACGCCAAAAGCCACAATGGTACTGACTGAGGACAAGCCCTTGTGCCAGTACCGTAAGCTTCCCGGGCCTGCGGGTATCTCTTTTGAGACTCGTATACCTGTCCCTTTATCATCCAGAGCTTGTCGGCCTTGGGGTAAATTTGGAGGCCTTGGTTGACGAGGTCAAGGGCCTCGTCCATATTCCCTAGCTGACGCTCAAATGCAGCACTTTTGATCCACACGCGATCTGTGCCTGCTTCGCGGCGAGCAGTGCTCAAAAGCTCTCTAGCGTGTTCCGTCTCCTTTGCATCTGTCTCCAGTTTGACAGCTGCAAGCCAAATATCTTCGTTGTTGGGGTTTCGCGCAAATGCACGCTTGAGAACAAGTCGGGCATTGTCTATCTCGCCAGCTTGCCATTTCTCCTTGGCGAGTTGCATCCAGAGAACTTCGCTTTGCGGGCATGCCTCAACTGCTTTCTCGAGTACTTGCCATAATGCCTCCTTGGTTCCGTGGTTGCGTTCCAAGTCCGCCGCAGCAAGCCAAGTGGTCTTGCTGGTGACAAATACACGTAGAGCATAGGCGTAGATTGCTCGTGCCGTCTCGTATTTACCGCGAGCAATGCTTGCCTTGGCATCCTCCATCCAGATATCTCTACGGTCATCATCCTCGTCAAGTCCGTACCCAAGAGTCTCGCGAATGATTGCTCCACACGTCAATATGGCGCCTTCTTCCTCGCAAGTCTCAGCTTCAGTAATCCATTCTTCCCTTTTCGGCATAGCATTCTCACGAGCAAGGATCTGAACAGCTCTTTTCATAACATTGACTTTGTGCGCCGTACCCATTTGTTCCTGCAATCGAGCGGCGGCGATCCAAATCTCGTGGCTCGTGGGGACTGCCTTGCGAGCGGCATTCAACACTTTCTGAGCATTCTCCGGTGTTTCTAAACGGGCCAGTGCAAGCCAAAGCTCCACAGACAAAGGTATCATTTCAGTGGCCTTGGCAAGGAGAAGTCGGGCGTCTGCTGGGTCATCTTCGAGATTCACTGCCTCTTTCCAAATTGCGACTGACTGGGGAATGTGTAGGAGGGCCTGTCTCAAGACATTCTTTTTGGCCCTGGTATCCGACTCGAGCTTCATCGCTTCGATCCACAACATGGTCGACCGATCGTTGTGTTTGATAGCATTTGCTGCAATGATCTTGGCATTGTGATTGTCGTTGAGCCTGATATTCTCCAGCCAGGCATCCTCACTCTTCGGACATAGTTCACACCCTTTCGCAATATAATTTCGAGCAGCGACAATTTTTCCCGCTATTTCTTCTAATCGAGCAATAGCAATCCATCCCGGTGCATGTTTGGGATTTGTACGCGTAACTGACTCAAGTAAAACTCGGACGCGCTTGATGTCGCCAATTTCCACTTCGCCGGCTTTCAATTCGGACTTTGTAAGACTGGTGAGGTATCCCTTCGGGTCGATGCTGGTCGAACTGCCAGATGCAGCAGCATCACCAGAGGCGCCAAGTGCTGCCTGGTCGAGGCGTACTTGAAGGACTTTGTCTCGAGCAGCACCGATGTCTGCAAAATTCGTCAGAGTGCCATCACCAGCGGCGGCTCCAGGGAGTTCTGTTTGGGTGCCATCGTCGGCGATTGTAGTTTCAAACTGAGCAGAGTCCCTGGCACCTGCAATTACACTATCTGGAACCGCATAGAACCGTTGTCGCAGGTTCTGTCGAGCACGTCGATTCTTCCCCGTAAGGTCGCCGACATCAGGAATATTTGCCCACTCCTCGTCTGATACCGTAGCTAGTGAGCGTTTCAGGTCTGCGAATTGTTGTTGGATTTTGGGATTATTCTTTTCGTATTCTTCTCGTTCTTGTTGTTCGCGGGCTTCCCTAAAGGCAGCGAAAGGATCAAGTCGGCACTCTGTCCACAATAAATATATGAAAGGCAAATAAACGAAACCGAGATTCTTGACATGAATGTACAAAATTTCACAGGGAAATAGGGCAGTGCGCTGGGGGAAAACAAAAATAACTGACCTTCTAGCTTTGCGCCTCCGATCCATTTTCTCATCTACCTCCTGATATATCAAGTCTGCTTCATCATCTTCGCGATCATATGTGCCGTATGCGAAAAGCCCGACTTCGTTATCTGGATCTTGAAAACGCTCATCGTCCTCTTCTTCCGCTTCCTGTTCTTTGCCTTTGCCGCCCTTTTCGCGACTGGTATTGTACGCTGTGGGCGTGGGAGCACCTAGTTGCTGCGCTCTTTTTGCTAAGGCTTCTTGAATCTGCTCTGGCGTTGGGCCTTCTCGCGCCGGTCCCAAATCTGATCGTGTAGTGAACCCGGTGGCACCTCGACCAAGACCGGCGACATAGTTCTCTGGAGCCGGCTGGCTGAGGAAATCTTTCCTTCCATAAGACATACTGAAAGAGAAAGAACCGTGTGGTTGCAGCAGAACGGATGATGAGGTACCTGATCTTGAAAACCAACTTGAATAACTCCAAATGACGGTTGCCACCGCTCTGCCGCCGCGCTAAAAAGTGCAGGGAATTTTGGAGCCAATGATAGCTGCCGCTCAGATCTTATCAGATCTGATAAGAGGCAATAGCTTCTAATCGATTAGGAGACGATATGTATAACACACATGTCTAGGAGAATAAAGCAGAGTTATAATAGATCAAGCCCCGTCATATTATTATTGCCCTAATGTATATATAGTCTAGACCCACGGTATTGCCATGGATGTAAGGTGGCAAACCAGCAACCAACCACCTTTATGGTACTCTTCATGCCTCGAATGTGTACAATCATTTGTTCAAATAATAAATGAATGGGGATTAGGTCAGAACATAAATCCACTAGGGGTATCTTCGCCATCTTGTCGCAGATGTGCGCTTGAGTCTTGGAACAAACTCTGCCAAATAAACGCTTCGCTTAACAACAACTCGATTTCTTTTTCAGTCCAATCCTTCGTTGGAAGCGCTTGAAGGAACATCATGATTTCCTAATATTCTTGTCAGCTATTTAGGTACCAAATGACGTTTTCAATGGGGTATACCTGGAAGTCCATCTTAAGTAACCTGTCGGTCCACTTGACAAGGAAGGCGGCGCAGACATATAGATGAAATCGGGAGAATCCTTGCTCCTCAGCCTGTTCATAGCGTGTTAGCATATATAGAGCGACCGATTCATTGATCAGATCACCTTACCATGTAAGTATCCCACATTCTAATTGTACTCCTTATACTCATTTCCCTCATAAGCAGACAATTCATCCATCGAAAGCTGAACTGCATAAACTCGACGCCTTCTTTTTCCAAGTGTTTGGCTAATCCAGAATCAATCCGTTTAGTCAAATCGCGTAATGCTTTCACTTGGCGTTGTATGCCTGGCTGAGCGTAGATATAGTTGTCCTGAATGCCATCAAGAAGTTTCGTAAGGCACCAGAATGAATCGGCTTCTACCGCATCAAGCACAGATCTCGGCAGCTGACCTGGGTCCATCCCTTCCTCAACATTCATGTCTGTGATATAGGCTCCTAGAAAGACCTGCCAAAACGGAGTCACAAGGTCATTAATTCCCTGCACGTAGCCGCTTGCAGGATGCCGTATAGCCCAAACATACAATATCCTTTCCAGAGACCTCTGGGTTGCCTCGTAGCCATATAACTGCAAATGTGGACTTGTTCGGGGAACATCGATGCTGATCTGATGCCATACTGCTTCATCCAAGCCCCTACCACGGCCAGAACTTGCATTTCCGGAAGTGGTCCCGCCAGACGCCGAAACTCGCTCGAATGCCTGACGAACGCCATCAAGGTATTCCTTGCGCTTTCTTTCAAGGGTCGAGATGCGGCGCTCGCTATTGGTCGGCATATAGCCTAGCAGCAACTGCCAGGTCATAGCTCGCACTTCATCAGGGACACCAGACCAAGCCAGGGCTCGGAGCTCGGATAATGACACGGTACTCGCCTGCAAGATCCGTTTAAATTTGTTGATCCTCGAGATTCGCGCAGAGTGAGCTTCTCGTTGACTAGGGGTTGCATCCGAAGGAGGCGGCGAATGATTAATTAGGTTCAAAGAGTTGGCGGGGTCTTCACCACATATGTTAGCGCATTAAGTTATCCTACTACAACGATGATTATTTACCTTTTAAGATGTCTTTGTATTGAGGACGAAGAATCTTGCCTTCTGTTTTCTTTGTCGATGGATACAACGAAACGTTTCGTTCCTCTGCAATATCCGAACTATTAGCCCGTGGTCGAGCGGCTGCGTCGAAATCCACATTGAGCGATGAGTTTCCCGATAGTGAATTGTTGGTTTTGTATGTGGGCTGAGATTTCTTAGAGCTCTTTCCCTTTTTGCGCATGCTGGCAATGCTGGGGAGACCAAATTCATCTTCGTCATCATCATAAAATATCTCGTCATCCTCGTCTTCATTATTGACATCATTTCCATAACCCCAATTACGATTTGAAGGTGATAGGATGGTATTATAAGGGTGGCTTGGAGAGGGCGCCTTTCGCCCCTCAAGATGCGAGAGGGGAAGCGTGACGCCGCGACCCTGTGCGGCATTTGGGGAGGATCTCGGTGGTGTCCGAGTCAACGTACTGGCGAGGATGTAAGAATTTCCAACTGATCTGATTTTCATTCACTCGATGGGAGGTTCAACTTAGACGTACTTTGCTATGTCGGCGTGTGAATAGGATGCGCCAACAACGGTATTCGTGTCATAGGGTCTGGAGTTGACAGTCTGTTGCGACGCAGCTTTTGATTTCCAAAACGGAGAGGCACTTCTTCTCGACAAAAATTAGCAGATGGTATGTAAAAGTTGGTACTTTAGGCTATGTAGTCGACAGAGGGAGATCTCCTAGGGCAAGGACATACTCGGCGCGGTCTGCTGAAGAATCAATGGCAGGTCAGTGATCCGTCGCACTTTGGTCTGGGATAATGTGGGAAGAGGTACGAACCAACCTGGACCATTTCCTGTTGAGACGAAAACGCATACGAATCAGTGCCTGTCAAGAAAGTTGGTGAGAGGGGGTTTCAATGGAACACACCTGCTGGTGGGTTTTCTTATTAGCCATCCTGACGGCAGCTCAAGAACCCTAGCGCTGGTAGTTCCTCATGGATTCATAAGTGAAAAGCAAATTGAACAGCGCTTTCATGCTTGTATGCAGTTCCGGGGCATCGTTGAAGCTACTCCCTGGCATCTGCTGTTGTTGTTGCTGGGGGAGGGCCGCTTGCTCCACATCATTCTGCCAAGGCGGTCAGCTGCTCCACTTCGCGCGAGTCTTCCATGTCCTTTCAAACCTTGTCTCGTCCCCTGCTCTGTCTCACCTGCCTCGATTGCGCTTCACCTCGTCAAAGACACCATCAACCTCTCGCAGCTAGGCCTGCGTACCTCGTAGTTTAGTTACATTCATTCTCCTGCCCTTTCGCACAGCCAACATGACAGAACCTGAGGATCTCGAGGAGGATCTTTTCGCTGATCTGTAAGTCTTTTCATCAATCAACAACTACACCGAGGTCTAACATCCAGACAATCAGGTACGATGGAAACGATACCAATCCGGCCACGACTACGGGCGTAACGGACAACTCCGCAGAAGAGAGTGCAGCCTACCAAGCGAATGACGTCCAGAATGGGAGAGGTCCTGAAGACTTCAACGAGAACCCTGTAATTGACCTGTATCAAGGCCAGGATGCTGAAGGTGCTCAGTCTTCTCAGGGGAGGGATTTCACACAGGGAATAGGCGTTCACACTGGAGATGTGACAAGTTCCACGGATGCTGAAACCCAAGGAACAGGTATCAAGGAAGATGGGTAAGTTCAAATGATTCCATTAAGCATTAGTCTCTGTCTTTTTCTCTCTTTTGGTTTGGTATTCGACGTCATGTTTGCAAGCGTCATCAGGCTGGGAGGGAAGGGACTCATAGCAGTCCGGTGTGAGATATTCTGGTATTATCCTCGGACATTTGAGAGGGCTCTGCAAGATCATCTCGGAAGCACAATGGGCTCCAGTGGTCATGGCTGCATATACGGATTGGCGCTATTGGAATGGACAAAGCACGCCCATCAGTGTGAAAGAGCTACTATACCCGTCAGTTTGGAGCGAAGTAAACTACGCTATACATAGAACTCCAGGCGTATTCGCGGACTATATTTTCGCAGTCTACACACTGGGATTTTCATTTTATGTGGAATACGGCTCGCTAGTGGCAGTTTATCAGGGAGGAAGCCCGGTGGTCTGCGGACTTGCTACGCAGTTGTGCAAGAAAAAAAAAAAAAGAAGTGATCGTTTATGCTATCAAATGGAGTCGATGAGAACTAGAGGCCAAGATGGCATACTGCACGAGGCCGATGTCGCCAGCGACTATAGTACAGTTGATACTATATAGCTTCTTATCGATACAGTTTGATAGATCAGAGCAGCAAATAGACGATTCGACAGTCAGGGAATATACAAAATCTATCGAGAACCTTCTCTCTGCTACCGCGATTTATTAGATGAAGCACATCATGTGTGAACATGGAAGCCCAGAAGATTATATCATACATGTGGTGGCACCCTTCCCGCGAATTGCCTGACCTACGCAGCTGTGTCCGCAATCCTTATACGTTGGTCAGACAAGGTGTAAATCCAATGGGCCTTTCTATACAAGCCATATTCCACCACCAATCGAATGATTTCAAACCATTGTCGTCCAAGTTTAAAAAATACAATACGCCTGTCCCTGCGAACACGGATATAACACCCGGCAATGTACATTATTACACCACGGCCACTACCGAGCTTGCAACGTTCATCAGCAAGTAACGTTGACATGAGCTTGGGTTTTCATGCCATAACATGCCAGGAGCCCTAATTGCCGAGAATACCATCGAACCAGCCGTCTTGCCGAATCAAATTATTATATTGTTCTATGTTTTTGTGCTTTGTCTTGACGAGATTTGGTTTAGATGGTGACAGTGTCTAATCATATGGTTACTACAGAAAAATGTTTATTGGAGGCCTCAATTGGGAGACTACAGACCGTATGTATAATAGCTCTCTTTACCTCCTGGGGTAATTACGTGTTGGAAGTGCTAATGAGAGTCATTATAGAGTCGCTTAAGGACTATTTCTCACAATTTGGTGAAGTCCAAGAATGCACAGTTATGCGTGATAGCACCACTGGGAGATCGAGAGGGTTTGGGTTCCTTACGTTCAGGGATCCGAAGACTGTGAATACTGTGATGGTCAAGGAGCATTATCTAGATGGGAAAATTGTAAGACTCTCACTTTCTCCAATGTCTTCCTGGTTAAGAATCGAAGAACCAAGTCATACTAACTCTAGTGTAGATTGACCCTAAACGTGCTATTCCCCGTGATGAACAAGAAAAAACGAGTAAGATATTCGTTGGTGGAGTCAGCCAAGAAGCCACAGAACAAGATTTTAAGCAATTTTTTATGCAATTCGGTCGCGTGGTGGATGCTACATTGATGATCGACAAGGACACTGGTCGGCCTCGAGGATTTGGCTTCGTGACCTTCGACAGCGAGGCGGCGGTGGAAGCTACACTTTCTCGACCCCTAGAGATCTTAGGTAAACCTATTGAGGTGAAAAAGGCCCAGCCAAGGGGCAACATGCGAGACGACGACGGTCGAGGCCGACGGGGCAGAATGGACAGCCAGGGCATGACTCCCGACAACAGTCAACAACAAGTAGGTGGGCAAGGAGCAGGCGGGATGCCCAGCGGTATTTCACCACAGATGATGGCCCAGTACTGGCAGAGGATGCAACAGTATTTCTCTATTATGCAGCAGCAGATGGCAGTTGCAGCAGCCGCTCAGGGTCAGGGTATGGGCGGAATGAATATGGCTGCAGGTATGAATCCTGCGATGATGCAGCAAATGAAGCAAATGCCAATGGCTGGTGGTGGTGGCCAGCAAGGAGCTCAATCCCCGAGTCCCGGCCCCCAGGGCATGCAAAACATGCAGAATATGATGAACCCAGCCATGATGCAACAAATGCAGCAGATGCAACAGATGCAAAACCAAGGCCAGCAGATGGGCATGGGTTCTGCTGCCGGCTATACAGGTAACCGCGGTGGACCAGGGTACAATGCTCAGGAGCAACTCGCTTTCGAGCAACAAAAGTACGAGCAACAACAGGCTCGGCGAGTTGTAGATAATCGTGCGTACTCACCTTACCAACAAGGCGGCCCGACTTCATGGGAGGGTATGTACGATGAAGTGCCTCAACCAAATATCCCAACAGGTCCCCAGGGCCGCGGTGGAGGAGGCATGGGACGCGGTGCTATTCCGAGCCAAGGTGGTAATAGTCCTCAGCCAGCTGGTGCTGCTCCAGCAAACGCCCCTACCGGCCCCAAGAACGCCGGACGACCAGGCGCAAACTACCGTGGTGGAGGCCGTGGTGGTGGACACCGAGGATTCCACCCTTACTCGCGATAAGCACAATGCCGAAACCAAGCTATGGAGGAGGGAACAAAGGTTTATATTACAGCACAAATATTTTTCTCGTCAGAAATTGAAGCACGGGGGTTCTTTTCCCTCTTTTTTTTTTTTTTTTTTAATATTTCGAGGTCATGAGGGTCTTTGAAAATAAGGAGAAAATAAAAAAGGGAGGCGCGGGTTGATTTCATTTTCATTTTCATTATCATTATTATTATTGTGTTTACATCTCTTCTTTTTCCCTTCTTTCTAATGTCTTTTCTATGCCATCGAGTTTTCGGTCCTGTACTGTCCTCCATCGCCTTTCTATCTATCTCTTCCATCTCTTAAACAAGCTCATCCAGTTGGGTTATAACAGACAAGTCAGTGAGCTCGTCTTATCCCTGCTTCACTTACCATGTTTTCTCGGTGTGCATCGAAATGCTCGTTCTCTTTTCCATACCTTGTATTCCCTTCTTCGTGTGCAGTGCTCAAACTTTACTGCCAGGTGTTGTTTGTGTTGCATCTCTGGTTCGAACGGTGAGTGGCTAGAAAGAATAGCTTATTTGTGATTCATATTCATTTTTCTTTAAACTGGAGTCGTGCCGTTAAAATAAGGGAAGCTTATCTATACTTAATATTATGATTTGTACCTAGGTATTATCTAAGAATTATATGTTTAGGTATAACATCATTATTTATATAGAAACATATTTCCGCAAGTCAGCCAGTTTATACTAGGCAGTTCTATTAAAGATTATTATTGATTGCTATCCAGAGTAATGCTGTAGCGAAGCTAACTAGTTAGTCAATCATAATTACATCAGCCTCTTTTGCGTTACTCCGGTCTGTAGGTGCAGCTTTTGGGTTGCCATTCATATTGAGTCCTTTGTCTTTAGCTTTGCCTGACTTCTGTTCTGCGGCACCGTGCTGTACTTGTTGTACATGCTCTAATGATGCCACTGGAGACTGCACATCCGCAAAGCAAGAATCGAGTTCTGAAAGCAGATCGCCAACTTGATCGACTTCTGCCACAGCGCCGTTACCAAGACCCTGCCATCCGTTTCCTTTTCCACGATATATTTTCTCTTGTAATTTTGCTTCCACGCCCTTCTCCGACTCACGTAGCACTTCTGAGCGAACATCTTTTAGCGTCCAAATGACACTATCGCGTCGATTCGAGGCATTCAAGAGGAACCGGAATCGAAGGCCGGTGTAGTAGATTTGGTAAGTCTGGGCGCCACGGACCAAAATTTGTATTTGTAATGCGGAGTTGTGCCGTGGTGCAGCAATAAGACTATCTAAAGCACGAAGTACTGGCAGTGTAAGCGTAAGTAATCGCAGCACAGACCCAACGCCATAACCAGGGCCAGTCCGGTTAAGTATCATTCCCAGAGAAGGTTTGATACGGTTATGAGGGCTCGAGTTATTAAAGGAAATATCAAGGCGCAAAGAAAAGAGCGATTCGTTGTGTAAACGAAGGGCGGCAGCATCAAAACTAGCTGCATTTCCCGGTCCAGTCAGTCGTATGAAGATATTTGCTAGGAGACCTTCCTGTGACGCGTATACAAACGACAGTTTGGATAGAGATACTGATTGCACCGTGATCTTGTTATGCTGGAGTGTTTCAAACAAAGACAAGATGATGTTCAGCCTCTGGATTCGCTCAAATAAGTCAACCATGATCGATTGCCCAGGAGCGATTAGGAACCGCATTGCGAAGGCTGTGCCACCTCGTCGAAGGAGTATACATTCATCAAGCTTTAACCTCTTCAACCCCAACTTCCTTAAAGAGGTATAGAATCGTCCATGTGCAACCACAATTGCACTCTTTGTGTGGGAATCAATTCCATGATATGAAATTGTTAGGGAGTTGTGTATGTATGACTTGTTTTTTGCACCATTCGGTGGCGAAATTTGCAGTGCTTTTGGGAGATCTGCAACATCAAACTTTAAGTAAAGACAAGGAACTTCGAATTTCGACCCAAGCTGCAACTGTTCTACAGAAGGCAGAAAGCTCCGATAGCCCAACTCTGAAAGCCATAATGCGTTTGAATGCATAACGAGAATTCCAGTTAGAGAGTAGTCGAGATCTGGAAAGTAGTATTTAGATCCTCGCAGCGTCAAGAGTTGATCCCCGGCCAACACACGTGTGGACTGTATTGAAAAGCCACCGGAAACTGTGCGAATTTGGTCAAAAACCTCGGAGTGTGGTGCTGATCGTGGTTTGAGATGTAATATCCACCAGTCATCACCACTCAAACTAGTCGTTGCAGCAACAATCCATGAATTGCCCCAAAGACGATTGCGGAAAAAGGAAGCCCGTAATATGTTATTTGGAAAAGCACGTCGAATGTCCACTTTGAATTTCCGATGATCAACGCTCTCCCATCCAAAGATCTTAGCGTCTGACTCAATTTCCTCCATGGCTGCAATACCACGAAGTCGAGAGATACGATTAACAAAGTCATCGTCGGAAGCACCCCCTTTATCTAAGCGGCATAACAACGACGGTCGGGTGTGGATGCACATAGCTCCAGAAACGGGCTCCAACGAAGCATCAAGGTAACGAGATTCTGTAAGTTGGACGTGAAGCCGGCAATTTCCAGGTTCGATTTTGGACATTTGTATATTGATTGAGAGTTGGTAGTTAGCAAATAACTTTTGAGTTCGAATGCGTTCATAAACGGAGTGAAGTAAATGAGATGAATGTATTGCGATGACGCTGCGCAGAATGGTTTCCATGGAAAGAGACTCGGTATCAAAGTGAATGTACGAAGAATCAGACTCTTTTCCTTCGCGAAGCCAACGAAGACCAAGACAAGAAATATTTTGGCGCCGGTGACGACCACTCAGGACACCAATTTCTATCCAGCTCTTTGGGCCACTTTTATCAGGCCAGTAATGCACCACCAAGGTGCGATGCAATAATTCAACCCGTAAAGCACCTGTCCATTGGCCTCTGGAAAGATCAATTGCTTGCTTGAAAAGTATGTTGATTTTGTTCACAAGGACAAGGTTATGGATAAAGTCGAAACAGCCCTTTAAGCCTTTGGTTTTCAGAATGTTGTTAATCTGTAAGTCGAGCTCATTGAAAAAGCGGCCTTTGGGTATTGGGGAGGACGGCGAAAATAGGAAGCGAAGGTCAATGAAGTAGAATTGAGAGGATACATCTTCTTCGGCGATTGAGAGATCTAATTCGAATCCGCCTTGAACGGCAAAGGTGACCCGGCCGTCATGGACCCAGTAATTATGGAGAGAGATCGGGATGTCTTCACAAGTCACCAGCCGCGTACTGATGATGCGATTGATCCTTTGCAAGGTTGCTAAAAGACGTCTTGAACTAAGCGGCTTTGGAGGTTTGTAACCGAACTAGAAAAAATATCAATATGCGAAGGAGAAAAGTAAGATATAGTAATTACACTTACCTCTGGCATATCGGCCACACGGCCTGTAGTTAAAACCTCCAATGCAGTTTGCAGATCTGGGTTTGCTACCTGCGCCCTGACCAGGTCTCGTTTCATATCTGCTACTCGCTGAACAGCGGTCTGATAAGCCCCATGCCGTGTCCGTATGAAGTTTTGTAGATCGATGAGTTTGCTGACATCCACAGCTTGGCGACTCCATTGTGATAAAACAAGAAGCTTGATGAACTCAGTTCGCTTAGCCTGAGTGAAATCTAATATTCGAATTCTTTTTTGTACGGCACCCGCATCCTGGTTTCCCATGGACTTTCCATTCGTAAAGGAATTTTGGGACGACTGCTGCGGCTGTGATGAGCCCTGAGCCTCTGCTAATTCTGTGATCACGTCACAAAGGTCATTGTAGCATTGCTGTACGGCTCTGTTTACGAGCTGAGCATAAGGAAAGAATCCCTGCGTTATATGCAAAAGTTCTGGGGCCCATTCTTGCTGGGCTTTCCCAGTAAATGCACCAGGCTTTCCATTCCCTTGCACGATACTCGTCTCAGATTGTTTGCGATCATCACTTTTGAAACCGTTCACAGACCGTGATGTCCTGTCTGCTTTTTCAAGGCTGTTGTCATGCTGAAGATTCGACTCTCCATTGCTGCCATGGCGATTGTAAGAGTTTCCCCAATCTCTAGATGCACTTGCGCTGACATCGTCCATGACGAGACCAGGCATCACTGGCACCAGTTTGAATGGCGACCCCCTCAGCCAGATGACTTGGCAGCTCTCAACCTTAGTCCGAATAGCATTAACTTGTCGAAATTTGTAGACACTGCAGTGATATGTTGTTCCTCCTTCCCCTTTCCCAGCCTTGATATATGGGAGGCACCGATGGCTCTACTAGTGAGAGAGCCGACAGGTGATCTGTATTTGAACCAAGCTTTTGCAGTCTCGACGTTCGGCGACGGTTCATGCGACCATAGCAATTAACTATCGCGTATTTGCAATCGGTAGGAACGTATATCAAGAACCAGCAGGAACGCGACAAAATCAAATCATTCGGCGCATAGAAACGGCGTGGCTTTGGGCCTTGCGATGGTTCGTCGTGGATGGAGAGTGGCAGGCAGGTAGGATTGAGTAAGTAATAGAGCGTTCCAAGGTCAGATGAGAATCAGAGATGGCATCCACGCACGCAACGAGACCTCAAAGCCAGGTTGTGAAGGCCGCAGGCTCGTTCGAGAGTCAAGTCAAGGGAATGTGAGAGAGGAACAAGCAGTGAGTTGGAGAGCGATGCGTTGCACTGGCGAGTTCTTCGTAGCAGGAAAGAGAAAGCCGGCGCTGACGGCAGGCGCAACCGTCCTTGCGAATCGGGATTGTTAGTGGATGTGGAGAAGGCGCTAGCAAATATCATGCCTAAGGCATCGATCTGATGATACCCTCGCTGAGGCTCACTGTGCAGTCGTTACTGGGACCCTAGGGAGATTTCCATGCTTGTTCCACAAGAGTTTATGCCTATTGCTATATTGAGCAAGCACTCCTTACAATTATACACCCTTCTCAGATGCATGGGTTGAACAACCTGTCAGTCCTCAGGCTGCCATCAATGATCGACCGAAAGCAGCTAGCCTGGAACTGGTTAGCTATGACAGCGGGCGACATCCTGTGACGAGCTTTGTCTACGCCTATATCAAACTCTGAAACTAACTACCATTAGCTATCATTGTCAAGCACCATGACTCCCGTCCTCGTTTCCACTTGAGCTCGAGTCGGTGACCATCTGAGATCACACCTTTGGACCTATCGGATGACGTCTATGCTCAACCAAACATCCATCGGATTATACAACAATGTCGGACATCGAATCCTCCCTTTTACCCCAGTATCCGGGCGATGATACGCGACCAACCAGCAAGAGAGAGATTACAGGATGGTACAGCTATGGCTGGGCTGCGGAAGTCTTTGTTGTGTGCGCAATGGGTAAGCTTTGCACCGTCCGATGAAGCCCTGGACTGTACACGTCCACATCAATGGCGAACTGACCTTTTTTTGCTAGGGTCTTTCCTTCCTATGACGCTGGAGCAGATGGCTCGCGATAGGGGACACCTGGCAACCGACAAAACCCAACCATGTCAAGCTAGTCAGATAAGCGGCCTCTCCAGCAGTTCCCTTCTCTCGGGCCACTCAAACCAATGTGTCGTCGATCTGTTGGGATTCGAGATTAACACGGCAAGCTTCGCAATGTATACGTTTTCACTCAGCGTTTTATCACAGGCGCTACTCATTGTTACAATGTCTGGGGCTGCAGACCATGGCAGTTATAGGAAGTCACTGTTGATTTTGTTTGCATGTGTTGGATCTGTCGCAACAATGCTGTTTATTACTGTACAACCACAGGTTTATTACCTTGCAGCGGTGCTAGCGATTATTGCAAACACCTGTTTTGGCTCTTCCTTCGTTCTTCTCAATTCTTTCCTTCCGCTCCTCGTCCGGCACCATCCGGCAATGATACACAAGGTCACCGAGAACCCAAGGATAGGAGAAATAGACGATAGCCTTGATGCCTCCACGCCGCCTGATGTCAACACCCCGCTTCTTCGAGCTCCCCAAGTTGAAAATGAGGCGAATTCTGTGCAAAGCGCTTTACAAAATGACGCAGATCAGTCAACTGTCGCTTTGCGTCTCTCGACGCGAATTTCCGCGAATGGTATGGGAATTAGCTATATCGGAGCTCTTTTGCTCCAAGTGGTCTGTATCATTGTTGTGCAGATCACTCATCAGACCACCTTCTCGTTCCGTTTGGTTATGTTCCTGATTGGTCTCTGGTGGTTGATATTCACTATACCTTCGATTCTGTGGCTGAGACCTCGCCCCGGACCTCCACTCCCGGCACCAAGTGATGGAAAGACCACTCGTACGTGGCTCGGCTACATGTCATTTTCATGGAAAGCGCTTGGTAGGACTATAAGGCGGGCCCGGCGCCTCAAGGATGTCGGCTTATTTCTTCTTGCTTGGTTCCTCCTCAGCGACGGAATTGCAACAGTTGGCGGAACTGCTATCTTATTTGCCAAAACTGAGCTTCATATGCAGCCTGCTGCACTAGGCCTGATCAGCGTCATCGGTACTCTCTCTGGAGTCGTAGGGGCTTTTTCCTGGGGAGTGATTTCTCGATATTTCAACCTCCGTGCGATACACCCTATCATCGCTAGTGTTTGCTTGCTGGAAATCATTCCATTATACGGCCTACTGGGCTTTATCCCCGCAGTCCAAAGGCTAGGGTTTCTGGGGTTGCAGCAACCTTGGGAAGTATATCCAATGGGGGCCATCTATGGCCTAACAATGGGCGGCTTGTCGGCATACTGCCGAAGCTTGTTTGGCGAGCTCATTCCGCCCGGTTACGAAACAGCGTTCTACGCGCTCTATGCAATTACCGATAAGGGCTCGAGTGTGTTTGGCCCAGCCATTACCGGCGCGATTACAGACCGTTATGGTCAGATCAGACCGGCGTTTGTCTTTCTTGCCATTCTGATTTTTCTTGCCGTACCTCTGATGTTCTGCCTGGACGTGGAACGCGGGAAACGAGATGCAAAGGCTCTGGCTGAGGAACTTGACGAACATGACGCCTCGTCGTAGTCGCAGACTTTTTTTTTTTTTTTTTTCTTTATATATATATATATATATATTGAATGAGTCCATGCCGTCGTTTGTCACATCATACGCGTAGACAGAAATTGAAGAATCCAACAAAACGAAAAGACCTCGCTGCTAAAATGGTACCTGCACAGCCGCACATCTCAGCTGTCAGCATCCGAAAATATGTTAAATATCTGTCGTCTGGTATGATGATTATTAAACTTCACGTGACGAGTATGTTTGTCACGTCTCGCGTCGCAGTAATACACGATGCAATTGCATGGCTACTCGCCATTGTGGCCGATGAGCTATAAAGTATGGATGAACAAATATATTGGAACAAGGCATCCAGATCTATTTATTGTGTATGTCCAGTGTCCACTTTCTCTACTTTCTGGGGCACAGCGCAATAAATGAATCCATTATGACACGGAAATACGGTAACAATACACGGCCCTTGCTTGGGGGACCCGCAGTAAAGAACAAACTGTCCTCTTATCGCATTGATAAATATAACAGCTGTATGGCTGCTCGCTCCTCCCTCCCTTCGATTATTCCTTGCTCTTGCTCTTGCTCTTGTCATCCCGCTCGCACCAGAACGGTTCCGCATTCTTTTCTCAGTCGAGTCACTCTTCTGTGAAGCAGCTCTCGATTGTTATTGTCGTTCCTGTTCTTGTTTGTTTGTTTGTCTCCGCGAGACCAGATTGCAACTCACCATGCGGTCGTTTCTTTCCGTGGCCGTGGCCCTTCTTGGAGCCTCAGCCGTCACATCTGCTGCCGATGCAGAGTCTGATGTCACATCTCTGACCCAGGACACCTTCTCTGATTTCATCAAGGGACACGACCTCGTCTTGGCGGAGTTCTTTGCGCCGTGGTGCGGTCATTGCAAAGCCCTGGCGCCGGAATATGAAGTCGCGGCCACCGAGTTGAAAGAAAAGGACATAGCATTGGCCAAGATCGACTGCACGGCCGAGGCTGAGCTATGCAAAGAGCATGGCGTCCAGGGCTACCCGACTCTGAAGATCTTCCGCGGCTTGGATTCCGTGAAGCCATACCAAGGCGCTCGCAAGAGCCCAGCGTAAGTATATGATCCACCCAGACCAGAGATGATTGTGGCTTTCTGTTTGCTGACTTGTCTTTTTTTCTCTCCCCTTGCCTAGCATTGTTTCCTATATGATTAAGCAATCTCTCCCCGCCGTATCTTCTGTGACAGAGGAGAACATTGAAGAGTTCAAGACCCTGGATGAGATCGTCATTGTTGGATATATCCCCTCGGATGACAAGAAAGGGAACGAAGCGTTCAACAACCTAGCCGAGTCCGAGCGTGATAATTTCTTGTTCGGCGCCAGTGACGACGTTGCGGTGGCCAAGGCTGAGGATGTAGAGCAACCTTCCATCGTTCTGTACAAGGACTTTGACGAGAAGAAGGCCGTGTACACCGGCGCCCTAGACTCTGAGAGCATCCTGGCCTGGATCAAGACAGCCAGCACACCTTTAGTTGGAAAGCTTGGCCCTGAGACCTACGCCAACTACATGAAGGCTGGCATCCCCTTGGCCTACATTTTCGCTGAGACTCCTGAGGAAATCGAGGCTTTCACCGAAGAGTTCCGCCCTGTTGCCGAAAAGCACCGTGGACAGATCAACTTCGCTACCATTGATGCCAAAGCATTTGGTGCTCATGCCGGAAATCTGAACTTGGACCCTTCCACCTTCCCTGCCTTCGCTATTCAGGACGCAGAGAAGAACACCAAGTACCCCTTCGACCAGACCAAGGAGGTCAACGCTAAAGATGTTGGCGAGTTCGTCCAGGATGTCCTCGACGGCAAGGTCGCACCTAGCATTAAGTCCGAGCCTATCCCAGAGACTCAGGAAGGCCCAGTCACTGTTGTCGTTGCCCACACCTACCAGGAACTTGTCATTGACAACGACAAGGATGTCCTCCTTGAGTTCTACGCACCATGGTGCGGACACTGCAAAGCGTAAGCCTTCCTATTAGTACAAATAAAATAAGGCAGAAAACTCGCTAACGCTCTATTGGATATATATAGATTGGCACCAAAGTATGAAGAGCTCGCCCAGGTCTTCGCGGAGAACCCAGAGTACTCTTCCAAGGTGACCGTGGCCAAGATTGATGCCACTGCCAACGACGTCCCAGACAGTATCCAGGGCTTCCCTACCATCAAACTGTTCCCCGCTGGCTCCAAGGACAAGCCCGTTGAATACACCGGTTCCCGCACCATTGAGGACCTGGCCACATTCATCAAGGAGAACGGCAAGTATGAGGTCGACGCCGTCGCTGACATTAACAAGCCCAAGGAAGAGGCCAAAGAGACTGAAGCCGCCTCTGCTTCGGAATCTTCTTCTTCTTCCACCTCTTCTTCCACCTCAACCTCCACATCTACCGCTGCGGCATCCGAGACCGAATCAGCAGCCCCTGAAGCTACTGAAGAGGCTGCCCCTGACCATGATGAGCTTTAAACAATGAAAAAGAAAAGAAAAACAAGAACAAATAAATAACTCGCAATATCTGTATTTTTCACTGTTGTGTTCGTCTTTATGCTGCATGTTTTCAATAGGGATGGAATGTATAATCAAATTTTCAATATGATTATCTTGAATGGAATCATACTTACGCGATGCTATTAATCCTTTATTCGTAGTTGGGATGTCCTGATTAATTGATTTCTTTATATTATATCCATCACTATAAGAAATAAGAAGCCCGAGAGTACCTTTGTTGACAGGGTAAGTTGGTTATTGTGATTAGAAGAAAAATGAAATACGAAAGGAGAAAAAAAAAGTCCTTGTCTTTCGAACGCCCAAAATAATCCAACGCCAGATGTTTTCCACTATGTTCAAAGAGTATCCAGATCCAAGAAAAAGACAGTAGTCATACAAAGCATTACAGCCAATGTCCTCAGAGGACACGTTACGTAATGAGTAGAACTTCGGCCATTGAATAGACCGACTAGCTAGTCTTTCTTCACTTCGACGGTCACTTCGTCTTTTTTAATTGACTCGGCACCAGTAACCGTAGCGGCATTTGCAAGGTCTTCAGCAGCGGCAAGAGCCTCGAGTGCGTCAAGGTCATCCTCGTCACAAAGAGGGTCGGCATCGGCCGTAACTGTCTTGATTGCTGCAACTGATGTGGACTTCGCTTTGGCGCCGCCATTTTCCACGTCCCCATCGCCAAGAGGCGTGGGAGAAGAGGGAGGGGCTTTGTTGGCGTGTTTACTGGGAGCAAGAGGTCCTTCTTGCTTTCCTTCAGTGGCAGTGCTAATAGCTTTCTGAGTCAAAACGGACTTATTTGGATTCAAGCTCCAGTCAATCATGGCATCATCTCCGTATCTCTCTGCAAGCCATTCGTTGCATTTCTTGAAGTGACCGTTGGTAAACTAAATGCCATTTTTGTCAGTGCATTGCTTCGACGAAATGAAGGAGAGGGGCGCACGTACAAATCCATTGCGAGCACTCAGAGGACTCGGGTGAACAGACTGTAGTACGCAGTGTCTTTGCTTGTTGACCGCTGCCACTCTTTTGCCAGCCGGCGTCCCCCAAGCTAAAAAGACCACACCGCGGGTGCGAACACGAGCAACAGTATCAATCGCCTTTTGCGTAAATCTTTCCCATCCTCGATTGGCATGACTATTGGCATTGTGGGCTCGAACGGTCAAGCAGGTATTGATCATGAGCACGCCGCGCTCCGCCCAGGGGGTCAACAAGCCACCGTCACTTGGAGGGCATTCAAATGACGGGTAATCATTCTTGAGTCCAATGTATATGTTTTTCAGGGAAGGGGGCGCTTTGGTCGGTGGTCGTACGGAAAAGCAAAGACCATGCGCTTGATTATAGTTATGATATGGATCTTGTCCGAGAATCACGGCTTTCACGGTATGTAGAGGCGTGTGTCGAGACCTGAACAAGTGTTAGCAAATGCAGAAGCACGACGAATACGGTGAATCTTACCAGGAGTAAATGTCCTTTTCCGGTGGAAATATCGTAGCTTTCGAGTCCTTCTCTTTCTTGAGGAATCGCTTCAAATTGAGAAATTCAGGAGTCACAACCTCGTCCTTGAGATGGGCTAGCCAGCTCTCATCGAGTGTTTCGATCTCTAATTGCAATAGCTCTTTTTGCTCAGCAGTCAACGAGGCCACCCATTTCTCCTTGTTGAAGCGGCTGGTGGGAGGAGGGATACTGGAGTTTTGTGTACCAGCACCAACTCCATCCTTCGGCCTTGGAGCCCCAAAGAACGAGGTGATACTGCCATTGGCCTTCTGCTTCTTCGTAGCCCCTGGCGAGTCGGAGTTGGCGCCTCGCTTGACAGAGGGCATATTGGATGTGTGTAAAGGGCGGGGGTGAAAATGGAAACGAATGTGACTAGGCGACGACTGAGAGACAGAGGTTCTTCTATGCTTAATGAGCAAGACCAAATCATGTCCCTGTTGTGAGTGAGTGCGGCGCATGCTTGAGGCTGACCTGGACGCGTCGGGACGCTCAGCGCGTTAGTCGCGTAAAGTGGCTAGTAGGCTAGGAAGGAGCGACAGACCAAGCCACAAACCTCGACGTCTCCGTAATTTCAGTGACCCCGCCCAGCTCTCTCACTCACATTCCTTTTCTTGTCGAAAGATAGAGATGGGATGGCTTTTGTGATTTGCCCTGCTGGACTGCCAGACAGTTGATTTGATTTCATCGTGTGCACAAAACTCCAAGCTCCCGTTTTCAAGGAAAATTGTGGTTGATCTCCACTGCCTATCCATACGTGGTTGTACGCATATCTATCGCTGACACCGGCTCCTACGCAGTGTTCCCTACTAATAGCTATCATGTTCGAGGCTTCAAGACACGCTAACAGCCACAATATTTAGGGTACGGAGTGCACCGTGGCAATACTACACGTCTTATGCGCTTGCGATCTGCGGGGGCTGGCGCCAGCACTTGGAGGCTTCAAGCCAATCAGCCAATGCCGCTTCACAAATGCAATTATGCAATACAGAATACGAGACCCCATTTGCTCTCCCAGCAAAAGCGATGCTTGATAACCGGCGTGCTTTGATCGCGAAGTGCGTAGCCAGGTCTAGATCTCCACTATGGCACGGCACATCGGAGACTAGCGCAAGCTGATTAAATTGCATTTTCAATGGATTTTGGTTTGATTATACTTAGGACGGCCCCCTTTCCTCCTCAGTTTCTTTTGAAGAATTCGAAAGCAGACTTTGTTCGCCCACATTGCTTGTTGTCAGAGTTATTTCTGTCATTCGTGCGGCAAGCGGCTTATTTATATCAAAGAACGACCAGGTGAGCAAACTTCATGCACGGAAAACCCCCGATAAACAGAGAAGAGACTGAGCCGTAGTCGTAGGCACAAAAATTTAAAAGTCATCACCCTTCCAGACATAGAATTTCTTGGCAGTTCCTCGAGAATTGTTCGAAACGCATCCTTGCCATACGTATAAGATATTTGCGACAATATATAAACATCTTCAACAATCAATGGTATTGTCACCGGACTGAAAGTTGAAGAAGGGTGGGTATCTCCGGATACCATCCGCGGTCTTCTATTGCAATTACAATTGCGATTACATGCGCCAGCACAATGCCTGCGATACCCAGTGAGGAAGAATGGCTGGAACAAACGGCAAAGGCTCGGAAGGAGGCCGAAAAACTCGAAGCGGCAGAACAGTGGCCGAGTGATGCGCCGGTTCATCCAATTGCTCAGTTACAAGGCCCTTTTGAGGAGTCCATTACTGAATCCACGGACGTAGCACACAATAATTGGCAAGTTTACTTGGACGCAGAAACTCGGCGAGATCAGGTCTTGACGGCTCCCAGATATGAAAGATTATGTGGGAGAAGGTGGAAGCAACGGCCAAGCGAGAAGTGAGGAACTTCCTTTGTTTGTTGAAGACACGCATCATCATATCATTTATGCTAACAGACCTGCTGCAAGGTACCACCCAATGTGGAAACTTGTCGCACAATTATCTTTTGGTCTTCATCTACTTGCAAAAGGCCTAGCCAAATCAGAAGCTGCTGTAATTAAAATACTTCAAGGTCACGTAGCCGAGCTTGATGGCTTTATCGAGAATACGACAGAAGATATACTTCTTGCTTTCAGTGATATCGAAGAACGCTTGGAACACTTACGTTTACCACTTGGGAATCTCCCAGTTTTCAACGACATGCTAGCGGACCGGACATTTCGGCAAACGGTGATACTCGACCATGGACGGATTAATCATATAATTCATCGCACTGCAGTTGCTATGGATGATTCTGTTAAGGACATTGAGAAGGGCACACAGTCTGTTCGAATCCTGGGCTTCTACCTTAAAGAAGTGAGAGCAGAACGCAATGATCAGCGCCATAGTCTCGACGCCGTTTATGACGCTATGATTGGCAATGTCGATGGCTGGAAACGAGAATTCAAACGTTTAAAACGTAAAGCATACAACCTAGCAATTACCTTGGGCACATTCAATCAGGTGGCAATGGAAATACAACAACTCGCCGACGCGGCTGCCGTGAGCAGCCTGAGAAACATGGTTAGACTCTATGCAGCAATATTGTATTTGCCAAACTTCTGGGCTGATGAGACTATAGACACCAACGAGACCGCCGTCCAGGGGACGTCGTCATCGAAAGCATATGCTACAAACTCCAGAAACCAATAGACTATCAACAATTTCACACAGGCCACTACCCAAATCCCCGACAGAGCCAGACTCATATACCGCTGAAGCCCGGGTGGTTTCTATCATTGCAGGGCATTCCCCAGTGACGTTAGTCAAAACCACCTCATCACGACAAGAAACCCCTGTATCACAAGGAGATGGAGCTACACTCGAGCAAGGCCTTCAGGAGAAGCACTCTTCTAAAATTGGGAAGCAATCAAATAATCATGCAGACCGCTATGTTCAGCCGGAGCCGGTCAAGACTCCGCATCAATCTGTCACAACACCAGAACTCAAAATTAATATTAACAACAAGCACGTGGAAAATGAGCGAGGCAGCAAAAAGCGGTCGAACACATCCTCTTCCAGAAGTGCGGATCATCATACTGTGGCAGAAAAGGGGTCAACTAAGTCGTCTGCCAAATTCGGCAGCAGACTCGATCGTTTCCAGAAAACCACTTCAAGGATTTTCAGCATTTCAGCCTTGACCAATGTCAAAGGTACTATCAGGAAACAAACCAAATCAAAGAATGGCCAACGTGAGACATTTCATCCCAAGGAGCGGTCATGGATTGATTCCAATGCTCATGACCAACAAATGAGTTGGTCACAGGAACCAAAGGACTTCAATACTTTTGCATCTAGGAAAAGCACCGCTCCTGAGCTCCCGCACCTGCTCTACAAGTCATTTTTGGATGATCAGACTTTAAGTGATGAGGAGGAGGAAGAAGAAGATACGGAAGATACAGAAGATAGTCTGAGGGGGAAACGAGATGATGAGTGCGGCCACGAATCTCAAATAACTGCGTTGCCAGTAATGAAAGATTCTACTGCCCGCTCTTATGATCACGACGATGTAGCAGCCGAAGTTGCTTCCACGTATTCAGCCAGGCATCGCAGATTTAGAGCTAAGAACATACCTGTCCCACCGCTTCCCAAACCGAAATTCAACAAACCTTTCGAACTTGGAGCTAGCAACGGCCATGTCATCCATCAAAATCGCCAGACGCTGCGTCAAAAGCCTTCTGTGTTCTCTTTTATCTCGGCCAAAAAGGCACAAGAGACTACTTCGAATTCGCCTGCAGTCAAATCCAGACAAGTTTCTGACACACCAGAGAATCAACAACCAAGGCCAACAACGTCCGCATCTGTATCTACATCTATCCATCTCCATGGAGATATTGAGCCTCCACCCAAATTCAATTCTTCCTGGCACACACACAAGGGGTCACCCTTGGAAAACACCGAAACACCTCCAGTATCCCCAACAACGTTATCCAACCCAATGGCTTCCTCGTTGCCAGAGAGCAAAAGACCCGAAACACTTCAGCCAAGCGGCGGCCATAAGAACACGTCTAATATCAATCCCAGGAAATCTCCCACTAGGAAGCCTCCTCCTCCTACTCTCGATTTCAATCAAAATGAAACCAAGAAGTCAGATACTTTAAGAGCCAACAATAATAGTAAACTGAGGAATGCTTCTTCTTCCACCACCGCTAGCACGACTCACAAACCACAACACGGAGGCCTACGTCTCTTTCCTCGAACGCCAACCACACCAAATGTTCGGAAATTTGTCTCTACGAGCTCGCTTAGAGAGTTTTCGGCTGCGGAGAGTACTGGTGATATCGCCCGTCTTCCTAGGAGTCGGGGGTAGTTCATTGCCCTGTCTCCAGATGGTTGAATGTGTGTATATAGATTCGTCGATGTAATTACAAACACAGCATAGCCAGTCTATTTATATGTACATAGGTGATTCAAATATATCTCTCAGATTGACAAGGGTCACGACCTTGGAAGTAGCCAATAATGAATCAATTGTAGGTTCTCATTGTCGAGGTAAATAAATAAAAAGAAGAAGTGATACACAATTGATAACTAACTCCAGCCATAAGTGATTTTGTCCCTATTAAATAAGATATCTTTTTCCATTTAACATTTTTATTTTTTTACCCCTCCTAATTCCCCTCCCCTCAGTCCTTTATTCACCCTATTCTAGAATAATGGAGCCGATATTCTTTCTCATCGAGGTGATAAAATGGTATTTATTCATCTGCACCGCTTCTCAACAATGTTAGGACCATGCTCATCGTACTCCTTCTTCGAAATCCACATTTGGTGAAACGTGCCCAAGCTAGCCAGGATACTTCCGCCAATCCAGGAGCCAAAGCGTCTCTCGGCGGTGTTTCCAGGAGCCGATATGCGGACTCGCGGGCTTGGGAACATTTGCATCAGTTCTTGATTGAGCCGGTCATTGAAGCCGTACAGAAGGCTGGATGCGCCGGTGACGACCACATTCTGTAATAGATGCGGTCTGATATCGACATCGACTCCGTTGAGGGAATTCTTGATAAGCTCTGGGATTGTTTGCGCTGGGGTGGGTGCTGGGAACTCGGAGTCGGGGTCTTGGATGTATGCCTTTGCGTCGAAGAGGGACTCGGTGACGCGATACCGCTCTGCACCAAAGGTTTGATTGTATCCATCGGGGAACTCGAATGGTCGGCCAGGGGTGCCTCGGGCCATATCTTCATTTGAGATGCCGTTGGGGCCGATGGATGAGAGTTTGTTCGGGCCAGGCCACACCTGCACGACGCATTCCTTGAACTCGGTCAGAGTTCGGTCTTCTAGTAGCTTCCTGTACGAGGCGTCTGGGGCCTTGTCTGCTGGGAAAGTTTTGTAAGTCGCTTGAGCTGGCTGTCCAGCTTCAACTGCGGTTTTGGATGAAATCAGGTAATGCGGAGTGATAGTAATTGGCTGAGGGGAGTTGGATTTGAACAGTGCTCGAATCTGAGCCGAAATATAGTCACCGCCGAGAGGGGAGTGTTGGACACCACGTTTGAGCACCATTCCATCATGAACAGGCGTTATTGAAATGTTTGAAGCACCGATATCAATCACTAGCGCGGAGGCTTTACCAGCCGCAAAACTACAGGATCCATCAGCATGATGACCATGATGATGCTTAGTGAGGCCAGGGAAGGGACTCACGCTGCAAGTACACCGTTCTTCGCGAGATAGAATGCCGGTGTTCCCCAGTTCTCCATGGCAATCTCAATAGTCTTTTCTCGTGCCTTTATGGGATTCCAGCCGCTTTCCGTCATTAAGAGAGGACTATCCGCCAGAGGCTTTTCTTCCGTCTCGACTCCTTCCATCTCAGCTGAAATTTCGCCCTCGGGTGCATCGTTGAGGCCATTGTACATGGGATTCCCCGGTTTGGCACCCGTCAATCGAGACTTGAACGAGTATTCCCAGAGTTTCTGGGACGTTTCCCAATCTTCCACCACGCCATCCCTGTTGAACGGGTTGTGAACCGAAACGCCCGGTCGCGGGATTACGAAAATATCATCTCCAAAAATGTATTTTTCTGAGTCACCGGGGTATTTTCCGTAATAAGTTGGGACAACGGATTTGGGCGTGTCTTCGCCGGCAAAGCCAGCGCGCGTTGTCGAGAAGCCAGGATCTAACACAATGGCCGACACCTCATCTACGATTGTACCAGTTTAGCGAGAGTTCCCTCCTGCATATGTAGAAAGCCATGGAGGAAAAGAATTGAATTGTTGCAACCATGTAGAAAGAACTTACCTCCGCCGTATTCTGCGGTCGAAGGTGGAATAGAGGGATTCATATTGAAAGGAAGGGCTCGTCGCGCAGCTGTTCAATAATTGCGTTTTCACGTTCTTTCCCTCTAGCCTCGTAGTCGCATTGCAGTCTAGGAGAGATTTCGTTTGTAGATATTGAGGTCGCCCCGGGTTAAATTGTCGCGACCAGTTTCAAGAAATCCGTGGGGGAGGAGAGTTCGTGCGGAAGTTATCCAAAAGCTCGCGGTGGTTGATTCAACCAACCATTGGCGGCGGCAAATCAAAATGCTTATCAGACCTCCCCCAAAACCTTTCACTTCCAACTTCCTTCCACACCCTCCCCCCGCGACAGCGCCCTACAAAGTTATCGCCTGGCAGAATTTTTGTCGAGTTATTTGTCGCCACAATGGACACTGGACTATCTGAAGCTCCGATTGTTTCTTTTCGCCCGATCAAGCGGCAAAAGCACATGCGCAAACGAGCGGACGAATCCGATGACGTACCTCTCTCAGAGAGCAACACAGTGGCTGGACAGAGACCCAAATCAGAAGAAGAGAGGCGCAATATTTCTCAAGAGTCGCAGGAGAATGACGGTCCAGATGGAGGAGTGTCGAATATCACACGACCGCGAAAGCCGAATCGAATGCGAAAGGGCGGTATTGAATTTTCCACCAGCAACTCACAGGTCGCCAACACAAATGATGCGAATAACCTGGCCTTGACTGTCGGGACTACTGAAGCAGATATCATCAAGGCCAAGTTCGACCGCTTCACAGCTCATACAGGCCAAACGGTCGACGTTAACAAGCATATGTACGTTCTCGTGCTTTGATAAAGATTACAAGATCGCGTGCCCTCGAGACTAACAATATAAGGATGGAATATATAGAGTCAGAACTGGCTAAACGACAGAATCGCACCCAAGCACATGACGAACGTCCCACGGCTGATCGTCATGGCAAATTAGATGGCGACCACTCATTCACCAATGCGTTTTCGAAACGCGAACCAGCTACTCTAGGGAAGCTTCATGAGATTGATCTTGGTCAGGAAGCAAAGTTACAAAATATTGCTCGCACTGAAGCGGCAACGCGTCGTATGGCTGGCAATCCATCAGGTGCAACGGACGACGAGCTGCAATCTCCTGGACAGTTAGAGGCTGGTAAGAACAGCAAGACGTGGCGAAGTCGACCGCGCAACCGCGAGGATATTGAACGAGACAGGCTAGTGGAGGAAGTTCTACGGGAAAGCAAATGTGAGTGGCCTTATGACATGCTTTCTTTTCCCTAGAGCATTTGACTGATAGATACTTTTTTCCCCCAGTGGATGTATACGACGAGCCAGAGCAACCCGCAATGCAGGACGATCAGGCTGCAGATGACCGTATCGCGGAGCAATTCCGGCGTGACTTTATGGAAGCTATTCAGAGTAGACGGCGAACGATGCGAGCCCGGGCGACCACCAACAAGATCAATAAGAAAACGACCAAGCCCGAGCCACCTCGTGGGCCAAAGCTGGGTGGGAGCCGAAGTGCGCGAGCTGCAATGCGCGAGATGCAAGAGAAGAGTGGGAAGAAATGAATGATGTTACATTGGAGTTCCATGCCAGTCGATCATCTTCGGATCAGTTATCTATCTATCTATCTAGGGAGTACTCCGTACTCTGGTGCCAAATGCGAAGCTATGTGTCAACTGGCTCCGTTCACAATCCAACAAGATTCATTGCGCTTGCAACTACAGAGTAACTCCATACTACGGATACATCGCAATATGGATTTTAAAATAAATCAATCATGCTATACTTAGCAACGTACGGTACGAATAAATTAGCGCGCGCCTCTTAGTGGACCGTCGGGCACCATGAGACAGCGCTAGGGCCAAGAAGGGCATAGTATATACCTTAGATTCCATTAGCGCGAGTGGAAGTGGGGGCAACCTCCCCATTGGTACGCAGATGCCAAAAGGGGAAACGTGTAAACACTGACTGCCCTTATGGAGTGTGTTATATGTTTGATTGATTGCGCGTATTCCTCTTCTACTTGTATGTCCCAGAGCACACTGCATACAGTGCACACAGGATAGCTTCCTCTCTCCTCTCTGTGCTGACCACGAATAGGCCCGGAGTAGTTATCTAGTTACTACTAACTGTAGTGTAAGACTAAGACGGTAAGACCAACCACTTTGGGGGGGCACTATCAACCTGAGACAAGCTGGCGCGCGCCGATCAGAGAGTCTAGAGCTTAGCCCGGCCAAACAGAAGTGCGTGCTGGTCGTGCCCCTGGGGCCTTGGAATGAAACATGCGCCACTCCGCCACAAGTGTGTATTATTACCCCGTATGGAGGGCGTACTCGGTATTGTAATCATAACGCTTTCTTTCCCCTTCCCTCTCTCGTTTCATCTTCATCACACTACCGCCCTCGTTCGCCCTCGTCTTCCTTGAGTTGTTTGCGTCTCTCGCGTTTATCGGCCTTTCGCTTCAGTTCTGCATTCTCGAGATATCCGCCATCCACAACCCTCGCTCGCTACGCACTTTCTGCGTCTCGCTCGACAAGAGCCCTCCGCTTCGCTCCATCGACCATGCATATGTGTTGATCTTCCGCCGCTTTTATCGCCTTCCAACTACATTCGTTGATTTCATATTTTTGTTCGATATACTCTCCTTTTTAATTCCTCTCGCAGACAGAGAGCAAAAGGCGTGTCGACAGGTTGACCCTGTCGCTTCAAATCCGCCCTTCTCCCCTTCATATCGCGTTGACCATCCATCATCATGCAGCTCGGCTGGTTCACGGCTGCAGCCGTCGTCTTGCTGGGACCGGCACAGGTTCTCGCTGGCAACATCCTCAAGACTGACGGGTTCTCCTTGTGCTCCACGAATGCCACTATTCAACTTACAAACATGAACATCGAGTATGACCAGAGCACGAAGAATATCACCTTTGACATCGCCGCAACCAGTGATCTGGTGCAGAACGTGACGGTGTCCCTCATTGTGAATGCTTACGGAGAGCAGGTCTATGAGCAGAATTTCAATCCGTGCGATGCATCGACTGCAGTCCCCGAACTCTGTCCCGTGCCGGCAAGCTCCTTCTCCGCCAGTGGGAATATGACGATTCCTAGCCAATATGCGGACATGATTCCCTCGATAGCTTTCGCCGTGCCTGATCTTGATGGCCAGGCAATATTGGAGCTTAAATCCGCCGATACTGGCGACGAGGTAGCCTGTATTGAGTCTACACTGACAAACGGCAAGACCCTGCAAATTCCTGGAGTCACTTATGCTGCTGCGGCCATAGTCGCTTCCTCCTTGGCTCTCAGTGGCCTCACTGCGCTGGGAACTGCAGGTCATCCTGGGTCCGCCACCTCTAGCCCTAACTTTGGCGAGGTCTTGGGCTGGTTTCAAACACTTGCCTCGAGTGGTATGCTGAGTGTCCAGTATCCCTCCGTGTACCGGTCGTTTACCTCCAACTTTGCCTTTGCCGGAGGTCTTCTCCCCTGGGCCAGCCTCCAGACTTCGATCGATAATTTCCGAAATATGACGGGGGGCAACCTCACAGATAATACCTATCAATACCTCCAGAATGCTACTCTCACCTTTGACGATGGATCATTAAACACACGCTCTGTGGCGAAACGCGCTCTTTCGGGACTCGTGGCCAGAGCTGCAATTTTCGTCCGCGACACCTCGACTTCCAACGGCACCAGTTCCAATGCTATTGTCGAGGAACTTGAGGGTCTCAAGGCCTATTCCGAACAGCTTTCCATCCCATCATCCAACATTTTTATGACTGTCCTACTATTCTTCGCCATCATAGTTGCAGCTATCGTCGTTGGCATTCTACTGTTAAAGGTCATCCTTGAAACCTGGGCGTTGTATGGCACGTTTCCAAAAAGTCTCGCTGAGTTTCGAAAGCATTACTGGGGAATCATGGGCCGAACGATTACGAACCTTATTCTCATCATCTATGGTATTTGGGTTCTCTACTGTGTCTATCAGTTCACACGCGGCGATTCGTGGGCCGCCATCTTATTAGCTGGTTTGACTTTGGCCTTGTTTACGGCGTTGCTAGCGGCCTTCTCAATCCGTATTTGGATGATTGCGCGCCGTTACAAGAAATCTGAAGGTGATCACTCCGTAATGTACGAAGACAGAGAAGTTTGGAGGCGCTACAGCCTGTTCTATGACAATTATAAGCGATCTTACTGGTATATCTTCATCCCCGTCATTGTCTACGCCTTCGCTAGAGGGTGTATCATTGCTGGAGGCGATGGCCATGGCCTTTTCCAAACCGGTGGTCAGTTGGTTATTGACGGCCTGATGTTGATTCTCCTATTATGGACCAGGCCATACGTGGCGAAGTCGAGCCAATGGATCAACATCACCATACAGGCAGTCAGAGTTCTCTCGATAGCATGCATTCTGGTCTTCGTCGAGGAACTTGGCATTGCGCAAACAACCAAAACAATCACCGGTATTGTTCTCATTGCTGTGCAATCTACACTTACCGTGATTCTGGCCATTCTCATCGGTGTCAACGCTCTCATTAATTTCGTCAGACAAAACCCTCACATTAGGTTACGTGAGCGTAAAGGTACTTATATACCCCCTCCTCTATTCTATAGTATAAAATCTAACAAGAACATGTCCACTAATATTATTTTGAACGCATAGAAAAAGCGGATCGTGACATGGACAACTTGACACCCCTGGACGCGCGAAACTCGCTCCTCATCGACGATATGCCTCGCTCCCGCGCCGACATGTACGAACAAAGCAAGTACAACATGACCGGTCCCTTCGAAGCATACCGAGACCATGTACCCGAGACAACAGAAACAGTCTCACATGTCCGCGACAAGAGCACAGATCGACTGATCAATAACGACTCATATTACCGAGGCTATCAACGCCAGTATCAACAACATACGCGAAGCATTAGTCGCGATCGCAGTCCCAGTCCCGAGGAACTCGGTCAACAGCCTCACTCTTTTGGCATGGCACTCTAGTTTTAAGAACATCTGGGGCATCTATTCTTCTTCCTCTCGTTTTCAAATCAAATCAAACAAACACCCTTGCATTTTGGTTAGCAAGCGTTTTCCAATCTCTTTTTGTAGATGCATATCCACCCGCCCTTTTCGCTTTCTTGCCATCTATTCTATTTTCTCCTTATTATTTTGTCTTCTCTCTTTCTTTTTCCCTGAAGCTTGTCTATCTATTTATTCATCACCATTCTTGACATACAGGAAGAATCACAAATGGCGCCTCTCATTGAAAAAAAAAAAGTTCATTTTCAAGGTGGGAAATGGTTTTTTTTTTGGTGACTATTAGATTTTGAAAATAATAAATGTCAACGAATATCTATCTCCTATTCTTTGTCACTTTATATATAATATCTACTCATATTTTGGGAGCCAGGTACCTATACATTGACAATTATACGTCTTGATCTTCATTAAGATGCTCCAAGCACCCAGATATCTAACTACACTCGCTTCTGCTTAACTCTAGCCTTCTTCTTCAAGACATCATACTCAAGCCACGTCACAGGATCTCGTTTATCGTCCGGTAGAAACTTGCCAGGGTTCATCACATGACAGCCTTCATACGTAGTTGCAAACGCCGCTACCTCGCTATCCGCGAGGACGAGCGCTGTTGGCAACGGGTAGAGCTGGATGGAGCTTGCATAGTCCCACAAAACGGGTTTCGAAGTGATCGGGAATGGGGAGAGGGTGCCCTGATCGAGAATTGTTTTTACCAGTTTTCTACCGGCGAGGGTCGAGGGTGGTGTGGGTGGTGGTTTTCTTTTATCTTCGTTGGCGTCGTCGTCGATTATCATCATGCCTTCGGATTCGGCTGGAGTCTGTGATTGGGAATGGTTCGTATGATCACTAAAATGCACACTGCTGCGTCTCAGGCGGCCCGAGATATCGTCCCGGTAAACGACGAGTTCGTGGACTGGTCCGTAGAGAGAGATTCGTGAGGGATTAGACGTCCAAATAGCTTCGCCTGGTGTGGATTTTGACCCCGAGTCTCGAGAATCATTGTTGGCTGTTGTAAATGCACGTTTCACTCTTGATGTGAATAAATCAGGAACTGCTTTTCGAGGAATGGCAGTTGATGCGCCGGCAGAAAAAGTCGAAGCCCAGGGATCATTATCACCAGGAACGAATATGAACGTTGTATGAGTCAACAGGGCTGGAAAATCGGACAACACCGAAGCCAGGTTGTCAAAGCATTCCTTATATTCGATGCTATTGCCACCATTGCCTTGGCCAAACCCGATTTTCTCGATGAAATTGCCAATCATCAGAAAAGCCAAGGGCAACTCCTCAAAAGGAAGAGCACTGTATGTGTCGAATACACTCCTCAAAGCTTCAAATGTTCTGGTGTTATCCAAATGAATCTCTGACAGAATAACAATGCTGCGCCGTCCGTTCCCTTGATTTTCAATCCCATCAATCTGTTGTCGGTTTCTATGTTCAAGTTTTCTCATCCGCGCACCCTGGGCACGTTCGCTGCCCACGCCGAGAAAATCAACCCAGCCGAATCCGCCACTGGTGCCAATATCCCCATTTGTGTTGATGCTATTCATTCCGAGAGTCACCTCGCGTTTTTCACAAGGCGGTCCAGCAATAGATATGCCCAGGAACTTGCCCCCTATAGCACCTCCGATACCGCTGTTACCACCCAACACAGACCCTTTTACTATCTCCTCTTCTTCATACACTCCTTCGACAAGAACTATCATTCCGGGGCAAAACCATGCGCCATTATTATTCGGGATGGGAACGGCATTGGATAAATCCAACATGATGCTCCCTGTCATGTCGGTAAGTGACAGCTCTCCGGCCGGGGAAACTGACAACAGACCTAAGCACATATGCGACGATCCGCTTCTCCCCAGCAAATTTGCAATTGGTGTGATTTTATATGATTGCCTATTGTTGTTCAAGAGAGACGATGCTTGGAATGACTCGTTGCGTAGTAACCTCTGATACACGAGGTTGTATTTATCTCGCCAGAACGCAATCTGATGAGAAGGGTTGGGGAAGAGGGACGGACTGCCCGTTGCTGTCTCAAAGTGCTTCTTGTTCGGATTATATGTCAAGCGAGGCTGATCAAAAGCATCAATAACTTTCATCAATCGCCTTGGATCCGTAGACATATTTTCGTCATCTTCATCACCTGTCCGGTTGTTCGTTTCCTCGGTACTTGTAAGCCCGGCATGACTTCCCCGACGATCCTCTTGATCTGTTAACTTCCCAGAAACAACCTTGCCATTGGACATATTATTCTCCACCATTGCAAGGATAGCTTTAATAGAAGCCCCATTGCCTTCCTCCACGATCACCCCACCGCCGTTTTTCCTCCATAGTTTAGCCACCTCGTCGAGTAAACGCTCAGCAAGTCCATCCTCGCGCCACCTCGAGCCGCAGTTTTTGCCGATAAAAGTTGCCAGGGTCTGAAGCGTGTTTGAGGAGATGGTTAAGTCATGTTTTCGTGTGAAGGTTCGAAATGCCAAGGGTCGTAGTAGAGCAGGGGGTATAAGGACAGGTAGGACGGATGATTTGCCATGAAGCGCACTGTTGGGCTTGCTACAAGTACGAACTGGCCTAGCTGGAGTTCCAAAAGCCGGAGACGACGAAGGTATTATATCGGCACCGCTGCGTATGGGGAGTGGCAGCTTGGGAGTCTGTGGTTTGTCCATTTTTTGGAGTGGAAGCCGGAGTCAACTGCGAAGACGTCCACGGGAGACCAGCGGAGAAGAATGGTTCTCATCAAGGTATATATATTGCAGGCAACCAAGAGCATCTACCTGGCAAGTGTCGTCGCTGACAATCAGTCGCAGATATCAAAAAAGGAAGCTGCTGCCCCTCCGCATCGGCGAGACGCGTCGGACGCGCCTAAATTAATAAATTAAGCACCCGCACCCATGGCGCTAACCCAATCAGGAAGGTTAATTATTCGATATGCCCAGCCCTTCTCTTCTCCTTCATCACCAAGCTCATCCAGCATCCATCTTCTCGATCGAATATTGTATGCGCGCGATTTCCTCTTCGATAATCATGACCACTCCGGAACCTACAACCGCCGAGCTGCAGGCGCGCCTGGAGGATCTTACTACACGTGCCGGTGCCAAAGATGCGGTTAAAGACTACAATGCAGCAGCAGAGCTCTACTCCCAAGCTACAGAGATACAAGCCGAGCTAAATGGGGAGATGTCGGTCGAGAATGCCGATCTTCTCTATGCCTATGGCAAGTCTCTCTACAACGTCGCCGTCAGCAAAAGCGACGTGCTGGGTTCCAAGATAGCTGGAGAAAGCGCACAGCCGGAGGCACCCTCGAAAAAGTCGAATGAACCTACCACATCCGGGCTCATCAAGGCCGCGATTTCGAGTTCTGCAGAGCAAGGTTCTTTGGATTCCAAGAAGCCTGCAGATCAGAAGAATCAGCTTTTCCAGTTCACCGGTGACGAGAACTTCGCCGACTCGGATTCTGAGGAAGAGAGAGACGCAGGACAGCAGGAAGAAGAGGACGACGACGACGATGATTTTGCAAATGCCTTTGAAGTGCTTGATTTGGCGCGAATTCTGCTACTCAAAAAGTTGGAAGATGCGGAGGAAAATCTGAATGGCAAAGGGAAGGGGACAGACAGCCCTCCAGAGGTTAAACAGATACAGGAACGCCTTGCAGATATATATGACTTGCAAGCGGAAATTACGTTGGAAGGGGAGTCCTTCGAGAACGCTGTGTCAGATCTAAGAGCCGCCCTTGAGCTCAAAGAAGCACTTTTCCCCTTCGAAGACCCGACCGTCTCTGAATGCCATTACAAACTCTCCCTTGCCTTGGAATTTGCGTCTGTCAGCCAATCTCAAGAGGAAGATGGCGCACCGCAAGATAATGAAAAGCCAGCCGTTGTGGATACTGCCATGCGCGAAGAGTCCGCGAAGCACATGCAACGCGCTATTGAAAGCTGTAAATTGAGGCTATCACAGGAAGAAAAGAAGCTCGAAACTGGAGAGATCAGTGGTGAGGACAAGATAAATGCATCCAAGAGACGGATTGCGAATGTGAAAGAGATTGTCGCGGACATGGAACAACGGGTAAGATATATGGCACATTGTCCTTGCTTCTCAGGACGTCAATTTTTTTTTTCTTTCCATATCACTCGCTAACTCGCTTCAGCTACTTGATCTCCGCCGCCCACCTACTTCAATCAATGCTCCGAACCAAGAGGCTGGCGCTATAGATGCTCTAAATGGGGTACTTGGTCAACTCATTGGAAAATCCGCAGCAGAGAAGGCGGCAACACTCGACCAAGTCAGCAAGGGAGCAAATGACCTTTCTTCACTTGTGCGTAAGAAGCCTCAATCAGGTTCTTCATCAGGCGCGAAACGACAACGTGAGGCGGTTGATGAATCCGAAGGATCGAAACGGGCGAAGACCGAAGATCCGGCTTGAAGTATATGATGCAGTACGATTCGTGTCTGGATATTACGGTTTGTGGTTATTTTTATTGATGATACACCAATGTCGTTTACTGTATAATAGATTAATGAATGCTCTGGGGATTTGTCATTTTGTTTTACAAGATTCTTTATTTTTTTACCCATCCGGGGCAGTAGAAACTGAAATCATGAATCCTCGAATTTATATGAAAGCTAAATAAACTATTATAAAGAAATGAATCCAAGACAGGCACAGAATACTGTAACTCTCCAAGCGCGTCCAATTCAAAAGAGTGAGTATTAATAATAGACAAAACATTGCTGGGTATCATCGTGTAAGTATTGAGAGCGCAGCTCTCCAATCTCAGTCGAGAGAATATTGTCACCGATTATTATCGTGGTCATCACTAGTATAGTAAGGGATGCACATTATCATCATTACTTCCTGTCCATCTTGCGACTTCTCCGACGTCTCGCAAGGCCCGGACTCCAAAGACCCGTGAAAAGATCCTCGCACTCGTCTTCATCCTGACTATCGAATTCCAAACTTGAATCATTACCGTTTTCATTGTCGTTAGCGCTGCCAGCAGCTACAGAAAATGAAGAAAACCGAGAAGAATCATCCGATAGGGGCGATGATGATGATGGTGAAGGTAGAAAATCGTCCTCAAACTCCCAGCACGAAGAGGTCGTGATTCGTCTGGCCTCAAGAATGTATTTGCCAACTTTATATCGCTGCGCTTCTTCCTCTGCTGCAATGTACTTCCACCCTAAGACGCTGCCGCAGAGCACGCAGTTAATATCAGCAACAGTATGGACGCCAGTGACGAGTTGGCGCGAAACCGCCTTTTGGGTGATTGTATTCGGTAGTGTGTTATTAGTTGCGGTATTTAGATGCTGATGATTCCCACTAATAGTAAGCTGTGCAGGCGAGACTAGGTAGGCGCGTCCATGTCGACCTGTGAAGCCTTTGCTGATTATCTGAGAAGTGTGGCAGATATCTGATCCACAGCGAGCACACCGAATGTAGGACAAATGCGACAATCTCAGTGCTCGATTCGTCTCGGAAGTAGACGAAGAAGGTTGGAGTTTCTTCACTGCTGCTGTAGCGTCTTGATTGTCTTCTACTGCATGTTGATGTTGCTGTCGCTTTGGAAACGGCGACGAGGGTATAAGAAAAGTTGGAAAAATTGGAAGCGAAGACAGATCTCTTCTGAACGGCATGTGGAATCGGGGATTGCTTGATTTCGATCTCATCAATGCGCACTGATTCTGTTCCTGTGTTGTGATGGTTGTTATATCCTATTATATAGGAAGAAAGTAGGATAGATTCACAAATCCGGGGCTTCCGTCAAAGTCATTCATGTACTTCTTTCTATATGTTCATTATAAACGATCCCTGCTCGTCAAGAACAAAAGGCACATTCTGTACAGAGAGGAAGAAAGCAATCGACAGAGAAATCGGCATTTCTGCCCGAGATGAGCAAGAATGGCGACGTCATTAACTGCCTTATCGGACGAAGTCACATGCATGGCCCGCCTCCGCAAGTAGCATCACGTGGTTAGTATAGTTTCAAAGCAATCATTCAATTCCATTGTGCATTTTGAGAAATACAATGAATCATTTTGTGGAGATTGTAATATAACTAGCGATCAAGTCATTTCATGCCAAACACCTTAGGAGACAAGACGCCATATCCCCCACGGTAACAAATAAACCAGTCCTTGCACTTGAAGTAGAAAAAAAAAAAAAATCACATGTCATTCATAACTCATGTCCCGGAACCGAAGTAAAAAGCGTTCAGAATAGGAATCGCAATATGTAAGACAGCGGGCAAAAAAGCCAACCATAACAGCTAGCTAGCGAGGTTGAGAAGCATAATGAGTTGCTACCTCCCCCGTAGACGTGTTGTTGCCATGGCTTCCTTAAATCTGAGCAGCTAAGAACAGCCATTTATTGCTCAAGGCGATATCACCATTGCCTGGTGTATTCCAGGAGTCGAGGCTTGTTAAAGAAAATCCACACCATCCTAGATTTCTCACGATACCAAGCCCCGAGGCATCGTCTGAGCGCGGCACACAAGCAATAACTTGACTGCACTCAAAGGCCTCCATTTCGGCCAATTCGAAAAGAGCAAGCAATCTAACAAAGCATTAGAGGCAAGACGCAAGGGAAGCAACGAGGTGAAAAAAAAGAGACTTACGCATTCTTGATGCCATGATTGCTCGTATGGCTGTCGAGAAAGACAAATAAAGTTCTCTGACAACCACCACCATCGGCAACAAACCCGCGGTAAATGGCATCGTTCGCATAATCCCATAGTTCAAGATAAGCTTCGATGGTCCGTTGGGATACTAGTTTCCGATTTTCCAGCCGGACATTTTGATTCGCACCCATCGCTAGCGACGTTCGGTGTCTGCCGTTCCTCTCACCAAGGAACATGGCGGACAACGTGTCGCAGAAGAGCCTCTCACACTCTTCTGTGATGGTTTGCGCTGCCTCCCCTCTATTATTTCGCGATGCTTTATGTCTCGGCCGGAAATCTTCCGTCACGGGAAGGGCGGGCGAGTTGAGGGGAGGACTTGTCATGCGTGTTTCAGGCCCCGAAGGGACCTCAGGAATACCACTGTGCTCCTAGAAACCGAAGTTGAGTTGGTTAGTCTACAGTCTCACGTGCTGGCAGTGTGGTCAGACAACTACATACCTGCCCCGCTGGGAGTGCAGTAATGGAAGCCCTTGACGGTCTTTGAGACAGTCGAAGTCATGTAGCAACTGGCCAAGATACTAATTTGCCCATGGCTGTCGAAGGAAACCGGTTGTTGCTGATTGGAGTAATTACTACTATCAGTCATGAGATCACCCTCCATTTTGAATGATATGCCCAGGATGAGTCCTTGAAAGAAGAGTGTTTATTGGGTAGATAATAAGTAATAATCGATGGCGAAGACGAGTACGTGCTGGCAGCGAGTTCTTGTGACTTGAGAAGTGTGAAGGACAAGAGGAGAATTTGGCAAGGAAGAAAGGGCTAACTAAAATCAGCCGGGCGTTCACGTGGGAGGTCAGTCCGCATTGGGCTTAATGACCCAACGTGATTCATCATAATCTGGAGTTCTACAGTCTACTATATTCTTACATTCCTTGAAACCATTATTAATATTCTATTCATGCGAACTGAATATGTACAAAATAGACCCGTTGTGAAACACGAGTCCAGAAAGAATTTTGGCTTCATACCTAGGTATGATGTCGGTACATACCCAAACCAAGAACTGAAGATTACTCTCAATGTTTGGTTAAGATTTTCATTCACGGCCCTCAATCCACGTCATCAAGGCAGACAATAGTCCTAAGGATAGAAAAGAAGACATGGCCATTGCATAATTATACATTCATGTCTTTGACTAGAGCTCGCGGTAATCGCTTGGACGTATCCGGCGTTGCCTGGCTTGGTGGCGGTGAGGGTTCACAGGCTGGCGGAAATACGGGCTGTCATCATCTCTAGCACCGGCTGCCTTGTAGTTGTTTCGTTGTTGATTCGAGAATGAGTTCATGCCCATTCCCTGCTGTTGATACCCGGACTGTGGAGGCATATATGCCCCAGTTTGGCCCATTTGCATCGGATTGAAAGCATTGAGCTGCCCAAAGTTATTGCCCGGCATCATTGCACCGTCTCCAAACATTCCGTTAACTGGGAATGAGAAGTTATTCGCAGCCATCTGATTCCAGTTGTTAAATCCTTGATTCTGAAATGCGTTATTCATGGGCATCATCATAGGGTTCATCATATTCATGCCTCCTGCCGCCATGAAGCTGTTATCGAACGGCATGGGCATGACACCATGAGGCTGGGGAAATGCAGAATTTGTGAAAGGCATTTGTTGATTCACTGGGAAAGGCATCATGTTGGCCATGTTATTGCTCTCGAATGTAGCATTCTGAGTTTGCACGTCTTCTTCCTTATCGTCGGCCTTCTGCTTCTTAAAAGACGTTGATGAGTCAGGTCTCTCAGAGTTGTCGACTTCAGGCTCGTCTTCTGCCGTTCTTTTCTTATTCTGGCTGGCGCTTGTAGTGCTCTGAATACTAGGTGAAGATACAGCTACAGTTGTTGTTGTAGCGGGCTTCACGGAAGTATCTTCAGGTTCTGGCTCATCGTTTTCAACGGACTCCTTAACCTCCTCTTGCTTTTCTTTCTCTCTTTTTTCTTCGGCTTTTTCGGCTTCGAAGGCCTTGATCTTAGCCGCTGCCTCATCGTCAACCGAAAGATTGTCCAGTAACACGCCTTCGGTGGAACAACCAGGGCAAATAAAATCACTTTCAATGAGAGCATTTGTAATACAGTCATTGCAATATGTTCGATTGCAGCATGGTGTTTTGGTCGGTTCCAAAAACATGCGCTTATCAATTGGGCATTCTAATCCTCTAGCTTGAAGTTGTTTGCTGCCCTCAGCAGCAGCCGCTTCTGCGGCGGCAGCGGCTGATGCTTTTGCTTTTTCTTGATACAATTCCCATGAAGCCTTGTCAGGCTGTGCAATGACGAAGTCTCCATCGGCATTTACCATAACACCAGAAGTTTTCAAATCCTCAGCAGATCCATCCATAGCCATAGCCGCTGACTTCTCCACCTTTGTTTGCAACGACCTTGGAATGCCTGTCGACCTCTTCACACGATATTTGCCATCAAACTTTGGATCATTGTTCGTTGGGCAAGCTTGGATCCAATGTCCCTTCTCTCTGCAGCGGTAACAAAGATACCCCGGAGGCGGTGGGTGATCCGGAACATTGAGAGGTTTACCACGGCCTCTTCCAAAAGCGACAGGGGTTGCACTACAGTTTTAGGTCAGCTTTACGTGCCCTCTTGAAATCCATATCAAGATGATTCGGAGACTTACTTTGCCATTTCCTGCTGCTGTTCTTTCCACTGATTCGCTTGAAGATTGAATAACGCATCAATCTTCTCATCTTCAGTCTGTGCGTTGTCCAGTCCTGGTATCGTATTTTGGCCAGTGCCCGAAGTGCCCCGGGCTGCGGAAGGTAAGTCTGGCCGCGTAGAAGTCCGCGCATTTAGGGGCATCTTGCCGGAGACATAGCGTGCAGCACCGCCTTTCCCAGGTCGTGCTGCCGGTAGTCGACGTGCTATGACGGATGTTGAGCGCGGAATTATAGCGGTGTCATCGTCGTATTCTACAACAATCGATCAGTCAGCTAAATTTCTTTTATGACGAAGAGGGCAAGCTGCCTCAAGATTAAAAAAAAAAGAACGAACCTTCTCCATTATCTTCGTTATAGATCGACAACTCAAAGTCTGTGCCGTCGCCTAATCTATTTTGGCTGATAATTTCACGCTTCAATTCGAAGACCGAAATCCCTGTACCGTCGAAGGTCACCCTCGAAGGTTCCTTCTGTGACTTAAACTTGAAATGCACAGAAGAAGCCATTGTAATCGTTTCGTTTCAATTGCCGAAGAGGATATTCTTCCCCACCAAGCCGTTTGTTGGACAAGACAGTAAAATTGGACCAGGAGCAAACGAGAATAAAAAAGAAAAGAAAAGAAGATGCAAGTACAAATAATGACTGCCGAAGGTTTCGATCCTAACCAGCGACAGGTCGGGTGAGGGAGCTTGTTTCCAGACACTTTGGAGGTATGATTATTAGAAAAAGTAGAGTATGTCAAATAGACCGTCTTGTTATCTATCGACAAAGGAATGATTTTTTTTTTCTCTCTTTCAATTTGACACTTCTCTGTTTGTATGTGATTGAGACCAGAAACAAAGGTTGGTTTACATTAAGGGGTGTATTTTCCTGTGTACACACAAGGCAGCATAGACACACAACTCGAAGAAAACCCCCCACGTTTTTTTTGTAATGAATGAACGAACAGTCCCAATGAACTCAATAAAACCCTTTTTTTGAAACACTTGTAATGAGGGCCGGTCAAGTCAACTGAACTGCATAGGATGCGATCGGAAAAGCAGAGTGGCAAAAAATGCGAAGATTGGCAGCGATCTAGGCTTCCACTGTTGTTTGTTCAACAAAACAACGCCTGTGACAATCTAAGAGAAAGAAAAAGAAAAGGAAACGTGTTAGTAGCGTCGTAATGAGCTGCAAGATAGGATAGGCAGCGAGAGATGAGGATGGTAGAAAAAGCGGGAGAGTTGGTTGATGAGAGAGAAGTGAGGAAGAACTGCGGAGCGAACGTTGGAAGTTGTCGGAAAGCGGCTGACTCAGCGTTCTTCACAAGCCGCTTTAGGACTAGTGTTGTTTTAGATGTTGCCTTGCTGCCTCAGGCTGACGGGCTGGTTGTTTCAACTTTCATAAAGGATATCTGAGGACATTTACTTTATTTTCCTTTTTTTTTTGATTTTTCATTCATATCTTTTTGCAGCACTCAATTTACTCTATTACTCTGTTTCATACTTCCGAACCAAAAATCCATTGTCCACCAAATAATTCTTCACATCTTCTACAGTAAACTCGCCGCGATGGAACTACAACGCATGTGTTAGCACTGAATCTTGGTGTTGCGATGGCGGACACAGATTGAGACTTACCATGCCAGCTCCTAGTGCTGCATCTGTGGTTGTCTTTGCGAAGACATCCGCAAAATGTGACGGGTTTCCGGCTCCGCTGGAAGCAATTACTGGGATTTTGACGGCATCTTTAACATCCTGTATCAGCTCCAGGTCGAAGCCGCTGTTGCTTCCATCCTTGTCGATGCAGTTCAGGAGAATCTCGCCTGCTCCCATGGCCTCCACCGCTTGTGCGAGTTGTCGAACATCAATGTCGCGCATCTCTCTGCCGCCCTTGATAGTGCATTGATACCAGCATGTGTCTTGTCCGTTGGGGTCTGGGAACGCAGTTTTGATGGTGTGGTGGCTTGTGGCTTCAGGACCACTAACATAAACGCGTTTAGGGTCGACGCTGACAACAACGGCTTGGTTCCCATACGCCTTGGAGATCTGCTCTATTGCTGTAGTGCCTGACAGCTTCTTTCCGCTTTGGAAATATTCCTCTGCGGCAATAACGGCATCAGACCCTATACTGACTTTGTCTGCACCCGACTGGAAATACATTTTCGCAACATCCAATGCCGAGATCTTTGTGCCATCGGTATCCGTCATCTCTCGTATGCCTCCTCCAATTGTCAAAGGCACAAAGACTGTTTCCGATGTGCGTCGTAGAATCTCCAGCATAGGCAAGTCCTGAACAGGACAATTGCGGAAAGACGTTATGTTTAGAAACGTGATCTCGTCTGCTCCCTGCTCGTAATACTTCCTAGCCATATCGACAGGCTTCCCTAAGTTCCTCACTTGCCCCCCAGCAGAAACTCCGCCTTTTTCTCGCACATCGTACTGGTCTCCCTTTGTGACAACCAAGTCGCCTTCATCGTTAGTGCGGACGTCAAGACAAGCAATAACTCTCCGAGTCAATCCATCTTTCCGGTCATTGGGGGCCACCGAGCTCTCCTGTTTCTCGACAAGCTGTCCATCCAAAAATGCGCGAATAGTGCGCAACCCAGCTTGTCCACTCTTCTCTGGATGAAACTGTGTTGCAAAAACATTTCCACGCGCTATGGCACCAATAAATTCTTCTTCTCCGTAGTGAGCCGTGGCGACTGACCAGCCCTGCTTCTCCAAAACGCCGGCTTCGTAAGGTGCGGCGTATGAATGAACATAGTAGTACTTGCTTTCTTCGCGCAATCCGTAAAAGTTGGACGCTGCAGAGCCCTCAAATTGGCTGCCTATCGCTGAGTTCCATCCAATATGCGGTACGCTTTTAACCGTGTCGTCAAATTTGCGCAGCCGAGAGGGAATCAAGCCCAAACCAGAAATCTGGGGGTCTTCTTCTGATCCTTCAAACAGCGCCTGAAGACCAACACAGATCCCCATGAAACGCTTCCCCGACTGGATGTGCTCCTTGATGGGTTCTAGAAAGCCGCCAGATGAAAGCTGCGAGAGGCAATGTCCAAAATGCCCCACCCCTGGCAGGATCAAGGTCTGCAGTCTTCATGAGTAACAGAATACAATTAGAAAAGATGACGCTTACCTCTGCATTGCGGACTTCTTCTGGTGACTTGATCCATTCCACGTCGTAGCCGACCTTGTTGATTGCGTTCACCAAGGACCTCACATTCCCCGCAACATAGTCCAACAGATGCACAGAAGGCATGGCTCTCTCGACCTTTTCTAAGAACTTAAAACTGTCTCTGTATTTCCAGGCTGCTAGGAGGTGTCTGTTCGGCCAGTATTTGCAGATATATATGATTCACCAATCTCAAATCTGGTGAGTCATACAGGCCTCGTCTCGGCAGTCAACTTTCGCAGAGGTATCGCAATCCCGTTTGGGCTCAACCACGCCAGACGCTATATTTGCATACGATCTTTGATCGTTCCTAACCAGTCGTATCTCGAGGATGTTCGACCAGACTCGATATCATAGAGGTATCTAGGTATATAATTATTTTGGTCGGCACGTCCGCGAATATTTTATCCAGACCCACTGGAAGAATAATTGTTCGCCGGTTCGGAGCCTGGCCGCCTATCAGCAAGCGGCTTTTATACATATATAAAAGAACATCAATGCCTAGTCTCTCTTCATGATATGTACATCCAAAAAAAAAAAAAAAAAAAAAAAAAGGGCTGCTAATTTGCTTTTTCTATATTCCCTATTCAGAGAAAATATCTATGTTTCCTAATACTTACTTGAAGATGATAAGCTTCCATGGTGATAGCATCACTTATTACTAGCCTCTCATCCCAATGATTACAGAATAGGTAGCGCGCTGGAGTGCTCTGGATGTTGAAGATATGTTAGTCCGTTCGGGGGCTACATGAAGGTCAGCGTGGGTTTGCAACGTATCGTTCGTTGGACCTCACCGGAGAGAATTGACGCAGATGAATGCCAGCAGCGCTGAGAATTTCCGCACTCTACATATACAAGATGAGCATATATGTGATAAATATAATGAGTAAAAATGATAGAATCCCCACCTCTTTGTCCATATTGTAGCCTTTCGAGTAGACGACCTCGGAAATTCCGACTTGCGCGATCTTGACTGTACAAGTCAAGCAAGGGCACCTACCTGAACAGTCAGCTGTGAAATTCTATAGCTCATGAAAACATCAGAGGTCGCACGTATCACAATATAATATTGCACCTTCCCTGATCCTCTCCCTTCCGGCCTCTAAAAGTGCGTTTTCTTCTGCATGGATGCAAAGGCACGTTGACAGCCCTGCGCCCCCGCCTTCTCCACGATTGCATCGAGGGCCTGTAAAGTAAGACACTGAATTTTCTTTTCGACTCATACTGGAAAAGACCACCTACATCCTCCCTCGTTGCAATTGGTTATATTACGTGGCGTGCCGTTATAACCCGTACTGATAACTCGGCGGTCTCGAACAATGACACAGCCGACTCGTCGCTTCATACAATTGCTCCGCTGTGCGGCCAGAGATGCGAGCTGCATAAAGTACTGGTCCCAGGTCGGTCGTAAGCGCTCATCGTTTGACAAATCCAGCCTTTTTAAGGCTGCATGGAGTTCTTCTAACGATGACGAAGCATTGAACAAGCGAACCTGAGCTCTATCCGTGAGGTAAGCTCGGCCAATTTCTCTGTCATATAAATGTCGGTCATTCCACATGACAAACTTCTCCAAATCTGGTGGATCTAATTGTTGACGCGAACACCTGTTGTGTGTGAGACGCATGTAATTTATTGTTGCCAACAAGAGATCCCAACCCACCTGTCCCGGAACCGTTGCCAACGCAGACTCACTGGAGCATCTACACTCACGAGCAAGAAAAACGGCCTCAGAAGAAGGCGGTCCAAGGTTGTATGATCCCAAATATCCGTCGTGACCCAATGTTCCGTCCATCGTTTTGTGACAAAATCGAGTAGCGAATCGACGGTTTCGAAAACCGTTTCATCTTTATGACTCGGCAGGCTCTTTGTTTCCGACTTTTCTAGGCGCGCTGGATCTCGTAACTCATTCGTTATCGGCAGGGGGTTCTTATTTGCCAATTGGAGCAACTCAAAGCCTTGCTCGCGGATAAGATACTCCGCGATGGCATGCTTTCCTGCGCAGATGCCTTTTGGCACGGTCAGCACCAGATATGCAACTGCAATGTAAAACGAGTGTAATACGCGACTCGGTCCTTTCGCATAGACTTACCACCGCATATACCGATAAGCATGTTCGTTGCGAGTTGTCGAGGTGGTTGAGGGCTAAGCTGGAGCAGCTTCAGTTTGTCCGCCGCGTTAGATAAAGAATTACCCCACCACAAACAAACAGCTGCCTCAGGCCATAACGAACTCGTTGCGAGGTGTGAACAGTTGAAATATTTTGGATTGGGATTCCATCCGTGTACAGAGGACAAGTTATCTCAGTTTGCACGTGAACTGTCACCTGTTGGGTGTTTACAACCAGAGTTAGCTCTCTCTCTGGCTCGTGACTCGGTCTGCTGCCGGTGCCTTCCTTCTTCGTCTATTACAATACCTCGCACCTCTCTCTCTCTCTCTCTCTCTCTGCATAGCACGTACACCACCAGGAGAAGCTGCCCTTAACTATCTAATAATCGGCACAGAGACCATAAACAGCACCCTTCGCAGGGAAGACCGACGGGGCGTTAGCGATCTCTCCAGCATCAGACACAGGGCCTCTGCCTGTGGCAAGCACAGAGAAACACATATCCTACCGCAAATATGCAGTATACTCCGTTTGTTTCGGATATTGAGCTTCCGTTCTACACGTCCCTCGCATCGCAGAAAATAAACTATGATAAGTTGGATGATTCTGCGAGAAAAGTCCTAGGGCTTTATGAGATACGCACCTCAGATGCGCCAGCGACATCATGTCGGATGCAGATCCTGGGAAATGCGCTGAACAGCGATAAGTAAGTTCGCCGATGGGTCTCAGTCCCGATAGTCAGAGGAAAGACTGACTGAAGTCCGTTTGCTGGTATAGCGTTCCATCTACCTATTACAAAGCAGAGGGCACGATCAAGAACTTCAATACCGTAGAAGAGTACAAAAATGCAGACAAGATACAAATACTACAGGAAGCTGGGAGGAAAGTAAGGACTGTGACTGGATGGCTTTAACTCTTCCCAAGAGTACCACTGACATTTCATGATAGATCTGGGATGCTATCGATGATGGCTCAGTACTATCCAACCCGTCAATATTATCATCTTTCCTGATACTTTCATTTGCCGATCTGAAGAAGTACAAGTTCCATTACTGGTTTGCCTTTCCTGCCATCACCTCACAACCACATTGGATTCCTGCCGAGCAGACGAGCTTAGATGCTCAAGTCTCTGCCAGCGGCCCTTCTATTCCTGGTTCCAGGAAGCTGTCTGCCGAAGAGAGCTCCGCTCTCGTCGATGCAGTACAAACCTGGAAAGCTGACACCGATGTATGCCAACATGGGTTTTTCTTGGCTCGCAGGGAGAAAGAGAAATCAGTTTCCGATAACGCTGAAACCACAAATAAAGCTTATGAATGGAAAGTGTCATCATTAGCTGGATGGGAGACGGGGTTCTTCCATGGCTCCAAGTCTGAAGACATCTATTTCTGTTTCGCTGATCCTTCAAACTATCCCAATGCCCCAGGGTGGATGCTACGCAATCTACTGGCGCTTCTGCTACACCGCTGGGGGATTACAAAATCCCAGATACTATTCTATCGAGATACCCAATCTAAGCGGGAGCTTGGACGAAGTTTGGCGGTTACGCTAGAAGTAGATCCCAAAGCTGGCAACCTGGCTCCCAATGAAATGCCGAAAATCACTGGCTGGGAGAGAAATAGCGCAGGAAAACTCACTGGGCGCATTTCTGACTTGACAGCATACATGGACCCTCGCAAGTGAGTTAGATATACTATGCTGCATTCGCGCCATGTGTGAAAGGAACTAATGTGACATTCATTCTATACAGATTGGCAGATCAAGCAGTCGATTTGAATCTGAAACTGATCAAATGGAGAATCAGCCCGGGCCTTGACCTTGATAAAGTCAAAGGAACGAGCTGCCTTCTACTCGGAGCTGGAACTCTAGGTAGCTATGTCGCACGCAATTTGATGGTAGGCTCCTCTTGTTGTAAAACCAGAAAACTTAAGAGAGAGAAGCTAACTCTGGCTACAGGGTTGGGGTGTACGAAAGATTACTTTTGTCGACAACGGATCTGTATCATTCTCGAACCCAGTAAGGCAACCATTGTTCGATTTCAAAGACTGTCTAGATGGAGGAGCCAAAAAAGCCACACGTGCCGCAGAGGCCTTGAAAGAGATATACCCAGGGGTTGTGTCAGAAGGTCATGTACTATCTGTTTTGATGCCTGGTCATCCCTTCACTGATGCTGCTCAAGCAGCAGTCGATTTCGACCGCCTTCGTAAATTAATTGAGGAGCATGATGCCATCTTCCTGCTGATGGACAGCCGAGAGTCTCGTTGGTTGCCAACGGTCATGGGGAAATCTCTGGGTAAAATCGTCATGAATGCCGCCTTGGGTTTTGACACATTTGTCGCCATGCGACATGGGGTCAAACTTCAATCACCAGGCCAATCGGAGCTTGGATGTTACTTCTGCAACGATGTCGTTGCACCCATGGACGTGAGTTCCTTCATTGCCGTCCTCCTTGCTGACATGACTGATGGGGAAAAAAAATAAGTCCATGAAAGACCAGACGCTCGATCAACAGTGCACAGTAACACGGCCAGGCGTGTCTACAATCGCTTCAGCGATTTTGGTGGAGCTCTTCGTATCCGTTTTACAACATCCTGACGGAGCCGGAGCCCCTGCCCCGGTAACCCAAAATGCTGAACGCGGAGACCATCCTCTGGGCCTTGTTCCACACCAAATTCGAGGGTTTCTGTCTACGTTCACCAATATCCCGATTACTGGCAGAAGCTATGATTGCTGCAGTGCCTGCTCAGACCGAGTCGTAGATGCATATAGAAAAGACGGCTGGGATTTCGTGCAACGAGCAATCAACGATAAGGAATACGTGGAAGAGCTAAGTGGGTTGAAAGAGGTTCGGCCCGAATCCCTCGTTGAATATTTGTGTAGCCACACTGACAGCTTAATAGGTACAGCGAAAAGCCGAGGAGAATGCTGCTGATATAGAGTGGGAGGACGATTCGGATGGACTGATCGATGATGAATAAATAATTTTGAGTAGCCAAAAAATTTGGCAATGCGTCTTTAGCTTCCTTGATCTTTAGAGAAAATCATTCGACATCAAGTACCTCTGACCTTGCAGCATTTGGTTTTCTAGCCATAGCAACAAAAAAGGCCTCTCGCGACTCCTATTAGCGCTGGTCAGCAGTAGAACATGTAGCTCAGTCTTGTTGCCATTCTCAAGCAAATGAATGGGATTTCGCATCATACACTACGAGAAGACTCCGGCTTTAGTCTATGGACCTTATCGAACAAGGCTTTGAGTTGTTTCTCGAGTATTTTGTCTTCTGGTCCTTGGTAGAATTTGCACACAAAATGGCCACCAGTCTTCAAGACATTGAAGCTGAACTGCAGCGCTGCTCGGCATAGATCCTAAGTAATGATAGTTAGTCATGACCATTTATAGTCGTCCAGTTTGAAGTTTCGAGACTTACCATGCTTCCAGCATGATCTCGGAAGTTGATACCACTGGTGTTCATCATCCTGCGATACGGGTTACTAAGGCTCCTATTTGAGAATCCTCTGACTTGCACCCAGGGAGCGGACATGTCGCTTAGAACCACATCGACAGTGCGTTCTACTTGTGTATTACCATCCTTCTTGCCCTCGATAATGCCACCGGTGCTGCCGCGCTCGGACGAGACTTGCGACAGTATGCTTTCACTTTCGCCGACAATACGTCCAGTCACATCTGTAGAGTTTCCGTCAGATGGCGCGGGTCGTCGTGGTCGACCACGGTTGGGATCTCGTACGAATTCCAAGACATACTGTTGAACGTCCGGCGAAAGGAAGTTGCCTTGGATTGTCGATACTCCCTTGGGAGGCTGGGCAGGGATGATATCGACGCCTAAAACTCGACCATTCGGTTGCGTACGGGTTACAGCAACCTATATTGCAGGGTTAGTTGGTCGAGTTATTTCAATTTGCACACACTATATGTCCTTCTTCTTACTTGAGACCATGAGCCTGGCGCATACCCCTATTCGGTGACACACAGGATATTAGAACGAGGTGAAGATAGCCAGCGAGTTTAGGAAGCCGAGAAATTAAACTGACAAGGTCAACAACTGTTTGTCCGCCCCGAAATACCCGATACTGTTCGTCAATCTATCAAGTCATCCAATAATGTTAGTCACTACAATTACTTGGGAGGGAGGGGAAAAGCATGCAATCAACATACTTGCAAAAGCTTGAAAGCTGCCCTGCTTTTAAGCCCCTTGACCACGGCCTCTCTAGTAAATATGTCGCTTCGTTGACGAGACTGCCATCGCTTGGAGGAAGATAGACGTTTGAAATTTATCGGCAGAAAATTGCATCGATGGCAAGTAAGGACTGCTTGCCATACGGACAGAACAGTAGGTCTTTTGGAATTCATATGCTCAATCTTTTCGTCGTATTCCGCGTGTAAAAAATAATGAAAATAAAAATAACCAAGAATCGCATACAAAAATAATCGGATTGGGCAGTAGGTAGACACGGTGGAGGCATGAGCGCGGAGTGTATCTGGAAGTCGGGAGCTGGTCGAGCTTGGCCGCGGAGGTTCTCCGAATCTCCGCTGTCTACTTGGCTAAGCTAACTACGTAGTTGACTGTTTTGAGATCAGGCATCTGCATTCGTATTTATTTTCCTGTATATTCGTCGGAGTATATCTTATTTAATTCAAAAGGGTATCATGTAGACTATATTAACCTCTTACCGCGCTTTAACGGGGAGAAAGTTGATGTCTCCCCAAATGCGCGGCGAGAGAGACTGACAGCTTGCGGGCGTTTGGAGCCTGGCTTCAGACTGGGTATCAATCTCTCGACTTTCCTCGGTCTTTCTTCCAGCTGCTCATCTTCCTCATCGAGAAAAGTCATGTCACGCTGCCCGCCAAGGACCTTCCGCTTCCTCTGGTTTTGCTTGCCGTCCAAGGAAGAGTCTCTCTTCGCGGTGGTGCCACTGACAATTGACTGCATTCCTTCATTTCTTGTTGAGAGAACAGAGTCTTCTGCATTTAATGCCTCATGAGCCTCCTCATTATCACTATCCTCATCGGCTCGACCTCTATTCAGGCTTTCGTGGTTCCGTCCAGAACGCTCTACTCCGTCGCTTCTCGGTGATACTCTGGGTCGCTTTCCTGCCTGCCGTGGCTTAGCTTTGACGTGGAGATCATCATCTGAGCTGCTTGAAGAGCTTTCGGCGCTTCTATTCCGTCTGAGATATGGCGTGATCGAGAATACCGATTTTTCGCCCAGGTTGGCAGATGGTTTTTGGCCTTTCTTGGTGATCTTGACTGCACCGGGCGTTGCTATTGTCATAGCTGGATCAAAAGTGGCACCGGCATAGCCCAGTGAAGTGCTCCTATCACTTGCGACACTTTGACGGGATGTATCGCTTTTTGGAAGTCCTTGAGAGATGCGCAATTCACTCTGGTGTTCCTTTAATTTATCCTTTGTAGAGCGCAATTGTTTGCGAACCATCTGGAGTCGCTCCTCCAAAGACTTCTTCTGTTCTTCCCATGCGATTGACTTCTCATGCGTCTCCTGCTCCACACGACGCCTCTCGTCCACTTCCTTCCTGAGTTCTTCTTGTAGCTTCTTCAGTTGTTGCTGTGCTTCCGCATTTTGGTTCTTATTCTCCGAATTTCTATGGCGCTCATATGCCCGTCTTTCCTCTTCTAATTGAACTTCCAGAGAATTGAGCTGTCTCTCTAGAGCAGACTTTTCGGCGATGAGGGTTTGGTGCGATTTATTCTGACTTTGAAGGCGCTCGAACTCCTGCTTCATGTGTGATATCTCTTTCGTAAGAGAGAGGTTTTCGGCGGAGAGTTTCTCATTGTCCGAGACCTTGCGTCTCATGGATATAACGTCGTTCTAGATAATGTTGGTTTAGACGTCTGTGCGGAACTACAATAGGACAAACAATTGAGGAATACCTTCAAGTCTTCCATGGCGCGCCAGTCTGTGCGTGTGGATAGCTGCAACGTTGCCAAGTCATCCTGTGCTTGGAGTAGTTGTTGTTTCAATGTCGTCTCAGCTTGAAGAAGCTGTTCGAAATCGTACTTTGATCGTTCGCATCTCGTCTGCAATACTTCGTGGTCGGCCTCGAGGATAACGCAATCAACGCGCGATCTTCGGGACTCCTCCTGGGCCACAAGAGAACCGAGCAGGGCTACGCTTTTCTCATAGTCGGTCTCGAGCTGCGCCGTCTTGAGAGACAATCCGTACTATATGCCACAATTAGTCCGGTGTGCGTGATAAGAGGATTCGGCAATACACACTTCGCGCGCAGGACAGGCTTCGTTCAGGCAATGGCTGATCATTTTGCAAGAGACGTGGACAACAACGACATTGTGATAATGTTTCTGTTCTGGCAACAATAATCAAGACGCGTCGTGGAGTAGTCCGCACTAAATACCAAAGCGGCAAGCACCTTTCCAGATTGGGGCTAGTGCGTGGGAGCTTATAACTTAGGGCAGCCGCGGCCCGCATTGCGTACGAGGCAGGTACCTATAGGCCACCTCTCCGTTTAACTTCGAGTTCCTTCGTCGTTGCGTGCCAACCCTCGCATCCAGCCTAGGCAGTACCATACCAATTGCAGGCATTTGTGTCTCAAGATGAGGCTGCTTTCATATTTCACTGCACTACTGTGCGCAACCGGATTTGCCGTCTCGGCAGCAGCAAAAAGTGACAAGCTACAACAGTTGCAGGCTCTCTCTCGTTCGGGCGCCGTCGATCTCAACGACGCAACATACAATGACCTCACCGCAGCGCCCCGAGATTATCATGTAGCGGTGATGCTCACGGCCATGGATGTGCGCTTCGGCTGTGCACTGTGCCGGGATTTCAAACCGGAATGGGATATTATTGCGAACAGCTGGAACAAGGCTCATGTGAGCGACATCGACTTGGTCTTTGGTACATTAGACTTCAGCGATGGAAAGGACACATTCAGACAGGTTTGCTTTTGCACTATTACAAGCATAAATTGATCGACCTCCTCACTGATTATCCGCAGCTCATGTTGCAAACTGCTCCCATCATATTGCTCTTCCCGCCAACAGTAGGACCCGGCGCAACCGCTGATGGCACGCCCCAGAGATTCGACTTATTTGGGTAGGATGTCCTTGAGACATATACATTGGCTCCGTTGCTAATACTTTCTTTTTTTTTTTTTTCCTCACAGCCCGACCACCGCAGACCAGCTCTACGCCTGGATTAATCGTCACCTCCCCGAAGGCCCGAAACCCCAATTGGTGCGCCCAATTAATTACATGCGGATTGCGTCGACAGTGACTCTTCTACTTGGCGCAATTACTCTCTTTACAGTAGCATCACCATACCTGCTCCCTATACTTCAGAATAGGAACATTTGGGCCGGTATCAGTTTGATTGCAATCCTTCTATTCACCAGTGGTCATATGTTCAACCACATCCGCAAGGTTCCATATGTTGCTGGTGATGGCAAAGGCGGAATAAACTACTTTGCTGGTGGATTTTCAAACCAATTTGGGATGGAAACCCAAATTGTCGCTGCAATGTGTAAGTGTTTCTGGTGCCGTGCAACTCATAAATTCGCACTGCTTTCGTCCATGTTCCTAACGATTTTGTAGACGGCGTACTTTCCTTTGCAATTATTGCACTGTCTTTCAGGGTTCCACGAATGGCGGATCCCAAAGCGCAGCAATTGGCCGTGATATGTTGGGGAGTGGCTCTTCTCGGCATGTACAGCTTTCTCCTCAGCGTCTTCAGAGCCAAGAACGGCGGCTACCCATTTTACTTGCCGCCATTTTAGATTTTCTTTTATATCGATCCCGGGGTTCTCGCGCTAGATGGGTTCACTGTGAAAGGCCTTTGACGGTTCTCGTATAACGGTCGAAATTGCACTTGTACAATGTCTAGAACGAATTGGTTTTGTTTTTGGTTTATTAATATTTCAAAGAAAACTAGGGTATAGGTGCATTTTTCTTGTGAAGTTCTTGTATAAAAAAACTTTGTCGCAAAATGAATGAATTGGTTCTTGTCGTGCATAATCTTGACGGAGACCCAACTTCTGCGGCATAAATTCTCTTTTATTGGCATAGAAGGTTGGCTTCCTGTATTCTTCTTATATAAATTGCAAATATTGCGACGTACTGATATCAATTGGCGAGCTTCTGCAGTTCGTGGTGTGTGGTTTGCTGCGGACAAGGAGCGGCAAGTTTATGTGGAGATAGAATGGCCGGCCTGCCAGGTGTCAGGAGCAGCAATGCTCCCAGTCAACCTCCCCAAACTACACCATTATCCCGGAAGAGGGTAACATACGCAAATGATTTCTCGAGAAAACATGAACTGAATAGTTATTCATCACACATAATTCATTGACATTTCCAAACTGTCGACTAGACTTCCCACAGACGTCCATCCATAATGGCGTCACACGCATCCCTGGCCTATGGCACAAGCTTCTTGATATTAATTCAAGTGGTCTCGCGGCTCCTTACTTTTGCCTCTAATCAACTTGTCTTGCGCCATTTGTCTCCGGAGATTCTGGGCGTGGCCACTCACCTGGAGCTGTATTACATCACCGCGTTATATTTTTCCAGGGAATGCGTGCGGACTGCGATTCAGCGAGAACCTCTTTCAAGCGCTCCGGCTGACAAAAAAGAGAGCGAAGATGCGAAGATCGACGAAAAAGAAGACTCGACATCATCTCAAACAGTGATCAACATGTCCTACATAGCGATCGCTCTTGGTCTTCCACTTTCCGGGTTCCTAGCTTTCTGTTATCAGTCATGGGCAACAGAAGAGATTCTATCAACGCCCTTTTTTCAAGAAAGCTTGCATATCGTTGCCCTGTCGTGTGTAGTGGAGCTGAGTACAGAGCCCTTCTTCGCAGTAGTTCAGCAGCGAATGCTCTATAAAGAGAGGGCAATCGTGGAAACTATAGCGGCCTTTGCGAGAAGCATAGCAACATGTGCCACCTCTATATGGCTAGCAAGAGTAGGATGGCATGTAGGTGTACTACCTTTTGCTTTGGGGTATCTCTCGTACGCCTGTGCGTTGATTTGTGGGTACAGCTGGCAAATGGTTGCAAAGGCAAAGACGAACCATTACTCGTTCTGGCTCATGCCAATTCAATCCAGGTAAGAATCGTCCTAATCAATGATTGAGTCCTTGAAGTCTTCGACAGATACTGAGGTCAAAGTCCAGGGACACAACACGGTACCTCGCTCATAGATTCTCGCGCAGCTTGCTTTGGTTGGGCGCCAACTTGTACCTTCAATTAGTCGTGAAGCATTTTCTTACCCAGGGAGATTCTATGATACTTGCTACTTTCTCAACACTAGAGGACCAAGGCATATATTCCTTAGCATCCAACTATGGCGGTCTTGTTGCGCGCATGGTCTTTCAACCCATTGAAGAGAGCAGTCGAAATCTGTGGTCAAAGCAGCTGAATACGGCAGAGCAAGACGAAAAGAAACACAAAGCTAAAGTTCAAGCTGCAAAGTCCCATTTGACTGATGTCCTACGAGCATATGCTATTTTGGCAATAATTGCTCTGAGTATTGGACCCGACATCGTCCCGGTTGGGCTAAAACTTCTCATCGGATGGAAGTCCGAGAAATTGCAGGATCTGCTATCAGCATACTGCTGTTATATTCCGTTTTTAGCATTCAATGGGATTACAGAAGCGTTTGTGTCTGCAGCTGTTAGCCCCTCGGAAATGCGGAGACAAGCAGGCTGGATGACGGTATTTTCGGTGTGTTTCGGTATCACTTCATTCCTTCTTCTCAGCATTGCTAAACTGGGAGCATTCGGTTTGGTGTGGGCAAATATCATCAATATGTCGGTCAGGACCATCTGGAGTCTTTCTTACATACGGGACTATTTGCGTCGAAATGAGGCCGATTTGCACACCGGTGATTTCAGTCCAAATATGCAGACATTAGCAATACTTGCCCTTGCAGCAGGTCGCAGAATGATAGATTACCGTCCTCTCGGTGATGGTCTCTACGGTATTCTGGCTACACTTGCATTCGCAGCATTGTCTGCATTATTGATGTAAGTTCACTGAGAGAACTAAAACTGTTTTTAAAACGAAAAGCTAACTTCAAAACTAGTCTATTTCTAGAGCGTGACTATATATTGGCCCAATACACAAGATATACCCGGGCATAAACAAAAGTCTTTTTTTGTACATAGGAAAAACAGAGATATAATTAAGATGTCAGTTAGAAGAAATCGAGAGCCATTTAATCATCAAAAGTAATCTTGGTTGCCGTTTTGGTCTCATCAACGCTCTTGAAAAAGGCTCCATATGCATCATGCTGCTTCTTCTTCACAGTAGTTCCGAACTTGAACAGCGAGTCGGGAACATCTTGCTTTGCTGCCTTCAAGACATTTATCAGACTAGAAAACATAAATCAGTCAAATGTCCATCTTATGGTACTGGCTCGGTTTTCCGGGACTTTAAAAAGAAATACTTACGCTCCTGAGTGGGCTTTATCAGTTTCCGTGAAAAGAGTGATAGCATGGCCATCGGCACCAGCTCGTCCAGTTCTTGGGGGAGAATTAGCTCATCTGACATAGGACGTGGAAATGGAAGCAGATATAATCGACTTACCGTCCAATGCGATGCACATAATCCTCAATGGTCAAAGGGAATGTGACATTGACCACTGTCTTCACTGCTGGGATGTCCAGACCACGGGCTGCAACATCCGTAGCAACCAGGATAGTGACTGCGCCAGATTTGAAAGACGCAAGACTCTTGAATCTATCACTTTGGCTCAGGTCACCGTGAATACCTGCCACTGCGTAGCCTCTCGATTGGATGAGTCTTTCAATTCGCATAGCCTCCTTCTTGTATAGACAAAAGACCAAGATCTTGTCTTGAGCGGATTGCTTTTGCAGTTTTCCTAGAATCTGTACAAGCCTGTTTTCTTTATCTCTGGGATCTAGCACTTCGACAACCTGCTTTATACGGGTATTTGCACGAGGATCTTCTGACGGTTTGCCGCCAACAGTGACCATAGCCGGGTCGTGCGTGAAGCTATTAGCTAGATTTCTGACAGAAACGGGCCATGTGGCAGTGAACATGGCAGTCTGTCTCCTAGAAACGGGCATGGGGCCAATGATATCTTTGATGTCTTGTTCAAAGCCCTTGTCCAACATCCTATCTGCTTCATCGAGAACGAGGAACTTCACCTTTGAGAGATTGACTGCGCCTTCTGCCTGAAGATCTTTCAACCGACCAGGTGTAGCAACGACAATCGCAGTATCTTTCAACGCCTCTCGTTGCTCATCCTTCCTAACACCTCCATAGATACATGTGACTTTAACTCCGACCTTCGGAGCATATCCCTCGAGTTGTTCGTATATTTGCATCGCAAGCTCTCTGGTGGGCGAGAGAATGACAGCTCGTGGGTGGGAGGGCTTCGTCTTCTTCTTCGAGTCGACCATTTTTTTGAGGCATGGTAAACCAAAGGCCAGGGTCTTTCCACTGCCCGTTTCAGCAATGCCTATCACATCCCGGCCATCAAATAGCAATGGCCATGTAGCGGCCTGTACGGAAGTCGGTGCTGGGAAATTCTTGAGCGGTTGGTACAGGATGTTTTCAGGATCTGGCAGCTGATCAAACGAGATAATCGGCTGCGGAGGCTTTTCCTTGTTTAATGGATCGGTGATTTCGATCGTGTTTGATTTCAAGTACTCTTGAACTGTCTCCTCGGAGACTGATGCCGCTGCATTTTTGGGCTCGGATAAACTTGCGCTGCTGGTCTTGTCCTTCTTTTTCTTCTTTTCATGCGAATGCGGCGTATCTTCGGCACGTTCGCCCGACTTTGTCTTTAGCTTTTTCCGGGAATGCTCGGCTTCTTCTGTCACTGTTCTCTTAGTCATACTGAATTAATAATTTCTGTGACCGCAGAAAATAAGTATATGGCCGCAATGGCGGGATATATTTTTTTTTAAAAAAAAAAATCGACGTGAAGTTTTCTTCCCAGAAATTTTTTCCTTCAAAAGAAAAGCGGCAGTAAATAATTGATACTGCCACTTTGGACCGCCAAATGTCATCAAGGCGGTCAAGTCGATAAATCCTAATGACAGCCTCGAAAATTATTGGCTTGATATTGGTGGCATTGCATGGAATTTACCACGTCCATCCTTCAATTGTTGGCCCGGTGCAGTTGTGTTATTGACATATTGAATGAAATATAGCAAAGCTTGGGAATACCTGCTCCGCTCATCTTGTACAGTCTCTGCATTGCATACTGGATCGCAGGTTGTATCTAAAAGACAAACCGTGATATCACGGTATCGTACATATAATCTTGCCCTTTGTCTGATTGCTCTCCAGCAGCTTGTGTGCTTCAATGATCTGGTCATATGGCAAAACCTTTGTGATGAAGATATTGAATTTACCATCCTTGAACTTTGGTAGGGCATTTTCAACCAGGAGGTTTCGCAGCTTCTCTTGGTATCCTTCGTCGCGACTCCGTAAAGTGCTACCTTCAATTCTAAGTCTCTTGAGGAGAATGGGTCCGATGTTAACGCCTGCAGGGAGTTCAGCGCCACTCATCAGCCCTAGCAAGACAATGCGGCCGTCTCGCGCAGCAGCAACCAAGTTCTGACCGAAATAGTTTGCCCCAACGAAGTCAACAATCAGGTCAACTCCCTTGCCTCCAGTGGCCTCCAAAATCCCCTTGGCCCAGTCCTGGGTGTGGTAGTTGAAGCCCGCCGTAGCGCCGAGCTCATTGACACAGAAGTCAATTTTGTCCTGTGATCCTGCCGTGACGAAGACTTCCTTGGCCCCGAGTGCTTTGGAGAGTTGAATACCCGCAATGGATACAGACGAAGCACCAGCGTGCCACAAGACAGATTTCCCGGATTGAAATTCTCCAATCAGGTTCAATGCTTGTGTCGCAGTTATCCAGGTCTAAGAACCATATACATGTTAGCCAGAGATTGTGGTAGAAGAGCGGTTCCACCCTACTTCTGGGACTCCTGCAGCTTCCTCCCAAGACATATGTGAAGGTTTGTGGATGAGCATCCGCGTGGAGACAGATATGTACTCTGCATAAGCACCTAAATAAAGACCTTATTAGACTGCCCACCGGTGGCCCACTTGACCAAGTCTATCTAGAGAGAGAGAGGGAGATAATACGTACCTCCATATGCAAGACCGAAAACCTCATCGCCAACCTTGAAATCGCTCTGCGCCTCAGCGAGCTCCTCGATGATTCCGGAAAACTCTACTCCCATTGTGGTAGGTGCCGCTGGTGGGACAGGATATCTACCCTCTCTCTGGAGTAGATCCATGCGATTGAGTCCAAATGCCTTGATTTTAACAAGAGCCTGGCTTCCGGTTGGTACCGGCCGGCTGATTGTATCCATGAACATCGCATCGGCCGGTCCTTTGCCGCCCTTGACGCCTAGGTAGAAGGAGGATGAGCAACGCCAATCTTATACGAGCGGGGGGACAAACCTATCGCTTTCATCGATGCCATTTTGTCCTGATGGAAATACAGCTGCTGCTAGGTGGTATGTATAGGAGCTGAGCAGTGCAATTGAGATGTCGGGCGAGGTGGGGGATTTTTCTTTTGTCTGCACACGCAAAAATAATACCGATCAATTGCTATAAAGACGAACAGTAAGATGATGTCAATAATCCGTTACTTAACAAACTTACTAGTTGGTTAGGTTAAGGCGGATGGATTAATAATGCGGAGGTTGCATAGTGGGGTCTATTCGATATCATTCTATGCTTGATCCCAGAACTACAGAAAAATTCTTCAATCATGTAGTCTATTCATACAATATCTAGCTGGTCCATCTCTTAGTGCCAGCCTGTCTCTGGCCAAGAAGTTGGGATAAACGTTCCATTGGATCATGAGAGCAGAAGCCGCGGTCAAGATCAACTAATAACGGGTCCATCAAGCCTTGATCCTATCAATAATACATCGTAGATATCACACAATTTGAGCCAACAACATAGAATAAAATGAAGCTAGACAACAGCAATGGGCTCCCCAGCTGAGGATGGAAAGCATGCAACAGCCATGCAAAGCAGTGAAAGTGCCTTATGCAAGACTATACGATTGGATAAGGTTGGCCAAACGTGTAGCTTCGTCCGAATAATTAATCGGCTTGGCATAAGATATTTGATAACGTATTCTGTGACTGCAGTCAGCTAATGTTATGGAAGAAACACCAAGCCTGCACGTACCTCTGTTGTTCGCCATAATGGTCCATCTTCGCCTTGCATCGGAAGTTCCAAGTCTGGCAGTTGGCTTCTTGGAATAGCTCGCTTGCCTCGTACTCATTCTCCGCCTTGATGTTTACCAAATCATCCGCTGTTTTGCCCATGATGAGTCTTCCAACTTCATCAAAGCAATTGAGCCAGAGTTGGCCAGTGTGATCGCTGACATTGATAAGCATAATATAGCGATATTCTGGCTTGGGGTATGTTTTGTCGCATTTCTCACACCGCCACTGACCGGGATCCAGCTCGCTGACCTTCTTGTTGCATTCTGCCGAAGGACATGCGGGATAGCTCACATTGTCTTGTTTGATGTAGATGATGGTTGCCTTTAGAGAAAAGAAATCTGCTTCTTCTGACATACCCAACTGTTCTTCACGGATTTGGGCGATTGTCTTGTACTGATCGGGTCTTCCGCCACCAGATGTAACTGCATCTGACATTGAAGCATGTGACGTGAAATTATCAGACCTTCCTTGTGCATCATACCAGCCCTTGAGTCTGTGGGCTTCTTCGATGTCTGGATCGATTGTCATGGTACCAGAACTCAGCAAACTGAGGCTCCTACCTCCGAAATCGGACACTTTCACGCCCTTGAATGCCACTACGGATTCAGGCATGGCACTGAAATTGGTAGCTACATTACCCCAAACCGTGAGGCGAACAGAGAAACCGGTGTTATCAACAAGAAGTAAGTCTCGTTTGTCGTAGGGCTTATTCGTTGTTTTCGAAGTTATCTGCGATGTCTGGCCAACTTCCTTTATAACCCCAATGATATCGGTTGTAGTGTCCTTTTCGACCGATTGCAGGTCGCCAATGCTCGTGAAATTAAATCGGATTTGAGGGACGTTGTCCTGGTCTTCGGCCTGTAAACTTGTGAGATATCATTCGCTCATACCAGATATGCCAAGGATATATCTACCTTCTCAACGATCGTGTCTTTCTCAAAGGTGAGCTCGTAGTCGTTATTCAAATTTGAAAATTGCTTTTTGGCGATTTGCACTCGGCATGGGCTAGAGATGTAGTAAACAGAGCCCTCCTGGAACATGTCATAGAACATGTCACACTGATCGTTAAAGCCTGTAGCTTTGATCTCCCCGCTATCATCCAGGAGGTTGACGCTGAAGAGTTTCCCCTCCGAGTTACTACGGTGCCACGTTTTGATGGCTGATTTGCTTGTGCAACGTGCTTTTATTGTCCACTTGTGCGAATATGGAGATATAGCTTCGATTGGATAGATGGTGGCATGTGCAGATGATGATGATGATGATGCATGGCGAACTTTGTGGGCTTCACTTCCAACTTGGCCTTTCGAGCCATAATGGCTGTTACCGGATACCGTCGTGGGTGCTGCCCTCTCCTCGTCTTCGGGTTTGGTCTCGAGCGGCTTGGGATCCCCAATCTTTTCGTACTCTCCAAGGTGTGAGAGAACCTCAAGATCAAGTATAATCAGTATCCTCCAAATCTCGGTCAGCATCCTCACTGTAGTTGATATATTTTCCATGGGCATACTTTTTGCCTTTAATCGCATTGGACTGAAATGATTTCAGTTGTACGAGACATCCCTTCCTTAATATCCCGTCTTGGACAAGATGGTTGGCTTCTTCAGAGGAAATATTGTCAGATAGTGCCGGCATGAGAAAGTCGCTGCTCAAGCTTGGTTCAACAACTTACGGGTGGCAATCATAGTTTGCACATAATTAGAAATATCGCTGAAAACAGCCCGATAGCGCTCTTGTCCGTTCGGCTGGGGAGCCAGCGGCTTGATCTGCACACATTGAACAATAGGCTGGCTCTCGGTAGCTCTCGACTCGTCGAAGATCCCACTATCTACTTGTCAGAGACGATGCGGTGGTACCACGGCGAGATAGGGACAACCTGCCTCAGAGACCCGACGGAGATGAGAGAGGCTGGGTCAGTAGCCATCGTGGAAATGAGGAGTAGGCAACGAAAACAAGAAACCTGAGGATGATGGACTGGCTGATGGGCGGTATCTGACGGAGCAACAAAACATGGAGGCGAAGAAGAAGAAAGAGAACGACGCGTGTGTGGCGCGCTCAAACCCCCAAGCGCGAATTCCCTGAATGGGCCTAGCGCGGGCCCCGCCTTAAACAAACACGGCAAGGAGGAAGTCGCTAGTGCGGGCAGGCAGCTTCCCCGTCTTGACAACGTCATAGAAAAGACGACCATTCTCCCCTGCAAAAATTCCTCCCTGTTTCGCGCTGTGCATCGCCCTATCGCTGCAATATGGCAGAGTGTCGTCACTTTCAGGCTGCAGGTGCGTCGTGCTGGTTGTTCTACTGTTGTTCGATTCCATTACCTTGACTGACTAGTGACTGCTCTGCTTCTCAAGATCTGCGGCCTCCGAGCTCGACCCAACCCGTGTACAGAGAGGACTGTACGCAGTGCTTTGATTCGATTGTAAGGCTTGTTGTTTGTTGCCACGTTCTTCTCTAACAACCAAACAGGACGATACAACGGGGTTGAATGTTTGCCTTCATTGCTTCAACGGCGGATGCACGGGGGACAGGAATCATGCACAGCTTCACCACACACGCACAGGCCATTCGCTGGCCCTCAATATCAGAAGAACAAGAAAGAAAGTTCAGGTAGGTTAGGATAGAACAATGCGAACCTCACTCGCTAACTCGATGCTTTTTATTAGCGGGATGAGCCTCCTCAGAAGATGTCTAAACTCGCTATCCTAGCAGAAACCGAAGAAGACCGCTACGATACATCGATGAGCGTTATCTGTTATGAGTGTCAAGTCGAGAACAGCGGTCAGCTGAGTGAGAGGCTTTCTACAGTGGTCGAAGGAGTGATGAAGGCTTTGACTTTTTCAAAAAGAGAAGAAGTAAAAGCGTGGGAGCAAGAATTTGTTCCCTGCGAGCACACTCTGTGCCTGATACAGCTGGACCAAAGCAGTGTTGGCAAACATGGTAAATCAGTCTCTGCCCTGCGTTTAAAAAGCCGCGAATCTCACATCCATCCAGATCTGAAACAATGTTCGATGTGTGAGTTGAAGGAGAATTTGTGGTTGTGCTTGGAATGTGGAAACGTCGGTTGCGGCAGAAGTCAATTCGGTGGTGTTGGGGGAAACTCCCATGCTCTAGCCCATGCTAATTCCTCTTCTCACGGCGTTGCGGTTAAGCTTGGCTCCATCACGCCCGAAGGTTCTGCCGACATCTATTGTTACACGTGTAATGAGGAGAGGTTAGATCCGAATCTGGCGGCACATTTGGGTCATTGGGGAATCAACATTGCGGAAAGTGAAAAGACAGAAAAGAGTCTTATGGAACTTCAAGTCGAACAGAATATGAAGTGGGAATTTGCCATGACATCCGACGACGGGTCCATATTACAGCCAATTTTTGGTCCGGGCTTCACGGGTCTGAAGAACTTGGGGAATAGCTGCTACCTTGCAAGCATCGTTCAGTGTTTATTCGCACTCCCGGACTTCCAACAGCGATACTTTCGTCTCGGCGAGGAGCCTCCTTTCGTTCATAACCCTGCTGAGGATTTTGAAACACAGATGAAGAAGCTTGCTGATGGGCTGCTATCTGGAAGATACTCCAAGCCTGATTCTGAAGTTTCAGCTTCACCCGATTCCGTCGAGGTTCCTCATCAACGAGGACTTGCACCTGCAATGTTTAAACATCTCATTGGCCGTGGCCACGAAGAATTCTCTACGATGAGACAGCAAGACGCATTCGAATTACTGCTTCACCTTTTCAAACTTATTGCATTATCGAGGCATACTGATGGATTGGCCAACCCAGTGCATAGTTTCCGTTTTGTTCTTGAACAGCGCCTCCAGTGCCTTGATTGTCGTAAAGTCCGCTACAAGTACGATGAACAGGACAATATTTCCGTTCAGGTGCCTGCCCGCGCACTTATCTCAGGAGGAAATATCTCGGAACAAAACAACGGAGCATATCATTCAGTGACCCTAAAGGAATGTCTCGATACTTTCACTGGGGAGGAGATCGTGGAACTGAAATGCCCAGGTTGTGGGAGCAATAAAGGCTTTAGCAAGCGGTCTCTTTTCAAATCACTACCTCAGCATCTCGTGATAAATGCACGTCGGTTTGAGCTAATCAATTGGGTTCCTACCAAGCTAAATATTCCGGTGGAAGTGAGCGATGAAGACATGGACTTGAGCACTTATTTGTCCTCCGGCCCTCTCCCTACTGAAGAAATGCTACCGGAAGATGCCGAAACCGGTGCTCCAGCTTTCGTAGCCAATCCAGAGTTAATTGGACAACTGTTGAGCATGGGATTTTCACAGGTACGGTGTGAGAATGCGCTGCATGCAACAGGCAACTCCGATGTGGAAAGTGCGATGAATTGGCTCTTCGCCCATCTGGAAGACCCTGATATCGATCAACCTGTGTCTATGTCCAATGATACAAAGGCGGGCTCTGCAGGGCATGACACTGAAAAAATCCAGCAGCTCGGAGAAATGGGCATTGGTGCCAAACAAGCCGCAAAAGCCTTGTCGGCTACGGATGGAGATGTGAACAGAGCATTGGACTGGGTATTCAGCCATCCCGAGGCTGCCAATGACGATGATGATGACGGCGAGGCCTCTAGGAATTCGGAGACAGTGTCACCATCATCCCAAGAAATACCCGGCAAGACAGAATTGCCTGCGAAATATAGGCTACAGTCTCTTGTCTGCCACAAAGGGGGCTCACTCCATGCTGGGTAAGTTTTTCCAATTCCTGAGATAACATTCTGGGGGTCCGGTGACTAAAGTTCAATAGACACTATGTTGCTTTCATACACAAAATCTTGCCTGATAGTACTGAACCTTCCTGGGTCCTGTATAACGATGAGAAAGTCGTGAAAGCTGGAAACTTTGAGGAGATGAAGCAATATGCCTACGTGTATTTCTTTTCTAGAACTGGAGCAAGCAAAGCATGATGACGGCAAATACAATCAATAGAGCAGACACATCCTAAGATCCGAATCAGGTGCAGCATAATTAAAAAGTACCATTCAGGGCCACTTGTATCTTAGGCATTGTCTCTTATCAACTAAGTCAACATTAAAATATGCCACTCCCCTTAAATTTCTTTGCCTGGTTTCAGCCGGCCGTGGCCTAATTTGGATTGAGACTAGATTGAGTCTGGCATAAGTGGGGAAAGTGCCGCCTAAATTTTTGTAGTTTGTAAAAAGGTGAAAATAACACACGCAGATATGACCTTTCCTAGTTGGGCCGCTGCAAACCACCTTCTGCTCCCACCTCGTTGGCCCGCGCACCCCCGCGGCTAGTGGGAAAGAGGCACCGGCTGACAATAATGGATGAGATGTTGCGTGAGGCAAATTCTTCTCCCTTTTCGGCTGCACCAAGAGTCAATAACGCTGTCAATGGAGAATTACGCCTAAGAAGCACCGCCATTCGTACGATTGTCAGAGCCCTAAAAGGGGTCCGCCGCAGAAGTCCTTCGACCTGTCAATACCATTTTATACGGGTAGTGTCAGCAGAGAAAACCGGCGCCATTTTCGTTCAGGTGAAGAATAAGATAAGGGCTTCAAGCGCAGATAGCATCCTGCAAGAATCATTCTGACAGCGGAAAAGGAGGCATTATTTGCACATAAAATGGGCATAAACGGGGTCCCTTTTTGGTGGCTTACTGGTTTATATTCCGCTATCACGTTCTTCCGTACGGAGCTAGATACGGAGTCTCAACGCTCGAAGAAGAGCAATCTGCGCTCAGGCGCTCAGGACCAAGTATCCATTCCTACTCTCCGACAGGGCTTCTGTCACCGTCACTCAAAGTAGGAAGACATCTTCGGATAGTCCACTCACGCCGCAATGACGAGCAAGTCTTTGGCTGCCCAGAGAAGATGGAACTCACAGCAGCATTGAATAGGCTATTTAGAAGTGAATCCTCTTGTCCAGGCACAAGCGATATTGCGGTGGTACACCATCGAGATCAGTCCGATATGCCACAATACGATCAGCAAGTGGATTCTCGCAGTTGGTGGGTTTAGGTGGTTTTCACCCTCCTTCCCGATCGGGTAAACATATAGCTAGGTATATGCTACCTACTACATGCGGCAACTGAAAGGACACTCATCCCGCGGGCAATTCATGTACTTAAATACTTTTCAAGGAGCCATGATATTTGCTACAACCCTCCCCGTTCATAGTCAAAAATTTTCGAACAAGGATCTATCAAAAAACTTGTCCGCCATGGCTTCTATGCAGAAAGTCTTTGCCGCGTATCACGAGCGACTGGCCGTCCTCGAGGCCAGCACCAACCCATTGGCCAAAGGAGTCGCCTGGGTAGAGGGGGAACTCGTGCCTTTGTACGAAGCGCGCATCCCACTGTTAGACCAAGGTTTTATGCACAGCGATCTTACCTACGATGTCCCCTCGGTCTGGGACGGCCGATTCTTCCGCCTTGATGACCACATCGACCGACTCGACACAAGCTGCAGTAAGATACGCCTTAAGTTGCCTCTTCCCCGCGAGGAAGTGAAGCGTATACTGGTGGATATGGTCGCCAAGTCTGGTATTCGCGATGCATTTGTCGAGATTATTGTTACCCGTGGGCTGAAAGCCGTTCGCGGTACCGACCCGAAGGAGATCAAGAACAATATCTATATGTTTATTCAGCCTTACGTTTGGTGCATGGAACCAGAAGACCAGCCTGGCGGTGGAAGCGCTATTGTTGCGCGTACAGTGCGTCGCACCCCCCCAGGTTCGATGGATCCTACCGTGAAGAACCTCCAATGGGGTGATCTAGTTCGTGGCCTACACGAAGCTGCTGATCGCGGGGCAACTTATCCCTTCCTCACCGATGGCGACACCAACCTTACCGAAGGATCGGGCTTTAATATTGTTCTGGTCAAGGATGGTGTTCTGTTTACTCCGTCGCGCGGAGTTCTCGAGGGCATCACTCGCAAGAGTGTTATTGATGCTGCGCGGGCCAATGGGCTCGAGACTCGCGTTGAGATTGTCCCGATTCAAGCTCTTTACGACGCAGACGAAGTCTTCATGTGCACGACTGCTGGTGGCATTATGCCTATTACCACCTTGGATGGAAAGCCTGTCAAAGGGGGCCAAGTTGGTCCTATTACCAAGAAGATCTGGGATACTTACTGGGCCATGCATTACGACGATGCTTATAGTTTTGGGATTACCTATTAGGGATATTGCTGAAGCAAAACACGATAGAGATAAACGCCAATAAAATGGATGTACTTAGAAGTAATCAGTCCTTCCTCCAAAAATGAGCTTCCGAAGCGGTTTTTGATATTATCGTAAATTTACCACTCTCCAGAAAGAAAATAGAGACTGGCTTGCTAACCCTTCTTTACTAACATTTTTGGGTAATTACTGGTTAGTTACCTACTTACTTACTTTATCAGCAAGGAAGACTCTGCCTTCCATTTTCGGTAATTATAACTCTCCCAGAAAAGGCAACTGAGCCTTTCGGCTTCTTTAACCCCGCCAGTAAGCAAGTACCCACCTGTTGTTCTTGAAGAACAGGATAAATAAGTTCAAGGTCTCAGTAGTCTTTCTGTTATACCCCTCCTAAAACATTTTCAGACACAGTATACGGCTTCCTCGTTCATTGCTGAACATGGCATCTCTCCCGCCAAGCGTTGCTAAGTCCTTAGCAGAGACCAAGGTCGATTACCGACTCCTAGGAGCAAGCGGTTTGCGCGTGTCAGTTCCAATTGTGGGATGCATGAGCATTGGCAACCCAGAATGGGCGAACTGGGTGATAGGGCCAGAAAAGGCGCTTCCTTTACTAAAAGCTGCGTACGATCGCGGCGTTAACACTGTTTGGGCTCCCCAATTTGTCGAATGTTGAATGGTACTTTGAAACTTACATTTGGCATAGTGGGATACAGCGAATGTATACTCGAATGGTGATTCGGAGCGAGTGATCGCCCAAGCGATCAAGAAATACAATATCCCAAGACACAAACTGGTGCTGATGACAAAAGCTTGGAGCTGCGTGGGAGAGGAACAGTTCCACGCATATCCCATCTTGAGCGAACTAAGACGAACAAAAGATTACGTCAACCAGTTTGGTGAGTCCTTGCTTCAATCCTGATCGGGGCTGCTGAGTTCGTTCTACAAGCTAATTTGATCCATCGGCGCTCCCAGACCTCTCGAGATCAGCCATATTTACTGCGGTGAACAACTCCCTTGAGCGCCTAGAGACGGATTACATTGATGTTTTCTGGATTCACCGTTTTGACCCCTACACCCCGATTGAAGAGACCATGCGTGCTCTTCATGATCTCGTTACCGCTGGGAAAATTCGCTACCTAGGCGCTTCCTCGATGTGGACATACCAATTCGCAATGATGCAGTTCTGCGCTGAAAAGAACGGGTGGACCAAGTTCGTTGCTATGCAAGTACGTGCTGATAGTATATTGTAAAGCAGTTTCATGACGCCAGCTTTCTGCTAATGCTACAAGCAGAATCGCTATAGTTTACTGTATCGCGAGGAAGAGCGGGAGATGAATAAATATTGCAACGCAACCGGCGTCGCCATCGTTCCGGTAAGTGAAAAGCACACACACACACAGTTGTGATATTACATTTGCTCACAGTCGATCATCAGTGGGGTCCGCTTGCTGAAGGACAACTTGCCCGTCCTTTAAAGGCCCGAGGAACTACCGCTCGCTCCGATAATAACGACGAAAGCATACGTCCGGAATCGGTGGAAATCATTAGCCGAGTTGAAGAGCTTGCTACGAAGAAAGGGTGGACTATGAGTCAAGTTACGTTGGCATGGATGCTTAAGAGAGTCACAAGCCCAATCATTGGCTTTAGCAGCGTCGAAAGAATCGACGACGCTCTCTCTGTGCGCGGCAAGCAACTCACTGAGGAGGAAGAAAGATACCTGGAGGAGCCGTACACCCCAGTGGAGGTCAACAGCCATTTCTGAGGACTCTTATGTCTGATTAGTTAGTGATCAAACCAAGTGTTAGCATTAGCAAAGTGTATTCCATAACGCAGCGGCCAACAAGAAGCTTAATAATACGAGATTCGTGTCTCTGAGCCACTTTGAGAGCCGACGCCTACATACAGTCATTGGAATTTCACATAGAAGTTTCAGGCACTAGTCCAAATCAATCGCTGTTGGAGGTATCATGACAGGATGGCGTCTCTTAGTTGTAGCAGTGAAGTACAGGAAGTCTCCGGGATTTGCCGGAGTATGCCTATCTTATCCTCCCGATAAGAGCGAAGCCCTAAAAGGCAACCGAGTTCAAACTTAAGACTGAAGTTGGAACAGCATATGAAAAGGGACTAGCCTCGTCTAGCTAGCTATCTTTATCTTCATTCCCCCCTCACAATAATCATCACGACACCCTAGAAACCCAGTCTTCTCAGTAGCACCCATGAAGCCTGTTGATCTGCCTAAAACAGGCAGGAGAACTAATGCACTAGCATTTGCCCGGGTAGACTGCCATACCTGTGCTTCGTTAGGCGAGCAATGTGACCGCCGTCGACCGCGGTGTTCGGCCTGTCTAGATCAAGGCCGCAAATGTCAAGGCTTTGCGACTCCTTTGTCCTGGAATCCAAAGCGGATGTTGTCCAGCAATCCGTCTACTACTACTGTCATTGGCCATGTATTCAGTGGGCCGGGCAATCAAAGGGGCGATGATGCTGCAGCAGGTGTTATTTCAACCTCCAACAATCGCACTCAACCCACCCAGTCGCGCCTATCGCAATCCTTTCAATTTGTCAAAGGCCCTTCAAAACCGAGAAAAAGACGCAAGACATGTCCTCCTCGGACGCAAATCAGGGCCGAGAACCAACCAGGAGTGCAGGAGAGCCTCTCTTCTGCAGCTGTCCCAACTTGCTTGCCTAGAGAGGAAGCAGGTTTGATAAACCATGACCCAAGGGGGAATAGCTTACTGAGTGGCTTAGGTATGTTGATGTGTTTATCAGGACCTTGTCTCGGAATCGATTAGCCACCTATCAGCAGGCATTCAATTGACATGAGAGCTTCCCAGAACCCCCTCTGGCCGATTTCAGCCTCTTTGACTCAATTAATCTAGACGCGCTTCCATGTACACCACTTTTTGCAATGGAGACAACGGCATCTCCAAGTTCAGCATTGTTGCTAGACCCTATTGCAGGAACGGGCGTTGTGCCGAGCTCCGAAGATGAGCAGCAACAGCAGCAGCCGCAGGATCCATTGATCCAGACTGCCAGCACTACGGCGTCAGGCGAGTCGCAAAGGGCATCATCAGTTGATAACTATCTGAGCCGATTTTTCCCAGAGCTTAATGTTTTGTTAAACTCGCCACGTTTTCAGACGACGTTCTTAGCACCAGAGCTCACGCCAAATGATCATAGCCGTCTTCTTGAACTCTGTAAGACATGATCACCCTCTTTCTCTCGTTCTTTACTTCTTACTTTCGCCTGACTGGGCCACATTGACTAATTACCCTTAGATGATTCCGAATTTTGCATTCTGCCATTAACAGGCGACCTTTCTGTGAATCCATTCCGTTGCAAGCGACAAACTTCGCAAGGATCACGTCTCCTTTTTCACTCCATACTCGCCCTGTGCTGTCAGCATCTCGAAGGGTTGACAGGCAGTTGGTCAAAAGAAGCCGAAGAGCATCGGCTCAAGGCGACTGAATTGTTAAAGTCTGCTTTAGAACAAAAAGAGCCACATAACACACACTCTTTGCTAGAACCGATATTGATCCTTTTCACCCTTGATGTAAGGCGCTCCCTACTCTATCCTAGTATGATATAACCTTAGTCCCTCATCAATTCTCACGACAGTGCGCTCTCTCTGCCGTTGGGAACTGGTCTAGCCATCTATCCCGTGCTCATTCAATGCTATGGGCTTACGGTGGCCCCAATTCACTCACCACGGCACGTGTACGATCCCAAGTTAGCATGTTGATATGGTGTGGATGACTGCCCTTTCGATATAAATGTAGATGTATTTCCTGCTAACACTTGGAAGGTGGGATGTTACGCTTGCTCTAATTTCTCGCCAAGGAACAATTATGGACCGTGAATACTTGGATTTTCTGATCCAATGGGAAAAGCAAGACGACTGGTCGTTTTTTGATCTGACTGGCTGCTCTGGGGATTTGATCCTCTTTATGTATGAGCTTGCAGAACTAGCCAAACAGCGAGAAATTGCCAATTCTATGAAATGGTTGACTTTTGATGTCACACCTGTCTTGGAAATAGAGAAAGAACTGGTTAGTTGGAATAATCAGGCCGGTTCCGTTGCAGATGAAGATATTGCCGGACTATCCGAAGTCGAAGCAGAGAAACTGTTTCACAAGGCACAGGATCGTCACCACTGCGCAGAAGCCTGGCGGTGCGCATTACTCCTCTATATCCGAAGAGTCTTCAAATCCGTCCAACAGAGACCTGTCATCGCTCAACTGGTTCGCCGAATAATCGATCATACAACTTGTTGTCGGCGAGCATTCCAAACGCAGAAGCAGCTGCTTCTTCCAGTTTTCCTTGCTGGTAGTGAAACATCAGACCAAGATATGCGTGATTATGTTAAAGAATACTGCGATTACTGGGGAAAGAAGAGCCGCTACAGGATGTTCAATACGGTTCCTTTGGTGTTAGACCAAGTATGGAAATCTGGTCAATGGTGGGCGCCAGTCATTGATCAAATGAGTACTGTGCATGGTGCTACGCAACTTTTACTGGGCTGATTGAACATGAAATGGCAGTGCCCTAACTCCTACCCTTTTTGGTGATAAATGTCTCATCTTTATCTTGATGCTCTTTTCAAGTTCAATGGAAATACCTCGAAATCCTACATCTCCAGATCCATACGCCAACTGAAATATAAGATTAAGAAGGGCAGACTTGTCATTTCCTTGGAAACAATTTTCGCCGATGAATCCCAGTAAGGCGACGTGCTGCAACGTAACTCATAGCATGGAGCGAGTACCACAAGCCTCCTCAACCAAATCAACTGCAGCTTGGGCACAACCATACGACGACTGGTAGCCCGCACCGCCAGCTCCGTAATTATGAACGACCCAAAGACCACCAATGCGTTCTTTCTCAATGCGAGTGCCGCCCTGCCTAACAGGTCTCAGGCCAACCGCGTGCCTGATAATATCCAAACTCCCAATTCCTTTCCCATTAGTCAATTGCGGACACATTCTAACGGCACGTTTCATGATCCGTATGGCAAGGTTTGGATCGGGCTGAGACTCCCAATTGTTTACCTGGTAAGATCCGCCGAGGATGGTTCCTCCACCAGCTGCTCTAGTCATCACATAACACGCTTCGTCGTCACCGTCGTCTGTCCCAGACACGTCAAGCATTTTCCCTCCTGCATCATTGCGAACAATTACAATTTGACCACGTGCAGGGTACACTGACTTGTCCTCCACGCCGCCCAGTTTGGAGGCCATCAGCCCGGTGCAATTGACGATGAGGTCAGCTTTTCCTCCGAGCTGGACGCTGCAATCAGCAGCAGCATCCAGAATATGATTGTACACTGCGCGTTTGAAGATGACTCCATTTCCCAGACACTGAGATACTAACCAAGGTAGATAGATTGCAGTATTAATGCACACTGAAGTGAAAGCCGTGGCCGAGTCCATGTCGGGGTGCAGGGACGACTTTGGGAGCAACCTGAACTTTTACCAACAACTTGAGTTAACTAGTTGCTTCAGCATATGGTGAGAGAGATGACTAACGTTGGGGACGACTTTGGAGAACCAAGGATTAGGCGACAGAAGTTCCGCAAACCAATTGGCAGTCGCTGAGCCCTTGTCTTTAGCCCGGCTGTGAATCTCACACTCTTCAATAGTTCAGTCAACAGTCCGCGTTTTAGGTTGATTTCGGATTTCTACCTTGGAAATGCACCCCTGCCTCAGGATGGTTCTTCGCTAGGTCCGCTAGGGGATACCAAGTGTCCTTGTCCCATTTTGCAGCCTCTGTTCCGCCGATAGAAACCCTACCAACAACCATTGTTACATCTCTGTCTGGTAGATAGATTCCCCGTAGTTCGAAGTGCACTCACGGCATGTAATTTGCACCGGCCCATGGAGACGCGTATTCGATGTCGTAGTCCCCGGGCATATGCTTTGCGGCGACCACAATCTTATAACCGGGCTTTTTTGACAGCAACAGAGCGGTCGTCAACCCAGCGACACCTGCGCTGCATAAGATTTAGCTTCATCCTAACAAACTAGAGCATTCTTCTTCTTTAGACTTACCCTATAACCACAACCTTCTTCGTAGACATGAGGGGCCCGCAGTAGCAACGATGGAATGGTTTCGATAACTTAGCGCCTCGAAAAGGGTATAGAGGTTGAATATTTATACCCTTCGAGCGCAGCCTAGAAGTCTATCGTATGACCAGTTGCTTTTCTTACTGTTGACTACCGGTGAAACAGTAAGGTACAACGCTTTTTGTGAGAGATTCTTGACCATTCTAGTGCCGGTGGTGTCAGAGAAAACGTACCGAATTAGGAATGTGAGATACCGCGGCTATAATCTACTTTATTCTCACTACTATATTTTCTAAAATGAGGCTTAGCGATACCAGTCTCAAAATTTGCCCCTCAACAATCGCCTGGAAATTGAGATTGGTCTTCATAGCTTACTGTATAGATGAATGAGACTCAGGAGTTATACTACACAAACAGATAGACAGCAGATTTGACAACACCATGTAACTGCCTAGGCTTTATAACTAGAAACGTTCAATTACAATTTGGGATGTGTATTGTATATTTTTTATTTCTATGAAAAGACAGCCCAAACTATTAGTCTGATAACAACAAATTGTTGGGTTTCCACCGGCTTCCAAAAGGTTCATTCTCTGTAGCGTCTGTATCGAGGCGCTAAAATAGCCTCACCTGCCAAAAGCAGTAAAACAGTCAGTAAATATATCCGCTAATACAAAAAAATACACTACGGAGTAGTGAACCTATCTCTTGATTTTTAGGATTCCGTATGAACGAAATAGCTTGCCTATTCTCTCTCAATCTCTCGCCCCTCCTCCCTTTCCTAACGAGGATACCTGTCGCCAGTGGCTTACGGGAATTTGAACATAGCCCAGTCTCCGTTTGAGTACTTTAAGATTTAATAGTAAATACATCAGCTACTCATAGTCTATATACACCGCCAACATGCCCCCCAACGACAGTAGCGTTCAAATAATCGGCTATGCGGAACCATGGATTGTTTCGCCGGGGGATTCAGTCGACATCAAAGTAGGTTGTTGCTCAAGGAAAAGATTTTAGACGTAGAACTGACTGTTATAGATTTCTTCCACCGAAAAAGAATATTCTCACCGCTAGTGCGCCTGATCCAAGGTTATCGGGGTGCTCATGCCCCCCCCCCCCCCCGGTCGAGGGGGAGGAAATCACCGAAATCCCTGCTGGAACCGAGATGACGGATGTTATCAATCTGCTTGCCCGGGGTCTTATGCTTGAGTACCATATTGGAATCAAGTCTCTTACGACGCCGAAGAGGGCCATGAAGTAGAGTTCTACGTGCAGTCCTACCTGATTGATGTTGAGGAACATCGCCGTCAGAACCTCGTCTCATGTCTCGATCCAACATTCCGAACCGGGTTCGCTGTTGTTTTGCGTCAGTCAAGATTCGAATTCCTGGTGGGTACGGGGGACAATGTCGAGGTTTTCCAGAGTTCATTTGCCGTCAATCGCTGGCGCTGGCTACACGTTCGAATGAGCCTTGTTGCTCAAACGCTGACCTGGAGCATCGAGCAGTTGAACCGTCTGGTAGAAAAGGCACCAGCCGCCGAGAGAGGGGGCCAAAAATTACCAACACCTTTTGTTCTCGGGTCAAACGAGTTGCTCTTTGACGTAGGCATGCTCAATAGCTTCACTCCCTCGTCCTTTTTCAACGGCCGTCTCGATTCTCCCTCTTTCACGACAACCGGAGCCACACGACGGGCAATTGCGCAATATGACTTTTCTCAGGGAATTTCTACTGATTCCATTGGTGTTTCTGGCGATAATAGACATGGTGTCCTGGTCAATGCTCCTACTCGGGCGGTTAAAGGATATAATTGGAATGGCCCCCAACCGGATTGGACTAAAGCGACATACGGGTACGGCGCAATTCATTTCCACGAAGGTGACCTAGATGATGCGAAATGGTCAACAAATTTCTCTATCACTATTCCTTCTACAGCTCGTTCAGGCGCATATGCTGTTGAACTAAAGTGCCTCAATCCGGAAGACGTGTACGATATGGTCACTTTCTTCGTCCGTCCAAATCCAGAGTCAACAGCAAATGTTGCGCTGGTACTAACTACATTTACATACCTTGCGTATGCCAATGAGCGCATGTTTGATCAGACCAGATCTTCTGCGATGGCAATACCCAATGGAGTCAGCATTGGGAGTGGGAATTGGTACTTTGAGAACTTGGATAACGGCCGGATTTCGGCCTTTCGGCCTACGATGTACATGTTGATGGCTCCCCCTGTGCACACACCAGCGCTAGACGGCCGATTCTGAATGTCCGACCTGGATATGTGCACTGGGCATTGGATCGCCCCCGTGAATTTAGTGCTGATCTCCTCATGATTGGCTTCCTGGAGCATTCTGGTATCCCATATGATGTTATCACAGACCATTGCATCCACACTCGGGGTCCAAAAGCAACGCTTCAGTATTCGACACTGATCACGGGATGTCATCCTGAATATCATTCCCTCCAAACACTCGACGCCCTTGACGATTTCGCAAAGGCAGGTGGCAACCTGATGTATCTCGGCGGAAACGGATTCTACGGGGTGGCTGATATTGACTCTTCTCCTCATCCCTATCGCCTTGAAGTTCTAAAAGGAAACCAAGGTTGTCGGTCGGTAACTTTTCCGGCCGGCGAGCAAATGCACAGTCTAACTGGAAGCCAAGGAGGTCTATGGCGAAGCCGTGGCCGGCTCCCCACTATCTGTTCGGTACCGGCAAAGGGAAGGGCTATGTGATAAACTCCCAATACTCGCGACGTCCTGGCCTTGCCTGGATTTTCGATGGCATTGATGTGGACAACCCCCTTGGCGAAAATGGGTTTGGTGGAGGTGCCAGTGGAGATGAAATTGATCATCTAGATTACGAACTCGGATCACCATCGAGTATCATTCTCCTGGGAACAAGCCAGCAGTATGATGATAGCTTTGGGCTCTTTAACGAAGAATCTATGTTTCCTATGGTCAACACTCTGGGCTCGAACTCTGATCGTGTCCGAAGCGACCTTGTATATTACGAAACCGAAGCAGGCGGTGCGGTTTTCTCAGTCGGCAGTATCAACTGGTACAGCAGCCTTGCTTGGGAAGGGTATGATAACAGTTTAACTAGAATTACAGGCAATGTGCTCAAAGAGTTCATCAGGCGAGGCAAAGGCAACAGTCAGTAGCCAAGCGAATGAGTTGATACTTAGATATCAACCTGAATCGCAGGTTGAAATCTGAGTCAAGAAAATAGTCAATTACATACTTGCATGTCCCATGTAGTATATATATTTATCCATTATTGTCCCACAATCAGAGAGAACCGGGTGCTGTTGCACTACAGATTACTAACAGATAACAGACACTGATACTGATACTGATAATGTCGAACTTGTTTCTTAGGTTCAGTGGCAATCTCACAGATATGAGCCAAACCGGTGTAAACAAGATAACATGCGTCTTGCTTTGCAGGCCTGAAGTGGCCAGAAACACAAGATCAAGTGATAAACGCCTCAGATTATCTGATAAAAGCCCTGTATTTCTGCATTAGGAAGGAGAGTTAAGGTTAGAAAGGCAGTAGATAGTGTGATACGGACCCTATCATCGGTTTCCTTGCTCAGTCTAGTGTCTCCACAAGAAGTTCCCCGGCTTTCGTATAAAGGCTATCGCCAGGAGGTTATCAATGGAAATGGATAGGCATACGATAGCAGTGACGAAAAGGAGACATATATACTGGAGAAATGTTCTAAAACTGACCATTTCGTGTCGATGGTCGGAACAACCAGACAACAAGATCCGAATATTCAATAATCTTCCTCCTCATCACTCATACATCGTCTCATAAGAATAACAATCTTCTTCGCCTCCCCCTCATAGACGTGAAGATGGATCCGAAAATGGATCCGATGAAAGAAAAGGAGGAATCCATACTTTCATCAACCGAAGAAGGCCAAGTCCTCAACATACAACGAGCCCGAGATGCAACAGCTACCGAACATAGCCTGAGCATTCTGGATGCCTGTCGGGGTTTCTGGCCTGCGATTCTTTGGTCCTGTCTGTTCAGCATGGGAGTTGTCATGGCTGGATTTGATCCGCAACTGGTCGGCTCCCTCATTGCAATACCGCGCTTCCAACATGACTTTGGCGTTTATGAAGACGGAGCTTGGACCATCGAGGCCAAATGGCAGTCTGCCTTCAATTTGACATCACCAATGGGTGCCATCTTTGGTTCATATCTGATCGGATGGCCTCTTGATCGCTACGGCCGACGCTGGACGATGGCAGCTTGTTGTGTGGTATCGATCATCGCTGTTGCAATTCAGGTATCAGCGCAGAACAGTGCTCAGATTTTGGTCGCTGAGCTCGTCAACGGACTTGTTGTTGGTGCCTATCCCGTGGTTGCACCGACTTACATATCCGAAACTATTCCTGTTGTTCTTCGCGGCATGGTGACGGCATCGGTGAATTTCTGTTTCGTTTTTGGTCAATTGGTCTGCTCGGGAGTCCTTATTGGCACTCAGGGGCGAGATGACCGCTGGGCGTATGATATTCCATTTGCCTGCCAATGGTTCTTCCCGGTCTTCATCCTGGTGTTATTGCCTTTCGCTCCCGAGTCACCTTGGTGGCTGGTCCGTCAGAATAAAAAGCAAGAAGCCCGCCACGCCCTACAGCGTCTCGCCACAGAGGGAGTCAACGTGGATGATATGCTTGCCTTTGTCGAAGTCACGACGCAGATGGAAGACGAGCTCGAGAGCCAGGCGCGATTTATGGACATGTTTAAGGGGAACGATCTACGTCGAACAATTATTGCGAGTATGGTATACTGCATCCAGGTGTTTTCCGGCACCGGTCTCGTCATCAACTACTGTGTATACTTCTTCGAGCTCGCGGGTCTATCAACAGACATTTCCTTCGACATGGGCTGCGGCGTGCTCGCGGTGGGACTCTTCGCCACTTTCCTCTCCTGGATATTAATCAACAATTTCGGACGCCGCCCTCTTTACACCTGGGGCCTAATCAGCCTCACCTTTGTCCTCATCATAATCGGCGTTTTAGACTGCCAGCCATCATATTCCACAAACGATGCCTTGCGATGGGTTGAAAGTAGCATGATGTTGTTCTGGAACTTTGTTTATGATCTCACAATCGGAGCTGTATGTTTTGTGATTATGTGCGAGGTATCATCGACGAAGCTGCGGGGAAAGACCATTGCATTTGCCTCTGCCGCGCAGTTTTTCGTGAATTTCATTGCCGTCGTTGCTATTCCTTACGCCATCGATGTGAATCAAGGCAATTTGCGTGGCAAGCTAGCCTTTGTCTATGTCGGAATTTGCATTCCGTGCATTGCATACTGCTGGTTCTGCCTCCCCGAAACCAGAGGGAGAACCTACGAAGAGCTTGATTTGATGTTTGAGAGGAAGGTCAAGACCAGGGATTTTGCTACGTACAGATTCGAAGACGACGTGCATAACGTAGGGAAACACGATGCCACCGCTGCTGTCTGATTGATTATATGTGTACTGTAGCTCTTTCCTGGGATCCGTAACTTATCTCACTATCCGCGGGGTTAGCTATTTAGATTCTACATGTCATCAAATATGATATTATTGATTCATGTACTCCTTCATCATACGGTTCTAAATGCATTCGATTCTGCATTTTTCATTTTGGATGTATACAGTGCCAATGGCCTTCCACCTCAAGCAATCTGTATAGATAGATACTTGTCGTCTTCGGCTGTTCCCTCGGGCTCCACACAAGCCCCTCAAACCACGATAAGATAAACTCAGTTTCCCGTTTAGGGAAATTTTGTCAAATTTTCCTAATTAGGAAGGTAAGTCGATAATATTAACAACAGTACGTTGATGAAAGTGGGCACTTTCTAAACCTGAGTTTATAACTAGTCAATAAATAGCGAATGTTGGCAAGTAATTGCGACATTCCTTCGCAGGATTGAGCCTTTGATTGTGCGTAAATAATATCAATTTGCACCGAACTTCAGGAGGATACCCCCCTGCCAAATACACACGCAAGACTACCAAAAGAACACAAGAGAGGATAAAAAGGAAATCACAAAGATGCCCTTCAAGCTTCGACGCGCATCGCCTTCCGATGTCGAACAGCTTACCGATGTCTTTTTTTCGGGTTTCCGCAAAGACGCTGTCATGGCATCGTGCTTCCCTGAAAAGCCCTCTGTCCGGCGCTTCTGGATCAACGGCCTGATGAAAGCTCTCTCCGATCCGAGCGTCCACATCGTGGCTGTTGTCGACACCGACGCCCCCGGAGAACCGATAGTCGCTTACGCAAACTGGGTCAGTCCCACTACCACCGATACAGATACAGAGCAAGATCAAGCTCAGCCATTATACCCTGACGATGGGGACGATAAGGAATTGGCAGAATTCTTCTTTCCCTTTCTCAAAGAGCAGCGAGCCAAAAACATGGGTGGCAGAAAATGCTGGTATTTAGCAGCGTTGGTCTGCCACGAAGACCATCAAGGAAAAGGTGCCGGAGGGATGTTGATGCGATATGGTTTGAAGCAGGCGGATGACATGAATGCTGATATCTATCTAGAAGCCAGTCCGCCTGGTGTACCTGTATACAAACGCTTCGGCTTCAAAGAAATTGATCGGGTTGTTGTGTTAGACGGACAGTTCACCGAGCTGTTGATGTTGCGCGAATTTTCTGGATAACCAGCCGCATTATCTGTATCAATGTCTGATGTATAAATTTTAAAACCCAAAGAATTTGAGTATAGCATAGAGCGGATTAATGTTACTTGGGTTGATATCTAGATTAAGGGGATAGAAGAGGAGACGAGCATTTCATTTGAGCATGCCTGGCATAGAGCGAAAGTATGTACCCAGTCTTCTCACAGTCACACAAAATCTGTACCATTTGCCCTACTAATTTTCGAGTGAATTGGCTGGGTCATGCGTTGAAGCATTGAATGAAAGTGTTAATCCTCTTTACCCGCTTGTTCTCCAGCCCCAATTCAAACCCTTGCCTTGATTTATGTACTAGTTTGTATTCCGTCTAGATAAAATAGTGAAAATCGATGGTACAGCGTTCTTTATGTTTCATGGTTTCATAGGAGCAGTCCCCGGGTTATTACTGTCCAAGGTTCTACTTTGGGAATTATCCTCTTACAACAGTTAGGTATATCGTATATACCATCATTTCCTGATCGAGTCGGAGTGGGAGATAATCATAAAAATTAGAAATTATAGTAACCATAACATGTCCAGATGGGCCCTGTTATTTGTAAGATGTGAGTTATTTGTCCTGCTAACGTATTTCTCGGGTAAACCGCGCACCCAGGTAAACCGCGCACCTGTAATTCCTATACAAAATAGACATTTTTACCCCTCTGTAAATTCTACGAATTTATGTATAAAGTAGATCTAAAAAGTTCATATATTAAATAATATATATATAAGAGCTTATATATAAAAAATAATAGGAATCTACTTATAGATTTGTTAAAATAATAAGAAACATGCTAGTAATTATTGTAATTTTTAATACGAAAGGGTTTATAAGATATATAGAATGTATAAAGCTATACATATAATAATAGTATATGAATATTATTTGATATATAAACCTTTCAAGTCTAGTTTATATATGAATTTATGGAATTTACAGGGGGGTAAAAATGTCTATTTTGTATAGGAATTATAGGTGCGCGGTTTTGTCGGAAACTTCGGTTGTTTTACCGTTGAGTATAGCTAAGATAGCTGTTAACAGGTGAAGTTAATAGGCTTCTAAGGTTAAAAGGTTATAAAAGACAAAAGTAATAAGAATAAGGTCTAAATATTCTAATTAATAGAAGATTATATACTTAAGTTATTATAATAAATTCAAGATAATAGAAGAAAACTAAATATATAATAAATAAGCATCCTTATATAATTATCCTCTATTATAATTATTATAATTATTTTTATATAGTTAACTCTAATGAGTTGCATTATATCTATTGTAGCTAAGTATTAATAGTTAACTCTAATAGCTATAATGGCCCTATTTCTAGTTAGTTCTAGCTCCTACATATTCCTGCAAGCTTATAATCTCTGTATATATATCTTAATATTCATAGTAAGTCAATCTTGGATAATCCTTTGTTCCTATATATTAATATTCCTTATTTATTAGCTATAATATTCTAATTCTCTAATAATCCCTTTCTCTAAAGACTAGTGTCTTGATAGCTTAATAATAGTCTGTATTCTCCAGATATGTAAATAATTAATCCTAATTTCTAATTTTTTCTGCAATATAAAATCTTGTAGTTTTATATTAATTATATCTTCTAAGTTAAATATTTTAAAAAAAATCTTTATATAAGAATTAAATTTTTTAGAGTTATCTGTCGGAAACTTCAGTTGAATTACCGTCGAGTATAGCTAGGATAGCTATTAACGGGCGAAGTTAATAGGCTTCTAAGGTCAAAAGGTCTCGGTAGACGAAAGAAATAAGAATAAGGTCTAAATATCCTGATTAATAAAAGATCATATACTTTTAAATTATCTTAATTAAAAGGTACTTAACACAGTTAATTTAAGATAATTGTCGGAAACTTCGGTTGGATTACCGTCGAGTATAGCTAGGATAGCTATTAATGGGCAAAGTTAATAGGCTTCTAAGGTTAAAAGGTCTAATTTAGATAAAAGAAATAAAAATAAGATTCTAAATATCCTAATTAATAGAAGATTATATATTTAAATTATTATAATTAATTTAAGATAATAAAAGAAAACTAAATATAAGATAAATAAGCATTCTTATATAATTTTTCTCTATTATAGCCATTATAGAGAATTCTATAATTTTTATATAGTAATTATTATAACGTAACCGGACACCCACCCGGCCACGACACCAACCCGGCCACTCCCTCCGGAAAACGCGCTCTATATTATTACTAGATTTTCAACGCGTCGTTATGCCACTAATTCGCAATAAAAAGGTGTCAAATTCAAAGGAAATAGAAGGTTGCATTTTATTAGTTATTTCTAATTTAGAAAATAAATGAATTTGCAGTATTTATTAAGTTTTAATTATCTATTCTATTCTTTATATAACTCTCTAAGATTAACTTAATAGCATCTAATCAAAGAGCGAAAAATATATAAATGTCGGAAACTTCGGTTTGTTTACCGTCGAGTATAGCTAGGATAGCTATTAACGGGCGAAGTTAATAGGCTTCTAAGGTCAAAAAGTCTCAATAGATAAAAGAAATAAGAATAAGGCTATGAATATCCTGATTGATAGAAGATTGTATACTTAAGTTATTATAATTAATTCAAGACAATAGAAGAAAACTAAATATATAGTAAATAAATATTCTTATATAGCTTTTTTTTATTATAGCCTTTATAGAAATCCTCTGATTTCTTTGATACATAGATTATAGCTATTATAAAAATCCTCTGATTTCTCTAATACATAGATTATAGCTATCATAGAAATCCTCTGATTTCTTTGATGCTCTAATCCTAAGGCTTTATAGGTAATCCTTTGTTCTGATATATATTAGTCCTATAGTGACTAACCTGATTCATTAGCTGTGATGTTCTGATTCTCTAATAATCCTCTCCTCTGAAGGCTGGTGTCTCGATAGCTTAATAAATAATTTATGTCCCCTAAAGTATAGGTAATTAATTCTAACTTTTTAAATATTCTAAATATATAATCTTATGATTTTATACTAACTATATCTTTAAAAAAAATAATCTTAAGAAACTCTCTTCTTTTATATATTAAATAATTTAGTATTGCTTATTACTTTCTATATAATTAATATAGTGATCTGGAAAAGACTTATATCAAAATAGAATTCTTTAAACATTATAATAAATATATTTGCGTAAATAATTGTCACTATATTAATATATTTATATCTAAGATAATGTGAAAGTATTTTTCTGAGGCTTAAAAGCATCTTTAAAAAGAAAAAGAATAGACCTTAACTAAGATTCTTTATTTATAAAAATAATAAAAATTATTAAAGAAATAGGCTAAAGAATTTCTTTAAAAGAATATAAAGAATATTAAAGAGTTAGAAAAATTAGAAAAAATAGAAGAAGAGATAAAAGTAAAATAAGTAAAAAAATAATAAAAGATTAAAGAGCTTTTAGTTACTACTTTTACTTTATAAAATAATAATCTTATTCTTAATATTAACTTTAATCCTTCTATCTTTCTTAATTATACTTCTATCTTTATTCCTAAATCTTCTTAGAATAATTCAAATATCTAATAGGTTTCTATATATCTTTTTTAGATTTATATTCTTTTTATTTTATAAGATAATAAATATATCCTTTCTTTAATTTATATTATAATATTTTTTTAACTTTATATTCTTTATTATCTACTGCTTTATCTTTATTTATTAAGTTAATAATTAGTTTTAATAATAAAATATAGAATATTAAGTATATTCATATTCTTATTAATAGCTAGAGTTTATAATTATTATTTATAAGTTTTTTTTTAATAATAAATAATTTAAATTTAACTATATTAAACTCATTACTTAGTCTTATACTTTTAATATTAAAACTTTTTAATCTTAGTATTTATTATAAAAGATAAACTTTCTTTCTCTTTTTAAGTGCTAGCACATCCTCGCGCTTCTTATTATAATATCTCTTTATTCTCATTTCTATCTATTTAATATCTTTTAACAAATTACTATATATTAATTATATATATATTGCTTAGATATTTACTTTATTAGATGCTTTATTTTATTTAATATTTTCTTAATTTATCCTTAGAATTCTTTCTAGATTAATAAAATATAATACTTATCCTATTGATATATTTGTAATATTATTTATTATAAACTAAGCAATTAATAGTAACTCTATCTAATTATCTTGATTCTAATCTAAGTAATATCTTAGATATTATTTAACTACTTGAATTATCCTTTCAGTCTAGTTATTAGTCTATTGATAATATATAGTTAATAAATTATATTCTATCTTACAATTTTTTATAATTATCTATTAAAATTTAAATATAAATAACTTATCTTTATTAGATATAATTTCACTTAATAATCTAAATATTATAAATACTTCTTATAATATTAATATTGTATATTATTATATTATAAAACTCTTTAGTATTAGCTTTAGGATAATATATTTTATAAATTTATCTATAATAATAATAGCTTTAGTATATATGATTCCTGAAATAGGATTTTTCAACTTTAATAAGCCTTATATAAAATCTATTATAATTTTCTATTATATTTTTATTAGTATTTTTAGAATCTATATTCTTTTATAGAATTAATAGTTAATTAATTTATTATAATTATAACTATTATATTTCTTAATATAGTTTTTAACCAATTTTCTTATTCTTAGAAAATAATATATTTATTATATCTTTTCTATTATTTAGTTAATTCTATGATATTCTTCAATTAATAAATTATAATTTATTTGAATGATTTTTGTAATTATTAAAAATAATATTAATATTAATCCTTTCTAAATGACTAATCCATTTTTAATTACTATTTTATTATTATATAATGCTGTCTATAGTATTTTATTATTCTTAATAGTTTCTACTATCTTTTTATAAAAACCTTTGCTTTCTATCATAATTATTATCACTAATATTGCCTTGTTATTATAATGAATTCTATTTTTATCTTTTATTA